CGATTCAAGACGAATCTGATACCCCACAGATTCGCCAATGGATTCTCCCCTTTCAGCAGAGATACGAGATGCAACAGAAATGGCAGATATACGCCGAGGTTGTGTGCAAATGATGTTGCAATCAGCACCTCTTAGGGATGATATCTCTTCTTCCAATATAAATTGAGGAAGTTGTGTTGTCTTACCACACCCGGTCTCTCCTGAAACTACCAATACCTGAAACATAAACAAAGGACACAACTATTAGTGCACTGCTCAAAGAAATAGCTGATGGGAAACAGAAGAAAAACATACCTGGTTCTTTGAAACGGAGTTAAGAAACTCCTCTTTCATTTTGAAAGCAGGTAGCTTTTCTCTGAAAGCTTGAAGTGCTTTTACATTATCAGTTGCCTGGGTTGACAGAGGTGTAAATTGATGTTATGTCCAGAATCTAAAAACCCCATAATGCATAGAGTTTGGTTTAGCCATATGTACCTTCAGCTTTTCCTGCCTTTCCTTGAGAGCAACACTGAATTTTTCTTTCTCATGAGAATCAGAAAATTTGGAAGCAGGATCAGGTCTTTTCAAGCCAAGAGTTGCTGTACGATCTTGCTGGTCATTAATTGCTGAGGTAGAGACATTTGAAGACCCTGACTCTTGTGTTGTCTTCAAAAGAGTTCCAAGTTTTTGCTCTGTCTCTGAAGACATTTGAATCTACAACAAAACAGTATAAGCATTTCAGCAGCCAAACTCTGAATATAAAACTTGCTTGCTACTTACTAGTACCATTTCTATTACCTCTTTTTGAGTGGATCCATGCCGTTCATCAAGATCTGCACGATAATCAGGCAAAGGAACTTTGCTAACTACAAGAGCCTTCCCTTTACAGTATGCATGGCTTCCTTTCCAAAAGGGAGAAAACAACAGTCAAATCATGTAAGAGTGTAGCTCAACCATCTGATAGTTGTTTCGGAGAATAGACTTACAAGTAAAGTCCCATCTGATAAGCCATATCGGATAGTGTTTGCTGATCTGTTCGGCTAAAATTACGTTTGATTACCATCTCTTGCTCTCCTCCTGCTTTCATTTGCTCAATCTTGTTCCACCATTCATTCTCATCAAGAACTTCCATCTGAAACAAACTCATTCCCATTAGCCTTCTTAAATTCACCCACCCAGTACTCATAAAGATTAGTTCATAGACTTTTACTAAATACTTTTATCTGCTCTTTTTCCAAGAACTAGGACACAGCCAAGAAATCAATCAAGAAACTTTACCGCAGAGCTGAGTGTTACAGGCAATGCAAGGGAACTCTAAACCTAAGCTTAAATTGGGACTAAATTTCACCAAAACTATATAGTAAATCTAAGTACCGATGCTTAATTCAACTCAATTTGTTCAACTTTGAATTCTCAAATCCAAACGATTTCGAACAACAGTCGAACAGTGTCCATACCTCAGCTTGTTGCTGGCGCAAACGCTCGGCTCTCCAAACCGGATCCCACCATCGCTGCTCCCCACGTCCGCCGCCGCCGCCACGGCTACCGCCTCCACCGCCACCGCCGCGTCCACCACGACGACCTCCACCGCGGCCGGAGGAGAAACCTCCGCCTCGGCGACCACCCTGAGAATTGGGACCGTGAGGAGGCATGGCAGCGATCTGGAAGAGAGGACGAAGCGGAGAGAGTTTGGAAGAAAAGGGAAGGAGGAAGCGAAGTGTGGAGAAAGGAGAGAAGCAGAGAGACGACAGTTGCATTCGTAATGTGTTTTTTATAAGTTTGAAATCATTTAAAGTTGTATAAGTCGCACACACATTTTCTTGGTATTGGTTGCCGCACTAACACAAAGCCAACTAAACCTAGTTTAGTTTCAAGCAAACAAATGATGATCACACGAAGATTTGTGCCACTTAATTTGCCAATGCTCTTTTTACTGTATTTTGCTATATTACAAAGTCAAATACTGATAGCAAATTAGTAATGGTGTACATCAAATTGAGACATCTCTCAAGATCACAACTAATGACACTTGGACATCATCTTCTAACGATGACATAACAATCAAACAAACAGTGTAAATATAACAATGTTACAAAAGAGTGCCAGATTCATAACCGCTTTTTTGTTTCTTCAAACTTTTCATGCATTCGCGGCGTAGATAGTTCAAGTGTTGTACTGGCCGGTGGTCATCCGATACTGCATTTTCAAGATCCAAATCTGAGTAACAATGACGGGAAATAAATTGATTTAATATCGACCCAAAGAAACGATGGGTCTAAACTCTAAAGCCCATAGTTTATTGGTTATCGAAATATCAGTTCATAGAATACTGATACGTTACTTTTAGAGGGTATTTCTAAATTCTTCATTTACGTCATCATTTTATTTAATTTATTATTTTCTCTTTTTAATATTTTAATTTCATAATAATTAGCATCCATTACTATAACAAGTTTAACAAGGATATAAAAAATCATTTAAAAAAAAATAAGTATAGATTATATAATTTACGTTGATTTCAAAATATTATATAAAGAACACTAATTTTTTTAAGTATTTTGAGATGAAATGAGACGAGGCCCAGACATGATGAGCTGAAAAAAAAAACATAACGAGAGAAGAAATAAATTTTGTCCACTTCTTATTATATTAAATGACGAGATGAAATGTAAAACAACGGAAAGGAATAGAATACCACATAATTTTGCCACTTCAAATTATATTTAAAAACGGAATAGAAAAACCGAAAGGAACATAATGAGACAAGACAAGATAGAAAGAAGCATAACGAAACAGGATAAGACTCGACAGGACGAGATAGACAAATCAGACATAAAAAGATGAAAAAACGGAATGAGACGGGATTGACCAGGAGGGGATGAAAGGGACATAATGGGACGAGAAGGGACGGGATATAAATTTCACTTACTCCTAACTATATTTAGGGACATGCAAGAGACACGATAAAATGGAAAAAAAAAACATAACATGGTAGAATGGGACTCGATAGAACGGACATGACAGAACGGGACGGGGAATGAACGAGACAAGATGAGAAGGAATGAAATGGGACGGGATGGGACTATATGAGAATTTTGCCTATCCTTAGTTATATTTAGGGAACGAGACGAGAAGAAACGGAAGGAACATGATGGGACATAACAAAATGGAAAGGAACATAATGGGATAAGATGGAACGGGACAAGACAGACAAGACGGATGGGACGGAAAAGAACGGACATGATGAAAATGAACGAAATGGGATACGATAAGACAAGACGGTATGTTAATTTTGCCTAACCCTAATTATATTTAATTAATATGTGTAATAATTTTGAACCAATAATAACCCACATAATTAAATTAAATTTGCAAAAAACAATAAAATTAAACAATAATATAAATTCGTGCGCGTCACCTCCTAATATATATATTTTTTTTTAACAGACAATGTAGAAGAAAATTCTTCTGCTTTTTTAAAAAAAAAGCCTCTTCTAAATGATAACTTTGCTATGAGCTAGGTTTGAATCATTTTGTTGATGTTATGCTTAAATCTATTTTCATGATGGTCTGTTGTTGGGCAACTAGCTTACAAGCTCCTTATTAAGTATGGTCTACTCGATCGTCTGATATATACGTTTTGTCTGTATTCTCTTATATATATATGTATATATATATAGTATCATATACCTATTCAGATATATCAGTCTACATTATCATAGTGTATATATTAAAATAAACATCATGCAGGCATGCAATGACGCATTTAGTTCATTGTAAGTTTTGAACAACTGTCCAACATATCGGGTGCGACTGGTGTAGTAACTAACTTGGCCGTGAATGTGCAAAACAAAAAGGTGATTATCATCTCGAGTTTTTAATATTTTTAGCTAGCTTTCTTATCTGATTAATTTTGTTTTTTTCGTCACCATCTTTTAATATTATACAAATGTTAATGTCTATAACTTACATGGCGAGTAGTATACAAACGATTCTATATGTTAAACGAAGAAAGCAAACTTTATTATATTGGCATTTTTAGAGACAAAAAGCAAAAAAAAAAAATTGGAAGGATTAGCGTTTCAAGTTTGTGGAGAGATTTCAAACTTTTGATTCCGGAGAAACTATATAAAAAAAAAGATAATAATGTGAATAACCAAAAGAAAGACACTAGACGTTGCTTAGGTGACAAATTTAGTGAACGAACTTAAATAATCAAAATAATAATTAAACGTAGGTTTTGTTTTGTTTGACATCTATTAAACGTACGTTAACAGCAAGATTGATATGGGTAGCAATCGACGAAGACGTTGACTTCAACTACTTTAAAACGTTTGTTTTTTGCAACTTGAACAATCCATATTCTGTTTCAAATCGATTAAAACCGCAACGATAATGGGTGTTAAATGCTTGATGGTTACTAGAAAAGATTGACGCTATTATATTTATCTCGCTAAAGTCTAGCGCTTCTGTCTAACTCAATTTATCAATTTCAGTCTTCTCTTCCAATATGGTCTTAACCTTGATAGTCGCTTAGAATTCTTATATATTTTCTTTCGGAAACTATATGTTTTCCTTCTTTTTTTGGGGGTCAAACGGAAACTAAATGTTTTATCTACATTTTGAGTAATAATACAAGTGAAATTTGGAAGCTTTATCTCATTCGGCCATTCGGGTCAAAATCTTATCAATATGATCATGACGTAAAATAAGAAATTAATAGGTCTATGCTTACACAATTAGTAGTACAATATTAGCAATTTCGTAAAGATGGATTAATTACTAAAACCAAAAGTCACACAATGCTTGCTTTGACAAAGCTTTTCTTATCCTCATTCACATTCACATGCATCACCCTCCCTCTTTCTCTTAGCGTTGACTTTTGACAACCCCAAGATGCTTCAGTTTCCATGTCTTACTTATAATCAAATGGCTGACCAAACCAACCTCTCCATTATTTCTCCTCTTCCTCTTCATCTTCTCTAAAACCCATTAAACAAAACCATCAAACCGCAACCGCCATGAACGTCCTCCAACCGCCGCCGCCGCCGCCGATGATGCCGGACTATAACGCCCTCCTCGGCACAAACGACATCGGAGGATTCAGATACGGAATCGGAGTCTCCATCGGAGTGCTCCTCCTCATCACCACAATCACCCTCACCTCCTACTTCTGCACACGTAACCAGCTCTCTTCTTCACCTTCACGGTCCAACAACAACCAAGATTCCACACTTGTCCATCACCATCACCACCATGTCATCATCGACGTCGTCTCCGGTCTTGACGAGGACACCATCCAGAGCTACCCGAAGATCCTCTACTCGGAAGCCAAGGGACACTCAACGGCGTCGTGTTGTCCCATCTGCTTAGGTGACTACAAGGGGAAGCATCTGCTGCGGCAACTGCCAGATTGCAGCCACCTCTTCCACCTCAAATGTATCGACACGTGGCTTAGACTCAATCCTACGTGTCCTGTCTGCCGGACCTCGCCGCTTCCGACTCCTCTCTCTACTCCCCTCGCCGAGGTTGTCCCTTTAGCTTCTTCCACCGTCGCCACCACCAGGATGTCCTAATTTAACTGATATTTCAGAAAATTCTGAATCAAAGTCCTCAATAATGTTCAAATCATTTCTCTTTCTTTAATTCGTTGTAAAGTTTTCGTTTTTGGTCACTAACTAATGATCACTGTATATATTCTTTGAAGACGAAGAAGATCTGTAGAACGAAGTATATTCAGGGTAAATATATGACACATTTTTGTTGGATAAACTACTTTGATTTTTGTTTTTGTCAATTTCAAGAGATTATTTTCTACATTCGTACAAAGAAAGAATAGTTAAAGTCGTTTTATCTATCGTCGAGAGAAGACCTGAAATGTGTTTCTTGGCTTTGTATTGAAGTTTTGGGCTTTGACAGGTCATTTAACTAAAAATATTTGAACGTCAAAGGAACGGGAAAACGAGAGAACAAGTTGGAACTTAAATTGAAAGGTCTTGAGTCGGTTAGGCGTTTGATCATTAAACTGACAAATCTTTCCCAACCATGATTTATCAAAAAAGTAATTTGTAGGCTTTGTAGCAATCTCTTTTGTCCGTATACTGTATATAGAGTTTATAAACACACCGGAGATTACATACATAAGATCAACCAGTGCCGGCCCGACATGTCATGGCTCCTAAAGCAGCCAGAATTTTTTGGCCCATTTAAAAACAATCTATTTTGAAAAATCATCACTTTTAAGATTCGAACTGCACACTTGGTAGCTAATTTACAAGGGCATAACCACTACACTACTGTTAACTTCTTGGAATTTGGCGCCCCAAAATTCTTTATAAATCTTGGCGCCTAAAGCCTTTGCTTTACCAGCTTTAGCTGTGGGCCGGCCCTGAGATCAACCAAAAGTAGATATTTAACAGAGTCTTTATCATATATGGTGAACAATCAGCCAATCTATATGATATAGAAAAGTTTTAAGAGGACGTAAGAAAAAAAAAAAAAGGAATATTAAAAGTGAAAACAGTTGATCAACAGAAATAAAAAAACAGTCGAAAACGATTTTTGTGTTCTGTCTTAAATCCCAACTGGCTGAAATTAATTAGGTGAGATGATAAAATGAGTTGACCACCAAACTGCCCTTTATCATATTTCAAGTATTCGAAAGATAAAAATACCACACCAATACCATTTTATACATATATCTTTACATTTCAATTTGACTTGTGTAATTGTTTATGAGAAGGGAAATAACACTTTGGAAGGTGTATTTACCATTTCACACCTAATCATACACCTCTGAGGCACATCAAGTGCAGAAAGCAGAGAGCAAGCCATTCGTGTTGAGGAGGTGATCCGTATACATATATGGTTTGTTTATGTGAGATGTTATCATTTTGTTTATCATTCTGATATGGGTTACATTTTGTTTTTCGATATCAGAGTCTCGTTTGGAAGGTAAGAGAAGAATTCAGAGGGTGGAGTAAGAATTGTTGATGAGATTGGTAATGGGCTCTTTTCTTTTATGTGAGATGTTTTATAGAATTATTTGTCTTTTAAATTTCAGAGGGAAAGAAGTCAAGTACCTGAGTGAAGGCATGCTCGATCTTGAAGCCAAAGTAACTGAATCAGTCATGAGAGTTGTAAAGATGCGTTGAACAGTTATATGGCCTAGACATGGCTGAAAAAAGTGAGACAAAAGCTTTTACCTATGTGATATTACCGAAACTGAATGAATGAAGTCACAGTTGCTCAAGAAAGATAGACACCTATCTATCTGGAAGCAAGCCTTCCAACAAAACTCTGCAAAGCAAAAGCAAAGAGATCAATCTTTAATCACCCGGAAAAGTTAATGAAAGGTTAATTTTGTTTTGTTTTGTTTCCCACTCTGGTTTCTCTTGTGTGCAAAGAAACTTTTTCTGGAAAATTTGGCAACTCTACCATCTTATTAAGCACAACATTATATGCAACTCGATTTCTTTGTCATGCAGACTCTCTTTCATTATTAACTACTCCTTGCGGAAGATTCCTGCACCTTAATAAGCTCTTGATTTTCTTGATTAATATCTGTTTTCTTTGTCAAGTTAGCTCTGCTCGAGATGTAACCAACTCAACAATATTCTGCATCAATGAGGCAGCTTTGGCCTTGTTTCATTCTTCAGCTCATTCTCTTCTTTGTTTTTGTCTTTGAGATGGATGAAGCCTTCCGCAAACAACATCCTGTAACTCACTCTCTTTCACGATAAAGCTTTTCTTTAGAGTCTTTGCCTTTTAGGTCCTCAATCTCATCTTCTTTGTCGACAAGACTTTCTTGCAGCTTCGCTAACTCTTCCATTTACTTAAGACCCCTTTCTCTAAGGTCTTCATTTTCTCGAGTATAATTCTGGAGTTTGGTTTTTCTCTATCAGCAAGTGCGAGAGCAAGCTCATCAATCTTCTTATGGTAAGAAGACTCGTGTTCTTTGAGCACCTCAGTTTCGTGACAACTACTCTACCTTCTTGATAGAAACAGCCTCAATTTGGTTTCTTTATCAACCAGTCTCTCATTCACTGCTGACAACTCTTCAATCTCCTTCAGGTAAGCAAGCTCTTCTCTTCTAAGCCCCTCAGCTTCTTAAACAATGCTCAACAGTTTGGTTTCTTTGTCGACCAAGCTCTCATTGGACTCTTCTATCTTCTTGAGATAATAAATCTCCCTCCCACTGAATTCCTTGAATAATGCTCTCTTCAGTTTTGTTTCTTTATCCACCAAACTATCATTTATTTTTTCGAGAGAAAGAAAACTTTCATTTCTCTGAGTTTTCTGTTTTCTGCAGAAGCGTTACTTAGCTCGTCTTCCTTGTCCAGCAAGCTTTCTTTAAGGTTTCATGCTTTAAGCTCTCGCTTCTCCACGTCTTTCCCTGCAGATCCTTAATCTCCTCCGACAAGTCCTATAAGATTCTTTTCTGCATGCGCCTTAATTTCCTCAAGATTAAGAAAGTTGCATGTCCCTTCACATAGAGCTTTTCATCTTCTGATTTCTTCACATAAATCATCAAATGAACTTCTTCTTGTTCCCACTCAATCTTCGAACTAACTATCTCAAGCTGTGTGTTTTCTTAACCACCTTTTCAAGCTATCAATTCGTTTCTTGCATCTCTAAGCAGTTTCTTACGTAGCCAATTCCTAACTTTCAATCTGGTTTCCACAATGTTCAAGATCCACTTGATATGTCTAAAGCTTCTCCTTAGCTTCCATTGGACATTTCTTGTACTTTTTGTTCTCTGGTTCTGTGATGATAAGGATCGGTTTTACAACCATTGAAGATCCTACAGTCTTTCTTTATCTTCTTCTCTTTTTGAGTCATTGGGCTTCCTGTTTTCATCTGGTTTCTCTTGTTTGGAAAGAAGCTTTTTCTAGCAACTTTTGACAAGATTATCATCAACTACAGAGTCAGTCTGCAACTCGGTTTCTTTGTCATGTGGACTCTCTTTCATCTTTGACAACTCATGTAGCTTCTTAAGCTCTTGCTTTACTTCTTTGAAATTCACGTTTCTCTTATCGAGCAGAGTATCTTCTTCACAGACAATGCTTCCTTGTCCTTAAACTCCCCGTTTTCTTGGAAAACACCCTGAAACTCTTTCTCTTTATCAAGTTAACTTTGTTTTACAACTCTTCAGTCTTTCAACCAATCAGGCAGCTTTGGCTTTGGCCAATGAGACAAGTCTTCTTTAAGGTTTGACCACTCTCTGCAGAAACATGAATTTCCCATTTTCTCGGACATGAATTTTAGATGACAAGCAGATGCCCTGAAATAAGCTTTTTCAAAGAACAATTTTCTCCATTAAATGCAGAATATTGAATTTCATGTTTTCCTTTAACTTGACAAAGCAAGCAACTGAATGCTCTTGTCTCAAACCCAACAAGACAAAGACCTAAGCAGAACACTGAATCCTCCTCTGTTCGGACATTGTACTTTTAAGCAGACAGTTGAATCACCCAATCCAACATCAATAGGCAACCTTTCTCAAGAACATTTACTCCTCAATCAATACCCAATCGGACTATCTTTCAAAGAAGTAATTTTACTTCATGATACAGAGATATTGAATATCATGAATTCAGACATTAGAATTTGAGCAGACAATTGAATCACCCAATCCAACATCAATAGGCAACCTTTCCTCAAGAACATATACTCCTCAATGAATACGCAAACCATTGGGTTAAGCAGATTATTGAATTCCCAATCGGACTATCTTTTAAAGATTTTACTCCATGATGCAGAGATATTGAATTCTCCATAAAATGAATCACCCAATATAGCATCAACGCTTTCCTCCCTCAACAACATTTACTCCTCAATCAATATGCAGAGCATTGAATATAGCAGACTATTGAATTCTCCCATCGGACTATCTCTTAAAGAAGCAATTTTACTCCATTGAGCTTCTCAATAATCTTCGAAATTTTCATTCTTCAGCCCATTCCCCTTTTCAACCAAATTATTCCCTTCATTATCGATCAGACAAACTCCTGCATTTGTCTTAAGAGATGACTTTAAGCCTCTTTTGGATTTGAGCTCCTCAATTTGGCAAACAACACCAAAGAGAGTGTAACAAGTCACTCTCTTTCACGAGCAAGCTTTTCTTTAGATTTGATAGCTCTTCAATTCTTCTTTTGGGCTAGAGATTCCTTGGCTTTCGAGTTCCTCAAGGACCATACACCATCAAAGCTCATTTTCTTTGTCAACTTAGCATGGCTTCATGCTCTCAGATTTCGCTTCTCCACCTCTTTCCCTGCATATCCTTAATCTCCACCTCAGTTTCTCTTACATTCTTTTTAGTATTGGATTCTTCTTCTTCTTCTTTTGCTTCAATTTCCTTAAGATTACGCAACTTCTATCAAGAAAGTGACGGGATGTGAAGGAATATTAGGCTCCGGTTGTGAAGAAATCGTTGGAGCTCTATAGGTTATAAGGGCTCTTTATCCTGCAAATTGCGAATAATCACAAGATTAGCAAAAGATTTGTCCACAATTCCTGCTTTCAACATATTTTGATCCTACGCACAGATGGCCACAATTCTATGATTGATAACTAAACATAATAGTCGACGCTACAAGATTTTACTTTTCTTTCGCAATCCCTAATTTCGCTTCTCACAAGAGAAATCAGTAAACCCTAATCATCACGCAGCGAAATTGAGACTAAATTCCGAAATCCAATCCACACAGTTAACAAAACAAAAGATCTAGAAACTAGAAACAAAAATGAGAGAAAAGAAACTCACGAGAAGGACTCGAACCAGAGCTCCGCTCGGCGAGCCTCTTCTTCCGACTTCCGTCTCTCCGTTAACGAAATCAAACCATCTCGGGGCAAAGAACTCATACGTCGTCACAGCACTACCGGTTTATTCCTCCGCCGGAGCCGTTGTTGCTTCCCATGCTCAATCACAAACCGATTCAGGTCAGAGAAGAATGAAGAGAATCTGGGTGGAGTTAAGGTTGAAATTAAAAAAAAAAAAAAAAAAAAAAAAGGAGAAATCACAACGGTCATAAAAAATTTGATGACTCCCCGACGAAGTTTGATTGGTTTCCATTTTCCAATTACGTAATAGATAATGGGCCTCAAGCCCAACATACACATTTCGATTTCGATTTCGAATTGATTGCAATTATCTTGACATGTCGGTATGTCGGTTTTCGCGAACAAAAAGGCGTGAGTAAAAGAAAAAACATCACTCAAAGAGGCTGCGATTTATTTTTGCTTGGGGAAGAATCCGCAAACAAAGACGAAAATCTCAATTTGACGATTTGGTATGGGTTGGGTTTGGAGAGACGACGATTCATCTGCTTCCGACGCCGGTAATGATATCACCGATAAACCACTCGGAGATTCCGGCAATTGTTCCACCTCCACGGTGGTAAGATCGCAGTGCAAGACGGAGGAGGTTGAGCCTGGAAAGTTCGTTAGGAAGTGCGACAAAACCGAGGAGATCCTCCGCCACTGTTTTGGCAAGTGAGTGATTCCACATCTTTCTGGCTTCGAAAATTCGAACAAAGCCTTAATTTAATCATCATATTTTGGAATCACGTCATGCGAAAATTGAAAAAGTTTCTAGTCGTTTGGATGTGGAAATCTGACTAATTGACTAAGTAATTATCTCTCTACTGATACCTATGTGGAATTTAGGGAAGATCAAATAGATTCAGGAGAGTGTGTTTTCAGATTGTTATGTAAAAAGCTGAAGCCAATAGTTAGAGATTGATTCTCTGTTTACGGAACTAAGAGGTTAATGGGTCTTTCTGAGCTTGGATTTACGAGTTTGATCTTCAGAAATATAGTTGAATCCCTAGAGTCTATGCACTGGAATGGTGTGTGATATTTGCTTAGTTATGGTTTCGTTTCTTGTTATTGATTTTGTTCCATCACTGTGCAACTGTTTCATTATCAAAGCAGCCTGTAAGCTTAGCTCGGCAAAAAGGTTACAGCTTTAGATTAGCCCCAAAATGCAAAGGTTTCTCTGTAAAATTGTTTTGAATTTATCATCTTTGTAGTGTTGTGAATATGCATAGAGCATCACATCACAGTTTCTTGTTTTCTTTCTCTCCTTTTGGGGTTTTGACTTTGTCATTGCGCCATTGCAACTGCTCAAGCCTTGTTTGATTTTCATCCCTGCGTTGTGTTTTGTGTCAGGCCATCTGAAGTGGTTCAATCCACCACAGAGCACACAGAAGAAGATGTCACAAACCAGATGGTAGCAGGGAAATCAGCTCTTCAGGAGAATCCGCTAAACTTCCCGGGGCTGCGCAGCGACGTAGACGCCATCGAACGCCATTTCTTGACCGGAATGAAGAGTTTCTTTGAAGCAGCGGAGGACATGAGAAGCAGCTTCTTTGATATCATGGGAGACGACCAACACTCAAGCACCAGGAGAGGGATACCCATTGAAGACCGTCCCAAGGTAGAGGAGCACCGCAATGACGAAAACACCCCTAGACGGCCGTATTCCTCCGGCGAGATTGATCTCTCGGGCTTGGCCAAGGACGTTTGAGAAAGGTCTTCTTCTTCTTGTATGTTCTTTGACATATACTAAAATCTTTAAAGTATGATTTTGTTAAAGCGTGGGGATTGTGTCTTATGTTAGCGGCTTCCACGTTTTCATGTTTTTGTCTAGTAGTTGTTTCTCTCTATCATCATATCATATAACAACTATGGTGTTTTGTTTGTCTTTTTTTTTTTTTTTATAATGACAAATCAGACCAAAATTAGATTACTAATTTACACTGTCTGAAAAGTTATCTTAGTTTGTATTAAATGGTCATATAATAAAAAAAATTGGTCAAAGTATGATTTATGGAGTGGAATTAAAGATTTGATATCTGACCTTACGTTTTCTGAAAGATTAGTTACCATTTTGTGGCATGCGTAATTAGGAAAAAAGAAGAAAAAAACAATAAGTTATACTGTTAAACAATATCGGGATTTGAAAGGACCAAACTGTTAATCGATGTACGAACACAGACAGTAAATAAAATCTTTAACACAGCCACACACAGAGTCGTCGTATGTTAGACTTTTTGTTGGGAAAGAGAATCAATTAAGTAATTGAGATAGGAAAAGACAAAAACCCTAATAAATCCCCCCCAAAAAACAATTTCAGTCACGACGTGATACCCAATTCCTTTTTGTCAAATCATCTTCCTTATCAACGCCCATTTTCAATCTTCTTCTTCGTTTTTTGTTTTTTTTCATTTCTGTATTGTTGTCTGTGTCGACGAAATGAGATCATTCGTCGAAATTTTCTGATACCTAATTCCCAGATCTCTCTCTCTCTCTCTCTCTCTCTCTCTCTATGTGTTAAGATCAGAATTAATATATTTGGGAGATTTCTGTCTGTTTGTTCATGGAAGTGGTTATGGTGTTAGAAATGAGAGATCTTTGTCTTTAAGAGATAAAATTAAGGTTGTGTTCTCTTGCGTGAAACGTAAGATAAAAGGAGACTCTCTTTCTCTATCATTTTGGCGTTTCATTTCTAGGTTATTGTATAGCGTAAAGTCGATCGAGAATTTTAGATTCTGTAGAAGAAAATGGGGAATGTATGTGTTCATATGGTCAACAATTGTGTGGATTCGAAATCGAGTTCATGGGTTCGTCCCACAGATCTCATCATGGATCATCCAACGAAGCCTCAGCTCCAAGACAAGCCTCCTAACCAAATGCTGATGCTCAAGGATGATGATAAACCCAAGCTTGACACTCACGGAGACCCTAAATTACTCGAGCACAAGCAAACGAGTGTTTCAAACTCTGTTCACCGTTCTCATCAGGAACAAGAAGGGAACAAGAGTGAAGAAGAAGAGAAGAGGAAGCGAGCGATTGCGTGTGGGAACAGCAAAAGAAGAGCTCACAACGTGAGGAGACTGATGAGTGCAGGTTTGCAGGCAGAGTCGGTTCTAAAGACGAAGACAGGGCATTTGAAAGAGTACTATAACTTGGGGAGCAAGTTAGGTCACGGGCAGTTTGGGACGACGTTCGTGTGTATAGAGAAAGGAACAGGGGAGGAATACGCTTGCAAGTCGATCCCGAAGAGGAAGCTAGAGAACGAAGAAGACGTGGAAGATGTGAGAAGAGAGATTGAGATAATGAAACATCTCGTAGGGCAACCGAATGTCATCTCAATCAAAGGAGCTTATGAGGACTCAGTCGCTGTTCACATGGTGATGGAGCTGTGCAGAGGAGGTGAGCTTTTCGATAGGATAGTGGAGAGAGGACATTACTCTGAGAGGAAAGCTGCTCATTTAGCTAAGGTCATACTTGGTGTGGTCCAGACTTGTCTTTTTTTTTTTTTTGATTTTTTTTTTTTTTTTTTTTTTTTTTTTTTTTTTTTTTTTTTTTTTTTTTTTTTTTTTTTTTTTTTTTTTTTTTTTTTTTTTTTTTTTTTTTTTTTTTTTTTTTTTTTTTTTTTTTTTTTTTTTTTTTTTTTTTTTTTTTTTTTTTTTTTTTTTTTTTTTTTTCATTACTCTGAGAGGAAAGCTGCTCATTTAGCTAAGGTCATACTTGGTGTGGTCCAGACTTGTCATTCTTTAGGTGTGATGCATAGAGATCTTAAACCTGAGAACTTTCTCTTCGTCAATGATGATGAGGATTCGCCTCTTAAGGCTATTGATTTCGGGTTATCTATGTTCCTCAAGCCTGGTATGTTCCTTACAGAAACAGAATTTGGTTTTGCTTTGCTCTCATTGATTGTTGTTCCTGAGATGTCTATTGTTGTTGTTTTATAGGAGAAAACTTGACGGATATTGTTGGAAGTCCTTATTACATTGCGCCTGAAGTTCTTAACAAGGATTACGGTCCAGAAGCTGATATTTGGAGCGCCGGTGTGATGATTTACGTGCTACTCTCTGGCTCAGCTCCGTTTTGGGGAGGTAAGATTGTTGCTTTGTACAAGCTTTTATGTTTTTGGAAGGTGTTCTCATGTGTGTTGTTGATTTAAGCAGAAACGGAAGAAGAGATCTTCAATGAGGTTCTGGAGGGTGAGCTTGATTTGTCATCAGATCCTTGGCCACAAGTCTCTGAAAGTGCAAAAGATTTGATCAGAAAGATGCTAGAAAGAAACCCCATGAAAAGACTCACTGCTCAAGAAGTCTCGTGTAAGTCTTTAGAAGCTTGAAATCTCTTTAGTTAAGTAAATATGGAATTTGAAAATCTTTTTTTGTTGTCTCAGGCCATCCATGGATTAGGGATGAAGGAAATGCACCAGATACACCGCTTGACACAACTGTAATAAATCGTTTGAGGAAGTTCTCAGCAACAGACAAGCTCAAGAAGATGGCTTTAAGGGTACCTTATAGAATATTATAATAAAAGCTTTTGTTTTTGTTTAGATGGTTTTGATGAGAACAATCTCTCATTACTGTCTCACTTTCAGGTGATAGCAGAAAGGCTTTCCGAAGAAGATATTCAAGGGATTAGAGAAGCCCTTATAGTTATAGACAGTGAGAAGAGCGGGCGAGTAACTTATAAAGAACTCAAAAGCGTTCTTGAAAGATTCAATGCAAATCTTGATAACTCTGACATAAGTGGTCTTCTGCAAACGCCTGTAAGCATACACTAACTAATGTCTCATCTATATATAGATTTATCGGATCAGAATAAAAGCTTGCTTTTTTGTGTTTCTTACACATTTTGGATCACCTTTTTAGACGGATGTGCATTTGGAAGACACAGTAGACTACGAGGAATTCATAAGGGCGATTGTAAGACTGAAACAATTACAAGACGAGGACGCAGATGATCGGTTAGATTCATCGGCAAAAGTGTAATGAAGTTGGCGTTATTGTTGTGTGAAGAAGTGTAATGAGTACTCAAAACTGATGATGACGAATGTAAGTAAATGTGATGCACTCACTCTTTTTTCATCATTTTAAATTTTGGCCTCTTAAATCTGTTGCTAATTAATTATTATGAATGTCTTCTACTATTTCAAAATTATAGTCTAATCTTTATATATTTACTCTAGACTGTAGGAAACTACAAAAGGGCTGCAACAAAAGGAGGATATAAGAGAAGCAGAACAAGGAGAAGAGGGGGCACAAAGAGGCCACAAAGAAAAAGAAACAAAGTAAGGTGGTGATGGATGGAAATTAAATACAAATAATTTGGATGTGTAGGTTTTTGTTTTGTTTATTATATGTTTAAAAGAAGTTAGAGCAAACAAAAAGATGAAAGCTGTGTTTGTATATATATAAGTTGTAGTAGAAGGTCAAGGAGACACCATTAAACTCAGGTGATGTTGATGCTTTCAATACTTTGTGCCTTGAAAGTCAAATTAGGAATAACAGGGATGAATCTGTACCCAAAAAGAAATCAAGATTTTGAAATATTATCCCTTACTTTAAGGATGTTATCTGAAACATCCATTTTTTTTTTCAATATGTTGAATTAATACGTCTCTGTCTCTGCTGCTGCTATTTGATAATTTGGTGAAACATATTCCTCCTTCCCAGTTTTACTAAAACATATGTACTTGTTTCTGTAAGTTAAAATATGAATTTGAAGTCACAGTGTAATCCTTCATATACCTAACAAAATGAATAGGTTGTCTTACAAGAACTTTTTTAGTTTCGATGTTTCGAAACATCAAATGCATGTCATTACATTAAAACAAGAAACAAATATACTAAAACCAAAAAAAAAGAAACAATAGTATACTATTGATAAACTTTCCTTCTAAATAAATTATTTATTTTACAAATACATAAATTTCAAAGTTTACTGTATATACTGTCAGAAAAAAAATACTCGGTCAAAAAAGTAGGAAAAAAGGGGTTTCACCGCAAAATGTTTTGGAAGAATCCTGAATGATTGCAACGTGTAGGAAACCACTGTGGGGCCCGGTTTTTGGCAATCAAAACTGGAAAGAGAGGGTCCCACAAGATCTGACGGTGGATATCACAACTTCACAAATCACAAAACCTACGTGGAACAGTCTTTTTTTTTTTTGTAATAAGAGAAAGAAAACTCGTCGAGAGACAGCTCAGGCGCGGTTGGATGTTGTATGGGTGGGGGGGCCCAAACATGCAAACCAATCATGTGGAAGTGCCGATCCACGTCAGCAATAACGGACGAAGAGTGGGGTCCACACGCGGCGGGTATGTCGTGGGGGATCTCGAAATTGTTCGCTGTAACGGAGAGTCCTCCTCTCTCTTCATCTTCCCACGTTCTCCAACACTGTGCTTTGCTCTCTCTCATCTCAATCATTTGCTTCGATTCCTCTCTAAATTTACCATTATACCCCTATACTCACTTTAGTTGATTGCAACAGAAATTGAGTTGTGAATCTCAGATACATCAGTTCATTAGTATAATAAAACACTAATTAGCTGTCTTATAATATGATTTTAATTTAACATTTTGTGAAAAGAGTCTTCAAAAGGTCAAAAGACCTAACAAAATATGGAGGGTGTTTCCGTAATTTGGTGAGAGTTTTTTTGTCTACAACTTCTCTCCTTTGACGTTGAAAAAGCCATCATCTCTTTTCTTTGCTCATTCCACACACAGATACAAGGAGGGGACTTTGCTCTTCGCTTTTCTTTCTCTCTTTCCTCTTTGCCAGTGTCCGTCTTTCGAAACATACGAAGAAAAAAGCATATACGCTTTCTCTTTCTTAACGAGGTACGTTTTTTTGGAATTTTGCTTTTCTTCATTCTTTCTTTCAGTGTGCTTTCACTTTTTGTCTTGTGTGATTGATTCTTCATGGTTTTGTTGGTTCATTGTGTTCCTTGTCTCAGATTTAGTTATTGATTTCGACTCGTGGCTTTGTTTTAGTTGTTGTCCAAATAGGAACAAGGTTTTGGCCTTGGAATTTGATTGAATCAACCTTAAAAAAAAAAGGTTGTATTTTTTTCCCTGAAAATGGGGTTAATTGATGATCAGAATTAAGGGTTTTGCTGAAAATGAATCCTATGATTTACGCATAAACAAGCTTTAGATTCAGTGTGATACTTATGTCTTTAACCAATTTATCAAGTGCAGAGAAACAAGTTTGAGTGTTAAGAAGATTTTTTGTTTGTTTGCAATGATTGTTGACACAAGCATTACTATGTTTCCTTAGTCCATAGGATCAGATGGAACAATGGGTGGCTCCTCAAGAAAAGAAGCTCCATCTTTAGTTTGATCAAAAGGGCTTTTTGGATCTGAGCTGAGTTCTGAGTTCTGACATACATTTGCTTTGTGTGAGTTGGAACTTTGTGGCTTAATGGCGTCTGAGAAACCTCTCGAGGATGCGAGTGTTGTTGCTGAATCAAAGAAACAGGAAGAAACTGTCAATGCTGAGAATTCAAGGGACAAGAACAGACCCGAGACTCTTGACTTATCTACTGATAATGTTCCAAAAGATGAGCCTGTCAAGGTAATAACAATGATTTCGTACAAGACTTATGTTGTTTTGTTTGTCTTAACATTTCTCTTTCTCCTGTGTCATTCTCCTTTCAGGAAGCAGAGCTCCCTGAGTCTGGTAGTGCTTCAGTGAAGAGTAAAACAGCGAAGGAGAACAAAACTGTTAGAAGAAAGTCAGGGACCTTTGCTCGGAGCCCGAGATTCCTTTCTCAGAGCTCTTCGTTTCCAACTAAAGGAGCTTACACTGATACCACTAGAAAGAGCATTGATGCAACGCCAAAGGCTACTCCTACTCCTACTCCTAAACCTGTCGTTGCAAGTGCATCCAAACCAAAGGCGACTCCATCTTCAAACAACAATGTTTCCACAAAGCGCAACAGTTTAGTCTCTGTGCCTCTCAGGAAGCAACCTACGGTAACTACTGAACTCTGTTCAAAGCGTAGTTTTGTCTTGTTAGTCGTTTCAAGCTTTCTCAACTTGTTGATTTCTTCTGTGCTGTGTCAGCCTGTGAAGTCTATTTCCAAAGATGCAGCTTCAGGCCTTACTTCCAAGTAAGTCAAGATATTTTCTCATGCCAACTTAGCTAAGCAAATATGCAAGTGTGGAGATCTGAATAGTCAACTAAATTGTTCTCTCTCAGCAATTGCAGATTGGGAGATGAAGATTCTAAACCCATTAAAGATGAAATGGTAGGCAAGGATAATGAGGATGCCCCATCAGTCACCGCTGTGTAAGTCCTCTTTTGTTTTGGCATATGTAAATGTGCGAGTACATTAAAGAAAATATATGTATATTTGGATCTGTGATTTTCACAGGGTGGAAGAGAAAGTATCTAAACCAACGAAAGGTGAAATGGCAAGCAAGGAAGTAGATGAGGACACACGCTCAACTACCACTTCGTATGAGTTTTTCTTTCATGTTCTTTTTATGTTTCAGTAAATGACATATGATGTCACTATGTATAATGTTTTGGATGTTAAACAGAACTTCTACACCACGTGGGCGGAGAAGCAGCGTTGGTTCAGCGTCTGGATTTTCCTTCAGGTTGGAGGAACGAGCTGAGAAACGCAAGGAGGTTGGTGCTAATGCACATTTCATTTTCACTTTGTAAAGCAGGTTTCTTTAGTTTCCTCTTAACTTGTGTCTCCTTTTATTGGGTGTTATCTTTCAGTTTTATATGAAACTAGAAGAGAAGATCCAAGCAAAGGAAGAGGAGAAGACCACTCTGCAGGCCAAATCAAAGGTTAATATAGAAGAAGAGTCTCTTCTATGTATGATTAAAGGAAATTCTTATTGGTCTGAACTTTTCCTCATTTTCTTGGTCAAATGGATTGTGTTGTTTAGGAGAGTCAGGAAGAAGAGATCAAAAGGTTGAGGAAGAGCTTGACTTTCAAGGCTGGTCCCATGCCCTCTTTCTACAAAGAGCCTCCACCAAAGGTTGAATTGAAGAAGGTTTGCTTGTTTGCTCTTCCCTATATGTGATCACATTTGTCCTTATTGTTGTTTTCATACTAATGTGTGGTCTATGGAAACAATGTTGCAGATACCAACTACTCGTCCTAAATCTCCAAAGCTAGGACGCAGAAAGAGTAGCAGCGATTCAACAGGAGGTGAAGCTGGTCCTCGTGTGATAAAACCAAAAGACTCATCATCATCATCAGCTACACTGAAGAAACCTATAACAAAGTCTCAGCCAAAACTTGTTGAAACTCAAGAGAAGTCAGGTAAGGCCAAAGAAAGGAAAAAGGAAGGGAAGAAAGAAGAAGCAGAGAAGAGAGCAGAGGAACAGAAGGCTTCTTCCGTGCCTGCTAAACCGGAAGAGAAGAAAGAAGAAACAGAGAAAAGAGGAGAGGAAGAGAAGACATCTTCAGTGGCTGCTGCTAAATCCGAAGAGAAGAAACCGGACGCCAACAACATTCAAATGAAGGCTGAGATTATGGCAAGTGATGTTGCAGTGGGAGGCTGATCAAAAGCAAAGGAAGCTTTTGGCTGCGATTAGTCTGCTTCTTCTTCTTCTTCTTTATTAAAAGCATTGATGTGAATAGAGTTGTTACATTGAGTCCACCTTTAAGAGTTACTCTTCATTCCTTCAGTTGTTGTTTTTTTGTGGAAATTAAGCTTCAGATTGCTTCTTAAGATATGGTCTTTCATATTTGTTGAACTCAAAAGTGTAACTTCTTTATGTTATATATGAAGACGGGATATGCGTGAATTTGAAGAGTGAACAGTTGTGAGTTGTGCAAAATATTGATGTCAAATGAGATGGTGGTGACTTTATTTACAGCTGAACTTATTAAGATCAGAATCATCAGATACAAATGTTCTCGTTTGGTATTGTTCCAAATTTGCAATATATTTGTGGTCGGATATGAGATTATGCTTTAAATCTGTGACCTACATTCATTTTACAAACTAGAGAGTCTGACCAAAAGAAAGGAATTAAGAAATAAATCTGGGCTTTGTTTGGGTTGTGGGTTTTTTTTTTTCTGTTCAATAAGGTTCTGAGCTAAATGATCACTTTGCTATGAGTTGCGTAAATGGATTCTTCCTGAATTAGATAAAGGTTGTGAAGTTGATCCCAAGTCTTTACAAAACAGCTTTAGCAAATAAGATTCAGATAAAATTTGGAAATAAACATACTTATTGGGTGTATGAGGATTGAAAGTAGAAATGTACTTATGTATGGTTTTTCTATATTGCATGATTATGTACATTTACAGAGTTTATTAGAACACTTGATAACGTTTTGACTTTGACTCCAGAAGCCTCTTATTACAAAAAGTTTGTGAAATTCCAGTAAAAACAGAAAGAAGTAAGTGACATTAATTTGCTAAAGACTAAAAGAGAATCAGCGGTTTTATTACATGAGGACAAAAGCCCCACACAGCTCACTTGCCCATCGTGGCCAGTCCCCACTTCCTCCTAATTTCTTCAACCTCTCTTTAATAGTAACATTAAAGATTCGTGTCCTTAAGCTGTTAAAATCTTGCTGTAAACAACCCGCACAAAATTCTTTTCTTTTCATTTTTTGTATTAGCTTTGTAAAAGCAGACAATCATAGTACTATTTATCAAATGGTACTTATGTCGATAGACCAAAGAGTTTGAGTGTCGTAGACTCGTAGTCCTAATTAACCTTGTGATATTTAGACCCTGATAGCTGTATTAATGTAATATGAATACTTTTAGAGAACTCATACTTTTATATGATTCTTCTGTTCGGAATTTGTTTTTGGTGACGACAAAAACATCGCATATTCAATAAACAAATACGCTGACTTTATGACCAGGTGAATGAATATGCAGTATTACATTTATATCATAAATATGTTGATCGATGTATTAGATTATGTGCATCGCAACTACTATGTCCAATCACACATTTTATAAAAACTTATATATTTGACAAAGTTGATAGGAGAGAATGGAAAAGAATAGGCACACAAATGGATCATCCCTTTATTATTCCCATAGTTGTATAAATTGTATAGTATTACATTGTTTTCTCTAACTCCTGCGAAATTTTCCCAAGCACCACAAATAACAAAGTTCATCAAAATCTACTTTCCACGTATATTATATATCTTTAATATAAAAAAAATTACAAATAGAACATGCAAATCGCAACGAACCAAAAATCACATCATTTACATATTCAACTCTTTCTTTTCTTTTTTTCTTTTTCTTTTTTCCAGATGTTTACAATAAGAATTTGGAAGCTCTGGTTTTATTATGATAATAATGTGTAGAATCATTCACACGGGATAAACCGTGACCCCATCATTTTACAAGCTACCTCCATCAATTTCCCTGCATAAATTATCAAAACCATCAGTAACTTTGCTTCAATAATCAAGTGCAGTGAATATTTGAATAGAGTTAAACCAAAAACACTTTTAACAAACAGAAACATTCAAAATACTGAATGGAAAAAAGGGTTTGGTTTGGGTTTTAGTTAAAATAAAGACAAGGTGTCGTTAACGACCAATTGTGTCTCACAGCACAGCTTGTCCTTCAAAAAGATTAGATAAAAGAAACAATTTTCCTTAGTTTAATAATTCATACGGGATTATTCGTCGGTGGCTTTATAAAATAAAAAGAGGCTAATATGTCATATGTGGAATAAAATAACAAAATTTGTTAAGAGAGTTTTTGTCTCCATTCTCTTACACGTCTCCACTTTATTCCAAATCCCACATGTTTACTTCTACTCTCATTTAACGACCAAGCTCATGGCTGCTTATCTATTTCTTTAATGTTTTCATTCCACAAAAAGTTTTTAGAATAATAATTTTGACACTCAAAGCAATGATGAATTTTGGGTTTAGATGTCAAAATCAAATATTTATGAACCGAAAAAACAGACTCTAAATTTAATTGTAAAAAAGAAGAGTAAAACTTTATTTTACCTCTTCTTGATTTAGCAACTTTCTTAACGACCGGAGCGGCGGGTTTCACCTCCGTCGCCGGAGTTTCCTCCCTCGGAAACAAGACTCCGTCGATCCCCTGAACCGAGATCCGACCGTCGGTGTAAATATCAGGATCGAACAAGTAAGCAGAGCCTTCACCGTGTCCGAATTTAACAGAGCCATCAGCTTCTTGAGCCAACACTTTGTGTGGGAATCTCAACGAGTCATACTTCACCTTCCCGAATCTCCTCACGGCGTTGTACATACTCTCCTCCGTCTGATACTCCGGTATGATATGGTAATACATAATCTGCTCAGGAGCTCCTGGCTCACTCAGCTGATCCGTCGTGAGCTTAGCCATAGCTTCGTCGTTAGGAGCCAAGACGGTCAAAACGTAGCCTTCGGAGACGAGTCGACCCATCTCGGTGGCTAAGGAAGTTAGATTGACGAGAATATCAGCCATCTCGTTGTAACCGCCGTAATGCAGGAGAGTGTGGATGAAGTCTTTGACTTGAGCCTCGCCGTTGAAGTGGCCACGTGGACCTCCGGGTCCTGGCGCTGGAGCCGGAGCTAGTGAAGGACCTGGTGACATAGCGTCGTAAACCGGGAGGACCGGAGGAGAACCGGCGGGGACGGGAGGAGCCGGTTTCTTGAGACGGTGTGTTCTTGGGTCGACTTCGGGAGCTCCTTCGGGTATGACGGCGGAGATTGAGCGGAGGTTACGACGGCGGTTGAAGTCTTCTTGAACGGAGCGAGGGATTAGGAGACTCTCGATGCCGTGGATGATTCCGTCTGGTCTAATGACGTCATCGGGGAGGACGATCTCTGCGGAGCCGACTTTTAAGCGGGGAGAGGGAGCGGCGTCGACGGTGAGGTGGAGACGGTCGTTGGAGAGAGTGCGGTGGTGGAGAGAGAGAGAAGGCCATTGAGGAGAAGAGATTCGACGAGGGAGAATGTGGAACATGAGGAGAGATTGGAGAGATTTGAGGTTTCTTGGTTCGAGCAAGAAGGATTTGAATTCAGGGTCGAGGTTTCGTTCTAGGGCGTCGTTGCGTGGAGCGAAGATTGTGATGTTGTGTCGACCAACGGCTTCTTCTAGGGTTTGGAGGAGGAGGGCTTTCTCGACTAGCTCGGCTAGCTCTGTGTAGTGAGAGTCGAGGAGAGCTACGAGGACTGAGTTGGAGTTTATTTGACCCGACCCGGGTTTGTTTTCGGGTAATGCTGTGGCAATGGAGGCGGCGAGGAAGAGGAGGAGAAGGAGTTTTGAGACGCCGTAGGAGGAATCCATGGCGGTGGAGAAAGAGAGAGAAGGAAGTGTCGGCAAAGTGAAGGAGTTGGAGATTTTGCTTGTGAAGAAGGAGAGAGATACAGAGAGAGAGAGACAATATTCTGATGCTGATGTGAAGTTTCTTCTTTCTATTAATTTTTTATTTTATTTGGGTGGGTGGTTTTTTTTTTTTGCTTTTAAATGTTTTTTTGTTTGTGAGGGTTAAAAAGTGGGGTCTACTTACACAGGAAGCAAAGAGTATGTGTCGGGTCATTTTGTTCAGGTCGGATCCTCTCTCTCCGGCAGAGGCTTCTACTTTCTTCTGTTCAACAACTCAGCACTGTGTCTCTGACTTGGAACCTCGTGTCGGTTTCTGAGTCGGTCCATATCTGAAGTTCACTTCAAGTAAAAACTTTCCATCTTTGTATTTTTTTTAATATAAAAAGAATCGATTGTTTTGGCTTGCAAATGATAACGTATGAATCAAACAATTGTAATCTAATAATTAAAACTGATCGATCACCAATGTGCGCTTTCGATTATGGTTAATTATTGGCAACTTACGTTGTCGCGCGCGTTTAAATTTTATTTGTATCTCGAATACGTTGTCGAATTTTAATTAGTATGATATTAAGCTAAAAAGCTTCATTGATACATGCTTCGTGGCGAATATTTATTTTAGGTTCGGGAGAGACCGTGATTATTTTATAGCTACTGAGACACAGACGTGTAGATGATTCGTTAGCAAAATTGAACCATTGAAAAACCAAATTGTAAAGACTCGGCGCCACCCGGGTTTCATCATCACTTAACGCCTTAACGGTTAGTCGGTTACTGCTCTCAACTTATACACATCTTATCAGTGAAACTCTCTCATGATAAACTTTAGTTCACTGAACGAATTAGCATTATATGTTAATGATCGAATTGAATTAGCATTATTGAAAGCGCGTCTATGAAGATTGGTTGTAAATGTAAACCCATTTTGAGATACTGGCTAAACTTTTGAGGATAGAACTAGATTAAAAAATTGTATCTATATCAGTGAAGAAAAAAATCATTAGCCACATATAGCAAGAAAAGAAAGATTTGTTATTACATATTAAAGCCCTAAATTGTAAAACAAAATCAGGGAAGGAAGGTAAAGTGTCTTTGGTCGAAATGGATCGATTTAAACATTTGATCTTACATTCTCTGTCATTTTTATATTCAGAATCTTTGTTTATAAGACTTCATACCAATGCATACAACATCATCATATTATTCTATATACTTGAGATTTACTAAATGAATAACGATGTCGTGATTGTGAAGAAAACGAAAAAAAAAAACTCATAGAGTCTGGAGATAGGGGTCTAGCTGATCAAACAATTGAATTATGGAGTTAGTGAGAATTACTCAAATCAAATTTCTCTTACAATGCAACAAGTTATGCCTTGATAAGTTAGGCATTTCTCCACCGTCTCCTTTGTCATCTCCAATGGACGAGGACGTGGACGAGGATGTGGACGAGGATGAAACAGAGACTCAAGAATAGATCATAGGATTTTAAGTAGGCTGTTTTCTTTCTACTAAGCTTGTAGAACTTAAAAAAGGATCTAAGTATCTTCTTTTGGTATTTTGTAATGTAAAATATTGGGCTTATGTTTAATATAATTCAAATTTATAATTATTTTTAAGTAATTAATTTCCAATTTAGATTTTCGTACTAATTTATTTTTGATTATTAATCATTTGACTTTTAATTAAAACCGTAGGAATTTGGTAAGAAACATATTTGTAGGAAAATAGTAGAAAATATCTCCAAGTAAAATCGTAGGTAAAAGGTTGATTATATTAGTAAGTATTTGGTAGTAATCACTTATCTACGAATATTTTCGTAGGACATTGGTTAGAACGTTACCACAAATTACCTATGACAATTTGTTACGAAATTTCTTTGGACACATTTCGTAGGAAAACAAGGCAAATTATTACGATTTTCCTACCGTTTTCGATTTTCTACGGAAGAAACCCTACGACTCAATTTCGTAGGAAAGCGGTAAGAAATCAGTGTTTCCTACGATTTGCCAACGATTATATCCGTAGGAAACCACTATGTTTTCTTGTAGTGTTGTGAGACATATACATACGATAGAAGAGGTTCCATGGAAATGTCAAGAGTCATTAGTTTTTTGTTTTAACATTTTACGCCAAGCTGTAAAACGGTAGAAGTAGTTTACGAGTAGGCTTTAGTTATCGACTTATCGTACACGTACAGTCGTACGTGTGGTGGGGAAAGCGCGTGAAAAGTCTTAACGTATGATTTGATATATACTAATAACCTCGCTTTCGACGTTAATAATGAGCTGAAAACCGGTGACGTTTCTCCTGCCGTTAGATTTTCCGTCGCCTTCGAACCGACACTGTCTTGGTAGTTGGCGTTCCTCCTTTGATTCGAAGCTCCGTTCCGAGTCAGTCCCACCATTAACATTATATAATGAGAAAAAATATTCAATTAACAAAGATAAAATAAAAGAGGAAACAACTTTAATTTGGGAATTCATGTTTTTTTTTTTGCATTTAGTGGTTATTAAATTTGGCCAAGAAGCTTCACTTCACTTTCAAGTTTGTGTTATTTTATTTTAATTTCATTTTACTTATAGATTTTATTAGGTGCAAATATATGTACAGAGAAAAACACATGTATATGATGACATAGGCATACTATATGTTCTGTTTTGTGAAAACTATTAAAGTGAACAAGAAAAGGATTCAATATTTCAAAAACCAAAGTCAAATGATTTTTAAGGAATTTTATATTAGAGAAAAGAACATCAATTAGTCTATAATTTAATAATGCAACTGTACATAAACTTTTCTGGTTGATGATGCGAGGTGCATGGCCATTAGAGATATGCTGAAGATCTTGTGATATGACATCATTAAATGAGTTTAATTATCATGAAATTATTTTATCATTGATTTGATGATATGGTAAATTTATATAAGAATGGATCTTGGTAGAATAATTAATCATCCGTTAATAATAATTATCCTTATAATTCCTCTTAGACGTTATAAAAAAAAAGATTTGATTCTCACAAATTAAATATTGGCTAGAAAATTATAATTCGACATTGTCATTTTTTAGTCAATATCATTTTTAAATGTTATTTACACTATATATAAATGTGTACAAATTTTCATGTTTCATGTTATAACGTAACTACCAATGCGAAATCCCCAAAATATTTCGCATTAGCTCAGCCCACCAATGTTAAATATTAGTTTGAAAATAGTTGTTAGTGGACCCAAATATTATAAAAAATGAATTCAAAATGTGTATTTCTTAAAATTTCTCATAATTTATCATAATACAAATTTAACTATAAATAATTTTCTTTATTTAAAATCATTGGAACTCGTTTTTGGTGAAATTGTTTAAAACCGTTTTCCGATAAATTTTCTGGTGGAGACATTCGTTGGAATAACCGGATGTTGGGTATGATAGATTTATCGCCGTAAGCACTATAGAGTAGTGTATTCATACGACAAAAATGGAGTTAGTTTGAATGAGAAATAAAAGTTTAAAATGGGAGAAAAGATATTTACGGTCTAAGCTTTTGCGTTTGGCCTTGAATTAGGAAAAAATGGGCTAGTGGTTAAGTCAATAATCTTTTGGCCCAAATTCTTTTTTAATTAGCTTGTTGATTGAGTCAACAAAAGATCTCTTTTAAAATTGATGTAATCAATTGTCATTAAAGCACAAATCAATTATGATTGGTTAAAAGTAATTAAGTTGAAAAGATATTTCTCATTCTCCATTTACGTTAAACCTTGAGGCTATATATATATAGCTTTTGTTTTCTCATCAAATACACATTATTACAACAATTCTTTCACAATCTCTTCTTCTTATGTTTTTTTTTCTCCTTGAGAGTACTCATAGCAACGTTAGGTTCTGTTTTCCGATGTTGGGAGACGGAAATTCGAGCAGTTGTATCCTGGGAATCTTACCACTACAAAATCATCAACACTACGAGCGTTTAAAAGATTTAAGGAAAGAGATTCAAACCTTGCCTCTGCTACTCACCTTCATCAGCCATTGATTTGGTATTGTAATTTTGTTTGTTGTTCTTATTTTACTCTTACATATATCAGTCGCCGTGTATAGTAAATTTAGTTCATATAGTCTTAAATCAACGCCGGAGAACAGAAAGACTGTAGGAACTAAATTTACTACACACGGCGACTGATATATGTAAAAGTAAAATAAGAACAACAAACAAAATTACAATACCAAATCAATGGCTGATGAAGGTGAGTAGCAGATGCGAGGTTTGAAACCCTTTCCTTAAATCTTTTAAACGCTCTGTAGTGTTGACAGTTTTGTGTCTGTAAGATTCCCATAATACAACTGCTCGAATTTTCATTTCCCAACACCGGAGAACAGAACCTACCGAACCTAGTTACTATGAGTACACTTAAGGAGAAAAAAAAATAGAAGAAAAAGAGATTATGAAAGAATTGTTGTGATAGTGTGTTTTTGATGAGAAAACAAAGGCTCATATATATAGCCTCAAGGTTTAAGGTAAACCATAAAAGTGGAGATTGAGAAATATCTTCTCAACTTAATCACCTTTGACCAATTAAAATTGATTTTTACTTTAATGACAATTGACTAACATCAATTTTAAAAGAGATCATTTGTTGACTCAATCAACAAGCTAATTAAAAAGAAATATGAGCTAAAAGATTAATGACTTAACCGTTAGCCAATTTTTTCCTAATCCGAGGCCCAACGCATAAGCTTAGCCCGTAAATCTCTTTTCTTCCACTTTAAACTTTGATTTCTCATTCAAACTAACTCCGTTTTTGTCATATGAATACACTATTTCATAGTGCTCAAGGCGACAAATTTATCATGCTCAACATCCGGTTATTCCGACGAACGTCTCTGCCAGAAAACTTACCGGAAAATGGTCTTAAACCAAAACGAGTTCCAACAATATGTTCTTTTGGTTGATATATTTTGCATCTAGCTTTTTTAACAAATTTACCAACAAACAACTTTCATTCAACTGCAGTTTCTAAATGCAAAAAACTGATTTTAAAATGAACAATCTATTTGCTCAAAAAAAAAAAAAATGAACAGTCAAGATATTGCATCTGAAAGGTGCATCGATTCAACATCTAGATCCAAAAACTTAACATATGTTAACAATATCCGGTTTACTAGCGGGCATTCATCTAGTTGTCTCTAAAGAGTTTAGAAGTCGAGACAAATTCGATCAATCATAAGAAAAAACGAAGAACAAATAATCTCTTTTAAAAAAATAACAAATGATCTATTTATTTTTGACAAAAAGAATATGGCACGCGCGGTAAAGCAATAAGCAGGTTCGTAAAGCCTGAAACCCGCTTGGGCTTATCCCGAAAGCCCAATAACTGATTTTTTTTTTTGAACATCAACATAACTGATTCTATTTTGAAATTTTGGCTTGTCCCCTAGTTAATACGGTAGTTGTCTAGTTGATATGAATCACAGAAGTCAGAACATTAACAACACCTCCTGCGTCCATTGACGTACAAATAGCAACATGAAGTGGCTATGTGGAAATAGCGATGTTTAATTAATATTACCAAATTAATCAATTTTTTTTTTTTTGAGATGCGTAAACAAAAAGAAAGGTTTGTGCTGAATGTTGACTTGTTATAAAAGTTGACTCTTCTGCGAGATTCTTCTTCCTCCATCGTCCAATTTAGATTTCCAATTTTTCCGGCGATACTCTTCGTTGTTCCCTGACGGCTCCATCACATCGTCTGCAAAACTCACTTTCTTCCTCTTCTTCTTCTTCTCCTCATCCTTCATTCCTACACACATTAATGTAAACACATGGACACATCAAAGAAATCAAGAAGATTCATTACGAAGTTGAAGTTCGAGCTTGTCCATGTAATCGGAGAGGAGACGCTTGTGTAGCTGAGCCGCAAGAAGCACCACGCTTCCGGAGACAGCGAAGACTGTCATAAACCCATTCAAGTTCTCCATCTTTCGATTTCTTCTGTGAAAAGTAGAGAGACGTTGTTAAATTCCTCTTCCTCGTTAATAACACTGTTCTTTTCCAACTAAAAAAAACTGTTTTTATTTATTTTATCATAGAGAGTTGAAACTTGAAAAACAACAAGATAAGAAAGGCGTGGGAGTGGAAGGTTTGAAAAATAAATGGTACAGTAGTAGGAATTTTCTAACAATAATACGTACTGATTTCAAAATATAAGCACAACGTTTCATTATTTGGATTAATGTAAAAAACTGAATTATAAATCTAAATTATTGGACTCGTAACATACCTTAGATTATTCTGCACTGAAGCAAAATTCTTCTAGAATTAAGGATGTCTTATCACACAAGCAAAAATCTTTTGATCTTAGGATTTGCAGTCTTTGTTCGTCTAATCATCTCTCACGCTGATGTTTGTGTGGCTATGTCTCTCTCTCTGTCATGTGAACAACTTTTATAAAAGGTTACTATAATTCCTAGTTCGAGTGGGAATGAATCAGCCTTTCTTAAGTCCAAATGGATTAGGATTTAGGACTCTTTGAACTTCTTAACTCTATCTATAATAAAAACCACTTCATTTATGTTTAATTCCAATTGTATGATTTTGTTGCTACTGGAAATAAAATGTGGGAATAGAGTTTGTTGTGTTAAAAAAAGAAGAACCCACTCAACAGAAAGAAAAAGCCAGAAACCAACACTTCATTGACTTTACCAAAAAATTGCAAGGTCTTTGCAAATGGATTCTTTTAGGTCCAAAAGGGTACTGGTAGAAAACCGGAATAGACTTGGAAATACATATAATAGAAGTAGATGACTTTTGAGATCAAGTTTCTATAAAGTCAATGTTTTATTGTGTTTTATACCGAAGTTCCCAATGAGTTTATGGCAGAGATCAGAGATCATAAGATGAGAAAGAGAAGAAGTCTTAATCTGCAGAGAGAGAGAGATGAGTTGATTTTAGATGATCCAGGCGCTATCATCCTTCACCATTGAGTCCTTTGACCAAGTTTGCTGTACATGTTCCCACACCAAACCTTCTCCTTCCTGCACATTCCACCACAATACCAAATCATCAACAAAAACTCCATGACCTTCTCTTATTATTACACACACAATCTCACACCTTTGCGGTGAATTTGACGGTCGTTGTGCAGCATAAGCGTTCATCCCCTGCAAGAGAAAAACGGTGTTTAACATTCTCATTGGTTTTGAGTTAAAGATGATGCAAGAGATTTCAGGCAATGAAGGCTTTTACCAATCTGCTCCCATTTATCAAGCTTCACTATCCATGTCCCAGGATTAGTGTCTGTCGCAAGGACTTGATCTGCCCAAACACGAAACTTCTTCCCTTGTTTGTCTCCATGGTACTTGCTCAGCTCATCAATGGTATCTCTCAGCGGCTTCTCAGCACCAGATGGATGGACAAACACACCACCAGGGTGCTGAAAGTGGTTTACAATACATATAGTCAGATATATACATATCACAGTGTGACATAACATGTAAACTCTGTTTTACATACTCACACATGAAGCTTTGAGGCTCGCTGTGTACGCCTCGCAGTTCTCAACCTCACCACGTCTCCATCTCTCGTAGAACAAGAAAAACTTGACAACCTCGTGACCGGGGTTCACATTATCCGCCTTGCACTCCAAGAAGTCGGAGACGTCTCTTGGAGAAAGGTTTGGACCAAGCTTGAAATGACCAATGGCTTCGATGATCCCACTCGCACACCTCTCCTTCGCATGGATCACCTTTGGGTTGTCTTTTGCATTCTCAGCATGCCATTTCAACAGCTCTTCTTGAGCATTGCTTACCTAGGGGAACCAAAAACAACAGATTTCAACATCAAAACGAAATGAAGCTCAGAGACATAGTGTGAGCCATGACTAACCATGACGCCATAAACATCAGGGATGCTAAAGAGCTCAGCGTCGTTCCCAGAGTCACCACAAGCAAGAGTGTTAACAGGGAGTTTTCCTTCAGTCTTGAGCTTCTTTAGCAGATACGCAAGCGCTTGTCCCTTTCCAGCACCTTGTGGTAATATATCCAAATCCATGCCTCCACTGTAGATTATCTTGACATCCAACTGAAACAAACAACTTGCTAAGGCACAACATCTAAAGAAAGTCGGTAAATTTTTCCAGTTGCTACGCTAACACTTACCCCACGTTTCTCCAACCGTTGTGATAGCTCCTTGGTCACATCCTGAGCCTTACTCTTATCAACGTAAAAGCTAACCTTGTGTGGCCTCTGCTCAGATTCTGCCTGCACGCAGTGAATATCATCAAACTCTTGTTATCATTGTACCATACTGAGAGTAGATTTTGCAAGATATATAGACTTTTTTTTGTTCGATACCTGAAGCTTTAACTCGGAGAATTTGCTGGTTTCTTCTTTGACGATTCCAATGTCCCATTTGTTGTTCAAGGTCTCAACCCAGCCATGATCAGGAGCCATGGAGTTACCATACGTAATCTCTGTGCCAACAGACATGATTGTGATATCAGGAGTCAACAAAGGCTTCTCCTTTCTGAGTTCCTTGTACAAGGTTGGTGATCTTCCCGTTGAGAACACAAGTAGAGAGTCATGGCGATAAGCGTTTTCCCATAAGGAATTGAATCTCAACAGAGAGAGATTCTCAGGATCATGATGATCAACCTATTACACAGACAAAAAAAACGTTTTATACACATCAATTCAAACAAACCTTTTCATTCTTATTTAGCTAAACAAATGGCGGATTCGTTTACCATAGTATGATCAAGATCAGAGACTATCATCAGACGAGGAGGAGATAATAGCCGCTCCATTGATTACTTACTATCGTCTTCCTGAAGGTTGCATATTATTACGAGTGTCAATTATAAGATTTCTCGAAATTCAATCGAAGAAAAGTGGATCACTACATAGTAGTACAGATTTCTACGATTGAGAGATTTGATCTAATCGGAAACCTGTAAATAAATTGCAACGAATGACCCAGAATTCTGATAAAGCTACAATTATACATAATGATTCAACGTATGAGATCGTTAAACAAAAATTCACGCATAAACAGAGACGAAAGACGTCGATTAGAATTAGAAGAAGAAGAAAATCACACTCACAGGAGGGGATGATGCTAAATCAAAAACTTTAACGTGCGATTCGTAGAAAGAATCAGACAGCTAAATAGAAGAAGAAGAAGAATAATGCGGATAATAGAGAAGAGAGCAGTGTACCAAAGAGAATCAGGTTGCGATCGAGCTCCTCTTCTTCTGGGCCTTTCATTTGCTTTTTTCTGCGTTAATAAGAAAATTGCGAATCGCAAAGATGCTTGCACGTGTAACGTAATCTCACAGCTATAAAATCCACGTAATATTATTTTTAGATGTTAATTAATCTTACTCTAAGTATAATTACATCGCGCGAGTCGCCTGGCAACAGAGCATAGCGTATATTCATCACCAACAGTTTAAGATTTATCTTTCTTTTAAAAGAAAAAAACCAATCAAGAGTTCATTTTTCTTAGAGATTCTATAAACCACCAGGTGACGGTGACTTTTGGATAGAAAAAGGATTACAGGGAAACAGAGTTGGTTAACTTAAACCGGTATTTGTACAAGAGTTTTTAACACATACAACAAACAAGGAGCAAGACATGGGAACTGAAGCACACACACTGATAGGATTTGACCTAGGAGGACGATGTGTTGTCCTCCTCTGTGGGGTCAATCCGGAAAGTAACACCATCGTTCTTCACGAAATCATGTACCGTACGATCCACCTTCTGCGCATCATCATCATCATCAACACCACTCACAAATGTCAAAATACAAGTCACACACTATATCCATTTCATGTCAATATTTAAAAAAAAAAAAAACATCACGCACGGCTCACTCACATTTGTGTCGCTGAGCTCAAGGTTGTAGAAGTCCACCGAGCTGTCTGTGAACAGTGGTCCAGCGTGCCACGTGCCCCGGTTCAGTTTAACAAACTTGGGTCCCGAGATCCTGAAGACGCGCACTTGTTCAACCGACGGAGGAGCGTACAAGTGACCACCGGAGCCTGATTTTACGTTACCATCATCAATTTTCTTACTTCCATCATCTTCGATAATCGACGGCTTAGCCACTCCAAGATACCAGGCGTGACCTCCTATTGATCCCAGACACTGTGTCACTTTCGCGTGATGTACTATCTCCGAGAAGCCAGAGGATCGATCTTCCAGCCGCATTATATAGAAACTAGAGTCACAAGAAAACTTCGATTACATAAACAAGAAGACAAATTCTGAAACTAGAGAAGGTAAGTAGTATTAATGGCGTTATTAGTTCTTCTTTGGAACTGATCAACACAAACTATATGGTACGAATAATTGGATATAATCAATTTGGAGTCAACGACACAAATGGCAATTTCAACAGTGAACAAAGAAATTAGCGACGAATCGGATTAGAAGAAGCACATAAGTGATTAAGAAGCTTTATTAATTAGAAATATCGGAGAAAAAGTACCGAGGGATTCCTCCGGAGAGATCCAATTGAGCGTCGCTGGGACCGAAATGGTGACCGTCACGAGAGGCTTCGATGATTTGACCATAATCTCTGAAGCTCTCAGGAGTAGCTTCGATCGGGATCAGATTCACTTCCACCGGAGAAACCGCCATTGTTGTTCTCACTTCTCACCCACCACAAGAAAATGTTGTTATTTCAGGTTTTTTATCCACTCAACGAGTAGAGTCTAGAATGTCGTCTAGAATCCATTAGAAAACAAAACACCAAATTATTTTGGGGTTTTTAATTTAATTTTAATAAGTATGGGATTGATACATTTCAGATGAGAAATTTAAGGGTCTTTTTGAAACTTCTGGATTTTATCGGACGACGTTTTATGATACTTGTTGTCTGTCTCCTCCTTGGTCATCATCATCTTCGTCGGAGGTAGCGAGAAAATGAGCGGAGCCGGTAAGAAAATCGTGGAGGACGATAGATTGGGAAGGAATGGCTAAGGTTCTCGTCTCCGATGAGGCACGCAAAGAGTTCTCCACTCTCCGTCGTGCTTTCGATGAGGTTAACACACAGCTCCAAACCAAATTCAGCCAGGTCTCTTCTTTCTTCTCATCTCCTTTTACTCTTCACTCGATCAATTTCGTGAGAATTTTGATTATAGATCTTCGTCATTTTCGACATGACATGGCTCACAGATTAGTGTATAGTGAGTTTGTGTGTGCTCATATTATCATTTGAGCTCGATCTTTCTGACATGCCATTGCCGTGAATGTTGCTTAGCTCGAACAGTTTGAGATAATTAGATTCGGTTCCAGAGAAAAGAGCAACTTTTGACTTTTGTGAGGATTGATTTTCTTGATAACACTCTACTGACAATGCTGATCTTGATCCTAGCTCTACTTGTTTCTTCATCGGACTTATTGTAGAATACGATATCATATCCACAATACTTATCATTGTCTTGGTTTGCAAATTCGACCTTATGAGTTATGCTCTACCTAGTTCTTGTTCAAGATTGCCTTTGTTATGAAGTGAGATTTTTTGTTGTTGTTCAGGAACCAGAGCCTATTGAGTGGGATTTTTATAGAAAAGGAATTGGGTCTGGCATAGTGGACATGTACAAGGAAGCTTATGACAGTAAGTAGAGTTATTCTATTTCTTTTCCTTTCCACTAGTTTGTGTTTGATTGGTTGTTTGGTATAACTGTACAAGTCATCTGTGTGGTTTATTTACTCTTATTGCTGCAGACATTGAAATCCCAAAGTATGTGGACAATGTACTCCAGAATACAAGCCCAAGTTTGATGCTTTGGTGAGGAATACGTACCATAGTTTGTTCAATAGAATATGTGACATTTTAAGTTTCCCTCATGTTACATATACAGAGGCTAACTTGTCTCATGTTATATTGATTAGTTGGTGGAACTGAAGGAAGCAGAGGAGAAATCTCTACAGGAATCTGCTCGACTGGAGAAAGAAATCATTGACGTCCAAGAGATTAGCGTAAATAATTTCAAAACGTATTTCATGATATATTAGATAAAGATCAACGAGTGATTCTGATACTTACATACATACATGGTTGTATTTTTGGGTGTCTCACAGAAAAAGCTAAGCACAATGACGGCTGATGAGTACTTTGAGAAGCATCCAGAACTAAAGAAGAAGTTTGATGATGAAATCCGCAACGACAACTGGTGATACTGACCTTTATCACCAAAATACTGTGAGGGTGTATAATACATTACAACCAAACAGTCATCTTTCTAATCAAAGTTTCGATTCGTTTGAGTTGATTAAATTCACAATGTTTGTTTCTTTTTAACAACATTTTGACCATAATGAAAAAGATGGTTACAAGCTCACTGATCGAGCTGTGTTATGTTGGTAACAAAAGGGAGCAGCAAACTGCAAAAATCAACTTTTCTTTGCACCAAAGTTTGATATATCAAAAGTAGCATTTAACAAAAGAGGAGAGTCTCCCTTTCCAGCTTCAAGCTGCCCCCAAAAAAAACACCGTAGCAGCAAAGCAAAAGTAAAAAATCCCTTTAGTTCTTCTGAGCAAGCTGATCAACCACCACAACTTCTTCCTTCTTATGCATTGCTTTCTTGGCTAGTTCGTATCCTGCAAAGTTCATAGCACCTAGAGGAGCCACCCAGAAGAATCTCGGGACTGCTCCTTTGAACAAACCAAGCGGACCCTCGTTGCGCAGAATCGAGATAGCAACCATCGACATCGAGATCGGTCTCCCTGGTGTTGCAGTCATCATTCTCGTCTTCATCACATCAAATGGCGTTGTTACCACCGCTGCTATACCTCCAGACACCGCCCCAACCGCTATTGTCTCCCATGCCTCCAGTTCTCTTCCCAGCGCTTTCGCAACCATCTACAAAAACCCACACAAACCCCAATCAATATAACATTTACAGAACTGAATTTTGGCTCTTCTGATTATCTCATCATTCTCGGTTTTGTTACCTTTTTGGACTCTGCATACAGTCCCATGCCAACAACGTATAGTGGAACTTCACGGCAAAGAGTTGCGCCTGTCCCACGGAAAAACCCTCTAGGACCATCTTGCTGCCACGTCCCTACAATGGCTTCCCCTACATTGTTGAACATGCCAGCCTGCAACCGTTGCTTCAGCACCTCACATGGAATCCGCACAGCCGTGCCTAATAGCGTGCTGCAGAATGATGCAATCGATTGAACCTGCATCAAAGACACTATAAGTGAGCATACATTGTTCTACCAGCGATCATAAACATATAAATATGAGAACTGAAGTCTATTGTTAGGAAAACTAAACCTAGTTGATCGACATCTGTAAGTACCAATCAGAATCTCGACAAAAACAGCCCAACAAGGAGTAGAATGAACATCACCTGAATTTCTGGGAGATTTGGAGCAAAATTGATCAACACAAGTTTACTTGCTTCAAATATTCCAGTCCGCAGGCCATGGCTACAACAATGAAATTATGAAAGAGGTTAAGCCACATTGGAAAAGATATTTAACAAGTAGAAGCAAAGATATCTTTGATTTGAAACAGCTGAAAAGACCTTGAAAATTGTCCAAGAATTGCTGGAATAGAACCTCTATATACTCCCCGGACACCAATCTCTGGAAGCTTTGCTATTACTTCAGGAAACGATAAGGTAGATGCTTGCACGCGTGTCTGGTAATGGAAAGTGACAATGAATTAGTTGCACACTACATCCTAAATATGCAAACACTGTAGAAGCAGATATCAAATATGTCCTGATGAATCCCGAGATTTGTGGTAGCTATTTCTCACATAAACTAACTAGTCCATATTGAGCATGTATACTTATATTCAGCTGCAAAAGCAATAAGAGGACTCACCTTGATTGTGTCAATCGGATGCATCAAGGAAGTGGAGAGAGCAGAGGCAAGCCCTCCGGCTAATGCAGATTTCAGAACATCTCCAGCAGGTAAGGCCACAGGGGGTGCAACAGCAACAACAGTCGCAGCTTCAAACCAGATATCACTATACGAAGTAAAATTAGCACCAAATTATCAATTAAGATCAATCCAAACAGTTCTACAAGTCAAATTGGCATTTCACTCAGATTTCTTAGAGCAAAGACAAACTACTACACACACAAAAATTGATTTTGTTCTACAACAAAGAATTATACTTACCGAGGATCATCTTGTAACCGCTCATATGGCAGCAAAACCATGAAGTTCCGGAAATGTCCATAGGAAATAGACTCCTCGGTATCAGCCTTCAAAAATTTCATCATCGCTATAGCATTTTCTTCATTAGCAGGAAGCCCCGCGTTGTTTAGTGATGCCAATATCTCACTCTTCTGAAGAGTACCAGACTTGGTCAAACAGAGAGACGTATAGGCACGGAGGATGGTTGGCTCCTTCTGTTCCATCAAGGACAAAAACTGCTTCCAACCAAACGATTTCGAGAAAAGATGACTCCTGGCTCGTCGCATAAATTCCTTGGCGTATCTTCTAGGCAATTTTCTTCTCCTCATTGCAATTTCCAGATCTTCCAAAGTTACTTTACCATCACCATCTCTATCTAATTCCTCAAAGAACCTCCTGCCTGGAAGCCACAGGGAGTTAAATTAGATGAGATGGCATAGATTATAGTACAGGACGTGAAGACCAAATGGTAATCTATTTTTCCAAAAGCAAATAAGAAATGGTGTTCCTTCTATTAGCAGACAATCTAGTATTGAGAAACTGCAACACACATTATTTTCAATGATTTCAACCAGTACAAATGCTTCCAACAGTCAAGACGAGTAATGTGCAAATCCTAACACGCTGCTCTCTTTGCTATACAAAGTTGCTAAGAATAAGTAATGTTCTTAGTAAAATTTGGAGGATTCATACCTTCAGACTCGGTGTATCTGAAAAAATCCTGAACAGAAATCAGCTTTTTCTTGTCAGGATGGTCTCCTGAAGGCCGTCCTAATTGCGGTAACAGCTCAATGAGCTCAGTAAACGAAATCGTGGACAGTGTGGATTTCAAGCGCTCTACATTTGACAAAGGTATACTCAGTAGTCCACTAGCAATGTTCTGTCGAGCATCCACTGCACTTTCCTCCTTAGCAGCAGTGCTTTCGTCACCATCTTCACTTACGGGAGATGCCAGGCCAACTATACCTGACGCCACATCACCAACTCTCGCAAACATCAAGTTTCCTAGGAATCCATTAACGTCAAGTTTCCTAGCCTCCCATATGTTAAAGATCAGCGGACCATCACTTCGACTAGCTTCCTTGGAACAACAAGACTCACTCTGTGAACTATCCTGCATGAATTGGTCCAGCTTCTGGAGATTCTGAGTCAACATTTCAATAGCAAAACCTATGGCGCATTCAATCGAGAATTGGTTCCCTTCCTTTTCCGTAGATTTAGCTGACTGGTTCCACATTTCATTCCGAGTTTCTAACGAAGCCTTTGATCTAACGCCATGTTTACTACGTGAATGCGAAAGACTGTTCTTCTCATCATCCCCCAGTTTGTGAATCCTCTTCTTGCCTATCTTAAAGGGAATTGGAAAAGCATGGACAAAGCCACTGACCAACAAAGACCAAGTCATGGCAAACTTGAAGCAATTCGTGCAAGAATCATCGTCTTTCTCCAAGCAACTGTCTTTCTTCTTCACCGCCTCGTTTCTACGGAGATTCGGAGAAAACATGCCAAAGAGTGACTTCACAGGGATCTTCTTCATAGACGAACCTTTCTTCCTCTCTTCACTCGCCACACACTGAACGTTATCAACATTTTCCTCAATAGCGCAAATCCGCTTCTTCCTGTTTCTTCCAGATGATCTCAAAACGAGAGCTAGATCCTTTTCTTTGCTTATCCAACAACTCTCGATGTCTCTCGCCGCCTTTTTCACTCCCAGCTCGATCGGGAGAAAAGCATCTTTAACGACTTGGATTGAATTGAAAATCGTCTCGATAGGATCATTCGATGACACCATTGCGTCGTTCACTCTGTTACCGCAACATCCAATGGATAACAATCGCAGCAAATGAGTAAAAAGATCGAATCGAGCAGACGAACTTGTTTAACCCTAGAAAGAAAACGAACGAATCGAAGTTCTTAAAGAAAACCCAGGAAAAGAGCGATCCTATAAATGGATATCAAGCGGAAGAGTTCTCCGACGATGAAATCAGAAGGTTACGAAAGGCGATTCAGATATCAATCTGGCCATTAAAGCGAAAGACGAGCGAGAAAACGAGAGAATCTGAAGGAAATGAAAATGGAGAAAAAATGAGAGCTGAGATTTCTACGGATTGATACTGAGAGAGCAGATATGGTAGGGAGTGGGAAGAAGAAGAAGAAGAAGAGGAGGCGAGGCAACCATGAAACGATGATGACCCCGCTTTGCGTTTTTTAGCTTTTATTTCTTTCTTTCTTTCTTCTTCTTCTTTTTTTTAACGGGAAAAATATTTAATATAAAATTTGGAAGAGGATAAAGAGTAAAGACATGGATATTTGTGAGAGAGAGAGTGTAATTATTTAATACTAATATCTACGATTTCTCTCATGTAATGGATAAATTACGAATGGATTTTCACTTTAGCAAATCATAAAATTTAAATTTAAAAATGAAGGAGCTGATTTTTTGAAAACAAAAGCTAACTCTACTAACATTATATTTTTGTCATTTTGTGTAAAAACAAACTAGATAATTTACATGGAAATGAGAAATAAATAAAAATAGTTTTGTGGAGGGAGTTGCTAATTGGGGGGACTGATGAATGGATAGAGGCTGACGTTAGAAGTTGCTGGAGCCGCATGACACGTGGGCTTGGATTTCCTTTAATGGATTTTTTAATTTAAAAGACAGAAACGCCCTTTTGTTTTGTGTTTTTATTTTCATCATTTCAAGTGAAAAGAAAGATTGATTGGTGTCACAAAGAGACCACAAGCTTATAATTTCCATACAATCTGAATTTTAACATTGGTGTCAATCTGAATTCTATATCAAACAACCAAAAGAGACAGAGATGATGATTCTAATGGAGTCTTTTGATTTAAGATATGCATCAAAAAGCGGATCCACTGCCTTTGGTTTTGCCGAGCAACACATCTTTAGCTTCATTGATTTTAGAAGCCAAGAAATGGCTACCACCTGCATCTGGATGGTTTGCAACCATCACTCTCCTGTGTGCTTCCTTCACCTTCTCCGCCGGAACACTCTCCCTGTCATTTGAAACCATTTTACACTTTCTTCAGTGAAACTATTGCTAATGCTAGAATAATTTGATCACAAATATAGTTGAAGAATGAAAAAAACAGAGTTGTCTGTGTAAAGAACATTGACCTGATGCCAAGAATAAGAGCAGCTTCTCTTTTGGTCATGGTAGGTTGGAAACCGCCCTCGTAGAATTTCTTGAATTTGGGCCTTGGAGGCCTTGCCTTGAATGCTTGCCATGCTTGGATTCCGTATCTACCAGCAAGTGCAGCCCCAGCTACTGCAACCCCAGCTATAAATGGTGTGGCCTGTTGGATACACAAACGCTTATACCAAAGTATGCATTTTTATGAATCCCACCCACTACTCACTTATTGGATACTATGTGAAGACGTTTCACTCATGCATTCGTGAAAGAAGTTTGAGCTAACAAGTAGTTTGCAGTCACCTTTAGATCTTATCAAACAAACACAGACACTTAGAATCATACATGATCCATTTAGCTAAAGAATACTGATCATACTATATCTTGACTAATTAACATGAAACGCCGGTTGATTTCACTAATCAGATGATTCGGGTGTGAACATGAACATGATGATTTGAAAATCCATAAAAGGTAATGCAAAAAAAAAAAACCAAGACTTGAGCAGATCCATAAGAAGCAGCCAGATAAAGCTCAATTGTAAAATATGGATGGATTTTGGAAACGTAGATGAATCTGCCCAGATTTTATAATTCTCCAACAACGAATTGCAGAGCAAACGATTGATCCAGTGTATTGAACAAGACTTACAGAGCCTAATTCGTAAATTGAAACCCAGGTTCGAAAAGCAGATGCCAAATCGAAAATTCACAACTAATGGATATGAACACCCTAATTTCTGGAAGAGAGTAGAGTAGAGGAGAGCTCCGAATTACCATTCAGAAATCTGGGAATCTTCGTTTCATCCACAGTCTAATTCGGAGTCGATTTCCACAGAGTTGGATTTGCGAAAGCGTCAGTGGTGTGACTCACCGGTGTCGTCAGAGCTCTCTGATCGCTGTAACCAAAATGGGACTAAAATCAATCAGAGGCTTAGAGGAAAACCGGTTTTTAACGCCAACCGGTTATCGTGGTAACGTCTGGATTACTCTAGTACAGAAAGATTCATATAGAACCAAGAACATGAAACAATTTAGGAGTCCTTAATCAAAACTTTCCACAAATCAAATCAAATACAAGGTAAGAAATATATGAAGTCAAATTGACAACAAAATAAGAAATTATTTCGTAAGTGAAAGCTAATCGCTGTTAACATGAGACAAACAAATCAAATTTGCGAATGGAATAACCGAATAAGTAATTCCATTTCAAAAACTCACAATCAAAAGAAAATGTCTCGTTCGTTTATGCTTCCGGATGTTGCATATATACATCCAAATGTACATGATATTGCTCATTTGGTTCTGCGATCCATATAAGTAAAATGGAGACTATCTCAATCAAATAAGCATTATCATGTTGAGCCAACCGGTTCTTGTGGTAAGCTAAAAGTTCACCAAATAAGCAAAAGTTATCAGCATAAACCTCTCTATACTAAGCATTTTAAAACTCTTTTCTTTATTTGCATTTTCCGGCACTAGCGACGAGAAAGAGAGGTCCAAGGATCCAAAAGAGCTACAAACCAAACAAAAATCCACACACCACAAAAGAGAAGAACGTATCATAACGAAAAAGGAAAAAATGGATATTAGATCACAAGTTCTTGAAAGCAGAGTCATGTTCCTTTGGAGGAGTGAGCCTAGCCAACAAAGCCTTGTTAGGGCAATGCTCCGCATCCACAAAGTAGTAGTTCCCTTCCGCCTTAAAGCTCACAAACGGCCTCTGCGTGTCCGGATACCTAATATCCGAGAACTTCAGCGTCTTCGGGGTAAACGTGGCGAGCCAAGTCATCATCTCGACCTCGAAAGTGTCAGAGCCAGGCTGCCACCTCAGCTTGTGGACGTAAGGGCTGACGAACCAGTGAAGAGCAGCGGTCGTGGACGCGCTGAGGAAGATCACGGTGGAGGCAACAGCACCTTTCATGATCACATTCAATCCAGGGGAAGTCATGAAAGTGATGACTGGGCCAAGAGAGACTGAGAGACAGCAAGTGGAGAGCGAGAGGAGTTTCACTTTCTTGATCGTTGATGAGATTGGTCCGTAGTAAACCACTCCTCCTTCTGGTTCTCCGTCTTCTCTTTCTTCTCTCTTCTCTTGAGGTCCGATGCTGATCTTGTGCTCGTCTTCATCTTCTCTAGTCTTTGCTCCAAATGATGATGATGCCCAGCTTCTCTGGTTAAAGGATGAAACTTCCGGGAATCTGACCTTAGAGTTCACTGATGGTGGTGATGATGATGACCATGTTCCTGATGTTGACCGATGATATCCTGAGAAGCAAAAATCGATTCTTTGTGAATCAGTGACATTCGTCTACTAACAAACATGGGATTTAACCAAACAATCTGGAAGATCTAGGCTAAGATCTGATCCGGTGAACACTTTGGATATGAGGTATACAAAATTGGCTAAGACAATATCAACGAGACCTAGACTATGGCATTGGACACAGACTAGATATTGACTTAACAAGAGCTAAGACTGAAAATGGTTCAATGGAGCTGGAATAAACCCTAGCCTGCCATTTCTAAATCCAAATATGAAGCTCAAATCGATTTCGAAGTTTATTGAATTAGGTCAGAGCAAGCTTAGTACTTTGACCATAGGATCGTAGAGGCAAAAGAGAATCACGAGAGCGAGAGAGTTTTTAGCATTTGGATACACAACCCACAAAGCTAATAGCAGCCATTTCTACTCTAGAACTGTATGAATGGATATTTCCCGTAAAATCTAAAACCCATGATCGAGATTTCTTCCAGAAGAAACAAATCTGAAATCTGGAGATGTAAAAGAACCTGTATTGAAGGTGGAGGAAGAGAGACGCCGGGATTGGGAGCGAATCAAGTGAATCAGAGCTGATCTTCCCATCGCCGTTTCTGTTTCACGATTTCAGAAGTTTCCCCAGATTAATCTTGTAGGGTTTTAGGATATTATTTTGTGTTTGATAAAAGAGATGCTACTTTGAAATGATTTAGAATAATTTTAGTGGTCCAGTGGCGAGAGTTCCTCGTGCGTTGAGACTGAGGTAGAGTGTTCGACTCTTCATTTTGTAACACTTTTTGATTTTTTAATGTTTTGTTAATCAGTTGCTTTTGTAATTCTATAACTTTGAATTATTGACAAAAAATATAAGATGACTAATTTTCAGTTTCATGACAATTGTCTGTTTTTAGGATGTTATCAAAAACATGCAAGTTTGATGAATATAGAAATCAGATGATGTTACGGAAATGGCATTGGCGAGGTCATGAGGTCATCGTGGCCGTGGGGAGTTGAAACTTGAAAGTTGAAACACATCAATGCTGTAAAAACACAAAAATTATTACTCACACAGTCACACTTATTAAACTCTCTCTGTAATCTGGACCCACCAATCACTCTTTTTCATTATTTTAAATTTTATGCTATGATATGATCTTGTAGAAAATCATTGAAATCTACACCCTATCGTCATCATTCAGACATTCATCACCATGGCTCGATTTCTTCTCTTCTTCCTTCTCGTTCTACTCCCTTACTTGTCTTGCTGCAGCAGAGACGAGCAAGCAAAGGACAGGATCTCTCACCTTCCCGGCGAACCAAACGATGTCGCATTCTCCCACTTCTCCGGTTACATCACGGTCAACGAGTCAGCAGGAAGAGCGCTCTTCTACTGGCTCACCGAGTCTCCTCCGAGTCAACACCCCGAGTCGAAACCGCTCGTCCTCTGGCTCAACGGCGGACCTGGCTGCTCCTCCCTCGGTTATGGCGCCGCTGAGGAAATCGGACCTTTTAGAATCAATCCTGACGGCAAAACTCTTTACCACAATCCCTACGCTTGGAACAAATGTATCTCTCTTACTCTCTCGTTATCCAATTCGCACTCTGAAAATTCCTAAATTAACTCTCTCTCTCTCTCTCTCTCTCTCTCTCTCTCTCTCTCTCTGTCTCTCTCACTCTTCTTCCTCAGTGGCGAATTTGCTGTTCCTTGAATCTCCAGCTGGTGTTGGTTTCTCGTATTCGAATACTAGCTCCGATTTGTCCACTGTCGGAGATCAGAGAACCGGTTAAAAACTCTTGAATTTGAACCTCTCTATCTCTCGATTCGATTCGATTTCATCATTTCATCTGATTAGTTTATCTGTAAGTTTGCAGCTGAAGATGCGTATGTGTTTCTGGAGAAATGGTTTGAGAGGTTTCCGCAGTACAAGCACAGAGAATTCTACATTGCTGGAGAAAGCTACGCAGGTTACTATTCAATTTAGGAAACCTTTTCCTCTTTCGTCTAAGCTTATAGCATTCACAAAGCATTCCTCACTTTCTTTGTAGGTCATTACGTTCCTCAGTTGTCACAAATTGTTTATCAGAAACAGAATCCGGATATCAACTTCAAAGGCTTCATTGTAAGCACAAAATCAGTTCAAAAAAACAAAGTCTTTTTTCTTTCTTTGTGTTTCTGTGTGTAATCTAAGTGAGTTTCTTACTATATTTGAGGTGGGGAATGCTGTGACTGATGACTACCATGATTTCGTGGGGTTGTTTGAATACTGGTGGACTCATGGATTGATATCTGATCTCTCTTACCACAACTTACGGATCAAATGTGTATTTGTATCGTCCGAGCACCCGTCCCCTGAATGCAGAAAGGCCATGAAAGCTGCAGACGAGGAGCAAGGGAAGATTGATCCTTATAGCATTTACACTGTCACTTGTAAGCCGGAGGCTGAAGCTCTTAGGTCCCGCTTCTCGAGGGTTCGTCATGTGAGTGTTTTTCATCACTTTCCTTAGCTATTGCTCGAGTGCTGTAGTTTTACTCATTAAGAGCTTCCAGTTTTACTAGGGACATGACATGAAAGTGAAATCTGTGCATGCATAATTAGCTATGTAGCCTGATTATAGCATCTCTCAATTTAACAAATAGATAGTGGTACACTGGTTAGTCTATAAGAAGGTGAAATGTAGATTACATGGTATCTGGACTGCAGACAAATTCAGATTCACTCTCTCTGCTACTTGAATCCATTTCATAGTCTTGAGTTGATTTTGCTTCTATAGGTTCAAGTTACTATGCCAAGACACCGTCTAATCTTTGCTTAACTTTTTTGTTTTTAACTCAGCCATGGATGTGGAGAGCATATGACCCTTGCACAGAGAGATACTCCGGTATGTACTTCAATTCTCCGGAGGTTCAAAAGGCTATGCATGCTAATACAACAGGACTTGCTTATCGATGGAAAACTTGCAGGTAACAACAGCACATGAATGGCTTATCAAATTAACTCCAAAAGAGTTCTCTTGTTTTCCATGTGCAGTGACATTACTTGTGTTGTTTTTTAGTGACGTAGTAGGAGAGAAATGGGCAGACTCTCCTCTATCTATGCTTCCAATCTACAAAGAACTCATCGCCGCAGGCCTCAGAATTTGGGTTTTCAGGTACATATATCTAATATTTGTCCTTATATCCATCCCCGGTTTGGTATCATATATGTGATGATATCTTGTTCCATAAACTTGGATGCAGCGGAGACACTGATTCAGTGGTTCCCATAACTGGAACACGATACTCCATCAGAGCCCTCAAGTTACAACCAGTCTCCAAATGGTACCCTTGGTACGACGAGGGACAGGTAAAAGGAGCAACAAAACCAAAACAAAGAAGCTTTATAATTCTTGATTTCTTTCTTCTGCTGATGTATATAAGTCTGAAAACAACAGGTGGGTGGGTGGTGCCAAGTTTACAAAGGACTGACTCTGGTGACAATCCATGGAGCAGGACACGAGGTTCCTCTTTTCCGTCCTCGTCGAGCTTTCCGTCTGTTTCAGTCGTTTCTCGACAACAAGCCTATGTAAGTTTATATCAGACCAGAGTTTCAGTTTCACAGGCACTCTCTTAGCACTTAAACCTTCAAGTTCTGTGACTTGTCACTATGCACTTTCATGTGCTCTGCTTTTGTTCATCGTTTACTCTAAAAGCTTTCGAGTAAATATTAATGAAAACAAAAAAGATCAAATAATTATGAGTGTTGTCTATCGGTGTGTGTGTTGCTTAGCTGCTACCATTAAATTAAGGCTTTCCGTTGCTTTTCTTGGTACACAAGAAAACGAGTATGACACGGTTTTTATTATCTCCATTTAATATGTAAACGTATGTCTAATTTTAGGGAATGCATTTTATAAGAGGCACATGATCATCTTTGTAATTGGTTCAGTACATGTAATTATTTTGCTTTTTAGTGTTTTCTTTTGGAGATTGTTCCATTGAGCCGATTTTATTAGATTTATCCAAAAGGTATATAACAGAAATGTTATAAAAAAAAAACAATTATTTAGAAAATAATACTGAAATAGAAACAAAAAGGTAAGAGACAAAGGGAACACAAGTTAAAGGTTATGGTCCAACAATGATCGGTATTAGGTGAAACTAAAAGTGAAAAAATATAAACGGACAAGCCATTAAATGTCAAACAAAATCAGCTTACCAATTAAACCAACTCATTTAACTAAACTTGTTTCTGATATAAGCAATTTTAAATGGTTCTCGTTTATATTAAAAGTCACTCCCTGCAGAGATGATGATATACGTCTACACATCTCCATGTGAAATACATGACTAAATTACGGGGCAAGCAAGCAACATCTAGCTTTTAAGTCAAAACTAAGTAACTTCATGAGATCATCAAATTATGAAACGTCTAAATTGAAGAGAATTTTACTATTATGACAATGACTATGTAACGATACAACTGAATAAAATAAACATTAACGTAACTATCATCAAGATGAGATAAGCATACAAGTTACCAATGAATCAGAACACACAATAATATGTGTAGAAACTAGAGTAAACATACGAGTAGTCAAAATACTCGATCTACAAGTAAGCTAATTTGACTATATGCATAATAATCAACAAGTTTAGGAATATATGATATTAAATACACCACATGATCCCTGAAAATGGCATAAGTTGACAACGACCTTCGTTTCTACAAAATTTCCCAAATTATCCTATAAATTCATCAACGTGGAAAAATGAGAGACGATCCCAAGAAACTAAAAACGAAGAAAAATACAAAACAAAACAAAACGAAACCACTCTCTTTCTCTGATGATGATGATGATCACAAAGAGCAGAAAATGGGTAAAACTATACCAATGTATGTCTTTATTCTTCATGATCATTGCATTATCAGACGTAGTCATGAGTACTACTGATGATGCTAAGGAGCAAAAGATGAAGGACAAGATCATCTCTTTGCCAGGCCAACCTCTTAACCTCAACTTCTCTCAATTCTCTGGATACGTTACTGTTAATTCAGCGGCTGGACGAGCTCTCTTTTATTGGCTAACCGAATCCCCTAGCCCTAGCGGCAACAAGCCTCTAGTCCTATGGCTCAATGGTGGTCCAGGATGCTCCTCCATTGCCTACGGTGCATCTGAGGAGGTTGGTCCCTTTCGAGTTAATCCAGATGGAAAGACTCTTCATCTGAATCTCTATGCTTGGAACAAAGGTATATATATATTTTTTAATTTCATTTGATGGAGTTATGTATGAACCATATATCAATCTTGTTGATTATTTGTAACCATAACAAATTAATAATGTATACGCAGTGGCAAATCTGTTATTTTTGGACTCACCTGCGGGAGTTGGTTTCTCTTACACAAATACTTCCTCAGACGAGCTAATCGTGGGAGACAAGAGGACAGGTACTGTATACATAATAACAGACTTGTAGTTTTGTAATAAAGTGCTAATTAATTGAATTATAGTATTAACTAATTTATGAATTATGGAATGTGGGGACAGGGGAGGATGTATACAGGTTCTTGGTGAGATGGATGGAGAGATTCCCTGAGTATAAGGAACGGCCGTTTTACATCGCCGGCGAGAGCTACGCCGGTACTTCCATTTTTTTCCTTCATTTTTATTTTTTATAACCTTTTTTATTATTTATTCTCTAGTTTGTTATACACATCTTTGTCATGTGAGAGACGTACTTCACCAATTTTGAACAAAAAAAAAAAGTGAGACTTCATCAATATTATATTATTTAGCAGTTGAACGAAGTGATTTTGGTTGTTGACCTATTGATATAACTATTTATGCGTCCGACCACAAAAGAACTTATAAAGCTACATTACAGATATTGAAATTAGGTTGGTGGTATTTTTCTATTTACTACCATAGAACGTTTATGTTACAAAAACTAGGAAAACAATATTAAAACAGAGAAATACAGGGTTTTGCAAAATATATAACCAAACAAAGTAGAATCAACAACAACCTGATTGACTTTTATTTTTATGACCAAAATAAGTCTTTCATGACAACATATGAATACGAAGATTGTAGTCTTATTACGTTGCGGCTAAAACTACCATACAACACCCAAATGAATTGCATGCGTAATGGTCAATAAATGAGAATGTGATCTTATATTGTGATTAATTAGGACATTACATTCCGGAGCTAGCTCAATTGATCGTCAACCGTAACAAAGGTGCCAAAAAACCAATTATCAATCTAAAAGGGATTCTGGTAAGAGCTTAATTTATTTATATACTCATTTGGAAATCAATTATACCACTATTAATTGAACACTAAAATGAATGATGTTTGTATTAATGAAAGATGGGGAATCCTCTGGTGGATGATTACAATGACAACAAAGGGATGCGTGACTACTGGTGGAACCACGGCCTCATATCGGACGAAACTTACATGGAACTGACCAAATGGTGTCTCAACGACACCATCCTCTTCCCTAAACCAAACTGCGACGCTGCACTAAACCAAGCCTTCTCTGAGTTTGGTGACATCGATCCTTACAACATAAATCGCGCTGCATGCACCAAAGATTCATCATCATCATCATCAAATGAATGGACGCAGGCATGGCGATATAGAGGCAACGATGAATGCGTTGTGAGATACACACGCAAGTATTTGAACGATCCCAACGTGCACAAATCTTTCCATGCACGCCTCGTCAACCGCACTTCTTGGACTCCTTGCACTCGTGTGATAAGAAAAAATTGGAAAGACTCACCCAAGTCCATGCTTCCCATCCTCAAGGCTCTTCTTAAAGATCACCTCCGCATTTGGATCTTCAGGTACAATAATCAATACTGTATATAGATATGTGAAAAAAGAAAACGTTAAGGTTGATAGATTTTCGACTCGAAACCAACTGACAAAAAATATGGATCAATTCATATACTTTATTTATTATTTGAGATGTAGGATTTCTAACAAAAATTTCTTCAAATTTGTGTGTTTCTATACAGTGGGGACTCGGACGCAGTGCTGTCGCTAAGTGGGACGAGGCATTCGATAAATGCAATGAAATTGAGGACAAGCAAAAGGTGGTATCCATGGTACCACTCACACGGCCTAGTGGGAGGGTGGAGCCAGGTTTACGAAGATGGCTTGCTAACGTACGCAACGGTTAGAGCCGCGGGGCATGAGGTGCCACTGTCTCAGCCTAGACTCGCTCTTTTCCTCTTCACCCACTTTCTTGCCAACCACACACTTCCCTCCTCTTCTTCTTGATCACTTCTTTTTCATTGTCTCTCCTCCTTCACTCTTTTCATTTGTATTGAGTGGTTTGATAGTTGGGCCTTATCGCTATTTTTGGAACTTGCGTTTAGTGTTCCCACGCCGGCCCATTTTTCATGTATTCATTTCAAATAAGCAAATGATTCTGTTTGTGTGCATTTGTTAGAACTTAGAACTCATAAGACTAACATAGAATTTGGACTCTTTTTCTTATGATGTTAATTTGATATGAAGTAGTACATAGAGATCAAACAAATTCTTATTCAAGAAAATATTTCCAATCCCAAGTCCGCAACTCCTTCGCTCATAAACAGATGATCTTTTAGAGTCCCCATTCCCTACAAAAGAAACAAAAATGTTCATAAACTAGATAAAGAAGTAGTAATTATGGAAACATTATTCTCTTACAATGCTTATAAATTCCAACCGTACACTTTGTCAAAATGTAACAAAAAAGGGTTCTATTGGAGAATCTTGAAGGAGAGCAAAAAGTTTTAGAAAACATACTTAGCTTTATCACCAAACCAGTTGAAGACGGATTTGGCGGTGGAGGAGACGGTATCGACGGCAGGACCGGCATGTTCATTGAAGAATTTGGTAACATCGTTCGTGGCTGTGTCTAACCTCTGTCCGATGGTTGGTGCTTCCTCAGCTGAAACTAAAACCAACGCCGAAAAAAGCAGCATCAACGACAACACCAAAGCCACCTTCTTCTCCATCTTGAACAAAAAAAGAGAGAGATATTTCTCTTAATAAATTACTTGAGGGAAAATTGTCCTTAGAAGTTACATGCTCTTGAGTCTTTATATAACTTGCTGTTTCTGGCCATTGTCTATATATAAACTATTAGTTTTTGGCGATGTAATTATTTCGATGACAAGTTGATAAACGAAGTTAAGTTAAAAAACTTAAAAAGGTGAATGGTGTTCCATCATTATATCTACGGATGTGTTCAAGTTCCGTTTTTTGGTTGTTTAGCAACTGTAACCAAAATTAGACTAAACATGTCATTTTTGTGGTTGCAAAACTAATCATCAATCTATTTAATATTGCATATAGACTCGTTATCAAACTACAATTTTGATGATTATAATGCAAATGAGATCATGAAAGTAGCCATATACTATACTGTATACACAATGAGGGAGGGAGAGAGAGAGAGAGAGAGAATGATCACACCAAAATATTTAAGACAAGCTACACAAACAAGATTAGTCCAAGACCAGTACGAGCCTTTGCCTTTCACAGCCGTGAGCTTTGATGGGCTTTGTTACGGCCATACAAACGAAAGAGACTCAAAGCCGAAATGCAAGAGACCAAAACCATTCCAATGCTAGCAAGCAGAGCGGTCGCAATTCCTTCACCTATCTGGTTACAGAACTTTCCATAAATAGTGCATATCTTCATCCACTGGAGCTCCGGCTGACCCAGCTTCGCAAAAGCCGCAGACTGCGCCGCTGCTGCAACCGCCGCCACAGTCAAGTACGCTACGGCCTGCTTATACATACATAAGCAAAGGTCATTCATTAGTTTGTTTGTCTTCAATAGAAAGACCATTTGATATTATCACACGTTCTTGATCGATTCTTGACATAAATGTCAGGAGCCTTCAAGTACTTTGTTTTGTAGATGGACCCTTATTGTATTTGTACTTATTTATGACCCAATTGCAACCTAAATTCGTTACAATCTTCGATCTTGTACCCTACCAAACATATGAAACTCATACGGTAGACTTTTCAACAGCTAAAGCATTCACTGACCCACAAACTCATAAGATTTGTCCTGAGCATTCACTGACCCACAAACTCACAGCAAACCTAGGACTTTCAGGAGTTACTAGTAGACCCGACCAAGCAAGAACAGAGAGCAACAACATCAATGAAAGATTTGATTGGGTAAAAAACAGAATTAATCACCTGATCTCCGGAGAAAATGGCCAAAGCGAGAGGCTTATTGATCAAAACGGTTCCTTTCATCATACCCACCACGCAACGAACCGCCTGCAACAAAGAGTAAGCCGCGGCTATACCATTGACGACCACCAAAAGCCTGAAAGAAACGATTGTCGATAAAGTTTCGAACTTTATACAATTTTGGAATCGATTGATTGACGGTTTTTTAATTTCATGATCTTACACAAGAGCCTTCATGTCGGTGTATTTGGCCTTCTTCTGTATGGTGAAAATCTCTTTAACTTGTGTGTCTGTAGCAATGAGAAGCGCAGCGATGAGAGCAAGGGCACAAACGGAGCACCTCAGAATCAGCTCCGTGAGTCTCACTTTCCGATCGGTCGGCTTCGTTTTGGTTCCGGCGACGTTAACCGGACTGGTTCCGACTCCTAAGTAACTCATCTTTCTCTCTGACTATGATTGTTTTTGAAAAAAAATAATGAAACTTTTAGTGAGAATTCAGAGAGATTGTATATACATTTTTTTGGATGATCCTTGTTGCTTTTAAAGCATTGAGTAATGGCTTAATATAAAATACAAAATTACATTTTTGAATTGAAACAAACTACAGAGTAATGATTATATTTTGTTGTTGTCACACTTGTAGAGATGTAAAAGGTGTAGAGTAGTATAGTTGAAATCATTTGTGTACTAGAGATATAGTGGTAACCCGTGACTATTCCTAATTTCCTATACCCTGAAACTAGTTGTAGTATAGTTGAAATCATTTGCATGTTTTACTTTTGACGCGTTTTCTCCTCTAGCAATTTCATTTTATGGTGTTTGTCAAGATATAAAAATCAAGACTTGTGATAAGATATGATGGAAATGAGAAAGAAATCAGAAAGCGGAGAAAACGAAATGTGGGAGGTTAGAGGTTGGAGCATTTAATGGCACATGATTAAATCTTAGATGGTGACCGAGAGATATGAGTCTGAGGTTCCTTAACTTTTTTATAGGAGCGCCGAAGAAATAAGAGATTCATGTCCAATTATTTAACTTATTCATTGAAGATTCCTACACACACTCTTTAATGAAACACCATTACATTTGCACATGTATAGAGATTTCAGAAACAAGTTGGAGTATAATTTTTTTTTGGGAATGAACAACTGTTACTATTAAATCATATCTTAAGGCCATCTCCAACCCCTCATGCCATATGTTATTGCAAATGGCAAAAATATAGCAATAGCATTGGGTTTCTCTCCAACCCCTCATGCCATATATCATGCTATAATTTTTTTCCAACTTATTATTAATTGTTAAAACTACTTGATTTCTTCAAATTTTACAAAGTGAATCATTTGTTTTTCTTTTTTTGCAAAAACAACCAGAATTATATATTTTTATTTTTTTTATTATTATAATATTAAAACAAAATACATCATATTACATAAAAATTATAGAAAACAAAGATTTTAACCTATTGTTTTATGTTTTTTGAATTTCAGTATTTTTAAAAATAAAATTTTAAGTTTATTATGGTTATGTTTTTATATTTCTATGAAATAAATATTATTTATATTTTGAAAAAGTTATGAGTATTGTTTATTTATTTAAATAAATCATAATCAATATAATTAAACTGTTAAATTAAAAGTAATTACAAATTGAAGGACTATTTTATAAATAAAAAAGTTCAATGGCAAAATAGCATATTGCATAATCTCATGCCAAATATAGAAGCAAAAATAGCATGATGCTATTTTGCAATAGCATATGCAATTGGGTTGGAGCAAAAATTATGGCAAAATAGCATATATGTCATATTTAGCATGGGGTTAGAAATGCTCAAACCCACAAAATGATGATCGTTAAATTACCATCTAGCACCTTCATGCCATGATTTCTCACATGAGTGTCTCACTATTGAAAATTAATAAAAAAAAGTTATCTCAAATATTTTATTGAGGTACGCTTAGTTTTGTTTAAACAGTATTCATAATTTGAGGAAATTAGTTATTTATAAACCTGTACAAACCCACGTAATGATGAAAATCTTTTGAACTAAATGGATGTGCAATGAGTATATTGAGACGATGTAATCCACAATCCAATTGTGGGGTTGGTAGACTAAGGAAGTGTGGTTGGTTAAAAGTGAGCTCTTGTGTTATCATGGTTCCTCTTTCACCACCGTAAACCATCACCAATCTTCCTCTGCTTTAACATAACAACAAGACTTGAACAATAAATTTCATAAATCCCTGATATTTTAATTTCTACAATTTCTATGCGTTAGAATAACCAATCACATTAATGTCACGAAAGCAAGGGCTGCCTTATACATGCTTGTAGAATGGTTTAATTTCAAGAGTTAAACAAATAATCTTACACAAATCTGTTTAGCAGATAATCTGTTAATTAATTTTATGTAATAGCTTTGTCTATCTCAGTTTGAGGGGAGTCTTTCAGATTCTAGAGAATCTATGAAACTTTTTTTGGTTTGTGTATGTTATTACCGCCGGTGTGAATATGAATGGTGACAAACAACAACACGATGACACACCACTAGATTATAATGTCATTATCAACTCATGCGTTACTTTAGTTTTTTGTTTTTCCCCAAAAGAGGGAGACATAGATTTGATTACAGCATAATAGATGAAAATCATTTAACAACTGAGAAAAGTGTAAAAGGGAAAATCATTTCGAAAGAGAAACGTTATTTGTCGAAAACATTATTCATATTCATAAAAAGATTCTCTTCCACAGCTAGGACAAGGATCTTCCTCTATGTACTTCATTAGTGGTAGTCGTCGACATGCTTCGATTATGCCACGGTCTAGAGGATATCCTCCAGCAGATAGGTCTTTCCAAAGCCATGCAGAGTATTTCAAGTCAAAAGGCATCTTTTTCAGTTCATCTTCGTAGTCATCATCAGGAACTGCCAAGAGAACATTGTAGCATTCTGAATTCAAAATCGTAAGACAATTGGCGAGCTGAGTTTCCTCTTCATCCTTATCCCACGTCAAGCCTTTCGTGATCACCATCAAGTTCGTTGGTGCACGACTAGTATTGTCCGTTGCAAACAGTTGCATGTCCAGTAACATGCTGTGCATTCTACCACGTTTAGTGGCTCTTGATACAAAGGTGATTCCCTCAGCCTCCTCCTCCTCCGGTGGTTTCTTGTCACCACCACCATGATAAGCCCTAATCGACACTTTACCATGATAACCGGCTTTACCAAGAGCTGATCTGATTCTCTCACTGAACGTAACGAAACCGGTCACCGGGAAATAATCCTCCACGTCCCAGTAGACGATTGTTTCAGCATCGGCGAATTTTTCTTGTAATTCCACGAAATCCAAGCGTAAGGCGCATATAGTATAAACCATGGTGAAGATTTGGAGGAGGAGAGAAAAAAACAATTTTTCAAAGATGGTTTTTTTGGCATATATATATATATAGGTTCTTGAATTTCCTAAACACTTTTGCTACTATCGGGCTACGATTGGGCCCAACGTATAACAATCTTTTTATCCAGCTCGGCCTTTTAACTAAAAAGGCCCAATTACATTAAGGCGGCGAGATTCTCTAGGGCTTCCGATGCCCTAATATCTCTCGTATATATAGCCATCACGCACCTTCGTTCTTCTCATCTCATATTCTTCTTTGTTCTCTTCGATTCTGTTTATTCTTTTTCTTTATGACTTTTTTTGTTTATGATCTATTTTAGTTGACGTGATTTCTCTCCAAGAAATCTTTTACTTGAAAAAATGGAGCAATCTGAAATCTGTGATTGCATAATCCATAAGTAAACGTCACATAAGGAAAAAGCGTAAGCCTCAGGCGTAGAAGGAGCCTCAGGGCTTCTCCGTCTGAGGAATAGCTGATTGGCTCTCATATTCCATTGCGCTGCGGAGTGGCGTCGCTGCTTTTACCGTTTGAGGCCGGCCATGAGATCTACACTTTTCGATTCTGTTTTTTCCAGTTTCAAATTCAGTTTTCTAGAGAATTAGTTTTAGGATTTAGCCGATGAGGACATCAGAATTTAAAAGAACACCATCTTTCGGGACTGATTACTTTTGATGATTCTTCTGCAATTCTGAGGCTAATTGTTTGTTTTGTTTGATTAGGATTAGAATTAAAAGGCTGTGATGATTGAGAATGTCATGCACCACTCTGATATCGTGCTGATAACCATCTCTACCCATATTTTATCTGAGCCGTTTGTTTTTTTGAAATAATTATGTGATTTATGAAATAGAAGAAGCGTTGATAACCAAATGATGGTCATTATTGACTTAGACCTTGATGCGGACTGTATAGCTTAATTGCGTTTGATGATAACTTTTGGTTCCTGATGGTTATTAATCTTCTTTAGTATGATTTTGTTTCTGATCGGGTTTGTTTTTATTATATGTATTTCTGTTTTTGCTGGTATGATGATTGCAGTTGGTTATGTTGCGGTGAAGAATAGTGTTTTGTTTGGGAGATAATGATCTGGCACCGGGAAGTTTGATTGTTGTTATTTCCTATTTACGGTAATCAAACATAATGGAGATGATTTACTGTTGGCCTATTGTATCCAAATCAAACATTATGGTGATTATTCATTTGGTATTTACATTTCGCTAAAGTTGTCCTGATCACTTTAATTTAATTTTTCTTATTTTTGTAAGTACAATGTTAATGAATATTATTTATCATAACCTTCTTTTCATTCGACAACAAATTTATACAAATTTGTGTTGATTTTGTCCGATCATCATTCTACTTTTTAGTTTCTAGTTTTTTTGCTATTTGGCAACGTTTCTGATGAACATAAGTTGTTTCCCTTAACGAAATATAACCTAAACATTGTTGGATTATCCTAGAAGTCCAGTTTAAATAGTTATTTCGTCGCCAAGAATCTTATATTAAGCGACTAATACGTCGGATGTAGTCAAGATTCAGTCAACCAACATAATGACGAAAATATGATGAATCAGAGTAAGACAGTCATCGGAGCGTCCTATTTTTTAGGGTAAACAGAGTAACATAATTGACTTCTTCGTTGGTTTCGGAGTTTGTATGAATTTTTTGACCTCACCGGTTTACGGATCGGATATTTCTCCAGCGAGAATTAGAGGCGCCTTTGGTTTCCACTAGGCTGGTTTCCACGAACGTACTTGTCATTGTATGTTCCATTATCTGGTTTAGTTCAAATTACCATGTGACCCATATTGTAAAGTTAACAAAAGCACAAAAAGTCTAAATAAGATCTTTACGATTTGGGCTTGCATCTCCATGTATCTCGGACGTATGTGAACGAGTTTGGATTCCAATTACAAGGCAATGTGGCCACAATGCGACACAATACTTTTTATCTATTTTTGTTATCTTACTACAAATCCGAGATTAATTTGGACCATTCTATAGGCGCGTAGAATTTACTTTGGTAGTTTTTGCACCGGTTCATAAATTTACTCATCCCTTTTGATCTTAGCCATAAAGGCTTATTAGTTACTAGATTAAGTATACGCGGGTTTATTTTAAGATTTTGTAATAAAATCATGGAAAAGTATTAAACCAAATTTGATCATTTTAAAGTAAACAGAATAATATTAAAAACCCGATAAAAATATTTAAATAAAATAAGATCGGTAACCTTTTTACGTTTTTATTGTAATTGATATTTTTTTGAATTCATGATATGAAAAATGAATTAATTTGTTTTATTTTTATTTTTATCCAATATAGAAAGACTTATATATGTCTAAATATGATCAACTGATTAATTAATTCAACAAAACTTTATTATTCCATTCAAGAGATTTCAATTGATGAAATCTTTATTTAATAATTTTTTACCTAACAATATTGAAAATTAAACTATTTAAAATTAGAATATCGGTTCATTATATTTTCTTAATATTAGTTAGTTGCTTGATAATTAATTTGTTAGTTTTCTATTTATATTGTTTCTTTCTCAATTTTGTTTTTGACTCAGACCATTATAAATTTTCATTTTCATTATTAGTTAGTTTTTTTTTATTTTTCTAGTTTTTATATCTGTTTAACATTTTTCCAATTAACATGTCTTCACCGGATCAAATACATGTAACGACAATAATTTTGATTTCTATCCAACCGATATAGAGTTAGATACATGTATCGACAATAATTTTGATTTCTATCCAACTAATATAGAGTTAAATATTATTCATTGATACCATGAATTTTAAATACATGATTTTTTATGAGAGAAAAGATTATACAAAAGATAGAAGCACATAATTGAATCGCAATAGCTTATTATATATTGTTTTTTTCCTGTTCATAATGGGAATATAAACACATATCGCAATTTTGTGAGTTATAAAAATCATACGTATTGCTATCATGTTGTTTGCTTTGATGAGTTTGTGAATGAGAAAAAAGACTACTTTAACTCTCTTTTTATAGGGGTTCATGTAACTTATTCCATGCAGTTATAGGAAATTTAGTTTACCTAACCTATTTCATGTACTAATAGGATTTTATTTATTTCATTAATTTGAATCTTATATGTGTTTGGATAATATAAATTTGATGAATGGAAACCTTTTTCTATTAGGATATGACAAATATTTTTTTTTTTCTTTTAACTATAAAAGATTAAAATTTCGTTTTTTTTCCTTTATCTATTTTTTTTAATTATTATTTTTTTCCTTTTTTTCTAAGACACATGTCACGATCTTAACGGACATAACATTAAAAGTGACACATGTCGCAATCCTAAATTTTATAAAAATCCTACGTGTCGCAACCACGTCGCGCGCTTAGAGAAGAGTTATCAAATACAAGAAACTATGGGCTACAATGAGGGCCCAATGTGTAACAATTCAATTTCATATCCAGCCTAGACTTTTAAATTAAAAGAAGGCCCATGATGTTAAGGCGGTGTGGGTTCTTCTCTAGGGCTTCCGTATCTCTCGTATATACAAACATCACGCACCTACTTCCTTCTCATCTCATCTTCTCCTTTCTCCTTCTCTTACGATTCCATCTTTTACTTTGCAAATCGTTTCCTTGCTTTGACTGCTTTTTTTTTGGTTTGTCTGTTTTTCGATCTAGTTTAGTAGTTGACGTGATTTCTCTCCAAGAAATCTTTTACTTAAAAATTGGAGCAATCTGAAATCTGTGATTGCATAATCCATAAGTAAACGTCACATAGGGAAAAAGCGTAAGCCTCAGGCGTAGAAGGAGCCTCTGGGCTTCTCCGTCTGAGGAATAGCTGATTGGCTCTCATATTCCATTGCACTGCGGAGCGGCGTCGCTGCTTTTACCGTTTGAGGCCGGCCATGAGATCTACAATTTTCGATTCTGTTTTTTCGATTTCAGTTTCAATTTTGTAGAGAATTAGTTTTAGGATTTAGCCGATGAGGACATCAGATATAAAAAGAACACCATCTTTCGGGACTGATTACTTTTGATGATTCTTCTGCAATTCTGAGGCTAATTGTTTGATTTTGTTTGATTAGAAGTAGAATTAAAAGGCTGTGATGATTGAGAATGTCATGCACCACTCTGATTCCGTGCTGATAACCATCTCTACCCATATTCTTTCTGAGCCGTCTGATTTTTGAAATTTTTGTTTATGTGATTTTTGAAATAGATAGATTGGAGAGGGTAATAACCAAATGATGGTCATTATTATGACTTGACCTTGATGCGGACTGTACAGCTTTATTGCGTTTGATGACAACTTTTGGTTCCTGATGGTTTCTATCCTTTGATTTTGATTTTGAACATAATATGAGCTGCTTGTTTATTCTTCTGTGAGTCTTTGCAGTTGGTAGTTGTATGCCTTGAATAATGTACTATTCTGCAGGCATTATTTGATTCTCAAGAATCTAGCGTTGGATTGTGGAGATGTTTTGTTGGACAATCCACATCTTGATCATCTTTTTGTACCTCGTTTGAGAATGCTGGCTATGTTAAAGTTATCTGTTTATTCAGATCACTCTTTGTAGAAAGTAGAAACTTTCCATGTCAAATTGTCAATGCAGATCAATGTTTATATTTGAACTCTTTCTTATCAATTTTGTTTCTCTATAAATCCGAACTTCTTTTTTTGGTTATTCTCAATTTGGCTATCTTTGTTTTAACGATCTTTAAAAACAGACGTTTCCTCAAGTTTATTAAAGATAAATTGAAATTGTTTCATACTAATATTCTGGAATTATACCGAACCAGTAAACCGAACCAGACCGGAATTTCGGTTTATGGCTGTCTTTTAATCGTTCGATTGCTGATCCTTACATTGGAATGCGAGGCATGAGAGAGGCAAATGGTGGAACCTTGAACACCTCACTAGCTCCAGTTCGACAAACAGCTTTATATTACGATTAATATAAAGACACATTGGGCAACTGATGCAATTCATGGCCTTAAAAGAGAAAAAACACTATCTTTAAAGTCTTAAAGATACATCAATCTTAATTTCATTTTCATTGTAAAATCATTTGTTACTCTGAAAATTTTAACAAGAAATTATTATTAACTCAAAATCACAGTCCTCTAAAAACTTGTTCAGACTCGAGTCATTATTCGAAATATGTGATTATATAATTTGTATTGGCTTGTGCATTCATGAGTCACGATCGACTTATAACAGAGAACATAGTTAAGAAGTGCATTAGGTTTCTTTGGGTGCAAGAAAGCATTTTAAACCGAACCAGTCCAGAATTTCGGTTTAGGGATCTCTTTTAATCGCATCTTCCATGTTAAATGTCTTGGCTCGCGAAGCTTTTGGTATATATTATAAGTTTTGGTAGCGAGGCATGGTTCAGACAACTTTGCACATTAGATTGTTACGAGTTTCGATTTTTTCCATCATTTTCTTTTTTTATCTTTTCACGTCTGGAGGGAAAATGGTGAATAATGACTTATTGTATATCTCCGATTCGATAAGAAATTAAAAAAGCCAGTTACAAAAACGAACACGCAATGAAAAAAAGAGAGGATGATGATGTGAATACATATAATTTAACAGACGGATTTCAAAGTAGCCATAGGCTTCTTTACTCATAGATAAAAGTCTCACAGAATGTGGACTACAAACTACAAACGAGTTCCACAAATAGCATGATACTTAGCTTCTGAACACACATAATACAAGTCTAATTAAGTCATTCTTATTACAGTACCACAAACAAACATGTTGTTGTTATCTAGATACTTACCAGACAACTATGAGCTCTTGCTTACGTGAAGAAGCGTGGGAGAATGAAATCAACAAGCAGAGCCGTCGGCTCTATGACCTGAGACTCGTCGCCAAGTGAGGTAAGCACACGAGCAAGAGACACTGTAATGACCTTAATCTTCTTCTTGTAGCAAATCCTCAATTTCGCAGCCTCATCTCCCCTTCCTGTCTTCCCCACTGAAATGACCATCACATCCCTAAGTTCAACATAGCTTGATCCAGCACCTGAGGGCCCTTCGTAAAGTCCCACTCCCTGCCACACAATCAACAAGATGAGATACAATCATTTCATCAATTGTTTTTTTAAAGAAAAGAAAGAAACTAACATCATCAACAAGATCAATCTCCGGACTGAACACATGCAGCTTAGCTCCAATCGGTTGCTTCCCAAACAACACAACTGCTTCTTCCCATTCCTCAGCCTCAACCACTTCTCCAATCATGGGGACGCGAGGTATGATGAGAGAAGCAAACGGGGGAACCTTGGCGACACATCCCAAGTGTCCCCAATGCTCTACTCTCGGTAACCCATCTCTGAAAGCACACTCAAGGCAGTCCTTCACCGTTAGCTCAGGGCGTTCTTGATCCGTTTCTTCCTCCTCCTCGAGATCGTTAGGCATAGCCATGTCCCTCACGTAGTCGACGAGATCTTGGATCGTTATCTCGCGTCCTTGCTCCCACTCTCCCTGCCCAGAGTCCTTCTTGGGACCAGCGAAGTTCACCAGATACTGAGCTCAGTACAAAGTCCCCACACTGTCCAGAACCTATTAAACCATGTTTGGATAAGTATGGGTCCATCTAGTTAGTATACCCCGTGCCATGGTGATTAGATCAACCGCTAACATTGCTGCTCTTTGAGATGCATCTGCAAGACCAGAGAAAAACAAATCACATCACAGTTTTTTCTTTCTTTTTTCTAATGAAGTTAACAGATTTCTAGATTGATGATAATTAAGTTACCGTAATCTTCTTGCGCATTCATTGCTCGTAGGCAATTTGGATGACAATCTGAGCTTGGTCCTTCAAAAGACATCTTCAATCACTTATCCCTGCACAGACGGACAATATTGTTTCATCACACACATTCTGAATGTAGAGCCAAAATTGTTTCATACCACATTCTGAATGTAAAGCGAATCAAAAGGAACCATTTTTTTAAGAGAGTATGTAGTAGAGTGCTACTTCCTAATTAGGTCAGCCATCAATCAGAGAAGACATTCAGAGAGAAGAGGTATAAAGCAAAATCCGAGAGAGACCAGCAAAGAAGAAACACAAAACAAGACCTCAAGTTCGGCAGAAACATAAACATAGTGAAATGCAGAGAAAATTCGTCGAGCGAGAAGACAGAGAACAACGTGATAGCTTCTTTAGCAAATGAAAAGCAACTCAAAGAAGGATTCGGCAACATTTATCAGAAAAAAGAAAGTAAAACCCTAAAATGTAGCTAAAAAGTTCATCTTTTCGTTCACTAATCGCAAGGGAAACGCCAAGTCAGAAGCAGAGCCCGTTGAGAAAACAAATCAAGCTAAACGATTCCGACTTAGAAACAAAAATAAGAAAGTTACCGAAGACTGACTGAGAAAGACAACGACGGAGTGGCAGTGACAGTCGCAAATCGCCTTCCCCTAAGAAACCTGAGAGAAAGTTGTTCTCAATTGTTGTAACATGTCAAGATATTTATTTCAGCTCGGATTAGCATCCAAACGACGACGGTTTGGGGATATGCTTCAACACGACGCCGTGTGTTACTGCCTCTTTTTCTCGTCTGGATCAACTAGAGACTGTCATGAGCCCAAAAAATAGTAAATTGTTAGAAAGAATAATTATCCTCGTCATAATATTATATTGTTTGCTTATAGGTGAAGTTTTTTCACCATCATCAAGTCGGTGATTTGATTTCTTTAATACTTTTAGCTTCTTATAAATACATGTACTTGTAACTTGTTATTCATAAGTTTAATACAAAACAAAGTTAATAATACAAAACTCTCTCTTTTCTTTCAGATCAAAACTTCTCTCACACCAACACTCTCTTCTCTCACACGAACCCCATCTCTCTCACATAGTAATCTCTCTTCTCTCTATCTCATCTTCTTATTCTTTTATTAATCAATCCACTATATCAAATATAGTGGTACAGTTTAGTTTTTAATACGTTATCAGCACGAACTGCTCTTATATTCTGTCTTTTTTATTGTTTATATGATATGCCGGGATGCTAGGTTGTACCTACTCCGAGCAAATGATCATATGGTAGACTATGTCACCTTAGATCATATAAGAGTTGATGGTAAAAACCTCCTCTTGGAGTTGAGACTTTGCCTCCTCCTGAATATTTACTTTTCTGTAATTTACTTTTTCGCTATTTACTTTCTGCCATTTAAATTCCTGCTATTTACTTTCTTGCAATTTAAATTCAGCACCTTAATTTTTACTAAATTATGCTGTTATAATGCTCAAATTTTTATTACGCAAATTTGAATTTAATTGAATTTAATTAATGAATGGTATATGATCTATGCAGATATCATGTCAAATTTGGCTAAGCTCGAAATTTCCGCCCTTGATATTTCTGGAAACAATTATATGACATGGGCAATAGGTGCAAAAATGCATCTAAAAGGAAATGGGCTTCTTGATGCCATTGACAAGTCGAAAGAAACATCCGATGAGAAAAAGGCGAAAGCCATGATCTTTTTCTTCATCACATCCACGATGGTTTAAAAGATGAATACATCACTAAAGAAGATCCTGCGGATCTTTGGCAATCTTTGAAAGAAAGATTTGACCATCAAAAATATATAGATTTGCCCAAAGCCAAATACCAGTGGCTACACCTCCGATTTCAGGACTATAAAAGTGTTGTTGAATATAATTCTGCTATGTTCAGAATAATTTCCAAAATGGTGCTATGTGGAGAAAATGTGAGCGATTATGATATGATTGAAAAAACGCTCTCCACATTTCACCCTGGAAATATAGTCCTGCAACAACAATATCGGGCAAATGGCTATACTCGTTATTCAAAATTAATGGAAGTTCTCCTTGTTGCAGAACAGAATAACGAGCTTGTGATGATGAACCATCAGACTCGTCCCACTGGAGCTGCTCCATTCCCAGAAGCGAATGTAGCATCGTCCAGCCAAAATAATGGACGAGGACGTGGACGTGGATACGGTCGAAACCGAGGTCGTGGCCGTGGCCGTGGACGTGGTCGGGGACAAGGAAAAGAGTACCGTCCCGACGAGTCCAACAATGAAAGGAATATAAAAGATCTCGAGCAAATGATTACGGCCGAGATTCTAAAAAGCAAAAAGAAAGTGTTTGCTACAGATGCGGCATGAAAAATCACTGGGAGCGTACTTGTCGTACACCCAGACACTTAGCCGATCTATACCGGGAATCACAAAAAGCAAAGGAGAAAGAAAGTGAGACTAACTTCATCTCCAATGAACCCGGTCCTTCCTTTCACGGCCTAAACGATGATACTCATCTTGATGTTTCAGATTTTCTGGTTGACTCCGAAGAGATCAACGGAAAAACAGACGACTAAAAGGACATGATATACATAGTTATCTTCCTGAATAAGATAACCTAAAAGTTTGATCTTTTTGTTGTAAAATAGTTTTTAATGTGGTATTTTGTATCTTGTGATATAAGCTTTGTATTGTTTAATACTTATTAATGCATCTTTGTTAAATCCAGAAATGACGAAATTTGAGACTCGTGATGGAGATATGTGTCTTGCAGACAGTGCTACAACGCACACAATACTCAAAGATAAAAGATATTTCTCCGGTCTCAAAATTAAAGATTCCGTTGAAAGCGTGAATACCATTTCTGGTGGTGCAAAAATAATATTGGGCTCTGGAAGAGCCAATTTTTCAATGCCAAGGGGAACAAAGTTTGAAATAAATGATGCATTATATTCCCCGAAGTCTTACAGAAACTTATTAAGTTTCAAGATATCCGTAAAAATGGTATCACATAGAGACTATAAATAAGAATGGCATTGAAATCCTTTGCATCAAATCGGAGGGACAAATATTGGAAGAATTGAAAATGATGTCCTCCGGATTATATTGCACAAATATTACTCTGACTGAATCATATGTTACAGTAAACCCGAAGTTTACTAGTACATTCAAAATCTGGCATGAAAGGCTAGGGCATCCAGGTTCAGTCATGATGAGAAAAATTGTGCAAAACTCAAATGGCCATCCGTTGAAATACGGGAAAATTTTAGAAACGGGCGAGTTCATATGTAATGCATGTTCTCAAGGAAAACTCATAACTCGGCCATCACCAGCGAAAGTTGGGAATGAATCCCTGTGTTCTTAGAGAGAATACACGGTGATATATGTGGGCCTATTCACCCACCATGCGGACCGTTTCAATACTTTATGGTATTAATTGACGCATCAAGTAGATGGTCACATGTGTGTCTTTTGACAACACGAAATACGGCTTTCGCAAGATTCATTGCCCAAATAATCAGGTTGAGAGCACAATTCCCTGATTATACTATTAAGAAAGTGAGATTAGATAACGCTGGTGAATTCACTTCACAGCCTTTAATGACTATTGCATGTCATTGGGAATCGATGTTGAGCATCCGGTTCCACATGTCCATACACAAAATGGCATGGCTGAGTCTTTGATTAAACGGTTGCAACTGATTGCAAGACCGTTAATAATGAGAACAAAACTCCCAATTTCTATATGGGGTCATGCTATTTTGCATGCTGCAGCGTTGCTCCAAATACGACCAAGTGCTTATAATATATATTCCCCATTGCAATTGGCATCTGGTCAGGAGCCAAACGTATCCCATCTCCGTGTTTTTGGTTGTGCGGTTTATGTTCCGATAGCACCGCCACAAAGAACAAAAATGGGGCCACAAAGGAGATTGGGAATATACGTTGGGTATACGTCACCGAGTATTATTCGGTATCTTGAACCTCAAACTGGTGATATGTTTACGGCACGTTTTGCCGATTGCCATTTTAATGAAGATGAATTTCCAGCGTTAGGGGGAGGAATTAAAGAGGTTCCAAAAGACCTCACATGGTGTACACCGAATTTGTTACACTTTGATCCCCCGACAAAACAACGCGAATTGGAAGTTCAGAAAATTATACATTTACAAAATATGGCAAATCAATTACCAGACGCGTTCACAGATACAAAAAGAGTGACGAAATCATATATACCCGCTGCAAACGTTCCATCAAAGATAGATGTTTCTAAGGAACAAAATGATGGAAGCATAGCAAATGCACCCAAAGTCCAATTAAAGAGGGGGAGGCCGATGGGCTCTAAAGAGGGGCCATCCAAGCTGAATTACTCTCCCTCAATAAAAGAAGTGTTTTTGGACCTATTGTCACAACTCCTGAGAATACAAAACCCGTCGGGCACAAATGGGTTTTTGTAAGAAAAAGAAATGAGAAAAATGAGGTCACAAGATATAAAGCCCGACTTGTGGCTCAAGGTTTTTCTCAAAGACCGGGAATTGATTATGAAGAAACATATTCCCCGGTAATGGATGCCATAACATTCAGATTTTTGATGAGCTTAGCAGCGTCTCAAAATCTTGAAATGTATCTCATGGATGTTGTGACAGCATATCTATATGGATCTCTTGAAAATGAGATATATATGAAAATCCCAGAAGGATTAAAAATGCCTGAGATTTGAAATCAAAGGCTAAAGAGATCTGTTCGGTCAGATTACAGCGATCACTTTATGGACTAAAACAGTCCGGACGCATGTGGTATAATCGCTTAAGTGAATATTTGTTGAGTAAAGGTTACGTCAACAATGCGATATGCCCTTGTGTATTCATTAAGAAATCCTCCAGGATTTGTGATTATTGCTGTATATGTAGATGACCTGAACATGATTGGAACTCAAAAGGAAATTGATGATGCAAGAACTCATATGAAAGAAGAGTTTGAAATGAAAGATCTTGGAAAGACAAAGTTTTGTCTTGGGCTCCAGATAGAGCATTTCCAAGATGGAATATTTGTGCATCAATCAAATTACACTAAAAGAGTGTTAAAACGCTTTTATATGGACAAAGCGACTCCTTTGAGTACTCCAATGGTTAATAGATCTCTTGATGTTGAAAAGGATCCATTTCGTCCTTGTGAGGATAACGAGGAAGTGTTAGGTCCTGAAGTACCTTACATGAGCGCTATTGGTGGACTAATGTATCTTGCAAATTGCACTAGACCAGATATAGCATTCGCTACTAATCTGCTTGCAAGATATAGTTCGTCCCCTACGCGCAGACATTGGAATGGAATAAAACATATTTTTCGTTATCTTCAAGGATCAATTGATTTAGGATTATTTTATCCTAAAAACTCAAAATGTGTTTTAGTTGGTTTTGCTGATGCAGGATATCTATCAGATCCACACAAAGCTAGATCACAAACAGGTTATGTTTTCACAATTGGTGGAACCGCGGTCTCCTGGCGTTCGCAAAAACAAACTTTGGTTGCAACGTCTTCAAATTATGCAGAAACTATTGCTCTCCATGAAGCATGTAGAGAGTGTGTATGGCTCCGGTCTATGACTCATCACATACAAGAATCAAGTGGAATCTCATAGAGAAAGAGCCAACAAAAATATTTGAAGACAATTCTGCATGTGTCACACAACTCAAAGAAGGTTATATCAAGAGTGACAGAACGAAGCATATTCCTCCAAGATTTTTCTCATACACTCAAGAACTCCAGAAAAATCAAGAAGTGGACATCGAGTATGTTCGTTCAAGTGACAATGCAGCCGATCTTTTTACAAAGGCGCTTCCTACTACAGTGTTCAAGAAGCATGTTCAAGTATTGGAATGCGTCGTCTACAAGACTTGTGAAAAGAAAAGATTATATCTTTTCCAGGGGGAGATTATGCTGCGGTACTCTTTTTCCTAAGTCATAGTTTTTATCCCATTGGGTTTTTCTATGACATAGGTTTTTTAACGAGACCGTACATAATACACTAGCGGATAATTAAGGGGAGTGTTAGAAAGAATAATTATCCTCATCACAATATTATATTATTTGCTTATAGTGAAGTTTTTTCACCGTCATCAAGTCGGTGACTTGATTTCTTTAATACTTTTAGCTCCCTATAAATACATGTACTTGTAACTTGTTATTCATAAGTTCAATACAAGAAGAAATTACTTAATACAAAACTCTCTCCTTCCTACAAGATCAAAACTTCTCTCACACCAACACTTTCTTCTTCTTAACACACGAAGCCCCATCTCTCTCACATCGTATATCTCTTTCTTTCCTTCTCTATCATACTTTCTTATTCGATTATTTAGAGTAATACCACTGCATGCCAATGGAAACTTTGTAAATTAGGTGAGTGTTCTGACAGTTTTTTGTCACAGTGTTTCTGTGGTGTAATTTACGGAACACCTCTTATTATTTATTAATTTTTTTTAATTGAAAGTGGTAGCTCCACCACATGTCTCTCTCCTCTCGATAACTCCGGTTGAAAAAAATCTCTTTCTCACTTGAAGAACAAATCTGGAAAAAAGAAGAAAATTAGTCTATGAGATTTTCATGGGAATCAAAGCTGGGGAAAGGAAAATTTGTCTCTACAAGAAGACGTGATTGGAGCGTGGCTCAATTTGCTTTGTCTCCAAGGTTAGATGGGAACTTATTGTTGGGTACTTGGGTTTAAAGATCATTTTTTCCGGATTGCCCAATTAAAATAGCTGGTGGCAACGGCGGCGGAGATTGTGATGACAACAATGGCGGCAACAGAGGAAGAGTAGAAAGAAGAAGAGGAGGAAGAAGAAGCCATTGACGGCGGCAGCAACAGAGGAACAAAAGAAAGAAGAACAAGAAGAGGTGGAGGAACAAGAAGCCAGCAATGGGGGTGGAATCAACATTCAGAATTACACGAACAATGGTAACATTGTTAACTATAAGTAATGTAACAGAATCAACATTATCATTTTTCTATTTTAGTGTGATAAGTTGATTAACAAGGTAATTTTTTGATATGTTAACTATGTTAACATTAAAATTTCATATTTTATTTTATGGCAACAAGTTTAACACGATAATATTTTATGAGTAACTAGGTTAACACGATAACATTTTATGAAAATGTTAATCAAGTTGACAAGTTAATTCTCTTATTCTCTTGTTAATTATGTTAACATCAAAATTTCATATTTTATTTTACAGTAACTAGTTTAACACGATAACATTTTATGGGTAACTAGTTTAATACGATAACATTAATAAGTTAATTCTCTTATTTTATATTTCATATTTTATAAAATATGATAACTTGTTTAACTTGCTAATTTGTGTTATGATAATTATGGTTTGTGTTATGATAATTATGGTAACATTTTAGTATAAAATGAATAGTATTTCAAAACAGAATATGAACATTTTTTTTTGATCAAAGGCTGAACAGTGTTTCCGATTTGCTCTATCAGAAAATAAAATTTCATGGCAATTGCATTTTCTGTAATTATTAAAAATAAAAAGGATATTTTTGGTTTAATTTGTTTTCTCTCTCTGCCAAAAACTAATTTTGAAACATAGATTGGCATTTAACTAATTTTCAAAATATCCATTGGTATTCACTTAAAACACCATTTTATTTATCAATCCACTATATCAAATATATAGTGATACAGTTTAGTTTCTTAATATAAATCATAATAACCAGGTGTCGTTTTCCATTGGCAGTTTGGTAGTCACTACTCACTATCTTCCAACGTTGTCAATTGACATGCTTTCAATCATGTTGCCATACGACGTCGTTCACCGTTCCCGCTTCTCCCCCAATTTCAAAATATTGCCTCTGATTGGTTAACCCCATAATTTTATGCATTTCGGTTTATTCATTTAATAACATCTTATATTTCGAGAAATACCAATTTATGTTGTGAACTTTAGTTACCGATCGATCGCTGATACAAAATCTTATGATATATATAGTAGAGAATCTAGAGATAGCTTTTACCGATAACTTTTTTTTTCTATTAGGAATTTGGAAAAGATAACAAGATGTAATTGTAGATTAATATAAAGATTCACCTTGGGCAAATGTAGATTAATTCTATACTATAAAAGATGGCCAATACTCTCCGGTTGACTGACACGTCAGCAGAAGAGAGAGTGCCACGTGTACTGCTAAATAAAATGATGCAGGTGTTATGCTTGGGAAAACAGTTTTCAGTCCAAGTTTCAAACTGTTGGTGATGATGAATTATCTTGGTTCCGCAAAGCACAACTTGTCACAAAGTGTATTTCAATCCTCATTATAATGTAAAGTTAATTGTCACACTTGCAGCCTAAGAAAGAGACGATGACGGAAAAAAATGACAACACTGCCTTAATTAATGTTGCTTAATTTTTTTTTTAAAACTGAATTATACTCCATAATTTCAATCATGGTTCTAGTTTTTTTTTTTACAAAATGTTCAAAAGGAGACCCTAACCACTAACCAAAAATACAGTTTCACTGATACTCAAAACATTCATATACAGTTTTGCCAAATCTATATCTCATCTCCTAATTATTACCCATAAACTATATAAAAGGGAAAATGTATATGAGTGGTAAAAAAATCCCCTCGAGAAACTAAACAAAATGTTGTGACGGAGAGAGTAATCCTAGAATTTTGGATTGGGTTTTATTTTTTCGGTTTAGAGATATGAAAACTGTTTCGGGTTTTTTTAAAATTTTGGTTCGGGTCAGTTTTTCAGGTTTTTTTTTTTGGTTTTGGGTTTTCTTGGGTTCCAGGTTTTTTGGATTTAATGATATGAAACCCATTTGAGTTTTCTTGAAATTTTGGTTCTGGTGCGGTTTGGGTTTTCGGGTCAGGTTCGGGAATATCATATATTTTTTAAAACTATTTTTACAAAAACGAAAATATGAAGAAAAAGTGACAACACCACCCGCGCATAGCGCGGGCTTTAACCTAGTACTCCTTAATACGCGGACCAACGTCACTTTATAATTCAATTCACCCAATGATAAAGAATACTTGTCAAATAAATCCACAATTTCACATATTTTTACCCTAAATCAAAAAATCCATCTTTACTAAATGATAACAGCTAATTGGGCCTCTCAGAGCACCTCAGAGATTCTCCTTTTAACTGCCACGTGGAAATTCTACCAAAATAAATAAAAGCTTAAAAATTCAGATAATTAAAAGCTTCAAAAAAAACATTCCAATCACGAAGCCCACATCGCTTCGGCCCGTTTAGAGCCCCATTCTAACCTTCCTCCTTCTCCGCCTTCGCTCACTTCTCCAACTGATTCCCTTTCCCACTCCGACATGCACCGATTACGATTCCTCTTCTCCGGCTTCATTGCCCTCTCCTTCTTCTTTATTTCGTTATTAATGACCGCTACCCTCTCTTCAACGCCGCCTTCTCTACAATCCTTTAAATACTGTGGCTGGGAAGCCCAGGTCTCACTCCGCTCCGAAAAATGCAAAGATCCTCCCACATTCCCGATACCATGACATCCAGAGCTGACGCTCCTTCTGCCCAGTCCCAGACCTTCCAAGTTCTCGGCCAGATTGATGGCCAGTTCTGCAACGACGAGGTTTTTGTTCTACTCTTAATCCTATTCCCGAAGGAAAATTTGTCTAGGGTTTATGTGATTATGTGAATTATTGATTTCTTCTTTGTTGCTGATTTTGTGGCTTTCCGCTTAATCTTTCAAATCGAAATTTGATTGAAATCTTATTAGCCTGTGATTGGAACCGATCTCATTAATGGATGATCGTGGATTTTTAATCGATCGAACACTCTGAATCAGTAGTTGACGATTGAATTCGTAGTTGAATCATCTTCTTTCCGCATATCTCTTCGTCACTTTTTAATCGCCGTTGCTTTGTGCTTACATTTCTCCTTAGTGATGGCTTTTGGCTAATCTTACTCTTTTTGGTTTTGTTTTTTTTGTTACGACCGTATCTTCTCCGTGTGTCTAAACTACTCTCCCTTTTTCATGTTTTCTAGAGTAACGCAGTCCAGGGATTTATCTCTCCAAACCGTTTGTTCCGGCACGAGGCGCAACTCCGTCTACAAACTGAAGAAATTCATGGTCAGACCCGCCAAACCGGTGTACAATGTCTCCGAAAACAAGCATATGATTTGTTTCACGGACATGACAACAATGGTCGAGGTTCTTAATGGAGATAAGGAAATCCCCTGCTAGAAGTTTAGATGCCGTCTTTCCAGTGATTTTGCTCGGATGAACATCTCTACGGTTAGAAATCATAACTTTGCTTTCAACCTTAGAGTTCTATGATATCTTCCTCTGATTTCTCATTTTCCGTGGATCGTTGTAATTTTATATATCCTGAGCCCTTCTGTCTTTCATTCTTTCTCCTTAGTTTCAACATTGAGAAGTCTCCTTAGCTGCTGTTTTAGCTTTGAACTTCACGAATATATTATGTGATTTGTTTGTTATCATATTCTTCCCAACGATTATGTCGGAATTTTGATTTCATCTTTAGTTTGACCTTGAAGGAAAACACAATACTTTTAGCAGAGGAGACCAACAGAAACATCACCTAAAGTCATGGCCACGATCGAGGTTTGAGTTTCACTCATTCGCTTTTTCTCTTCACAATTCTATTTTTTAATTGTGGTTTCAGGCTAATACAGTTTATGGTCCTCTTAGAGAATTGGATGTGAGTAATTTTCTTAATTGCTCAATTTGACTTTTGATAGAAAGTGTTGATTTTGATTTGACTTTTTATAAAAAAAACAGCCCCGGTGTAGTTTGACTTACTGTTTTGTGATACACTTCTGTAAATCTCATAATTTTATTGTATACTGACATGAAAATATATATTCAAATTTGAGTATATAAGGCTTTATATTTGCTAAGAGACTGGATAAGAGCTGAGGAGAAGATACATGAGATTCAACAAGGGAGCAACAATAATGGGAGGGAGAATAGATACCAATTTTGGAAACGTCCATCTCAAGGTTGCGTAAAATGCAATTATGATGGATCCTTTTTAGGGGATGACCAAAATGCGAAGGCTGGTTGGATTGTTCGAGATACAGAGGAACATATTTGGGATCAGGTCAAGCTGAAGCAAAGAAGGTCTCGAGTGCCATTGAAGCAGAGTTTCAAGCTTTAATTATCTCAATGCAGAATTGCTGGTGTCAAGGTTATCGTCATATCATATTTGAGGGTGATAGCAGGAACGTGGTGGATTTGGTCAATAAGTCATCACTAAATTTTGGGTTATTCAATTGGATAAGGGAGGTTTGGAGTTGGATGTCCAAGTTTGAAGATATTTCTTTTACTTGGGTGCCAAGGGAAGGAAACAAGGCTGCTGATTTGTTGGCGACGAGAAATCTCACAAACCATTCAAACTTTATCTATCGTTCTTATGTTCCTGAATTTCTATCGTATGTATTCGTCAAGTTAATGAGAAAAAAAAAGGCTTGATATTTGCTATGTGTTTGTTTTTCCCCACTTTCATGTAAATGGTTGTATAAAGTTTCAAGGAGAGGGAAACTAATAGAAGCTAGCTTCAAGAGCATGGAATTTTCAAATAAAGAATCTTGATCTTCTTCCTCCTGTTTTATATATTAATCCAAATGTGGAACCATGTTTAAAGGAAATGTCAATTAGTTACTGTTTGTGATGTAAATATGATCGAATGATCAGACTTTTCCCAACTGCTCTTGAGAATTAACCTAACTGAAATGGCATTGTCATGGCTCTACCTCACAGAAATGAGCATGTTGTGTTACAAACTTCTGTATAAAAACGAAAACAGTAACTCTCTGTATTAATTCCAGTGTTTAATATTTTATGTATCATTCCCCTATGAAACAAATTAAAATACCAAAAAACTTAGCAATGAAAATAGAATTTTGGGAGTCTTAAGAATTTATGTTTAAAAGAAAAGAAAAAAAACAAATGGAAACAAAAACAATCAATCAATCAATCAATTTCAAGCAGTGAAGTAAATACGATTACCAAACACCAAAATACTTAATAGGAGAAAAAAATTCCAAAAAGCATAATCTACAAACACATCCTGTATATAGATATTGTTCATTTTCGTAGAAAAAAATGCTTAGAGAAAAAAATGAGGAAAAATAAGAGTGACATGTTGCTGATCTACGATTTTTCGCCATTTTTTATAAGATGAGCAAGCTGCTGCATTCTTTCAACAACACTTGAGCAGATAATTCTCCTTTTGCTTAATATTTTATTTACAATATTTGATGATACACTACTGAAATAGAAGGGGAGAAATAAAATAAAAATAGTTAGACAACACATCTTTGTTTCTTTAATTAATTCTAACTAAGACTCTTTTGGCACGTCGTCTAAAATTCCAATATCGAATCTTATAGTTATAGTGTTATACATTTTATAAAACTTCACTGACCAAATGTTATTTCTCACTAATCATTTTACCAACTTTATACTTTTAACATATTATAATGATATTTATTTTTTATCTACAAGCAACCACTTAACATATTTCTCACTAACGGCAAGCGCTTACCCTGGCGCTTAAGCGAAAAATAAATCAAAATCAAATTAAAACGCTGAAGTCGACGCTTAATTAAGTACGAGAAGCGTCGATGCTAACTGCCACATGGCGGCATCTGATTGGGCATTAGATAATGAGAAGGAAAAAACGATTTTTCTTCCTCATTTTTCACTAGCGGTTCTCTCTCCTCCCTTTCTCTTCTCCTTCTCTCTTCCTTGGCGATTTGGTGCTCAACACAATTTTAATATAAAAAAATCTTTTAAGCACTTCTATAAGCGCTTGCCGTTAACATTGTGAAATATACAAGGTTCTTAATGATATTATCTTAAACAATTACTAATCGAAAATAACATTCTTGTCACAAGCAATAACCAGAAAGTATATAAAGGTACATTGATATATCTCTGTAATTTATAAACAATTGTCAAATATGTTTAATGTTATGAAAAACAATTCTCCGAAGGACAACAAAGACTCCTTCCCTCTATGTTACTAAATTAGGTCCACTCTCTCCTAATCGATCTTCTACTCACTATGACATATCACACTTAGGTGAAATTATTTAACAACACTATTAAGACAAATAGCCAGCGCGTAGCGCGGGGAAGCCCCTAGTAATAAAGGAAAGAAGCTCTATTTCACAAACAAATTGAGATTGAGCGTGAACTATACTTTTCCTTTTTGATAGTATAAATTTTGCAAATTAGACCTTTGTGTTTATAGATTTGATTTGATTTTTTTCCGAAAACATATATATTATAGTCATCGATTTTACTTGGTTATTCTGAAAAAAAAAATACTTCTTAACTTTCCTAATGCATTTCATGGCCTTAAGAGAGAAAAACACTATGGTTATAGTCTTATAGATACAACAATCTGAAATTCGTTTTTATTCTAAAATATTTTTGTTACTCTAAATTTTTTAATAAGAAATCATTATAAATATATGGAAATTAACTTAAAATAATACTCTAAAAACTTGTCTAGACTAAAAGCATTATTCAAAATATGTGATTAGATTATTTTATTGGCTCGTCAATATTATGTTAAGGCGGTGTGGTTCATGGCCTGGGCATTTTTACCCGAATCCGAAGACCCTAACCGAACCTGACTCGAAAAATATGGAACCGAACCAAACCGGAACTGAGACGAATACCCGATGGGTCCAAAAAATTTATATCTGAAAAAACTGAACCCGAACCAGAACCGAACCGAGAACCGAATAGATATCCAAAATATCCAAAATATAATTATATATCCAAAATATAATTATATATCCAAAATATTAGTTATTTTTAGATTTATAATAATCATAAATAACTCAAATTACAATTAGAGATCTTATTATATAAAGCTGGATGCGCATGACGTGGTTGCACACGTAGGATTTTTATAAAATTCAGGATCGCGACATGTGTCACTTTTAAGTTTATGTCTGTTAAGATCGTGACATGTGTCTTAGGAAAAAAAAAGAAATTAAAAAAAAAGAATTCCAGAAAAATGTTAATTAAAAAAAACGAAATTTAATTTAATATATTATATCAAAAAGGAAAAAATAATATTTGTTATATCCAAACAGAAAAAGGTTTTCCATTCATTTTTTTATTATATAAAGTTGGATGCACACGACGTGGTTGCGACACATAGGATTTTTATAATTTATAAGATCGCGACATGTGTCACTTTTAATGTTACATCCGTTAAGATCGTGACACATGTCTTAGAGAAAAAAAAGAAAAAACAATAATAATAAAAATTTTAGATAAAGAAAATTGTTTTAAAAAAATTAATCCATTACAGTTAAAAGAAATAAAAATATATTTGTCATATCCTAATAGAGAAAGGTTTCCCATTTATCAAATTAATATTATCCAAACAAATAATAAAATCAAAATAATGTAATAAAATAAAATCCTATTTGTACATGAAATATGTTATGTAAACTAAATTTCCTATAACTGCATGTAATAGGTTACTTGAACCCCTATAAAAAAGAGTCAAGATTTCTCAATCATAAATTCATCTAAACAGATTCATCAAATCCCTTTGATATATTTCTCCAATTTAAAAATCATGTTTTTGAAAGTTTTGCGATACATAGGATTTTTATAACTGACAAAATTGCGACATCTGTTTTAGAAAAAAACAAATTCTCGAAGTATGAAGATCGTAACATGTGTCATGGAATAAAATAATAAAAAAATTAATATGTATAAGACTAACTAAAAATTAGAAAAACAGCTAAAAAATAATTAAAATGAAATAAAAAAACAGGAAACAAATAATTTAAATTCTTTTGTTACATCTATTAAGAAAAGAAAAAAAAAATCCATTTCGAAAAGGAAAAATACCAATATATTGTATTTATAATGGTCCGAGGCAGAAAAAATTGAGAAAGGAAACATATAAATAAAAAAACTCTTAAAATAATTAGAGGAAATTTGGACCAATATTACAAAAATTAATCATATTTTGAAAACTAACCCTTTTTTTAAAGTGTTGGTAAACTAATCTTTGTAATATTCAAAATTACTAAAATATCCTCAGTTTTTTTAGATATAATTGTTTTTTTAAATTCGTTTATCTTATTATAAAATTATTTAAATTGCAAAAAAAAAATCTGTTATATTCGAAAGATAATTAGAAACAATTATTTATATTTTACATAACAAAAAAAAAAGAAAAAAAACTTCAGTGTTGGATATTTCAATAAAATCTGAATAAAATTTACAACAAGAAAACAAAAAGATATTTAGAAGATCTTATTTGAAATTGAACATCTCATAAATATAGAACATGAGTTAACTTTAACACATTCCATCATCTTTTCTTTAAGACTTAAATGTGAGTTTTTTTTTTTTGTTCTAAAATGATATTTATGTGTATATATTTATAGAGTTTGATTCATCTTTCAGTGTATTTTTAAATATTTATTAAAAGATATATTAACGAATTTTCAAAAATATCTTATATATATATATATATATATATATATATCTAAATTCAATATATATCTAAAGTAAAAAAGATTTTTTTTTCTCATTATTAATAGGAAAATGATAATGGTTTTATTGTCTTTTCACTTATTAAAAAAGTTAGTTTTCAAAATTTTAAAAACTAGAGTTAGTTTTCAAATTATGAAAATTTTTAGTAATATTAAACCAACTCACCCAAATAATTATCAAGCAATTAACTAATATTAAAAAAATTATAATTGATGTTCTAATTTTAAATAGTTTGATTTTCAATTTTTGTTAGGTAAAAAAGTTGAAATAAATATTTCATCAATTAAAATCTGTTGAATGGAATAATAAAAGTTTGATTAGTTAATCGATTGATCAGATTTAGAATAAAAATCTAAATTAGTTTGATTAGTTTGATCAAGTCTTTTTGTATTGAATAAAAATAATAGTAAAACAAATTAATTCATTTTGTCATATCATAAATTCAAAAGAAAAATTAATTACAATAAAAATGTAAAAGTATTACCAATCTTATTTTATTTAAATATGTTTTATCGGGTTTTCAATATTATTTAGTTTATGTTTAAAAATGATTAAATTTTGTTTAATATTTTCCATGTTTTTATTATAAAATCTTAAAATACACCAAAATATAATAGTTATATTTAGAACAAAATAACCAAAATATTTGAAAAATCCAAAAACAATTAATAGAAGATAGTGTCAAGACAAGTTTTTCAGTTATTTTGTAGGTTTTTAGATATTTGAACCGATAAAAACCAACCCGAATTAGACCCAAACAAGAACCAAAAATTTGCACAAACCGACCGACCCACCCAATCCGAAACCCGAACGCCCAGGCCTAGTTCATCTCTAGGGCTTCCGTATCTCTCGTATATACAAACATCACGCTCCGCCTGCTTTCTCATCGCATCTTCTTTCTTCTCCCTTCTCTTACGGTTCCATCTTCTACTTTGCATCTTTTTCTTGCTTTGACTGTTTTTCGATCTATGTTAGTAGTTGACGTGATTTCTCTCCAAGAAATCTTTTACTTAAAAAATGGAGCAATCTGAATTTTGTGATTGCATGATCCATAAGTAAACGTCACATAGGGAAAAAGCGTAAGCCTTAGGCGTAGAAGGAGCCTTAGGGCTTCTCCGTCTGAGGAATAGCTTATTTGGCTCTCATATTCCATTGCACTGCGGAGCGGCGTCGCTGCTTTTACCGTTTGAGGCCGGCCATGAGATCTACACTTTTCGATTCTGTTTTTTCCAGTTTCAAATTCAGTTTTCTAGAGAATTAGTTTTAGGATTTAGCCGATGAGGACATCAGAATTTAAAAGAACACCATCTTTCGGGACTGATTACTTTTGATGATTCTTCTGCAATTCTGAGGCTAATTGTTTGTTTTGTTTGATTAGGATTAGAATTAAAAGGCTGTGATGATTGAGAATGTCATGCACCACTCTGATATCGTGCTGATAACCATCTCTACCCATATTTTATCTGAGCCGTTTGTTTTTTTGAAATAATTATGTGATTTATGAAATAGAAGAAGCGTTGATAACCAAATGATGGTCATTATTGACTTAGACCTTGATGCGGACTGTATAGCTTAATTGCGTTTGATGATAACTTTTGGTTCCTGATGGTTTTAACGTATTTTGAGTTGCTTGTTTATTCTGCCGATAGTCATTGCATTTGGCAGACGTGTATGTCTTGAAGAAAGTACTTCGAAAGAAGCTATTGTTTCTGCAGGCTAAATTGGATTCTTGTGAATATTTGGACATCGTAGCGTTAGAGAGATGTTTTGTTGGAGAATTCAAATATCGGAGAACCTATTGAGACTTGAATTGCCTCTTATTGTCTGACGTATTGAAGATTTGCAGGCCCTAAAATCTGTTCCGTTAGACTCTCTAAATACTTGCTTACTACTCATGAACGATGGTCCTCTTTTTGTTATCAAAATCTCTTATTATCCCTAATTATTGACAAGAAGTTGAGGGAACACATGTGTTGAGCCTAAAAAAGAGTCGTCGATTTGCCTGCCTTACTTGTCCCAAATCCTACCTCCATTGTATTTTTTTTTTTTTTTTTATATATATATAATTTTATAACTGTATTAAATAAATGATTGTAAAATAAACAACATAAAACAAGATTTGAACGCTTTCTTCATCTTTGTGCCAGAGTTAACTGTCTTTGATTGCACAATTTTTTCCTTATTTGTTTAAGTACAAAGTGGAAAGAGGGTACAAAGACGAAAACAACAATGAGCAGAAATGTTCTCATGATCTTGAGAAAGACTTTTGGTAGTCTCTCATCATTCATTTTATATTTCATTATCATGAAGATTATTTTGTAATATATGCTGACCAGTGCAGCTGTGGTCATTTTATAAATTTGTGAAATGCCTAACCTTCTTTAATTGTGTCAAGTCATTTTATCACCATCCCCATTTTATGCCTTGAGGAAATTTTTGTGAATACTAGTTGCAGCTGTGACAGACAAACCTCTAGGACTTTAATTCAACACCAAGTAAGACTTTGATATATTTCCTAGAAGAACTAAAGATACTTACGGTACAAGTAATCATTTCTGGCCTTTGTAACTACTTTTCTAATGGTATTTCCTCTAAAGAGAACCGCTTTTTTCGAACTCTAGTTTTGGTTTCTCTGTTTTATCCCTGGATTTTTTTCAATTGTGGCTAAGTTAAAAGCTGTGTAGTCTTATCCGTTCATGCACCACAAAACACTTTCGCTGAAGCTTAATATGTTTTTGGTAAAAATCACTTATTAGATATTGAAACAGAGTCACCAAACAACAACAAGAGCCAATAGATAGTAGACCAAATGGGATGAAGAAAAGGAAAAAGGAAAAAGAAAAAAGATAGTTGACCACAAGGCCAAAGATTATTAAACAACATGATCAACTTTTTTCAGTTTGATGAACATGATCATTGATCAACCACCATTGTCCGAGGAAGCTCCTTCATCATCGTCTTGTGCTTTTAGTTTTGCCGGATCTTGAACAAAAGGCATCGGATAAGAATACGCACCAAGAGAATATACACGACTACCATAATTACACCATCCATAGAACCCAACAAGAGCACAACCTTTGCTCTCCAGCACGAAATCAACAAGATTGTCCCCAACCGCATTTCCCAATGTCGGAGAGGTCCTCTCTTTTGATGTTTTGATAGTCAACGATTTAATAAACGTGTAACCACTGTTCTCTGAGAATTTCCCCTCTATAGACGTGACATACTCATTTGGATAGTCCACTACAAACTGCATGTGCAAAAAAGGTTTTCCTACGTATAAGTAACAAGGAGACAAACATATATGTAGAAATATACGTGTATTATGTGTATATGGCCGACGAATATTTAGAGTTGTAGAAATTGTGACCTCTGCGTCTTTTCCAATGGGTTCAGCCTTCAACCCGTGATCACGGGTTTCTACTTTGCCTTCGTTCTCGTACTCGAAGCTAATAGACTTTATATAGTCATCATAATGAACGGACACCTTCCTTACTCCTTGGAAAGTACCATCATCCCAATGTCCACCACTATTAGGGTTACCTATATGCTCCAGTTTTGTAAGTGGAAGCGTTGTTAAATAAGCTCCGAGCGAATTTAGTTGCTCCTTAGCATATCCATGAAACCATATGATCCTCAAACCGTTGCAACCGAGCGAAAACTTAGTACCTCGATTCCCGTTTCCCATCATTTTTGAAATCTTCAAGTTTGTTTTGAATTGAAGTGTTTGAATCAAACCGGAAGTCTCGTCGTAGTAACCATCCACAGATAAAAGATATTCCTTGCCGAGATGGTTAATCTCAAACTACAAACCCAGCAAAAAATGTTAATAATATATTTGTGGAACTATAATTTAAGAGAAATTTTAAAAAATACACCTCAAGAGGTGTCAATTTTCAAAATTATCAGAAATGACTTGAGGAGCAAGAATATCGTTAAATATAAAGGACCTTTTAGGTTTTAATTATCGCAGTCATACATACCGGCTCTAGGTCGAAACCTGGATCCGGGGCAGAACCATGGCGGTTCCCTTCATGCGTATGTCCATCCTTGTTAACATAATCGAATCTGATATTTTGTACGCCTTCATAACCACATCGTACATGAACCTTTGTTACACCCTCATGGTCAGCTGACTCAGCTCCATCATTCCACTCATCGCCTCCTTTGCCCCCTTTCGGCTCCATTCTCGTAGGAAGAATTTCTGTGAAATATGCTCCAAGAGCGTCTACGTTCATCCTAGCAGATCCGTGGAACCCAATGATTTTTTTCCCATCGACTGCTAGTTTAAACTTTTCACCATCTTCATATCCCATCATCTCAGAGACCCTCAAGTTGGTTCTGAACTGAAGTGCTTGAACACCATAGGAAGAGTTGTAACCCTCAACAGATTCAAGATGTTCATTTTGTAGATGGTCAATCTCCAACTACACGAAAAAAAGGTGAAAAGAAAAGTCTATATAATCAAGAACATGAATAAAGGGAGTTGAATTAGCATATTTTCAAGTCATACATACCATCTGCGTGAAACCTTGCCTCGAGCAACCATGAGATGATCTTGTCGGTTTTTCAGTCTTGACATAATCAAACTTGATGCACTGTATCCCTCGAAGACCACCTTCCACATATATCTTTGTCACATCATCATGGTCAAATCCATCATCCCACTCATTTCCGTTGTTTGCATTCTTTACCCCTACCGCTTCCAGCCTTTGAGCTGTCATGTCTAAAGGATTTGAATACTGAGACAGGGACTTAGTCAATATTTTGCATCAATATATGCTCATGTATCACTATTTCGGGTTCGAAATTTTTAAGAGAACAAAAAAAAAACCATTTCAAGCAAAAGCTCAAACACGATCTAGACTGAAGAAGAAAACCATTTGCAGATAAAAAAAAGAAGAAGATCACGTTTATTGGGTTAAAACTATGCTCATAAAAGGACAAAAACATATTGAAGGGAGAGAGCTGAAAACATTAGCGTAAATAAAAGCAAATCTGCATAAAGAGAGGAAGGGGGAGAGCTGACCTCTGAATGATGGTGGAGGAGGGAGAGAGTTGGAGAACAGATAGTACGAGATGAAGGTTATTTATATACAGGTTAGGGTCTTCTATAAATGTAAATTACGTGGTACTTTAGAAATCTAAATATGATTCTTACGACAAAAAAAAAATAAAGACTCAGGCTTCGGGGTTGCCTGGTCAATATATATATATATATATATCATTTTTTTATTATTATTTTTTTTTCTGGTCAATTTATATTATATAGCCATCTTTGGTCATTTAATATTTTCAGTTGACAAAAAGAAAATTATTTGGAAAATATCATATGGACATTGTTATATGAGATAGTGGAGCTCTACTTGCCTTGTTATTATATTCGTCAACGCATTGTTTCAGCACTTGTATTTACTTAATTATATTCTCACATGGAAGTTGTTTTGTGAAGAAATTGCACCACATGGAAAAAATAAATTAAAAAGGGGTTAGTTACAAAATGGCAAGAGGGTAGTAGAAGTGTAGAACCAACCAACAATTTTCCTCAATTTGTGTTTGATGTTTTTCTGAAATAATTCTGAGTCAACGCATTTATGTTTTTGGTAAACATGGGAACTAAAGATACTTGGCATACAAGTTAGGAGCGATTAAAAAACAGATCATTGAGTCAAGTTGATGCACAAGCTGATGAAGGTCCAGGTGTTCAATCGACGCACTCTATGGACTTTCAATTGTTGCTTCGTGGCAAAGGCAACAAGAAGGAGCTGATTATTTTCGTAGAGATTCTTTTGAAGTCTCGTTCCACGAAGAAGCTAGCTGCATAAGAAGTTACATATATATGTGTGTGAATATATAGATATATAGCTCAGAGTTGTAAATTTGTGATGCAACCATACGATGAATTTGCGAGAATGTGGTTTTTGCACTATCAGAACAAAATCTGCAAAAAAATAAACAACTGTGTTCTTTGAAACGATCCAAAGAAATGTTTTCAAGTCTCATCTTTATCCATTAAATACCATTCTTTCTTGTTTTTTCGCACTTTTTAAAACAGGAATCATCCAAATTTGCAGAGCAGAAAGAGAAATGTACTCTGGTTGCCTTTGGTTAGTGTACAGAGTAGTATCAATGAGGAAATTTATCGACCGGGCAAACCTCTTGGACTTTGCCAAGTAGGAGTTTGATATTTTTTCTAGAAAGAACTAAAGATACTTACGGTACAAGTAACCGTTAAGGCATGTCAAAACTATAACTTAATTTAGTTTAGTTCCCATCTTCTTCTGGCTTCTGGCTTCTGGCTTTTGTAACTACTTTTATACTGGTATTTACTCTAACGAAAACCGCTTTTTGATCTATGGTTTTTGTTTCTCTGTTTTATCTATGGATTTTGCTCAATTATGGTCAAGTCTAAAGCTGTGTCGTCTTATCCGTTCCTGCAACGCAAAACACTTTCGTTGCTTCCGAAATAAAATCACATACAAATTGTTAATATGAAAATATGAAGGTTAGTATTTTTTTTTTTGGTAAAAACCACTAATTAGATACTCCCTGTTTCATAATAAGTGTCATTTTAAAAGTGATGGGGTATTGAAACAAAGTCACGAAACAACAACAAGCGAATAGATAGTAGACCACAAGGAATGAAGAAGAAAGATAGTTGACCACAGGTTAAAAGATTATTAAAGAACATGATCAACTTTTGTCAATCTGATGAAGATGATCATTGATCAACCACCATCGACACCACCATTGTCCGAGGAAGCTCCTTCATCATCGTCTTATGCTTCTAGTTTTGCCGGATCTTGAACAAAAGGCATCGGATAAGAATACGCACCAAGAGAATGTACCAAACCATAACTACACCATCCATAGAACCCAACAAGAGCACAACCTTTGCTCTCCAGCACGAAATCAACAAGATTGTCCCCAACCGCATTTCCAAATGTTGGAGAGGTCCTCTCTTTTGATGTTTTGATAGTCAACGATCTAATTAATAAACGTGTAACCACTGTTTTCGAAGAATTTCCCCTCTATGGACGTGACATACTCATTTGGATAGTCGAGTTCAAACTGTGAAAAAAGGTTTTCCTAGGTATAAGTAACAAAAAGACAAACATATATATACATATATATATATATATATGTGTATATGGCCGATGAATATTTAGAGTTGTAGAAATTGTGACCTCTGCGTATTTTCCAATGACTTCAGCCTTCAACCCGTGATCACGGGTTTCCACTTTGCCTTCGTTCTCGTACTCGAAGGTAATAGAATTTATAGTATCATCATAATGAACGGACACCTTCCTAACTCCTTGGAAAGTACCATCATCCCAATGGTTTGCATTACAGTTACCTTTAAGCTCCAGATTTGTAAATGAAAGCGTTGTGAAATAAGCTCCCAGCGAGTTTAGGTTCTTCTTAGCATATCCATGAAACCATATGATCTTCATGCCATTGCACCCAAGCGAAAACTTAGTACCCCGTTTCCCGTTTCCCATCAGTTTAGAAATCTTCATGTTTGTTTTGAATTGAAGTGATTGAATCACACCGGAAGTCTCGTCGTAGTAACCATCCACAGATAAAAGATATTCCTTGTCGAGATGGTTAATCTCAAACTACAAACCCCAAAAAAATGTTGTTAATAATATATTTGTGGAACTAAAATTTAATGGCAGTTTTCGTTTTTCCCAAACATCTCATCACGCACAAATATAATGTAAAACCACAAACCGCAAGGTTATAAACCACATTCGTTATCTAACAGAAATAACTTGGAAATATCATCAAATATAAAGGAATTTTGGTTTTTAATTATCTCAGTCATACATACCGGCTTTAGGTCGAAACCTTCATCCGGGGTGATATATCAATATTTTGCATGTTTTCACTTAGTATTTTCATATGTTTTTAAGTACTTTCATAAAGGTTTTATTCCTTTAGAGGTAGTTTTCTTGTATTTGTTGGTTTTGGAGTCTTAACAGGGTAAACTATCAAAAAGGATACAAAAAGGAGCAAAAGAGCCTCAAACCATGATCCATGCAAGTTTCCAAGTCAAGAGCATCATTTTATCTCCAAGTGTAATTCTCGCTACGAGCAGAACGAAGCTTCGGAAGTTTGGCCGCGCGGAGGAGTTCCCGACGTCCAAAAGTCACGATCTTGATATGGAAAGATAGATACTTGAGTCATGCATCACGTCGAAGTGGAATGAAGCCATTTGGATCAACCATCGGGCCGGAACTTATTTTCTACCGAGACATGTCCGGTTAGCGACCAAGTGAAGCCCATGGAGGATTTGGAGTGTCTAATGGCCCGAGCAACCGCGGAAGGACTTGGCTCAAAGGAAGAGGCCTAGCTAATGTTTGGAGTCTTTCCTTGGTGTCCAGCCCATACACGACGTGAGAAAAGCCCGCTCATGGAAACTTTCCTTTTCCGGCACTTCAATACCCTAACCGACCTACAACCTATATATGCAAGTTTTTAGCCTCTGGAGAAAGAGGAGAGGTGTGTGCGCCGTCAGAGAGAAGAGAGAGCCGTCCTGGAGAGCAGAAGAAGCAGAGAGAAGAGGCGTTTCTCAAGATCAAAGACACACACACACACAAACCTTTACACTTTGTTCTTTCCTTTTTTCTTCACTTTGTTATTTCGGATTTGAGAGTTTCAAGGGAGATTTCGACTTGTTCTTCAATAGAGAAGCTTTCTTCATCCCTTATCTCTTTTAATACTCACATAATGCTTTCATACATCTCTTGCTTGTTTGTTTGCATCATGGCTGAGTAGTCTATTGTTGGGTTCAAGAGTTTTCAAGGGATTCATGGATTGATCACTAGGTTGTTAGATTCGGGATTATTGATTGAGTTCCTCATCTTGATTTGTGCTTAATGCTTATAGCTTTGACTGAACGTCCTGCTACTGCCCTAGAGTTGATTTACTTTCCGAAAGCTTGATAAATCACTTGAAATAATCTTGATGAACAAATCACCATAACCTGCGGGAGTAGAATTATGATGCTTTGTGGAACATATTGAATTTGGATTATTTGTGCTTGTTTAACCACTTGATTACCTATGGGAGTAGAGTAATCTTAGGTTGTTTAGACATTTTAATTGACATTGCGGGAGTAAGTTGATTATCCATTCATAATTCAAGTTCTTGATCATATCTATTGATTCCTTGTTTAACTATCCAAATAAACCAATCCTTGATGACCTATGAATTCTCTTGTGCCCAATGCTTTCCTATTGATTTGATTGCTTGTTTCACTTGATTTCAAGCTTACTCATTGTTATTTTCGTCACTGTTCACAGCCCTAAAACCAAACCCCCATATTTTAGTTTTAGCTAAGTTTTAATCTCATAAGCTCATAGTGCAACTTTTCTGGTCCTTGTGTTCGATAACCCATACTACCAACGATCCGTGCACTTGCGGTATCTACTAATAGTTGGGTAAAACTTATCCCACATCACGGGGTAGAACCATGGAGTGGCCCTTCTTGCACATGTCCATCCTTGTTAACATAATCGAATCTGATGTTTTGTACGCCTTCATAACCACATCGTACATTAACCTTTGTTACACCCACATGGTCAGCTCCATCATTCCACTCATCGCCTCCTTTGCCCCCTTCCGGTTCCAATCTCGTAGGAAGAATTTCTGTGAAATATGCTCCAAGAGCGTCGACGTTCATCCTACCAGATCCGTGGAACCCAATGATTTTTTTCCCATCGAGTGCTAGTGTAAACTTTTCACCATCTGCTGCATATCCAATCAATTTAGAAACCCTCAAGTTGGTTCTGAACTGAAGTGCTTGAACCCCTTTTATATAGGTTTTGTAACCGTCAACAGATTCAAGATGTTCATTTTTTAGATGGTCAATCTCAAACTAAACGCCCAAAAAAAAAGAAAAAAAAATTAATATGGTGAAAAGAAAAGTCTATATAATCAAGAACATGAATAAAGGGAGTTGAATTAGCATATTTTCAAGTCATACATACCATCTCCGTGAAACCTTCCCTTGAGTAACCATGAGATGATCTTGTGGGTTGTCCAGTCTTGACATAATCAAACTTGATGCACTGTATGCCTTGAAGACCACCTTCCACATATATATTTGTCACATCATCAGGGTCAGATCCATCATCCCACTCATTTCTGTTGTTTGCATTCTCTACCCCTACCGCTTCCAACCTTTGATCTGTCATGTCTAAGGGAGTTGAATCCTGAGACAGGGAGTTGATAGTCAATATATGCACATGTATAACTATTTCCTCCGGTTCGAAATTTTTAAGAGAACAAAAAAAAGAACCATTTCAAGCAAAAGATCAAACACGATCAAACTGAAGAAGAAAACCATTTGCAGAAAAGAAGAAGATCACGTTTATTGGGTTAAAACTATGCTCATTACGTTTCCAATAGTTTATTTAAGAATATAGGACAAAAACATTAGCGTAAATAAAAGCAAATCTGCATAAAAGAAGAGAGGAAGGGAGAGAGCTGTGGAGTAGGGAGAAAGTTGGAGAACAGATAGTACGGTATGCTGGTGGATGAAGGTTATTTATATACAGGTTAGGGTCTTCTATAAATGTATATTATCTGCTACTTTAGAAATCTAAATATGATTCGTACGACCAAACATATAGAAAAAAAGAAAGACTCAGGCTTCGGGGTTGCCTGGTCAATTTATATTACAGTCATCTTAGATCATTTAAAATTTTCGGTTGACAAAAGAAAAATTATTTTGAAAAGATCATATGGTTATTGTTAAATGAGATAGTGGAGCTCTACTTGGCTTGTTATTATTTTCGTCACGCATTGTATCTAATGCCTTCTTTCAGCACTTGTAATTATTTTACAAAATGTGTATATGGTGTGCGAACGTTTTGACTATTTGTGTATATATACGTTTTTTTTTGAGATGTGAAGCTGTGTTTTTTTAGTATTGGTTTTAAAACTGAGTCTTTGGATCAAATTACAAATCTGTTGGATTAAAGGAATTGGGTTTTTAAGAAATCACATGGTGGTCATCGTGGTTGTTTGCAATAGTTTTTCTGTTTAATTTTATTTATACTCGTTGATTTGAATTATGATGGTTTTGTATTAACTTTCATGTTTTTGTTATGTTTTGAGTTAACTCAACCACTAACACTAAAAAATATGAATAATTTGTTTTTTATTTTAATTTATTAGGATATTAACACCCGCTTTATCTCGAGTTTTCTATTTCTAAAATTTATCATGTTATAAATATTATGTTTGTTTACTTTTTTTTACTTCTATTAGACTGTAAACATGTATATGTATTTGATTGAAGGTTAAAATTTATAAATATGTATATGCATTTGACTGAAGGTTAAAATTTGTAAACATATTCTTGTTTTTCACTACAATTAAATTTACATATAAAACTCCATTTCTATTTGTTTAGAAAAACAAACTCTAACTCTCATTAGCTTTCTATTATCTTAATTAATTTATATTCAACTTTTTAACTTGTAAACACATTATAACATTTTTAAATATGATAAATCCTTTGAATAAAAAGGTAAATATATACTATTTGAAGTTAAATATTTCTTTACTCCATCTCTATTTTATATTCCAACTTTTTGATAACTTTTAACATCAAATTATCACATACTTTCTATTAATTAATTTGTATATTTTTATTAAATATGAATAAATGTAAAGAAATATGAATAGTCATATATTTAATAAATAATTTAAATACAATTTAATGTTTTTGTGCTGATGTGGACACTCTAGATGGAGAGAGCAACTCTCCTATTATATATAAGATATTCTCACATGGAAGTTGTGTTGTGAAGAAATTGCACCATGGCAAAAAAAGGGGGTTAATTACAAAATGGCAAGAGGGCAGTAGATAGAACCAACCAACAACTTTTCTCAATTTGTGTTTGATGTTTCTCTAAAATAATTAATTCTGAGTCAACGCATTTACGTTTTTGGTAAACATGGGAACTAAAGATGCTTGTTGGCATACAAGTTAGGAGCGATTAGATAACAGACCACAAGGTTAAAAACATATATGATCAACCTTTGTCAATTTGATGAAGATGATCATTGATCAACCACCAACGACAACATCATTGTCCGAGGAACTTCTAGTTTTTTTTTAACAACAAAGTTGGGTGTACATTATGATCACTCTTTGTAAACTTTCCATGTCGATTCAAATCAATGTTTATAATTTCAACTTTTGTTTGAATCAACTTTGTTTCTCTATCAATAATTAAATCCAAACCCTTTTTTGTCTGTTCTGAATTTACTGACTTATATTTGGGCTATCTTATAAACGATTTTAAAAATCTTACGTTCCTTTCAAATTGAGCTAATAAAAGAAGAAATTATTGTCGATTTTATTAAGTGAAGAGACTTGTCTTGATCGTCGGAGTTGACTCTTGGTTTTTTTTGGAGTTGCCATTCCTCACACCCCTTTACCTATCGGAGATGTCTCCAGCGAGAATCAGTGGCGCCTCATATAATTGTATTCTAGGGTTTCGAGAAACTCTTAACTTGCTGATCACTCAATCGAATTTGAAACACAGATGTCAGGGACATAAAGGAGGTGGATGTTGGAGTCTGGCTATATAGAAACAAGAGAATATATCATCGGCCTTCTCCGCTAAACTAAGAGGTGCTCTCTCGAATCCAGTCGTCCGTTACGAATCACCGTCCAAGTCGATCTATTCGTTTTTATTTCATTTTAAAAGTTTTATTGACAAGAATCAACTACAAAATAGTGAAAAATGGGATATTTTATTTATCAGGGCATATAATGAACAAAGAAAACGTAGCAAGCTGTTGATTCTGTTGGTCACAAGGGATTAAAGCGATAAGACATGTTACGAGCAAAGAGGTCACAAAGTTAGTTGGAACTTTTGAAGCTTATGAACATTCCTGAGTTGAAAACCTTGTACAGAAGAGTAGAACTCAAGCCAGTTGCTGATTCTTGATGCCATAAACACAGATCAAGAGATGTTCATCCACGCTTACCAAGTTACCTAAGTTAATCAGAGAAAGAAAGAAAAATAAGAAGGTCAAGTTGAATATCGATGTAGGAGTAATAGAAAGTATAAAGTAGTTACCTTTCAACTGGTTTTTGAATTCAAGAAGTCTCCTTTCCTTTCCCTTGAAGCCTAGAGTCGCAGCTATGACAGACAGACCTCTAAGACTTTAATTCAACACCAAGTAAGAGTTTGATATTTTTCCTAGAAAGAAGAACTAAAGATACTTACGTTACAAGTAAATCATTGAGGCATGTACAAACTACTTTTACATCTTCCTTCTCTTTTTCTGGCTTTTGTAACTACTTTTCTAATGAAAATCGCTTTTTTGAACTCTTGTTTTGGTTTCTCTGTTTTATCAATGGATTTTGTTCAATCATGGTTAAGTCTAAAGCTGTGTAGTCTTATCCGTTCCTGCACCACAAAACACTTGTGTTGCCTCCGAAATAAAACCACATAATTGTTAATGTGAAAAAATCGAACCTTAATATTTTTTTGTAAAACCACAAATTATTAGATATTGAAACAGAGTCACCAAACAACAACAAGAGCGAATAGATAGTAGACCACAAGGGATGAAGAAAAGGAAAAAAGAAAAAAGATAGTTGACCACAAGGTTAAAAGATTATTAAAGAACATGATCAATTTGATGAAGATGATCATTGATCAACCACCATCGACACCACCATTGTCCGAGGAAGCTCCTTCATCATCGCCTTGTGCTTCTAGTTTTGCCGGATCTTGAACAAAAGGCATGGGATAAGAATATGCACCAATAGAATGTACAACACCATAGTCACACCATCCATAGAACCCAACAAGAGCACAACCTTTGCTCTCCAGCACGAAATCAAAAAGATTTTCCCCAACCGCATTTCCCAATGTCGGAGAGGTCCTCTCTTTTGATGTTTTGATAGTCAACGATCTAATATACGTGTAACCATTACTCTTTGCGAATTTCCCCTCTACGGACGTGATATACTCATTTGGGTAGTCCAGTACATACTGTGTAAAAAGATTTTCCTACGTATAAGTAACAAGAACATGTATATAGAAATATAAGTGTATTTTATGTATATGGCCAACGAATATTTAGAGTTAGTAGAAATTGTGACCTCTGCGTCTTTTCCAACGGCTGCAGCCTTCAACCCGTGCTCACGGGCTTCCACTTTGCCTTGGTTCTCGTACTCGAAGGTAATAGACCTTATAGATTCATCATAATGAACGAACACCTTCCTAACTCCTTGGAAAGTGCCATCATCCCAGTGGTCTCCGTTACTGTTACCTATAAGCTCCAATTTTGTATGTGGAAGCCTTGTGAAATAAGCTCCGAGCGAGTTTAGGTTCTCCTTAGCATATCCATGAAACCATATGATCCTCATGCCGTTGCACTCAAGCGAAAACTTGGTACCCCGTTTCCCGTTTCCCATCTGTTTTGAAATCTTCATGTTCGTTTTGAATTGAAGTGTTTGAATCACACCGGAAGTCTCGTCGTAGTAACCATCCACAGATAAAAGATATTCCTTCTCGAGATGGTTAATCTCAAACTACAAACCCAACAAAAAATGTTAATAACATATTTGTGGAACTAAACTTTCATAGCATTTTTTTTTCTTTTCCCAAACATCTCATCCCAGTATCCCACCAACAAATATAATGTTATACCTCAACAATGATACAATGAAGGCACTATATAAACCACAATCGTTATCTATTAGAAATAACTTGGGGAGCAAGAATATCATTAAATATAAAGGAATTTTAGTTTTTAATTATCTCAGTCATACATGATACATACCGGCACTAGGTCGAAACCTTCATCCGGGGTAGAACCATGGAGTGGCCCTTCTTGCACATGTCCATCCTTGTTAATATAATCGAATCTGATGTTTTGTACGCCTTCATAACCACATCGTACAGTAACCTTTGTTACACCCTCATGGTCAGCTCCATCATCCCCAGTATCATTCCACTCATCGCCTCCTTCGCCCCCTTTCGGTTCCAATCTTGTAGGAAGAATTTCTATGAAATATGCTCCAAGAGTGCCGAGGTCCTTCCAAGCAGATCCGTGGAACCCAATGATTTTTTTCCCATCGACTGCTAGTGTAAACTTTTCACTATTTGCATATCCCATCATTTCAGAGACTCTCAAGTTGGTTCTGAACTGAAGTGCTTGAATCCCTTTTGTAAAGCTTTTATAACCCTCAACAGATTCAAGATGTTCATTATTTAGATGGTCAATCTCAAACTAAACGCCCAAAAAAAAAGAAAAAAAAATTAATATGGTGAAAAGAAAAGTCTATATAATCAAGAACATGAATAAAGGGAGTTGAATTAGCATAATATCAAAGTCATACATACCATCTGCGTGAAACCTTCCCTCGAGTAACCATGAGATGATCTTGTGGGTTGTCCAGTCTTGACATAATCAAACTTGATGCACTGTATGCCTTGATGAAGACCACCTTCCACATATATCGTTGTCACATCATCATGGTCAGATCCATCATCCCACTCATATCTGTCGGTTGCATTCTTTACCCCTACCGCTTCCAACCTTTGAGCTGTCATGTCTAAGGGAGTTGAATCCTGAGACAGGGAGTTGATATTGTGTTTATTAGTCAATATTTTGCATCAATATATGCACATGTATTACTATTTAAAATTTTAAGAGAACAAAAAAAAAGAACCGTTTTAAGCAAAAGATCAAACACGATCTAGACTGAAGAAGAAAACCATTTGCAGAAAAGAAGAAAATCACGTTTATTGGGTTAAAACTATGCTCTAATAGTTTATTTAAGAATATAGGACAAAAACATTAGCGAAAATAAAAGCAAATCTGGATAAAGAGAGGAAGGGAGAGAGCTGACCTCTGAATCTCTGATGGTAGAGGAGGGAGAGAGAGTTGGAGAACAGATAGTACGGTATGCTGGTGGATGAAGGTTATTTATATACAGGTTAGGGTCTTCTATAAATGTAAATTACTTGGTACTTTAGAAATCTAAATACGACAAGAAAAATGAAAAAAAAGAAAAAAAAAAAAGAAATAAAAAGACTCGGGCTTCGGGGTTGCCTTGGTCAATTTATATTACATAGCCATCTTTGGTCATTTAAAATTTTAGGTTGACAAAAAGAAAATTATTTGGAAAATATCATATGGACATTGTTATATGAGATTAGGCTTGGGCGTTCGGGTTTCGGGTCGGTTTTATTTGGGTTATGTTCTTTTCGGTTGCTAAATTTTAGACCCATTCGAATTTAGGGAAATTTCGGTTCGATTCCTATCGGGTTCGGATCGGTTCGGGGCTAAATTTTATAGTCCTGCTCAGGTGTGTGCAAATTTTGGTTCTTGTTTGGATATGTTTCGGGTCTGATTTGGGTTGGTTTTAATCGATCTTTTGAACCGAATACTCTATCATAACCTGAAAACCTTAAAAATAACCGAAAATATGCAAAATAATCGGAAAAACTTGTTTTGATTCCCTCTTCTACTAATTGTTTTTGGATTTCTCGAATACTTTGGTTATTTTGCTCAAAATATAATTATTATTTAGACTTATAATTGTAATTTTAGTTATTTTTGATTATTTTAAGTCTAAATATAATTAATATTTTGAATATATAACTATATTTTAGTTATTTTGGATATCCAATCACTTCTCGGTTTGGTTCGGGTTCGAGTTCAGTTTTTTTCGGGTATAAAAAATTTGGACCTGAAATCGATTCGCTTTCATTTTTTTGGCCAGATTTGGTTCGGGTCCTCGGGTCCAGATAAAAATGTCCACGCCTATATGAAATAGTGGAGCTCTACTTAGCCTTATTATAATTTTCGTCAACGCATTGTAAATGTCTTCTTTCAGCACTTGTAATTATTTAATTATATTCTCACATGAAAGTTGTGTTGTTGTGAAGAAATGCACCACATGGAAAAAATAAATAAAAATGTGTTAATTACAAAAAGGCAAGAGGATTAATTAGTAGAAACCACACCTTAAGGCTGCTTACAAGGTGCTTCATTATCTTAAAGGCACCATTGGATTTGGCTTGTTTTACTCTGCTGATTAAAATTTGGTTCTCACGGGTTTCACTGATGCCGACTAGATGTCTTGTGTTGATAGTCGCCGTTCTACGTTAGGCTATTGTATGTTTCTGGGAAACTCTCTTTTCTTCTGGTAGCAACAAGTGGTTTCTAACTCTTCCGCTGAATCGGAATACAGAGCCATGGAATTTGCTTCTCGGGAAGTGGTGTGGCTGCGTGGCTTGGTGGAAGAGCTGCAGGCACCACAATCGAAGCCAGTTGCTTTGTTCTGTGATTCTACAGCTGCTATACATATTGCTAGCAACCCTGTGTTTCACAAGCGAACGAAGCATATTGAAAAGGATTGTCTGACTTGATCAAAACCATTCATGTCAGGACTGGTCAACAGCATGCTGATGCATTTACAAAGCCTCTGTTTCCAAACCAGTTCAATGCTCTCATGTCCAAGATGGCTTTAACATTTATATACTTGCCATCTTGAGGAGGGGTATTAGATATAAGTGCAGTCGAACCGGTTTACACTAACCATGTTAGTTATTGGATTAGATAAATGTACCGGATCTATATAAAGTGTACGTTGTAAACGGTGAAAATCAAGATGAATAACATAAATCATTTTATCCATTTCGTCTTCTTCTCCCATTGAATCTTTTCTCTATTAGTCATGGACATGGAGGTGAATGTTGGAGTCCTGCTCTATAGAAACAAGAGGAAGCCCGAGTCGAGAGACATCCTCGACAGAATATACCAGGCGGAGGAACTTGAAGCGGAAATAGCCGCATTGAAGGAGAGTGTCATGGCAGAGACGGCTGATGAAGATATCATCGGTCACACCTACTCCGCTACGGGCTACCGGCCGGAATCACTGTCCAAGTCGCCCACAGTTTGTTGGAATCAACACAGTCATGTACTATCTTGCAGTTTGTAGGTTACGCTTCAAACAAGACAGCAATGGCTCTGTCTTTCATAACCTCAGGGCTGTTCGCCATACGGCTGCTGGTGCGTGAGACCAAAGGGCTTCACTTGCCTAGTTTTCTTCGGCCGAGGACTAAGTCTCAGCCTCAGCAACCGTAGCTACATCTAGCTATAAAGCCAAATAAACAACATAGATTCATTCATATTATCAATTCTCTTTTTAGTTTGTAAATTTATTCATAGGCAGAAAAATTGATTCAGAGACAGAACACATAAAGGCATATAGTTGAAAGATGGTAAAATGGCTTCAAACTCCAACATACACTCATACAGAGATCATATTTATCAAAATTTCTCTTCTTTCACAAGCTCTAAGAAGCTACGAATTCTATCAAATTCTTTTATTTCATTTTAAAAGTTTTGTTAACTGCAAAATAATGAAAAGCTTTGAGTTAACTTCTTATTTGATTTGAAGCGCGAATACTAATGAGATAATTTATTTATATAGGCAAATAATGAACAAAGAAAACGTAGCAAGCTGTTAATTCTGTTAGTTGTCTCGTCTCTCGCCTCTTTCAATACGTCACAAGGGATTAAAGATAAGACATGTTACGAGCAAAGAGGTTACAAGTTGGCACTTTTAAAGCTTAAGAACGTTCCTAAGTTGAAAACCTTGCACATAAGAGCAGAACTCGAGTCAGTAGCAGATTCTTGATGCCATAAACATAGATGAAGCGATCTTCATCCACGCTTACCTAAGTTAATCAGAGAGGAAAAAAAAAAACAAGTCAAGTTGAAAGTGGAAACCTTTTAATTTTTATATTATTAATTGAGAAGTACATTCTAATGTTTGGATACAAGAATTAGAGAAACATCTATTTGGATAGAAGATTAAATGGAAACAAAAGTTGTATGGATATAAGAATAAGAGAAAAATATATTTGGATACTATTAATTGAGAAGTACATTCTAATGTTTGGATACAAGAATTAGAGAAACATCTATTTGGATAGAAGAATAAATGGAAACAAAAGTTGTTTGGATATAAGAATAAGAGAAAAATCTATTTGGATAGAAGAATAAATGGAAAAATTGTTTGGATACAAGAATAATAACTTAAAATAAACCGATGGTTTAGAAAACTTCCGTTTTCCATCTCTTAAAAATCTGCAAAAAAGAAACTTAACATAATCTAACGATAATTCCAAATCAATAGAATATGCTTTTTGGATTTTCGGGTTTTTATAGACAAGTTCGGGTTTGGGTGAAAATCTGAGACATAATTTTATAGAGATATAGAAATTGTTCGGGTTTCTTTGAAAATTTCTGTTCGGGTTAGGTTCAATTTTTTTTTTCAGTTTAGGGTTTTCCGGATTTTTTAGATTTCTGGTTTTCGGGTTTAGATATATTAAAAAAATTGAGTATTTTAAAATTTTGATTAGGTATTGGGGTCGGGTTCCGGGTGAAAAAGTTTCCAGATTTTTTTTGTTCAGTCAGGGTTTTCGGGATTTTTTTGATTTCGGATTTTCATGTTTAGACCTATTAAAAAAGTTTGGGTTTTTAAATTTTTTGATTAGGGTTTTTTGTCGGGTTCGGATTTAGGGTTTAAATTTTCTACACAAAACAACAATGTCACACCGCACAAACGTGCGGGTACTCTACTAGTTGTTTTTTTCATTCAAGAAGTCTCCTTTCCTTTCCCTTGGACACCAGCGAATAGCTATTTATCATTAGACATAAAAGTAAAATTGAGAAACATCTACCCTATACTCATGTCAAGCCCTTCATGCATTGTCTGAGGAAACTGGTTGTAATGTTATTGATATCGATTGACGAAAAGTGAATTAAGGTTTGTTGAAGAGCAAAAAGAACCAGGAAGAGAGAGTTATTTTATCTTGGAGTGTTACAGAACTATTGGCAGAAAGAAACTAGAAGAAAAAAAGCAATGCAAGATAATTAAAGGGCTCTTTAGTTATTTCTATTTATTTAAAAGCCCCTAACAAAGAATAAAACGATGTCGTACATGTGCTTCAAATAAACCTTGCGAATTCGTCAATTTTTTTGTTTTGTTTTCTGTTGACCTGAAGCTTGCGGAGAAGAAGAAGAAGGTGATTGTTGGAGAGAAGAGATCGGGGATGGGAATAATAAAGAGCTGCTTCTCCTTCATGACGGGTACAGCTTTCGGCGTTTACTTGGCCCAGAACTACAACGTCCCCAATATTCGGAAGCTCACTAATACCAGTCTAGTCGTCGCCAAGCACATCGAGGAGAATTATCGCAAGCCCAAAAAAGACGACGCCGAATGATTTGGTATCTTTTCGAAAAACCTTGAGCTTTCTCATGTATTGTATTTTGGGAATCGAAGAATATGGATCGTGATCATTCTTTTGCATATTGAAATTTGGGATTTTGGGGGTTTTTAAATTGAATTTTGAGTGATCATGCTCTGGTCAGGAATCTGGTTTAACAATGTTGTGTCTTTCTGACCCAATTAGTTTCAATTGTTGTTGGATCTATCATTGTTAGTGTAATTGGATTTCTGAATTGTGAAGGTGAGCTGAAGAAAGAGAGAGCCAAGAATGGAGGTGGTGGTGGTGCAATGGCATAGTTAAGCTTTCTCTCTCAAACACGTGTTAGAGATAGAGAGTATTGGTTGTGCCATATGATACACAGAGATTTGATTTCACTAGGAAGATGATTAACTAAGAAAGGGTTTCATGTATAATTGACATATTGTGGGATCCATTCAAGTCCTCAGTTTTGGGCTGGTGGCTTTGCTTCCATTCTTGTTTTGATCACTCACACTAATACTGATTACTGACTATTACTAAACTCACCACTGTAACTCTTTTGTCATCATAAAGAGATTTATTTTTAATTAAAAAAAACATCTTAATGGTGATTAATGAATAATCCTGTTCTTTGATTTCATGGTTATACTGATATGCATTGTGATTTCCGATGGCCATGGTGGATCAGAAGAGGAATTTGTATTGGTATTGTGCTAGATTCCTTGACTTTCTATTCAGAAAACTATATGTACATTACAATCTCTCATCAGTCATCACACATTGCCATGTATGCCTTAGAGAAAAGAAAAGGACTTGTTCCTTTAGAGCCTAGAGGGTTTGGTTTTGAAACATTTATCGATGAAGAAAGTGATTTATACCCATTAAGAAAAACTAAGGGATACAAAGTGCAACCCGCTTGGTCAGTTCCATGGTGGCTTTAGCATGTTTTGACCTTTTTCACCAATTACTAATATTATCCTTATCCATTAATGGTGGCTATAACATGTTCTAATACTCAGCCTCTGACTTGGTCCATATGCCTTTTATTTTAATCTCAAATTTTCTTCCTTAAAATGTTTAAAATTGAAAATATAAAGTCGTTTTGCATCGATGTGAATGTTTGTTATGTAGGCAAATTGTTAATCCTCCTACTTGCTACTATCATAGACCAACTTTTTGTTGGTTTAGGTTTAACCATGGTTGTTGTAAAATCAATCTTTAGTTTATTGCCTATCATATACATATACAGGTTGTGGGTGAAACGTGTAAGGATGGGAGTTCTCAATAAAATAGTGTACAACAAACTGAATCTCTTCTCACGTACATACAAAACATACATTCCTTTCTTAAATTTTCAAAGCCTCCACATACTTTTTGTTTGTTGAAACAAAAAAACATATACATACTGAATTATATATATAGACTATAGTTACGTTTACAGCAAACCGGCGTCGTCGCTGCCGTTGGACGGGAATGATGGAGCCGATGTTGCGGCGGCGCACCCTCATGCTCTGCGAGGAACTATCACTTCCGTTGGTACGTTCTTTATTTGCATACTTTTACTTCTCTTTCATCTTTCTTCTTAGGTTTATCAATCGTTTCATGCAGCTTCAATTCTTCTCTTCTATTCCAGTTTCGTACTTTCTCTTGTGTTCGTTTCTTTTCAAATTGAAAGATATTCTTAATAAAGGAAACCAGTCACGAGTCTCTGTAAATTGCGTTGAGTGAAACCATTGTTGTTCGATCATCCATTAGTTAACTATATTGCAAACAGATTTTCACATGTAATCTCAAAATTCTCATTTTTTCCCATTCTATAATTTTCATATTATTTCTTATCATATGTTCTCTGTTTCAGAACATATATGATCTAAAGCGACTTTTCTAAAAAGATCGTCATTTGTCATTATAATTTCGATATTTTTTTGTATGAAAGTATCTAACTAGTCATACTTCAGAATAAGTTCAAAAAATAATTCCAAGAGTCAATTGAGTTTTTTAGAAGTATAATGGATATTTAATTAGTTTTACAATTCGAATGCAAAGTCTTAAAGTAACATTTATTTTGAATATATGTTAAAGCAAAATATTAACATTGGAGTTCATAATCAGTTTCAAGTTGTAGTGATAAAGGCAGATGTGAGATGTGTCCGTTGTCAAGACAGAGTCTCTAAGATTGTCTCCAAGATGACCGGTGAGCTCTCTCTGCTCAAAACCAACTATGTTTTCATGAATAAGTGTGTTTATATAAAATTAATTATTGGTTAAAACCACAATCAACTTGCAATTTAATACTTTTAATTATGCTATAATTTCTTGGCTGCTACCTAACGGTTACCATCGTCCTTATTCGCACTTAAAAAGTAAGAAACATCCACGATCCTTTTATTTAATCCCATCTGTCATATTCGATGATCTATAATCAAATTCATTGATTGATTATTAAAATGAGAGAATAATTATTGAGTTTATTTGACCAAAGCAGGAATCGAAGAATACGTGGTAGATTTGAACAACAAGCTGGTCATGGCACGAGGTGATTTTAGGCCGCGTTTGGTTTCTCATCAACGACAAGTCAAGAACGTTGTCTCTCAAACTCTGTCCCAAAACGCCAAACGCTTTTTTAGACCTTTAAACCTCTTCCTTCGCTCTATTTTCACCCTTTGCTTATGCCCAAGTACATCTTAAATTCTCTCACTTACTACAAAACTCATTACAGTAATTAATAGTGTGGTACTAATTAACATCCAGAGTGGTTTTTCTGGTATATATCATAAATTTATGTGCCTATTTGTCTTTTCTTTTCAAAAATACACTTTAGCAACAAATATTCTTATATTTTGTTATGAATGTGAAATATTGTAAAAGTAAAATACCCAAAATTGTGGCAAACAAGAATGCTTAATTTTATTGAGAAATGAATGTAAAAAAAGGAGTTGCGAACAATAAACATCAAACTGGCCGTTGTTGAGGTTAGATAAGAAGCATTACAAATCCCCAAAAAGCCAAAGTTTCGTATATAATTTAAACAACAGAAGTATAGAGTACATTTCCATACTCACTGGCCTTCTTGTGGTATCATCAGCTCTTCAAAGTCACCAACACTTGCCTCAAATGTATGAGAACGGTAAGTGTAGGCAATGTATAGCTGCTTAGTTTGGCCTGGACATGGATCACAAAAGCCCATGATCCCTGATTTCTTCACTCCCTCGTGGAGCTTGAGCTGCCCTGAGTCACTCACAAGGAAGTTCATGGGCACTGTCACGTCAATCACTCCTGAATCAACTTCTTCTAGCTCGAGTTCATGTCTTCTCTCTATTGCTTTTGGGTCACCATACAACGCCTTTGTGACTATAAGCCCATTTGTTTCCACTTGTCGGTTTCTCTTCCTTGTAGCTACGGTTTGTAGCAGTTGCTGGGCTTTCTCAGCCGCTGCCCTTGCGTCCCGAACCTAAAACCAAACAATTGTTTTTAAGAAGATTTTATAGAGAGATCGTCTACCATACTCAGAAGTAACTATTTACCTTGCCATAAGTGTTCTCCATATTCTCCAATGCCTTCTGTTTTTCTCTTTTACGCAAATACGGCTTCACCACATATTTCTGCGTGCAACAGTGAGTATTCATTCCGTTAAGGCAAACACCTTATGAACAGAGAGCAAAAGTAGATGATATGATATATAGAGGGACTAAATCACTCACCTTTAATAAAAAGTAACAGGATGTTGGAACAATGAATGCTCCAGTTGCAAAAACTGGACCTAAATACGACGTGAGCAGAATCTGCATGTTTTAAAGATAATCATCATGGGTATGCTAAGGTCTTCAAAAGTGAAAGACTTCCTCAAAGTAACACGAAAGTCAGTTTCTTTGTGCAGAATTAAGTTACGTAAGAGTTTGGGAGAGAGTTAGGGAAGATGCTCTAGCATTTTATCCCTAGGTTCTTTGGATTGTTATTTGGTTATGTTGGTTTGTGGTTTCCTCATATATTCTACTCCAGGGATGAAGAAAAAAAAGGGAGAAATAAACACTTACGGGAACAATCAGTTTTTGGCCACCACGATGTAGCTCAAGTTTCCAAAAAACACCCTACAACAAATATACATAGTATCTGACATAAGCAGAATTCACAATAATAGCTAAAATGGCTCTGAAAGATGATATGAAAAGTTTACCTTGATTCCAACTGTATACATCGCTCTTACGGTACTGAACTCTGAAATCTTCCTTCCGCCACCCACCTCAATCTCAAGAGCATTGCTGAAAAAGTTTAAAAAAAAAAACAAATCATCAAATGTCAAATGAGAACATTAACTAGGTAAAGACATTGTGTTAAGATTGTTTAGAGTTATCTTTCAGTAACACATACCTTCCAATTCTACCTACAACACGACCGTGAGACTTCGATGAGAGTTTACGAGTATAACGCGCTGACGCTTCGAGTCCACCGGTCTCAATCTGGTTAACAGCAAGATCATAAGTAAAGAAAGTGATGGAAATGGTTGAGGTGGAACACTCATAATAAAAGTTGGCAGCAAGCGTACCTTCAGGTCACCAGCAGCAGATACATTATCGTCTCTCTTTTTCCATCCGACTGTAATACCTGAGCGCATACCCAGTGCCAGTTGAATCTAGAAGAAAAAAAAAAAACTATTTGAAAATCGAGAAAACTGCTTTTCCCCCCTTTTAGCAAATCAAATCGAAACCATATAACAGAGAGAACATACATTTCCGCTTGAAGTTTCCGAAAGCTGTCGAGTCCAAGTGTTGGTAAGATTAATGGAACCATCACTCAAAGACTTTGCAATGTTGATAGTGGCAGTTGAGTGTATGGACAACTGACTGCCCCAGCAAGAGAACCCATAGAGAGAGAGAGTCAGATAAACCATTAAAGATGACCGGAAAATAAACTAACTGGAAAAAAACTAATGAGCCTACCGTGTAGTCTGCATTCCAATAAGCGACTGCAGACCCGTCGAAGCCACAAACTCTATGGATGAAACTGGAGAAAGCTGACGTCTAAAAATGGCGGTAGCGACTCCACCACCAGACTTTTCATTGGCTCCCAAATTTCCGCCAATGGCAATAGCATCGTCTTTTGATAACTGAGACTGCACTTGACTAGACATAGCCATTCTGACAGTTCCAGATGCAAGCACGGAAGAAAAGAAATGGACATCAAAAACCAAAATTCACCTCAAAGGAAACAACAAAAACATTATCTTTTCTCAACAACCATTTGCTATAGAACACCCAAATCAAGAACCACACTACCACAAAGACCTAAACTTGGAAAGAGCAAAAAGGCACATACCCTCTCATGAGGCCATCACCGTCTAGAAAATGTGGCAATGACAGATCGAAGGCAATAGAACCAGAGGGTAGAAAATGCGCCATCTTCTTAGCTTCTTCGTTTCTCCTCTTAATCCTCTCAAGCTCCTCTTTGATCTCGTCGGCCTTACTCAGCCTCGGACCTAGCTCTAATCCTGAAGTCAATCCCTCCATGCCGTATAAGTCATATATTAGCCTCTTAGTCTCATCAGATAGTATCTCGTACGCTTCACATATGCGTTGGAAGTTCTCTGTAGCGACCTCCTTCATCTGAACATTCAATTGAAATCAGCCCACTGACACAATTAATTCGATTCCGTAAATTAGCCAAAAACGATAACGACGAGCAATGTCAGCAATCACATACCTGAGGAGATTGGTATTTGTCTGGGTGATACACTTGAGCCCATTGACGATAAGATTTCCTGATTTCTTCGTCGGAGGCCTCCGGTGATATATTCAGCAGAGCGTAGAGCTCTCTATTCTGCGGCCCAGTCGGCGCTGCTTCATCGCCCATCATTGCGTGAAATCAATCGCTCGGGGGTGATTGAATCTCGATAGCGACAATCAAATTCGAAGTCGATATTCCGGCGTGAGGAGGAGTTCGAATCGCCGGAGGGTTTAGGGGTTTTGCGGCGGGGATTTGGGTGGGGGTTTTGACGCCGCTGGTTTCGGCTTAGCTCGCTTTGACGTTTTTTGACGACTTTTGCTTGAATCCCAAGTCCATTCTCTCTTTTCGTTTTTCATCCCCAATATCTCCGTAAATTGTACTTTGGACAGTTTATTTTATAAATTGCTCATTTTAACCCCTTGATCTAGCAGGGTCATACGTTTAATGGGCCTTAAATGTCTATCAGGCCTCAGCTACATCTATAAGTGAATATTGACCCACAAAACAATCGATTTCTAAAGAGATTAGTGTGATTAACAAAGAAGACAGAGTGATATACTTTTATTTGACACAAAAATGAGAAGCTCTTAAATCTGTAATCTGATCAAGACAGACATTATGATTTGTGGTGACTGACACATGGAAACCATTCAACTGTCGTTTCCTTGATTCCGAGCTTATCAGATTCGGTAATTCCCTAGCCTAATGGGTTAAACGGTTAAACCCATAAAAAAAATAAACCAATGTCCCGAAGTAAAAAATAATCACAAGTTGTTTTAAGTTTTTAATTTGATGGTTCAAATCCTATTTAGTTAAACAGATTTGACGGAAGAACCAATGTATTATTTTCGGAGAATACTATTCCATTATCAAAATTAAAAATATCGGTATGAACAAAAAGTGTTAGTTTGAAGGATATATTTTGACATTTTTAGGCATTTCTTGAGAAATATTTAATCATTTCTTAAGCAATATTTAATCAATTTTTAAGCATTTTTATAGTATCAGTATATAAACATTACAGTGGTCAACTAAAATAACTAATTAATATATATAAGGTATATTGAACCAAATATTTTGGATTTGAATTTTAATGAGTTCAGATTAGTTCTACCTGATTAGCCTGAGGTTAGCAAAGCTATTGTTAACATCAAGGAGAATGCTCACATAGCGTATAAGGTTTATGAACCTGGTTTTCAAAATTTAAGCCTTCCGTTTGTGCTCAACTTTCGGTTTGCCAAAACGGCTGATTCTTCTAGAGGACCTATTCTGAATGCTATGGAGATCAGTAAATATCTTCGGAACAGCGATGGTTCTGTAGACTGTGAGCTCAACATAGCCCCTTGTTCCTCTTTTACATTTTGTATTGCAGCTGCTGTTATGGCTAATATAGCATCTCTTTATTTATCAACTGAATGGGGTCAAGAAGGCGGTGATCCATGTGCACCCTCATTGTGGTTGTGGGTGCAATGCAATTCGGATCCGCGACCTAGGGTTGTTGCTGTGTAAGGAGGATGTCTATCTTATTACCTTTAATTGAAGTATCCACTTATTTTCTTACTTTCTATATGTTGCTAATGTATGAGCTTATTTTTCATACTAGGAGTTTGCGTGATTGTGAGAGCTTGTCATTTGAAGATTTTGTTTAACATGTGTTTATTTACAACTTAATTAGATCTGTATGATTTGATTAAAAGATGATCGTGCTGCAAAAGGAAGGGCATGTGTTGAGAAAGCTACAAGGTCTGGCGAGCTAAGCGACATGTACGGATTTGTAAGGCCACTAAATTTCTATTTTATGATAATGCTTATATTTCTAGGGCTACCAATTTTTTAAACCCTGAAATGTTGTTGTTTAAAAAAATAATAAAATTTTACATATATCTTTAAAGAATAATAATAATTTTTTTGCATATTATCGATTACAATTTTTATTTTTGATTCGATCTACCTTAGACCGGCAACTCGATGATATGTTGATCGGTCCAAATAAAACTACGACATTGTTTTGGACTTTGATATTATTGAGGCTAATGTGTTGATAAACGTTGTGGATAGCTTGTGACATAGACTTACTACTAATATCCATCATGCATGCTGAATTTATAAATTACAAAAAAACGGTAAGATATCTTACATACATTTTATGTTTGTATCTCTTTACCTTATGGCTTATGGTATACTAAATTTGTTCTTTGACAGTCATAAATTTTCTGTCACCCAAATCGACAAGTGAAAAGACTTATCAATCTGTGAACAGGCAAAAAATGAAAGGTTAGGTACAGTGAGAAGATTCTAATGCAATGAAAAATCTTGAAAAGAGACATGTACAAAGCTGAATTGACTTTGAATAAATGATGGCTTCTTTTACGATGTTGCTTGGCATCCACAATGACTCTTATCCCCCATTTAATTATGTATTTCTATCACCAATTTTTTAAATTGAAACATATATTATAGATTACTTATCTCATCACATCAACATTTTATACATACACACAAAAAAACAAAACAAAATCGGTAGTTCACTTTGGAAGACTAACGTATGCTTTACTTAGTGTTGATAAACTAAAATTCAAGTAAATACGTAGAGAAGTCAATTGAAGAAAAAGGCACTTTAGGTGGATCATGGATGTAAGCATCTCAGAGACCATTTCAGACATTATGGGCTGACGCGGTTACGACACACGCATAAGAAGAGTCGTACATCGGATGATTGTTAATCAGTCAACGTTACTACATTTCCTTCCTCTTTCCCTTTTATGCCCTATCCTATTTTGTTTTCTTCGACGATTTTTTCGCCATGTTCTAACTCTAAAAAGGTCTAATACAGCTACATAATAATTAATGTTACAACATGTAATAATCTAATAATACCTTCTCAAATCTCAATGCTAGTAGTATTTTTATAGCGGTATATCAATATACATGTAGAATATAAATATATGATGATTACTGGTCAGTGTGTATATATGTAGAATATTATAGTGATTAGTGTGTATTAAAATGCATATATTTATATATGTTAGTCAATGGTAGATATCCACAATTGGAAATCTAATACACTTGTTTTATTCGATCTAAAAGGGTCGGAATGGACTATTTAATCTGACTGCTTAGAGACTTAGAGTTTTGGATGCCGTCATACACAAACAAATGGAAATATTATCTTGTAATTAACAATACAAAATACCATAGATCTGTGACCATATAATATTTATGACCAATTGATAAAGCGTAAGCCAAAACAAGATAAGAGTAAAGTGGTACAATAAGGTAAAGAGGTGCAAATTGATCGCCGTTTTATGTTTAACCATTTTTCTTACTTTTTCTCTTAGGTCCGATTGGTGATACAATACTATTGTAAAAAGTTCAACTAAATATCGGACCGCAATGGTAAAAAATTTACTAATCAAATTCAAACCTACTATTATTCGTCTATTACCAATTATTCTTACTTGCCACCAAAACACACCTACCGTTTTTTAAGTACCTCGTCACTTCTTCTCAAAAAGAGAATTCATATCCATCAAACATTCAAACCATTACATTTTTTTACTGTTTGTCATCTAACTCGGAAGAACTATTTTTTACCCTTTAAAGCTATATGCTACTTTTCTTACACAAACAAATGTGTTTGGTTGTGCGATTCTTGACAGAACTGAGTCAATTAACTTTGAAATATCGTTTGTTGTTGTTTTACTACAGTAGAAACTCTATAAATTAATACTCGAATAAATTAATAAACACGATAAATTAATAAATTTTTCCGGTCCCAAGTTGGGTCGGTGTAAAATATGACACAATTCGATAAGATAATAAGATAATAACTTTTTTTAAACTCCTATGTAAAATATGGTCCCAATAATATCATAAATTAATAATTATCATATAAAAACTTATTTCTATATATATATATATTTTTTTTATCTAGATATCTACCTACTAAAATATGAATCTCTCACACATAAAAAAATAAAAGGAAAAAAGGAAATTTAAAACAATATAGGAGTATGAGAAAATGTAAACAATAAAGTAAATATAGAAACAATTAAAGAAAAAAGTTAAAAAAAATATATGTATAAAGGAAAATTCTTATTTCATTTGAAGGAAAACTTAAAAGACTATTATCAATTTTTTTTTTTGAAAAAAAATTTTTGGTCAAAATCTATATATTAATAACTCTATAAATTAATAAAATATCAAAGTCCCGACATTATTAATTTATAGAGTTTCTACTGTATTTGTAGTAAGGAATATAGATATGTAGGACAAATCTTATATATAATAGGAGAGTTGCTCTCTCCTCCTAGGCTATCCACATCAGCAAAAAAATCATTAATTGTATTTAAGATATTTAATATATGTGTATTAATATTTCTTTATATATATTCCTATTTTACACATAAACAAAACTAAGAAAAATACACAAACAATTTAATTGATTAATATAAAGTATGTGATATCTTGATGTTAAAAGTTAAAAGAAAGTTGTAATATAAAATGGAGATGAAATAAAGAAATATTTAACTTGAAATAGTATATAGTTAGGTTTTAACTCAAAGGATTTATCCTATTTAAAAATGTTATAATGTGCTTACAAGTAAAAAAGGTACAGTATAAATTATTTAACATAGTAAAAAGCTAATAAAAAATTAGAGTTAGAGTTTGTTTTATTAAAAAATAGAAGTCGAGTTATTATTTAAATTTCATTGCAACGAAAAGTATGAAAATTTTAAGAATGGTGACATGTTTGTTTCAAAAATACAATTTATATTTACAAAACTAACATAATAGAAAATAATCAATTGTCATATGCTACCACAACAAAGCATATATGTAAGAAGTTATACATGTTTTTGTTTTTCATCATATTTTGAGTGCAATTGCGATTCTACACCATGTTTACAAATTTTAACGTTGAGTCAAATGCATATTAAATTTTAGAAATAGAAAACTCGAGATGAAGTAAGGTGTTAATATCTTAATAAAAAAAATTGATCATATTGTTAGTGTTAATTGTTGGGTTAACTCAAAATATAACCAAAACATGGAAGTTAACATATAACCATCATAATTCAAAATTTCAAATCAATGAATATAAATAAAATCAAACAGAAAAATTATCGCAAACAACCCGCGCTTGCACGGGGCTTTAATCCTAGTAAATAAATAATTGCACACCATTTGCCAAGAGGACAAAGGCTCCACATGGTCCAAAATTGACCATTTCCATAAAATTAGCTGCCAACAAAGACATATAATAAAACTACGGTTACTCTCATAACTCACCTTTAAACAAAGATAGCAAACCTTAACACACCATCATCTTGTGCGTTACAGACTAATCAGCGTTACACATCTCTCTAAGTTCAAAAGAAATGTGACTAAAGATATATACGAGTTTTTTTTTTCTTTTTTCTTTTTAAAAACTCTTTAAATGGGAAAAATAATGTAGAATTTGATCAGTATCGAAAGATAAATCAACGGTGATATCAAATTTGAATCCGAAAATGGACAGTTTCAGACTTTCGGTAATCCACTGATGTAAACAAAAGTTTATAGTTTTCAGTAATAAGCAACTAATGGTTATTAACTTATTTTATGTTTAATTCTTTAAACAAAGATATTATCATCTTAATAATATTTTTCATTGGCCACTCGCTATTATACCTTTTTAATCCTTCACAGTCTCCCAGAAACCTCCCTCTCTTGGATACATCATTGTGTGTGTGTATATATACGCGTATTCGTTTACAAATTCCATAAACAATTCAGATTCTGAATCATTCTTATTAGTTTTGTATCTTCCCATTCGGACATTGTGCAGAGAATTCAAGAATGGATTTACAGAGAGGTTTAGTGTTATTGTGTTGTGTTCTTTCTCTTTTGACAATCCAAACGACGGCGTATCGAGAGAGACAGCTGCTGCTCCAACCGCAAGAAACGGCGGCGATAGACACCGCAAACACGGCGGTGGCGGTTCAAGATCGGGGTTTGAAAACGCGGCGGCCGGAGCATAAGAACGCATACGCAACGATGATGTACATGGGAACGCCAAGGGACTACGAGTTCTATGTGGCGACACGTGTCTTGATCAGATCGCTGAGAAATCTTCACGTGGAAGCTGATCTTGTCGTCATCGCTTCTCTCGACGTCCCTCTCCGATGGGTTCAAACTTTGTAAGTCTTCTTCTCTTCCTCTGTTTCTCGCGTCCACAAATTTTTTCCGACCATTACCAAAACGCTATCGTTTTCGGAAGTTGACCACCATACTAAAATATTACACTAGAATATACAATTTCTATTAAATTTTGTATTTTTCGATTTTGATGAAAAGGACTCGAATTTTCGACTGACTTATTCATAGTTAATATCGAGAACCAAAAATTATAGGTTTAGTAGGTTTTGATTATTTCCTTAACTTTTTGTTTGTTCTTATCGGTTTCACGAATTCAAAACAAAATTGTAACGTCTATGAACTGTACCTTTTTGTCCTATTGACTATTATTGCAATGATTTAAAATATGAAAGTTAATTAAAAGTTGGCGAGAATCCAACGTTGGGTAGATATATATGTAGTTGACACTTAATTCGACCCACGTATTTAGCTCCATCTATATCCATCTCAATTATTTACATGTTCTCGAACTTAAAGCCATTGAAATAATTTAGAAAAAACAGTGCTCAAAAATCGGTAGTTGTTAATTCTTTTATTCCCCCTTTGTAATTCTTTTTTTCTAAAAAAAAAATTTGTTTTAAAATACTCTTGTGTCCGACTAGTACTAACCACGGTACAATCGATTTTTCAAATCTTAAAGTTATCTTTAGTCAACAATTTACCTAGGAAAAGCTGGAAACATGCGTAGAGTAAAGAGTATATGAGAATTAGGAGATTTATTTGACTTTCTTGTGCTCTGATTGAAAAACCTTTTGGAAACAAGAAATAGCCGTTTTGGTCAAACTGTCTGTAACTGTATTAGTATTATTTTATGGCCGGCCAATCTGCTGTATAGATCATGCAATAACGTTTCGAATAACCTATAATAATTGTGAAGAACACTAAAGACTTTTTTTGTTTTTGTTAAAACAACAACACTACGACTTGACATATACATATACAAATAAAATACATAGATATATACGATAAAAAATCATGCATGCATAGATTAGTTGTTGGTACGTGTGTGTATCCTAACGAGCTAGTGTGTGTGTATACTAACGAGTGTGTGTGTGTGTGAACAGGGAAGAGGAAGATGGAGCTAAAGTGGTGAGAGTTGAAAATGTGGATAATCCATACAGGAGACAATCCCACTTCAACAATAGATTCAAGCTTACCTTGAACAAGCTCTACGCTTGGGCTCTGTCTGATTACGACCGTGTGGTCATGCTAGATGCCGACAACCTCTTCCTCAAGAAAACCGACGAGCTGTTCCAGTGCGGACGCTTCTGTGCTGTCTTCATAAACCCATGCATCTTCCACACTGGCCTCTTCGTCTTGCAGCCTTCCGTGGAAGTGTTCAAGGACATGCTCCACGAGCTACAAGTTGGAAGAGAGAATCCTGATGGAGCTGATCAAGGCTTTCTTGTCAGTTACTTCTCCGATCTTCTTGACCAACCTCTCTTTCGTCCTCCGAGTAATGGATCTGTTCTCACTGGTCACTTAAGACTTCCCTTGGGTTACCAAATGGATGCCTCTTATTTCTGTAAGTCTTAATCTTCTAAACCATTCAATCTTGTACATATTTTGGCTAACCTAATAATAACATGATCTCTATCTATATACTGACAGATCTTAAATTAAGATGGAACATACCATGTGGACCAAACAGTGTGATAACATTCCCAGGAGCTGTCTGGTTAAAGCCATGGTACTGGTGGTCATGGCCTGTTCTTCCACTAGGTCTCTCATGGCACGAACAGCGTCGCACAACTCTAGGTTACTCATCAGAGATGCCTTTAGTCATAATCCAAGCAATCTTCTACCTCGGAATCATAGTGGTCACAAGACTAGCTCGTCCTAACATAACCAAGCTATGTTACCGCCGCTCAGACCGCAACTTAACAGCGATCCAAACAGGTTTCAAGCTCCTCTCACTTCTCTCTGTACTCGCAGCCTACGTCTTCCCGTTCTTCACCATCCCTCACACCATACACCCACTCATCGGCTGGTTTCTCTACTTGATGGCTTCTTTCGCTCTCTCCTCCATACCAATCAACACTCTCCTCCTCCCAACGCTCCCTGTTCTCACTCCCTGGATAGGTATTCTCGGCACGCTTCTCGTCATGGCCTTCCCTTGGTACCCTGATGGAGTTGTGAGAGCCTTGTCGGTTTTCGGATACGCTTTCTGCTGCGCACCGTTCGTGTGGGTTGCGTTCAACAAGATCACGTCGCATCTCCAGGTTTTGATTGAGAAAGAAGTCCTCTTTCCGAGATTGGGAGACTCAGGGATCACTTCAGGCTTCAGCAAATTGTATTAGACAAAGCGACGTATATATTGGTTCTGTATATAAAAGGATTATTCATTATTGTTTCATTCACATTTTCTATCAAAGCTCATTCTAACCTTATTTCTTTTACCTAGTCAAATCTTTCTTCTTGATTCTTTTTTTTTTTTTTTTTTTTTTTTTTTGATAACCGTGGGGATCCTAAAGGCTTTTCAGGCCCAAAGACTAATCCCACGAGGTCCACGGCAGTCCGCATATTCTTACCATTTAAGGCAGCCCGGGTGGCCAAGGGAACTCGAACCCAAGTGGCGGAAGTCACCGTTGTGACCCCTTTACCATTGGGCCACGAGGCCTTGGTTGTTTCTTCTTGATTCACATAAAGAAATGAAAATAGAACAAGAAAGATAATAAAGAATACAAACGATTTAGCCTAAACCTTGCCAGAAAAATCCCAAAATTCAAGAATAAAACCACAAAAAGACAAAAGAAACAATAAGAGCAAAAGCAAAACTGAGATAAGATAAAATCAACGGTAACGACGGAGAGAAAGAATGTTGTTCTTCTTCCAAGTGGCTCTACGTGAAGGACGGTTCTTGTGATTTCTATGACCTTTACCACGAAGACCTCTGTTCTTCTTCCCTTCCGATGTAAGACCTCTGAGCTCACGGTGCTTGTGAACAGGGTTGCAAATCCAGTTGATTCTCGGGTCGTTACGCACCGCGTTGTGAGCCGGATCGACCAAGATGATCTCGTAATACTTGTAAGTCGAGTCCTCGTTGAGCCAGTAAGAGTTTAACACTCTCAAACCAGCCAGTTTCCTCCCGGCTCGCTCCTCCGCGACAGATCTCTTGCTTCTCTGAAACTTGAGCTGTGTCACTCCCTGATTCGTTGGCTTGCCGTACACGATACCCTTTGGCACTGGTCTCTTTCTTCCTCCTCTTCTCACTCTCACTCTGTACACAACAAAACCCTAAAAAGCAAAAAAAACAAACATCATCGTCAAAAAAACGAGAAAAAATAAAAACTTAAAATTTAACACCTGTTTCGACAAGTCCAGTTCTGTACCTGTTTCGACTTGAAACCCAAACGACGAGCTTTGTCGGGACGAGTCGGTCGAGTCAAACGAACGATCGAAGGTTGCTGTCTGTATTCCCAGCACCTCACTCGCTGGATAAACCTCATCACGTCCGATTGCTTCTTCCTCCATAGCTCCGACACATACTTGTACGCACCTGTTCATCATCATAGCAATCGATTGAACAAAATCAACTAATCGTTACATTTACCCTAGGAAAGTGTATTAGCAGCAGCAAACAAAATTTTACCCATATCTCAAGGTCTGTTGATCGACGTTTCACCGGCGCCGGAATTTGGGTTATCGTCTAGGATAAATAGCGACATATATTTAGGTTAGAGTCAACACGACGTCCCTTACTATTTGGGCCAACTATTACCCATTGGGCTTACCATCTGCGACATATATTTAGGTTAGAGTCACACGGCGTCGTTTATTGTTTGGGCCAATGTGTCACCCATTGACTTTAAATCGTTATGAGTTTGATTTTTTCAACATGTATATGATTATCAATTTTGAGAAAAATAGTACGTAATATATTTTTATACTATGATTTTTTAGCAATTCTAGAATATAATGGCACCGGACCAAAACAAAAACGCACTCGGACCTTGGTAGGTCCAAAAACCACGAAAAGTTGAGCTTCATTAGGTGCCAAATATAGGTTACACCCATGTCACTTTGTCCAATGACCACAATATGTTAAATTATTTCCATGTCATTTTGTAGGTTGCGTGATTTTCTTTGTCATATGTTATTTTTGTGTTGAATATTTGATTTTTCAAAAAAAAAAAATAACAGTTTTATATTTGTCATGCAATTCTCCATTTTATGTCATTTTCTGTGAGGACATTGTATTTTTCAAGTAGGTCTTTATTTTGGTTTCTGTTTCTATGTTATCTACATTATCATGGATGGGATGCAAAGAGAAAGAAACATCTGACAATTTGTTCATGCAATGTAAATGAGAATAATTCATTAAATAAATTGAAAATATAGCCTCTCTAGCAATCAATAATCTATCTTATGCTATTATGTTTGAGTTCTGTATTATTTAATGCATTATAGTTTTTTATCTATTTAAAAGAATATCATCATATACTTTTGATACATTCAATAAATCAGCGCATTAAATCTCATCAATTTTTTTTGCTAGTACCCAACTTGTTAGTTCTTATTATTATTTTTTTTTTGTTAAAGGGCTTTCGATTAGATTAAAAGCTACAAAGTAGCAAAAAGACATACAGCCATGAAAGGAAAGCAAAAAGAGATGAAAAAACCAAAAATCAACCAAAAACATGGGAAAGAGACCATTGCTGGAGAATAAGATCTCTACGAGAAGATCCTAAGGAAGACATAGCTCGACATTTATCTTTCGCAGAGCTGAGAATAAGACTGAAGACTTTCCCATCAGGAAGAGTAAGTCCATCATGAAGCCTTCGATTTCTCTCCTTCCAAATCTCGTAAACCGCTCCTTGCCAACCTTGTAGCAAAGCAAACTTGGTGGAAGCCGCGAGAGAAGTAACATTAAGCCAAAGTAGTAACTAAGTCCACTCCATAGGCGCCGCAGGAACACGGAGATGGTCCTTAATCCTACTCCAGATCGACGCAGAGAAAGGCCATTCAAAAAACAAATGATCCCGCGTCTACAAAGCACCACCACACAGTAAACAAACCCCTTCCGTATCATAACCCCAAGTAGCCATCCGGTCTAAAGTGGGGCTCCGGTTGAGAAGGAATAACCAAGTAATGGTCTGATGACGAGCTAGACCCGCTTTATGCCATAGTAAAGAGGCCCAAAACACCTCTGGCTTAGTGGGACGAATCTCATTCCACACCGCCTTAAGTGAAAACGTTCTCTGAGGAACTCCTTGAAGAGACCAAACCGGTCCATCAGCAAGATCAGAACATCCGATAGATAAAAGATATGAATGAAGCAAGACCTGACGTTCTGTTCGTGCCGGTGGTAAATTCCATCCCGAACCATTCCAAACATCAGAAACAGTAGCAGAAAGCGGGATGCCTAAACGTGATGGTCCATATGCACCTAGAAAAGCATGGAGAGAACCAAACGGAGTCCAAGGGTCCCACCAAAAGAAAGTAGAGTCCCCTCGACCAACTTTAATGCTGAAGAACTGAATGGCTTTAGCTCGAAGCTTCAAGATCTTTCTGAACATCCAAGAAAAGGAAGGATTCCTATCATTGAGAGCCCAGAAAGACGACTGAGTAAGATACCTTCGACGAATCCAAGCCACCCAAATAGAACCGGCTCGAAAAAACAACAACCAAATCAGTTTCAGCAGACAAGCATTATTCCAACTCGATATATCCTTAAGTCCAAGACCACCTTCTTCCTTGGGGAAACACAGAGAGTTCCAAGCAACCTTTGCTCCAGAGGCAATACCCGTTTTGCCATGCCACAGAAAAGAGCTTGAAAGAATATTGATTTTCCGAATCACCCTCCTTGGTAATATAAAGGCACTCGTCCAAAACCCAACGATTCCGGCAATAACCGAGGAAAGCAATGAAAGTCTTCCAGCCAAGCTTAGAAGCTCATTAGACCAAGAATCCAGCTTCCTTTTGATAAGAACTAGCAAAGGGTCACAATCCGCCACAGTAAGCTGCTTGGATGAGAGAGGGAGACCCAGATAACGAATAGGGAGAGAAGATACCTTCAGGTTAAAAAGGGTTTGAATACGGACAAGTAACTCCATATCCAGATCCTGACAGAACAAAGACGTCTTTTGTAAATTGATTCCCAACCCCGAAATCCGTTCAAAGTCTTAAAGAACTGACAAGACTCCTCGTAAAGACTGTTCTGAACCCTCCAAAAAGATTAGTAAATAATCCGCAAAGCAGAGATGAGTTAACTAAAGCTCCTGACAGCCTGGATGATAAGCAAAGAGTCCTTCTCTAGCCGCCTTATTAAGCATGAGAGATAGAACATTCATGATCATCACAAATAAGATAGGTGATAAGGGGTCCCCTTGACGCAAACCTGATTTTCCTTTAAAGTAACCCGAGGTAACTCCGTTCATACTCACTGAGAATGATGGAGAACACACACAGCATTTAACCCAGTTGAGAAAAACAGACGGGATCTGATAAGCCTCAAGAACATTCAGAAGAAAGTCCCATCGTACTGAGTCAAAAGCTTTAGAAATATTCACTTTAAGAGTGATCCGCTTCTCAAATCCTTCTCTATGATATCCCTGAACAATCTCTGAAGCGAGAAGAACATTTTCCAAAAGAAGCTGGTCCTTCACAAACGCCGTTTGATTAGGAAGAATAATTCCAGGCAAAACATTCTTAAGACGCTCCGACAGTAGCCTGGTAATAACCTTGTATAAAGTGTTGAGGCATGCAATAGGACGAAAATCCTTAAGCTCCTCTGCACCAGGTCGTTTAGGAATAAGCACCAACGAAGTAGAGTTTAAAGACGTGGGCATAAAACTTGATTCAAAGAAATGCAGCACCGAAGCTTCCAATTCAGGGCCAACAACATCCCATGAGGCTTTAAAGAATTCCACAGGAAAACCATCAGGGCCAGGCGTCTTGTTTAATGGCATTTTGAATAAGCTTCTTCGAACCATCTCCGAGTTGAATGGCAAAGAAAGGAAGCCTTGTTGAAGAGTAGAGCAAGTAGATTCAACAAGGGTTGCCAAAAAGCGAGGTAGATCCGGACAATACATACCTCTAATAGTGGTGAGAAAGGACTGATAATATTCCACCGCCCATTCATGTGCTTCTTGCAGCGAAGAGGTTCTCATTCCATTACCCCGAAGAAGATATTTAATACCATTCGAAGCATTACGCACCTTGGTAACCGAATGAAAGAATCTTTTATTAAGATCCCCTTCACCTAACCACCTGATACGAGAGCGATGCTTAAAAAAACTCTCCTTTGCTACTCTTAATCGCATCCAATAATCTTTGGCCTCTAATTCCAATCGAATGTTTGCCTGAGAAGGATCATTTAAGGAAATCAACTGCAGAGAAGATAAACAAGAAGCAGCTTCCGAAACTCTTCTCTCTATATCGCTATAATTCTCCTTGAACAACGACTTCAAAGGCCTTTTCATCTGCTTCAACTTGAAACAGAAATCGCGAAGTGAACCCACTGAAGGCCGTGCTTCATTCCAAGAGCGAGAGATTGTTCCCACAAAACTCTGATATTTGGTCATTAGATTAAAAAACCGGAATGGTCTGGTACCAAACGATGGACGTGGAGTATTAAACCGAATTAAACCCGGAGAATGATCAGAGAAATCCGGGGGCTCAAACGAGCAATGCGCTGCTGGAAAACGAAAAAGCCAGGACCCATTCACAAGGCATCGATCCAACTTTTTAGCAATTGGCTCCTCAAGACGGTGGTTAGACCAAGTGAAGCGAGGGCCATGAAACGGAAGATCAAAAATCTCAGCAGACACAAGACCTTCCATGAAATCTCTCATCCCTCGAGTAGTTCTATGAAGATTAACATTGGACGACTCAAGGGGATGCAAGATTTCGTTAAAATCTCCATTAACCAACCATGCCTTCTCAGACAAACCAAAGGAAACAAAAGAATCCTTCAAAGAAACCCACAAAGCTCTTCTCTCTTCTTCCAAGTTTGAAGCATAAACCGCAGTATAAATGAAAGGTTCCTCAGACTCCATAGAAATCTCACAGGTGATAGATTGATGATCCTTGAAAAGAACACGAACTTCCACATGATCTCGATATATAACCCAAATCTTTCCCAACTCCGAGAACTCATAGTTAGATATAAGTGACCACTGAGGTCCTATAGCTGATAAGACGGGGCCTATATTTACTTCCCCAACATGCGTTTCAAGTAGCGCTCCAAAAGAAACTGAGTTCCTGGCCAACCAGTTTCTGAGAGGACGATGCTTGGACGGATCATTCAACCCACGCACATTCCAAAAAAATGTGTTCGACATAAAACGGTTAGTGATTGTGATGCATCTCCCCATCCGGAGGGGGATCATCACACGAACCAAACGTAGAAGAGCTATATACCTTCCTCTTCTTCTTTGGGACATTAGACGAAGCACGATAATCCACACCCTGTGCCGAATCTTCAAGAATAACTAAAGCCATATTATCTTCACTTAGCATATCAAAAGAGTTTGATAACCTTGGCTTAGTAGACGAAGACGAGTGGGAAGGATTCTTATACGAAGCTTTCTGAGAGGAAGAAAGAGAATTATCCGCCACAACCAAATCCATAGGGCCCTTATCAGCAGAAACATGAGCTTTTTGAGTAAAAACTGGGATCAAGTCCAAACAGGGATTCGCAGAAGATGGATCTGAATGAGAACTCCCTGGCTGAATAGGATGATGATCCTTCAAATTCTTCACACCCGAAGAAGACTTTACCACTTGCTTCCATTGAGATTCATTTCCATTCGGAACAACTTTAGCTTTCCTCTGCTCCGGAGTAGGCGATTGAGACTGCTTAGGAATCGAGCCCTTCAAAGGCTTATTTGATTTGTTCTCCTGACCAAAACCACGAGGTTTATTCTCAGGACCATAAACCCGAGGACATAAAGACTCCTTATGCCCAAATTCACCACATATATCACAAAATGGAGGCAACCAAGGATAAGTAATCTGCAAGATCAATACTTTGCCATCATCCCTCTCCAGCTCCACTTCTGGTGGCAGCGGCTTAGTAAGATCGACGACAACCTTGACATCCGCAGAGGAAATACTTCTAAACGGCTTGTGCTCCACAGCTCTACCCAGATGCTTACAAGCAATCGCCAAACCTTCCGGAGTTAACAAGTCAAAAGGAATCCCTTTAACATTAGTCCACACTGGTGCTTGATTCAACGATGGGGGATTAAAACTAAATTCCGATCTCCATTCCGTTACAAAGAAAGGAGAATCACCTAAACGCCAGAGCTCATGCTGTAAGATCTTCCTTCGAAGAGATGGCGAGGGAATATGGAAGAGAAAAGCGTTTATGGTAAGATTGTGAATCATAACCCTCTTATCCTTTCCCCAGAGATAATTGAGAACACCCCAAATTTTTCCGTATGAGGGAGGCTTACCATAGAAGATCCCCACTACGTAATCACTATGAAGCTTAGCCCCCCGCTCAAATACTTCATTGGAAACTTTGACTCTTGGCCGTCCTGAATCCGAAATCGACACCGGAACTTGAGATTCAGGAATTTTACCAGAGGAACTTAGGTTTTTAGCCCAATTAAAACCAGATCTGTGCCCCAAAGGAGTAGCAGCAGCGGAAACCGTCGGAACTGAACCAACAGAAGATGTAGGCACCGAAGCAATCGGTGAATCAGACATCTCGATTTCTACGGACTTCGAAGAAGATGGATCAGGTGGAATCGGCGGTAGAGGCAGAGCCTCCAACATCAGAAAAAGATCTACGAAGCAAACTAGGGTTAAAAGAGGGGAATTGCCAAATCGCGGTTAGGAGAGAGAAATAACTTTTTTCCGACTAGAGAATTTTGTGATACTCTGTTAGTTCTTATTCTTAACAACAACTTTTCATTGTGTCATTTTCTTTAAAGTTCTCCTCCATTGCATTTATCAAGTTAACTCTAAAATTAAACCATACACATATATAAGATGAAACATCCAGTGTAAAATTTGCGGCATTTAAAATTTCAGTCGTAAGTCCTTTGCCCCAAATACTTTGTCATCGCCTCGATCTCACTGATCTTTCTTGGGTCCCTTTTCATTATCATTGATAGAGTAAAATTAAAAAAAATAAAGTATTCTCGTACCTTTTGTAGATCACATATTGGTCAGTAATTTGTAAAGCAGCTTGACCTTTGGGAAGACACCAACATTATAAAATTATTACAAATTCCACTTTCGTCTTGTTCGTACAATGGCAATCGTACGTAGCTAACCTAGCACGTGCCCCCACAGCCCACCATTTCTAACTTCATCTGTAGATTCTCTTAAATATTTGTACGTTCCTTTAACTTTTTACTCTTGGTTATATCTGCAAAGACAAACGATTGATTACGGTTAAACATCTAGAGATCGATAACCTCTTAATAGTCGTAGACTAATTAATATGTAGAGTATTTGTGTATTGTTAAATTATGCAAGGGTAACTGAGAAAGAGTGGGTATCCGGTATTTGTGTATCGTTCTTGGTTTCGAACTTCGAAGGTAAAGAATAGAGTTTCAAATATTTACTTATAAATCACACTAATTCTTTTTAGCTTTAGAAATATAAGATGAATAACCAGGTTTCATTTTCATATAAAAGACAATATTTATGATTTCATCTCATTTACGTGGACAGGTATAGTCGAACGAGTCAGAACAACGGCAAAAATGAAAATATCTAGTTTTGAAATTGGAATCAAGGGATCTAGACATTAGTCACCTAGGATTCTCCAGCTTGCATATGTCATCGTTGTATGTATATCACATAAATATGTTTACACTATCAAAAGACATATTTTTTTTGACCAAAACAAAAATTTAGTTAGTTGTTGTTATCAAAAGACATATTTGCGGTTATGAATTTGATATGATACATCAACAACATTAATACAAATTGTTAAGACTTTTTTTTTGTTAAAAATTATAGTTATATATTTTTTCCAAAACTAATAGAAACACAACAAAATAAACTCAGTTAAATCACTCGTCCTATGATACTTTCGTCCATCATATTACTATTAGTCTATTACTGATAAGTACGTAATATACTTTTATCTTATATATATCAAAAGAAAAACTTTGGATGACATTGTTACCGAGCATAATTTTTGAACATGTAAAGGTTCTTCTATGACATGAAATAGCAATATATGCATCTATAGAAGTTTTGAACAAGTATTAAAACATTTATTATACCAATATTCAAAGATTTCAAACTACTTTATTACTATTATTCATGGGCACAAAGAACAGAGAGTACATTCTTGATTCTTTTGTTAGATCGTTCAAACGTCTCTCGCTTGTATCCTTTTCTCCCGCTAGTTCTAGTGTTAGGTTTTTCGTTTTTAGTTATAGTTCTTGTGCTTCTTCTGTAATCGTTGTACTTCTTGTTTATCCAGTGGAAACAAAATTTACGTGGAGTATATAATAATTATTATTACCCTTGGTGGCCTGCGTTAAAATACACTTATGGAAAGAAGAATCAAACCTCAATAATCTACCAAAAAAATTGTTGCCATTATTTGACAATGATGTGATTTGGCCCGATGATGTCGATGCAACATAAAGCACACATCCACACACACATATGCACGTACCCCTGTATACAGAGACAATTTAAGAAAACAATAATTTTAATTGTTTTTCAAAAACATCATAATTTCCAGAAATTTTATAAAAATATTACAACATGCTGTTCTATAAACCACCTTTGTAAACACATATATTTGTTCTACCCAAAAAAAGAAAGTTATCTTAAAATTCAATGACAGATTTAGAAAACAAAACATATAATTGTCGTAAAAACTATCTAAAGTTTAATATTTTGTTTCTGAACAGTATCACAAAGTATTAATTAATCAAGTATGTGGCTATATACAACCAGATAAATATATTATTTGGAGATCACTTTTTTGGCTAAATGCGAATAGCTTTCATTAAAATAATGATTAATGTATAAGATCTTAATTAATAGGCAGAATTTAATATCTTCAGTGAAAAAAGGATTGATATATTTTCTGTTAGAGGAGTTCCCTGAGCCCGTCATCATTAGTAAAGTCACAAAGCCCAATCCGATTTTAGGCCTAACATCTTCAAGAAAAAGGCAAGACTTGAAGAGAAAGGCACAATCCATGGAGAAATGTAAATAAATCTTCATGCCGACTTAAAGAATGGAAGAAAGATCCAAAAACAAGAGGGAATTTTCCATATCGCAAAAGAGGAAGTTTTCCATCTCGCCTGAAGGAGAATATTCATCATTCGGCCGACTTATCAACATATATATTGAAGACCCCCCATTGGGAGAGGGATCCGAAATCATCTAGAATCACTAGGCTTTCACATTAGCTTTTACTCTATCCTCTTGTTCATCACCATAATCTCGCTAGGCTTGTTAGCGAGATTGCTCTCTTGTAATCTTCTTGATAATCTAAGAGTCGAATTAAGCGTTCCAGTTTCCTAAACTCACATCTTAGATAGCCCGTCTTGACGAGTGCTATCTCGGATTCAACAATTGGCGCCCACCGTGGGGCTGGAAACGCTTCTCGCTATTCATCTCGAAGATATCTAGATTTTCACGAACTAGCAACGATGGCGAACTCGAAAGAGAACACTCCCACCGGGAGCCCGTCTCCCTCAGAAGAAAACTTAAGCGACAGTCTACCAGGCACGATAGACAAGTCGCTACCCGCTGAAGGTAGGGACAAGCCTGTCCCTACAAGAAACCCATCTTTCTCGCCACAGAGATCCGTCTCGCCGCGAAGATCGACTTCGCCGCAACGATCTCCTCCGCCAAGAAAGGACGAGAGCCCTCCTCCGTCCGCACCACGCCGCTCGAGAAAATCTTCCTCGAGCGACAAACCCCGCAGCTCGAAGAAATCCTCCTCGAGCGAGAAGATCCTCAAACTCATGGAGAATCTCGTCAAGCCACTCGCCGACGGTTTCGAGTCAATGCGAGCACAGCAGAAAAAGACTCAGGAACAGGTGGAAGCCCTAGCACGAGAAGACGATGAAAATCCGTCAAGTCCCACCGACGGAACAACCCCCCGTCCTGCGCACTTCAGGCGACTTACCACTCAAGAGCTTGAACGGGTGAATCGCCGCCTCGACGAGGTCGATTCGAAAGTTCATCGCGCCACCAGCTCAGCTCCGGAATTGACGAAAGCACTCGCCGACACCCGAAGAAGCCCGCTCACCCGCAGGCTCCGCCAGATTGAGCTACACGAAAGAGTTCGACTCAAAATCGACTCTTACACCGGCGAAGAAGACCCCAAGAAGTGGCTAACCGCGTTCAACCTCGCCATGAGGAGGGAGAAATACAAATCTTACGATGAAAGGGAGGCCAACTACTGTCAAGTATTCGTCGAGCACATGGCGAAAGATGCCTTGACCTGGTTCTCTAACCTCCCCGCCGAGTCGATCGATAACTTCGACGACCTAACCAATGCTTTTCTGAAGCATTACTCCATGCACATGACCCGAATCACTCGGAACATGTTCACCACAACGCAAACCCAAGGCGAACCATTGCGCAGCTTTATGGAAATTCAAACAAGCAGCTCGCGACACTGGCGACATGCCCGATAGCGTCCCGCTGAAGCACTCCGCAACGGCCTCTGGTACGACTCCAAGTTCAAGGAGGATTTGTCACTAAAACCCCCTGCGACTCTGGAGGACGCGTTCCACCGCTCTCGGAACTACATCTTCCTCGAGGAAGACCAGCGCTTCTACGCCGAGAAACATGGAGATAGGAGGGCAACCTCGACGAAACCCAGAGAGGAACCCATGGAGGCGCGAAGAAGACACGATCCAAAGAGGTCTCTCCTCACAGCGTTCGCAGCAGCCGACGACGAGTTCGAGCAAGAACACGCAGCGGCCGTTTCGATGCCACAAGACATCAACTCGCTCGGAGATGACAACGATACCAAAGCTTTCTGCAAGTTCCACGGGAGGACTGGCCACGCCACTGAAAACTGCAAACACCTAATGAGCAACCTCATGCGCATGTACCATCGAGGAGAAATCCCGCCAATGGACGGTGATAGGTCCCAAGGAAAAAGCTTCCCGCCGAAACCACCAAAATCTGGGCAGCAGGAGAAGCGCGGACGACAACCCCGTCCGAGGAAGGATGCAGAAAAGGCGGAAGCACCGCTTGGGAAAAGGAATCGTGATGACCACGACGACCTACCTCCGCCACCGAAGCGACAAGTCAGCATGATCATGGGAGGCTTCCTGGATAACGACGATTCCATATCGGCGATCAAGGAATACGAACGAAAGGCCGTCGCGGCACAACGCTACCCGTATATCCATAAAGGGATCCCTACCATCTCCTTCACGGATAAGGATGCGAGCGGGCTGGACATCCCTCACCTTGACCCACTCGTAATCACTCTACAGATCCACGATTGTGACGTCGCGAAGGTCCTGGTTGATACCGGGAGTACGGTGAACCTCATCTTTCTGGAAACACTGAACCGCATGGGGTGGAGGAAGGATCTATCAAACCTACATCCCGTCCCCTCACCGGTTTCACCGCCGAGCATGTTTACAGCTGTGGCACAGTCCGGCTCCCCGTTTATGTCGGCGGAATTTCAAAGCTCTTGAAGTTCATCGTCATGGACAAACCGGCCATCTATAACGCTATCCTCGGCACCCCATGGCTCCATGAAATGAAAGCTGTCATCTCGACGTTCCACCAATGCGTGAAGTTTCCGATACCCTCTGGAATTTTCACCTTACGTGGAGATCAAAGAATGACGAGATCATGTTTCCTCCGCGAGCGCAAGCTCCGCACCGCGTCGTCCTGTATGATAACCGAGCCAGTATCGGACGACGAAACCGACGAGTCCAACGCAATAAAACGAGCCGTCGCAACGCAGAATGCAGATCCCCCGATCCATCGGCAAAGGAACTCCGAGCCCGCCTGGAAATCCGACTTAAGGTCCAGCTTTGCACTAAACACAAGGATCTCTCCGATCTATTCGAGATGGAGCAACTCGAGGACGAACCGCTACGAAGCTACCTGAACAGATTCACTGCTCGGGAGCACCCCCAATCGCGGAACCGGTACTCGTCCAAGCCCTCGGAAACGGACTTCGATACGAATCCGGATTCTGGGAAGATATCCGCATCCGCCCCTCCCCAACTTTGAAGGACGCCTTCCTTCGCGCTGAGAATTACATCCGCCTCGAGCAAGACATCCCGCAGCTACGGTTCGACCCCGAAGATCCTCGGTTCCGGCTAAGAAACAAGAGAAAGTCATCATCCTCTCGCCCGGAGAAGTCCACGCATAAAGCACCAAGGTGCCATCACGAATCTCTCCCTCGCCGAGACGACGCCCCTGTCTACGAGGCGAGACCAGGAGAAACATGGAGAATCGCGCGAAGACTGATCGCCATGCACCCCCGCAATGCTCGTTCTCCGATCAGGAGATATTCGAGATCATTGCCGATATTCGAAGAACTCCCCTGACAAGCCGCCTATCCGAGGTACCACTGAAGAAGCGCGCTTCACTACACCTAAACTTCTATGATGGCCGAGAAGATCCCAAACAGTGGATCACATCCTTCATGACGGCCATGAGAAGACAGAAATATACATCGCCGGAAGAACAAAGCGCGCACTTCTGCCAAGCCCTCGCCGAACACTTGCGCGGCGACGCCCTAACATGGTTCAGCAACCTCCGTGCCGACTCCATCGACAGTTTCGACGATCTAGCAGCCGCTTTCCTAAAGCAACACCTCCGTTTCGCATTAGACGACCTCGTCTTTTGCAAAACCGATGACGATACGATCTATGGTCTCGGCAAATTCGGTTCCGACTGGGAAGGACCATTCCGCATCGCGAAAGTCGTCAAACCAGGTATCTATCAGCTAGAAGACAACCTCGGCACCACGTCCGATCGCCTCTGGAGCTCGTCGGATCTGCGCAAGTTCCATGACTAGACGCGAAGCACCGCGCTAGCCAAAAAAAAAAAAAAAAAAAAAGACATGGCTTGATCCCGGCACGGGTACGTAGGCAGCCTTTCTCACAAGGGCTATAATACTTAATAAAATTTTAATTTTATTAAAACCTTTTCTCTCGACAAGCGCGCCTCATTCTGGCATAAGCTGAAACTTGTCGACACCCAGCACGCACCCGTTTGACGTCAAACCAAGTTATTGAGGCAAACTCAATAAGCACTTGCACTTTGCACCCTAAAAACATGGACTGATCACCCATTCATTAAGCCGAGAGCACGCACCTCGCACGGCTCTCAGTTCGTCGGACGAGCGAAAAACCGCTACCTCGTCACCCGCACGAAGCTTTGAAGTCGGAAGCATAAATCGAGTTTCTAGAGCTCGTCGCTGAAAGTAGGTTTAACATCCTAAGCACACAGACCTAATACGCGCCGGTCGGTGTCTCGAATGAGAAGTCATGACGAAACCCGAAAGCATCGCGTCCAGTCATGACGCACTAGCACCATCACGCGCACCATGTCGTGATACACTTAAAGGTAACGAGTCATCCCGATAATCGAATTTCCTACTCGGTGACGACCAAGTACTTAATTCATTTTATACGGTTGACGACACCATCGTCCTTTATTAAAAGACATAACCAAAAGCCGGATTACTTTCGTTGCGCTGCGAACTAATCAATTATGTCTAAAAGCCGTGACCGCATCACCACGCAAGCACGCAAAAAAAAAGAGAAAAAATCAATACTTAAACATCTTGAGTATCTGATATAAATCTGAAGCATAAATCCTAAAGCATACGGATAAAAACCTTCCCAGGCAATGTTATTACAACAAAAAGGCCGCAGCCAGAAAAGTCTTAAAACAAATAAAAATGGGGCCTAAGCAGACTTGGCCCCAGAAGTAGAGGGTCCCGCACCCGGATCCGCACCACCACCATCTCGACGAGAAGGAGATCCCGGCAGCACCAGCCGTTTAAGGCTGCAAAAGCAGAGCAAACACATAAGCAAACATTACGCAAAGCGCAACATAACGAGTAGAGAAGCAAAAATCTCACCTGTTAGGCGAAGCGAAGTCATCATCATCGATAACGACTTCGTCAATCGCATCCCCATCCGCGATGCTCTTCGCCAGCTTAGCCGCGAGCCTCTCCTCCACCGCGTCGAAGTTCAGATCCACTCCCCGAATCTTCTTCACAAAGTTGAGGAGAGCCTCGTCGACTTGCCTCCTCCCGCTGCGCGACGAACTCCGACAAGCGATGGAGGCGAGGAGCATACCAGTCATTCACCGAGTCGAAGACCTGAGTCACAGCCGCCTCGACCGATCTCGACGAGACCGTCGGAGACGCTCCATCTCAGCAGCAGAAGCCTCTGCATCCCGACGAGCCTTCTCCTCCAGATCGCCCACCTGAGCCCTTAGCTTATCCGCCCTATCCTGAAGACCGATAGTTTTCATTATCTCCTTGTTCAACGCCGCGATCTTTCCCTCAAGCGCGAGTTTGTCCAGCTTCAAATCGGCCACCATCGCATCGACATCTTTGGCTTTCTCCTGGTCCCGCTGCAACCTAAAAACCTCTTCCTTGGCCGCCTGAGAGCGTCTCGTACTTCTGGATCAGCGCAGTAAATTTCCCACCGGACATAACGTGATGCTGAGCCGCCTCGTCGAAATCACCCCTAAACTCCAAACTTTCGCGCGGAACGCCCCAAGTAGGATGAACTTTGGAAGACCAAGTCTTCCCTCCACAAGCGTCCCGGTTCTCCATGAGAGGGCAAACACCACGCCACCGCATCTCAAACGCATGAGGATTGAATCATCAGGTTCGATCTTCGGTAACACGCCATGGCGAGAAACCGCTTCGTCATCAGGTGCCGGGACGACTCAGGATCACCGCCCCGGATAAATGAAGGACCGTCTCGCGAGAAGTAAGGAACTCTTCCTCCCAAAAGGTGAAGTACCGCACGTTGGAGTCTTCAGAACATCATCGTGACGAGAAGCACTCTCGTCCTGACGAGGTACATTGCCGTTATGATCTGAAGGAGAGGACTCGAGCTCGACCACCCCTCTGGAACCTTTTCCGGAGCCGAAGATGATGTCCTCCTCGCCGAAGCCCTACGAAAAACATCAAAACTCAGCATCAAAAATAATCAGTCGTCGAGATTCGCAGTCATCTGATGAACAGATAACTCACCTCGTACGCGACGCGATAGAAGAACTCCGGAGAGAAGGAGAAGGGGAGTCCCTCGGCCTTGGGGATTCGACCCTCTTCTTCTTACACGCCGGCTCGGAAGCAACGACAACATCGTCAATCGGCACGGCGGTCCTCTTTCTAAGACCCATCGGTTTCTTCTTGACTCGAGGCGACCTCGCTGAAATAAAGCAAAATAATAACGCTAAGCGATTCATGACAGAGTCGAGTATGAGGGAAGGATGAGATACTTACTAGATATTGGAGTAGCGGGGACAGCAGGCTTGCTTCTCCCTTCTTTCCTCTCCTTCCTCTCTCTCTTCTCTCTCTCAAGCTTCTCCACGACCTCGGGCCAGATCCGATGACTAAGGTCCCTCAAAGCATTGAATTTATTTTTAAGGGCGGTGCTCGGCCTGGCTCGTCTTAGTGGATCTGCCAAGAAAAGGACGCAAAGATTAGTAAAAAGCATCTCAACAAAAGCAACAAGCTGAACAATTCCATCAATGTTCTACCCGGCGAAGAAACCCAATCGGTTTTGATCTGCTCGGATTTGAAATTCCCAACCGACGCCTTGCTAATTTTCACAAAGAAGAAATAGCGCTTCCAGTCGGGAATCCTATCCCGATAATTGCCGAAGACGATTCCATGACGCATCGCGGTGTGGAAACGTTTGAAGTTCCCCTCCCATTTGGACCCGGCGCGAAGATCCGTGACGTTTTCAAAAAGATAGCGGTCGAACGTGATATTCGCGGCCTTCGCTAAAGCATCCGTGAAGACCATGTGACGGAAGACGCCGTGAGTCAGTTGACTAACGGCGACGCCTCGTTCAGAGGCGAATTTCAACAGCAGGAAAGGCAACGGAAATTTCATTCCGTACTCGGTAAAAAAGCATTCGTAAACGCAAATCCATCCCGGCAGCATCATAAGGCCTCTCGTGCTCCTTCGGAATCCGGAACTCAATACAACCCGAAAAGCCAACTCTCTTGGTCAGCGCTGTAAGAATTTCGGGAGTCATCCACGTTCTGCCATCTGTTATGCGCAGCAGTTTAGATTCGGCGTGCTCCGGCATCTTAATAATCTCAGGGATGCCCGTCAAGCGAGGACGGTCCGGAACCTCTTCGTCATCACGTTCCGAGTCGCATCGGAATCGTCCGATGGGATTTCGTCACGGTATCCCTCCTCAGAGTCATAATCATCACAGGGGTCACACTCTACCCTCGCTTTCATCCTTTCTTTCCGCCGCCTCTCGACGCTCGGCCTCTTCCCTCTTCCATCTCGGCTCTCTCGACCACTCTTTCGGCCTCCGCCGCGGCTTCCGCTTCAGCAGCCTTCCTCCGGCGCGCCTCGGCCGTATCAGCACGGATGGCCTCGCCAAGGAGTCTGTCGGGGTTGCCGGATGACCGGGCCCGACGTTTGGTCTTGTCGTCATCATCCATGGCGATACCCTTCCCCTTTCTATCTTGCGAATCCATCCCGATTACGCGGAAAATTCGGAAATTCGAAGATTGGAGCAACCAAACTCGACGGAGCAGAACCCTAGGATCAGAAGACAAAATCGAAGCACAGCCTAACTAGATCCAAGCAATTCGCGATTCCCTAGTCCTAAATCCCGGAGAATCGATTCGAGAAATCAATCGAGGCAAGATTTGAAGTCGAGTAGCGGAAGTTACCTTTGATTCGTCGGGACGGTTGAGTGAGAAGAAGAAAGGAAGCAAAAATGAATAAAGGAAATTCGAACGGTCTCTTAATAGAGATCGCGCGACTTCCAAGGGACACAACTGCCCTTATGAATTTTTTATTCATTTCTTTCCCGCTCGACGGAAAAGCATTAATGGGCTTGGGCCTCCGCGCGATTTAATCAATTATCAGGCCCGACCCGCGCAATTTCGCAAAAAATAGATCTACCCGGGCAATGACGTGGCAGTATCGCCCAAATACGAACATAAGGGCGGATCCATCAAGCAGCATTCAAACCAAGAACGCATTTTTGGTCTCGGCAAAAATCATTCAAAGCACATCATTATGGATTAGATGACGTCAACGTACTCTTTTTCCTTTTATGGTTTTTGTCCCAATTGGGTTTTTCCGTACCAAGGTTTTAATGAGGCGGCACGAGTCTACATTCAGCATGCACCTAGGCACTAAGATCCGATTGAAGTGATGTATTTTTACTAATGATTCTCAAGCTCGTCCTCTATTCATGAAGCTCGCCGAGATCAAACTACATTTGACCTGCCGAGCTGGCGGGGGGACTTATTGTTAGAGGAGAAATTAGCACATTTCCCTGAGCCCGTCATCATTAGTAAAGTAACAAAGCCCAATCCGATTTTAGGCCTAACATCTTCAAGAAAAAGGCAAGACTTGAAGAGAAAGGCAAATCCATGGAGAAATGTAAATAAATCTTCATGCCGACTAAAGAATGGAGAAAGATCCAAAAACAAGAGGGAATTTTCCATATCGCAAAAGAGGAAGTTTTCCATCTCGCCTGAAGGAGAATACTCGCCATTCGGCCGACTTATCAACATATATATTGAAGACCCCCCTTTTGGGAGAGGGATCCGAAATCATCTAGAATCACTAGACTCTCACATTAGCTTTACTCTATCCTCTTGTTCATCACCATAATCTCGCTAGGCTTGTTAGCGAGATTGCTCTCTTGTAATCTTCTTGATAATCTAAGAGTTGAATTTAGCGTTCCAGTTTCCTAAACTCACATCTTAGATAGCCCGTCTTGACGAGTGCTATCTCAGATTCAACATCTTCCATTGTTCTTGCAAAATCTTGACCAAACCCTGACAATCATCTTTAAAACAATCATTCTTAGCTTTTTACACCAACAATTTTGTAAAGACTTGGTACAACTCAGAGTCATCATTCTCTCTGGTGTGCACAACCAAACAAATATTCTGAAATACAGGTCAAAAGAACTTTGCCTTTCCGCTTCCTGGCTTGAAGAGGTTAGTCCTACAAATTTCCAAACCTCAATATTTTACCACATTTGATCCCGAACAATCCATCTATCCACACCTTGCAATGAACTCGAATAAAACATTACATTGTAATAACACTTTAACCAATCTTTTAATTTACTATTTTCTTGTTTAAGGTTCCAAAAATGTTCCTACTAAAAATAGATAGTAACTTATCTAAAACAAAGTAAAGTTAAGTTGAATAGTATTTGTTTTGTTATATTTTAGCAAATTGTAGTTTATCTTGATTGATTCTTTAAATCTTAACCACATAAGTAGCATCAAGAAGACAAGAAGCCCTTTAACAAAAAAAAAATTAGCATCAAGAAAACTCCAAACAGACCATATTGTGTAGATGTTCAATAAAAAAAAATAGCATATTGTGTTTAACAAACAATAAAAATAGTCCAAACTGTAGACCATAGTACTCCAAACAAAAAGAAAGTGTTTGAAAAAATGAAAATAGACAACAGAAAAAAGATTAAAAATCAGATAATTCTTTTTTTCCTCATTTTCACTCACATCAGTCACATCCTTCAATCAATAAGATGTATGGGATATTTTCGGTGTGGTTGTTCCAGTTACTGCCGTTCTTCAAGTTTTGAAAATTTTTACCAAAAAAATGTTTTGAAAGTTCTAGTCCCTACTCCCTAGTACCTTTAGTTAAAAAAATTCAAAAATATATAAATAATAGACATGATAGAAACAAAAAAGATAGCATTTCAATGAAAATCAGTCCCAACAAAACGTACATTAAATACAGCACACAAACATTAAATAGAATGGGCCAATACGTCATTTCATTTCCAACTTTACAAGAGCCAATAAGCTCACGGCAAAAAGGAGAATAGCCAATAAATTTGGAAACCGGAAAATGACGGAAAATATATACAAAACAAAGGAAAAAAACGAAAATTAGTCTCTCTTGCAAGTTTACCCCTTTTCCCCACTTTGTAATGTATCTTCTTCGACTGCTACAATTTCTCGAATTTTAAAAAAAAAATCCTATAAAAGACAAAACTTATTTCTCCTTGATTAGATAACCCATAAAATAACGTATACACTAATGTTACAGAGCTAAACAAATATCTATTCCTTGCCAGTCATATCGGAGAAACAAATCTACATGTCAGACCTAAAAGTAAATGTAGGGGTCAGAAACATAAATCTGAAAAACTTTAGGGGAAATGAAATAAACAGTTGTGGGAAACAACAGGGCTACAAACAAACATGGGACTTTGTCAATTGTCACTGACGTGTTCATATAATTTTACAAAACACAAATACAAAACACATTTTACTTACAAACAAACATTATATTTTCTTTTTCTTTTTATATGAAAAAAAAAAAGAGAAAAACGTCGATCATAAACCGTAAACAAATCATACAATTTGGATCAACCCGTGATTTTTTTTAACGTCAAAATTTGTTCACATGACAAAAAAAACGTACAAAACGACACCGTACGTCTTGGTTGGTTGCTAGTAGCTTTGAGAGAAGAAGGGCTCTTCGTAAGGAAACGAGTCCCAGAAGCCGTCGATTTTGTGGTTCACGTCGAGTAAGAGATCGGGGAGATCGGAGAACGCGTCGTCCGGGATTGCGGTCATAGCCGGAGACGACGGTTCCGTGCTTATGTGAGATGGTGACGACGGTTCTGTGCTTGCGTGAGACGGCGACGACGTCGTCTCTTCTTCCTCCATGTCAACGGAGACTGCGGCTGCAGCTGCGGCGGCGGCTGCTTGGATGTCTTTAGGGTCGGCACTAGCTGGTCTAGGGAGGTGGTAAGCGAGCTCAGGGAAGTTGAGGTGAGCAGAACCGCCTTTTATGGCTAAAGCCGCCACGTCGTGAGCACGCGCCGCCATCTCCGCCGTGGAGAAAGTGCCGAGCCAGATTCTTGATTTCTTCTTTGGCTCTCTGATTTCAGAAACCCATTTTCCCCATTGTCGCATTCTGACCCCTCGAAAAGTTGGATGCTTTGAGACAACCTTTTCATCGTCATCATCATCTTTGCCTCTTTTCTTCTTCAGGTTACTATTCACTGTTTTCTCCGTCGCCTGCACCGGCGTATCTTGAAACCTCCGGCAGCCGTCACGCTGCGATGAGTGATCCATTAGTTGAGTTTTTTTTCCTTATAAAAAAGGGATTAAATGTAATGGAAGAGTTAATTTGGTGGGAAGATTTTCAGAGAAGGAAATAATTTTTAGTTTCTTTTGTTTTTGTTGTTGTTTGCTTTAGTGTGAGAGTAGAGAAGAGGTCTGATGAGAAGAATAGGTCGGTGTGGTTGTTATTATATACATCCAAATTAGGAGGCAGATTTTCTTTTGTAGCCTATACCTAAAACATATGTATACGTATTCAATACGTATTATATAACATTTATGTCCATTTGAGTTTTGAATCTATCATTCTCTCTCTAGTAGTCAAACAAAAGAAAAACTTTTAATGAATTCATATGATTTTGGAAGCATGACAGTTTCATAATTTATAAATATTAATTCACTGATGAACTAGTATATTGATTTGGTTTTTATTTTTAAAGAACTAGTATATTGATTAATTTACAAAGCAATTGTTTTAATGGAGGACTAATGACACAAGAAGGCACATAAAATTTGTATGGAAAGAAATAGCGACAGAAGTTGGATAAAGATAAGAGATGACGCTCATATATGACGATACATTACTGAAACACAAATTAGTGATAGAAGTTACAATGAGAGTGGATTTCGGTGATTTCATAATTTCCATTTAAGAACTGATTTCCCTCCACTGGTCGACATTTGACATTTACTGGGCACCACATTAGTGGATTAATCTTTTAAATAATGCATTTAGCCTCGTCGTGTTAGTCAAATTGATTCACTCAATATTAGTTACAGAGCATTCATACGTGGGGTGTATTATATCCGACTTTGTCGAGTTCTTACAGTTGGGAAATATTTTATAATTTATACATTGATGGTGAATATTATAGTGAAAACATAGCTAAAGAGTTACCGAGGTGCGTTTTTTTTTAGCTAACTACTTTTAACGACTAAATAAAGGTTTACAACTGCATGGATTAAAAAAAAACACACACAACTTCAATTGACCCCACAAACGTCAAACAAAAAATAGAGTGCCCAAAACTATTCAAGTTCCAAAATGAAAATATTTATCTACTTTGATTTATCTATCACAAAATTGTTGGTAAACCAAGAGGGAAAAAAAAGCCACAAAAAATGTTGGTTTTGATCCGCAAATGATAAAAGGGTTTCATTAGGATACATTTTATAAACTCGTTGTACTTGTACACGTATCTCGATCGTGACTCGTATAATACAGAAAAATACAAGTTATTGCAAATTTGAGATTAATAAATGAAGATTACTTTATCAATTTGAAGATTACCTTATCAATTTGAATACAACGTTGATACAAATGCACGCAGACGATTGATATAATTGAAGAAATGTGTTTGATATAAGCTACTGCATAAGCACACGATTGTACAAACAATTAAAGCCAGTTAATGGACAATAAAATACTACTACTAAGTACAAAGTACATAAGGTATACTCCAAGAGATAAAAAAAAACCCACTGTAGGAGGATCTCATAGTCTTCGTACACTCATGACTCATACATACATACACGAATATAGTCACAAAGAATCGAGTCAAACTTGGTCTCGTCTTTAGAACTCTTGGGTTAAACAAGATTAAAGACATAAGCAGTCAAAAGTAAGCTTAATTAGGGTGTAGTAACTACTTCCACTACTAACCAACTAACATTTTTTAATAAATGAGATTAGTACGAATGTATTACTACTCTCTCTCCGTTTCAAATTAGTTGTCGTTTTGGAAATTTTTTTGTTAAATTTGGAGGAGCTATATTAGGCCTAAGCTAGATACAAGACAATATAGTTAATTAAATATTACACCCAAAATTATACCCATTCAGTTTTTAGTTGCTCAAATAATAAATAATTGAAAAGGTTTGGAAACGTTTTGGATAAAAAAAAAATTAATATTATTTGAAAAGCAAAACAAGGGTTTCATTAGGATATATGATAAAGTTCATGTGTAAAAGGATTCAAGATAATTATGTATGGATTGTAAGTTTGTAACATTGCAAGAAGCCAAGAACCGTGTAAGAACATGCAATTGTATGTTGTGGAGTATATGGATTGTGGAATGTCAAATCCGGAGAAGAACTGTAAATTTTGAAAAATTCATAAAAGAACTTTAATGAGAATAGTTTATGAATGTATCCCAAGTGTAACTTAAGATGTTTCTTTTATTTTTTACGTATAAAATATAAAAACCTGTCCTTTAGATAAAAATTCCAAACTTATCTCAGGGCACAGGAGGAGTTAATCATAGTCTTGCTGAGCGGATGTGTTGCTTAATCAGTGGTCGAATGTATTCATGGTAGCCGTCAAGGACCACCGAGTCATTAAGTGGATCTTTCAACGCTTCCTCAAACAACTTTGGGTACATGTTTCCATCATAGCGGCCCAGAACAGAGCCTCCAACTATTTAAAGGAGACTCCAATATATAACCATTTCGTAAAGTGAATAGAAACACCAAAACAGAGAATAAGTATTTTCAAGTCAAAAGAGATATATAAATTCTAGATTCAAAGAAACTACACGACCATAATCTGTAAGAGTTTCCTTTACATAATAAGTACATACGAGACTGAGACTAAGTATATCCATTTCAGAAGATGAGAGACCTTATGATGAATTCAAGCACCAAAACAGAGAGAATAAGTATTTTGAATCAAGAGATATTCTTAGCACAATGAACACAAAAAAAAACAAACGTACCAATTTCAAAAATAAAATCTACTGATTTTACCAGTGAATATTAGCAAAACGTTTTTACAATCTTACGGATATTAGACCAAAGTTAATATTATTTTTAACTTAATTTGCGATTTTCTTATGTACTAATCTCAGTTTATCAAAGAAAGGTTCAAAAAAACATATACCTGATCACAAAATTTTGCTGCACTAGGAAGTCTCCGTGGCGTGGATGAGAGAAGTACATGCGTGAGAAAAGCAAATATTAGTCTTTATAGTTCAAGTTGTTACAAAAAGTATGCTAACACTTATAAATCTCCTAAAGTTCCAAGCACCTGTCGTGAGGAAATCAATATTAGTCTTTACTTCACAACATGTTTCTCTTACTTGTCTGTTTCATAAACTAATTACAAGCAACTTCGGAAAAACACATACCTGTTACAGAAAGTCTGCTATACTTAAAATCTCCTCGTAGTCTCTAACAGTTTGAACGCCTTATGAAGCATATACCTGAAAAAAAACCCAGAATTTATTAGTCTTTTACTCACGTAGAAGCTTTGGTGTGGGTAATCATGGGACTCTGTATCCAATTCTTAGTCTCTGTCTTAAGACTTTAAATAATCAGTTCATGTGAGACTTATAGAAGCCTTTATTCCAACTGAAAACAGATCCAACTCAGTTCACAGTCTTTGGTTCTTTGCCTTAAAGACTTCATAAGCCGTGGGTAACAAAGTATAGACTCTTTCAGTTGTTCTACTCTTTGTCTTAAACCCTTTTTCATTCGTTTATTCTATTTAAGGCAACAAACTCATAGTCTTTCACCGTAACCAAAGTATACTCTTTCAATTGTTCTAGTCTTTGTCTTAAACACCTTTTTAACCGTTTTTTCCATTCCAAGCAACAAACTCATAGTCTTTCACCAAATACTTTTAAGCCGTGGGTACCAAAGTGAAGTATAGAGTATAGACTCTTTCAGTTGTTCTAGTCTTTGTCGTAAACACTTCTTCATTCGTTTCTTCCATTTCAGCCAACAAACTCATAGTCTTTCACTAAAGACTTTTAAGCCGTGGGTACCAAAGTAAACTATAGACTCTTTCAGTTTTTCTAGTCTTTAAGAGTTTTTCATAAGCGTGGTCGTTTCTTATATAACCATAGTCTTTCACTGAAGACTTCTTTAAGCCATTAGGCATCGCTTTGTGTTTGACTAAATCCCCTTTAAAAAGCCGTGGGTAATCAAGGGACTTTGTTTCCAATTCTTAGTCTTTATCTTATGACTTTAATTAATCAGTTCATGTGAGACTTAAAAATCCTTTACATTGGACGTTCAATGTGACATGACTTCTCTTTCCCACAAGACTTCTTTAACCCCATGTCTTTGTCTTTCACTAAATGCCTTTTTAAGCTGTGGGCAATCATGGGACTCTGTTTCCTATTCTTAGTCTTTGTCTTAAGACATTCATTACTCAGTTCATGTGAGACTTATAGAAGCCTTTATTCCAACTGAAAACAGATCCAACTCAGTTCACAATCTTTGGTTCTTTGCCTTAAAGACTTTTTCATAAGCCGTGGGTACCAAAGTGATGTATAGACTCTTTCAGTTGTTCTAGTCTTTGTCTTAAACACTTTCATTAAAAAGTCTTAAGCCATGGGTACCAAAGTGTATAGATTCTTTCAGTCGTTCTAGTCTATGTGTTAAACACTTTGTCTTTCACTAAAAACTTTTAAGTTGTGGGTACCAAAGTGTATATACTCTTTCAGTTGTTATAGTCTTTATCTTTCACTAAAAGCTTTTAAGCCTTGGGTACCAAAGTGTATAAACTGATATATGTTTTTTTTACAGTTTACAAGTGAATTTACCTGAACTGATAACACAACAGTTTAGTTTAGTAATCACATGTGATGTTTCTTAGAAACATAACCTAAGAAATTGTCATAAATGTTATAAAGGTAACTCAATGCGTTACTTTTGGTCTGGTAACATACTGAAAACCAGATTTTGTACACAGATTTTGTACACCCTAACCAAGGCGACGGCGAACGATAAACCCAACCAATTCGGGTTGGTTTCAGGCAGAATCAGGGCTAGTAGGGTACCTTCAAAAACAAAACAAAACTCCAGTTAACATCACCTCAAAAAGAAAAGAACAAAAATTGAATGATAAGAAAATATGGGGAACCTGAGATCGCGATCAAAGATTACACCAAACATAGACAATTAGACATCCTCAAATAAAACTAACGACTTTCAGAAATCGAAGAATGTAAATGGGTTTTACGTTTTTGCAATTCCTCAAAGAGCTGATCTGATCGAGAGAATTCTTCAATGAAAAGCACAGAAGAGAAGACAATTTGAGAGATAATGTGAAGAACTGTGACAAACCATAAGGAATTGGAGAGAAAATTATCTTTTAGTATCGCTGCATGACAATTACAGTATGCCTTGTCTTTGTAACGGTTCTATTATTTTCAATCCGTGTCGGTTTTATTTGTAATTAAACCACCCTGCATTCAGAAAACCAGCAAACCGAACCAGTTCATTTTCCAGTTAAACGGAACCGGTTATGTAATTTCTACGTTGTCTACATATACGACGTCTGTTTTGTCTTAAAACAACAAAACACGGAGACACCCATTGTGGATGGTTCGTTGTCTCCACAGCTTATCAACTTTTAAAGGTAACTGAAACATCTTACACCAATCTTTCTCCGTTGTAAGATACATACATCTCAACGTGTATATAAACCAAACTAGTTTTTTTTTTGTTATATGTAATAACTACATTTTAATGTAACATTATAAGACCATATCCAACCAATGTATTACACTATTTTATCCATCATTTTAGTGTTTTCTATAATGATGTTGTGATTCTCTCCAATGTATTCTATTATTTTTAACACTAAAAAAAGGAGTATTCTAAGTATATTCTATATTTAAATTTATTGCAAAGCCCTTTTATTTATAAATTTTACAAATTAAGCCCACTTATTTTATTTTATTTTTTTTTATATAAAAAATTCCATAAATTAGTATATTATTTAAATTAAAGTATTATTATACAAAATAATTACATTACTTTATTAGAAATACAAAAAACTTTCAATAATTTCTCCATTATGTAATATTCTAGAGTTATCTACTATTTACTTTGTATTCCCTCCGTTTCAAATTACTTGTCGTTTTGGCCAAATGTATCTGCAATTTTATGGATGTATTAAACTCAAAACACATCCAGATACATCTAAATAATTGCATATACATTTTGCCAAAACGACAAGTAATTTGAACGGAGGCAGTAATAGATAAAATTGAATTCTAATCAATTTGTATAATCTAAACCATGTCATTTTCTATAATAATGCTTTATGATTACTACTAGTGAAAAAATATAGAAAAGTTTAATCTATAATTTATTTAAGTTAGAAATAAAAGAAACTAAATTTGAAGGAATCATATGCAAATAAAAAAGATCAACATAAAAAATAAGGGGAGAAAAGATGTTATATTATAAATGAGGAAAAAAATAGCGCTCCCTAATTTTGATGTAAAAAATAATGGTGAGTTGGAGATGGATTTCATACTAAAATAATGTTTGATGGAAAGATTTGATGGTGGGTTGGAGATACTTAGATCCGGACCATACAAAATCTGGACCTTGTGTTGAAAATGATTATATATAAAACTTTTAAATTAATAGTTTTTTTCTGTAATTTTTAGGATAATATAGGCCCTAAAATATAATTTTAGGAATAATTAGGCCCTAAAACTAAAGAAAAACTTCAAAATTTGAGAGTGGCCCTATGATAGATCCCACCTCATGCATGCCTGTAGCTGGGATTTTGTATGTTGTGGAGTATGAGGAGTATCAAATCTGGAGAAGAACTGTAAATTTTGAAAAGTCATAAAAGAACTTTAAAGAAAATAATTAATTAATGAATGTAATCCCCAAGTGTAACTTAAGATAAAAGAACTTTTGATCAAAGTTATCTCATGGCACAAGAGTTAATCAGAGTCTTGCAGAGCGGATGTGTTGCTTAATCAATGGTCGGATGTATTCATGGTAGCCGTCAGGGACCACCGAGTCATTAAGTGGATCCTTCAATGCTTCCTCGAACAACTTTGGGTACACGTTTCCGTCATAGCGGCCCAGAACAGAGCCAAGATAGTGATCGGTGTAGTTAAATGCGTCAACGAGAGCGACTGCGTTTGGTCGGAGCTGAGAGTAGAGTGACCGAAGCTGGTGGCTTGCGAGTGAGGCTTGTTCGGGAGTGACAGAGTCTGTACTAAGGAAATCACCGAGATGTTTGTGTAAGAGATGAAGTGCATAGATGTAGCACAGATTCTTTAGCTGATTTTTCACTCCTTTCCCTTTGATCTCTCCCTCTATTTTGGCTATAAACCTGTGAAAGTTCAAACCATAAGGATTTGGCCCATTTAATAATGGTGAAGAAACTATAATTACTTACTTGGAAACAACAATCAACTGGCAATGGGCAATGGCAGCTTCAACAAGATCAGCTAAGAGCTCAGAGAATCCTTGTTCTTGATTCTCAAACTTGCTTAGATTGTTAGCACAAGAAACAGCCATTCTTAAAGCTCTTGCTTCAAAAGCTTCCAGCACCATACCAGGATTTAACCAATCCTCAGCTGCAAGTTAATTCAATCCAAGAACAACACTTCAGAGAAAGAAAAAATCAAGAAAAAAGTATTAAAAGTTTATGGTAATTTAAAGGAAAATCACCCTTTTTTACGCTAGAACGACATTTCAAAAGGTGTTGTGCTCTGCCCATATATTCAGTTGTTCCAGCAGGAGCTTTACCAGAACCTAACTGTGAAACTGTCTTCATCAGAAATCTAGCAACCTGAAAATCCATTTAGAAAAAAAAACATAACAAATTTTTAATACAAACTAAAATTTACAAACGCAAAAAAAAAAAAAAACTTACAAACGCTTGAAAACAAACTTAGAGCTTGTGTTAAATTTATATCTATTCAAGAAGATGAGAAAACAACTAAGCGTACCTGTAACTGCAACACAACATTGTCTCCTTCATATGTGCAAGCAGGAACATAAACAGCAAACAACTCAGGAAGGCCACTGCACCACAAGTAGCCATGTCCACCACATAACTTACGACATTCTTCAATACCATCCTACAAACCAACAAAAAAAACACAAAAATTGGGTTATTTTTTTCAATTTCTTTTTAATGAGTATAAAAAAAAGGACAACAGCTTTGAAAGCATACTGCGGTAGCTGAAGTAGTCATAGACTTCAATCCTGCAGTGCAAGCATGAGCTTCAGGCAATGTAGCAAAATCACTAGCCTCTAGTCTTTGTGTTACATCAGTGTACAACCATTTCAGCCACTCTCCTACAAACCGAAATGCATATGCTGATGCCAGCAGAGGAAACAACCTGTTTTGCTGAGTTTTATAATCAATCACCTGCCATATATAACAAACATCAATAGTTGGATTCTTCTATGACCATCCTCCATCATGGTAAACAACTTTGTCGCATATAGTTATATATAGTGGGATTTGCATAGAGTACCTGTGTCTCAGTGCCACCATTCTGTGAGGCAAACTGTCTTCGAACTGCACTGTATCTTGTAGCTATGCAGACCGCACGAGACAAGGCATTGGAAGCATTTGACACAATAGACTGTCTCACAAACACCATAGTACCATACACCAGTTGCCTTGGAACATCTGATGCTACATATTTTCCTTCTCTCGTAACTTTTGACAGCCTAGCAGGAGAAAAATAGAAAAAAAGACAGAGACATCAATATCAATTTTTTCAAGAGATATGAAATATATTGTGAAATGCTTATTCACATAGTTATAAGAGTGAGGAAAGACCTCATGAGCATTTGATCTCTAGGAATACGAAAGTGATCAAACTTAAGAAAACCATTGTCCATTGAGTTATATGCTCCGTTTCCAAACTTCATCCCTATATCACCAACCGTTATACCCGGAAGAGGAGAATGATCATCCAAACTTCGAAGCTGCACGATGAACCCTGAACATTTGGCAAACAATACTGATGAATTAATTTTTCTTCTTTTAAAAAAAGTGAAGTGAGAAAAGAAAAAAAAAGTAAGTGAAGTGAACAAGAAACCCTCAAGATCAGTGCTTACCATGAACACCATGGTCTTTGCCATTGGTTATGAGACGAGCATAAACCACAGCATGAGTAGACACTTTTCCTAAACCACCAGGCCACCACTATTTCAAAACAAAACAAAATCAAGACACAACTAAATATTATAGAAAATAAAAAAGAGAAATAGTTTATTGTTCTCTTCTTACTTTGGATGATGTTTGAGTTGGGCTGTGAATGATAAACTGGTCAGTCTGGGGATCGAAAGTGGCGGTTGTCTCAAGGCCTTGAACGTGAGAGCCATGACCAAGCTCAGTTTGAGCATAACAACCAATTATCTGCATGTTATTCGCAAGAGGCAACCACTTTTGTTGCTGTTCCTCTGTGCCTTGTCCTTTGATTGCAGGAACAAACATTCCCTGTCGACCACACAACCATTTATCAACATCAACTAATCAAAACCCTAACCATCCAAAAGAAAATTGGAATTTTGTTTTGTTACCCAGTGAAGATCCACGAAGCCCGGTTGATCCATGAAAGATCTGAATCTGATTGATTCTTCATCAGAGAGACGAAGCTCGTTGATCATCTTCCAAGCGTGAGCGCTTTTCTTCAACGTGTTCTTGAACAACTCTTTCCTACTCATCACTGCTCTTTTGCTTTTCTCGAAGATCTAATCAACAATTGCAAGAAAAAGAAGAAAAATTCACACCGGAGTTTCACACAGAGAAAAAGGAGGTAGAGTACGATGAGAAGATATTCACCGGATCATTGGCGACGAGGCGCGAAATCCGATTTGAAACTTGGAAAGCGTGGCGGGAACCAGCCCAGACGATCTTCATCTCCTCGACATCGAACTCTGCTTTGTTCCTCTCATCGGCAAGGTGATCGACTCCCTCCATGTTTTTTTGGCTGTTATCGGATTCCGAGTGTGAAGAAAATCGAAATTTTAAAGAGAACTAAAAGCTCCTACCTAACCACGTTTCAGTACACACGTAAATCCGTTACTTCCAAAGGAAAAAATAAACAGAGGATTTTTTTGTTTTTCTGTTTTTAGGATTAGTAGTGCAGAAATAGAGAGTGAAAATGTAACGAAGGAAAAAAACATTTGTTTTATAGAAATCTCAGGTATTTTTTATCATTTAGATCCGGTCTCATCTTGACTCTCACACTCCTGAAAAATAGACAAAAATCTTCTGTAGAAGGGAACAACAAATTTGTGCAGATTTGTTTCTTTACGTGAGTGATTTTTTAGTGTTTTTAAAATTCCATACTCACTCAGAAAAGAAGAAAAAGAATTCCATACTCACTCAGAAAAGAAGAAATTCCATACGCAGCTGATCAACACTTGACAGACAGAATAATAGGTGGTGATTAGGTTCAATAGATCAACTTTCAAGTTTTGGTCCACTAAATTGTAAATCTTCGGAAATTGAAATTATAAACGTGAACTCTTTCTCATAGCCTTGGGCCTCTATTTTCGACCTATTCCTAATGGTCAACTCTATAACCATTAAAAAATTTCGTTTGGTTGTTGCAACTTTGAGGGTTTTAAGAAATGTAAGTCTTAAAACGTATTTCTCTATTTTTTTCCTATGAGTAACTAAAACATTTAGTAAGATCTATGTAAATTTTGTCACAAAGTTTTGTTTATCTTTTTGAGTGATGCATGAATGTCACACTACTCAAGAATTCACATGATTTTTAGAAAGAAAAAAAAAGAGAACAAATACTGGAAAAAAAATATATATGTTCTGGAAAAAAATATTCATCTAACGGTTACGTATCTTGATTCTTATATAAAACTATTTTTGTATATATATTTGGTATTACAATAATCAGACTCGAATCATCTACACATCATATTGCCATCATCATGACTCTCGTGGGCCGTGACCCGTGAATAACTACTCTGCTCAGCTACTTTTTCGAGTTTTTGTTGACTTTAGATTAGTCGATTATAGATAAAGCCTATTAGTAGATTTTGTTTTTCTTTTTACTCCAAAGACAACTCTATAATTTTTTGAAACAAGGCTTAAAAAATTTGAGGGTTGTTATGAAAAGGCTTTATGTGGATGCCCATTATCAGGTCCATCTTCTAGAATATTCTTACTTGTCCACCAAGTGTACTTCCTATAAGGAAAACCCTAATATTGTACACCTATATAAAGGTCCCCTTTCTATTGGAATAAGATATCACGAATTCCTCTCTCTCTTAATCTCTCTATTCCATAACACGTTATCAGCACGAGTCTCTACTCTCTAGGTTTAAAACCCTAGCCGTCAAAGCTAAAAGGTAGTTATTTTAGATTTCAGATCTATGCTCTTCAATATGAAGAACCATGTCTAACTATCGATTCATGGTTCTGGAATATCAATCCTCAATCACATATATTGATTAACGATCCAAGTTATCGAACTAGCATCTTGTTATGCCGTGTCATATATGTGATTTGTCGATTATTCATACTTTGATATATGCTTTGATTTATGCTATATCTTATTGCGTTAAGCACTGTTGATTGTTATTTTCTATGGTTTATCGAAACCTGTATCATGTTATATTCAATCACACCATTGTTCAACCTAGTGAGTCACATATATGTTTAAGTGTACTACACGATTCAATAATCGATGTTTCGGTGTACAGCGCGATGAGATATCATGCTTTGATGTACATGCGATAAAACACTTGATTCAACATGGTGATTAGGGTTTATGCATATATATAACTAAAACTCGAATTCTGATCATATTGTCTTGATCACGTGCATGTTCATTCAAACTGAATACTGATTTATCTCAATGATGCATAAACATGAAACTGAATACTGATCAATACTGAGTTAGATCTGTTTATACACTGAATTATATATTCGTCTGTTAGATCTGTTTATGCACTGAGTTATATATATCATATCTACTTGATCTGTTTATACATTGTTATCCTTTAGATCAGTCTAGTACACTTGTCCTGCAGACATGCTTGTACACTTATATCTCTGTCCTGAAGACATGATGATTATTTATATGTCCTGAAGACATAACGATTGTTTCTTATTACTTTCAGTAATCATGCCAAACCTAACGAGTTTAGAGTTTGAGGCGTTGGATATTTCCGGGGATAATTACCTCGCGTGGGCATTGGATGCCGAAATCCACCTCAGTGCAAAAGAGCTTGGTGAAACAATCAAGGGAGGGAATGAGGCTGAATCTAAGGATAAGGCAAAAGCAATGATATTCCTTCGCCATCACCTCCACGAAGGTCTCAAGAGTGAGTACCTGAATGTGAAAGATCCACAAGTCCTTTGGACTAGTTTGAAAGAGAGGTATGATCACCAGAAAACTGTGATCTTACCTAGAGCTCGTTATGATTGGACACATCTGAGACTCCAGGACTTTAAGTCTGTAAGTGAGTACAACTCAGCATTGTTCAAGATTACCTCCAAGTTGGAATTATGTGGAGAGAAAGTCACGGATGCTGATATGTTAGAGAAGACATTCTCTACATTTCATGCAAATAATGTTGTCCTGCAGACACAATACCGTGAAAAGGGATTCCAGAAGTATTCCCAGTTGATATCTTGCCTTCTTGTGGCAGAGCAAAATAATGAGCTGTTGATGAAAAATCATGGTCTGCGCCCAACTGGTTCTGCTCCATTCCCTGAAGCGAATGCGACATCCTATGATAGGAAAGAACGAAAACCACAATGGACAAGGCCACATCCGTGGTCGAGGTCGTGGTGGACGGGGTCGTGGCTATGGTCGTGGAAGAGATTTTGGTGTACGCCAAAGAGTTCGTTTAAGAACGCACGCTCTCACCAAAATCAGGAAAACAAAGGTGGTAACAAACAAGTAACACAAGGGAATGCATGTTACCGCTGTGGAGGAAATGACCATTGGGCTCGTTTGTGCCGTACACCAAAACACCTTGTTGGTCTTTATCAACAAGCTGTTAAAAAAGGGAAAGAATGTGGAAACAAACTTGGTGTACGAAGATGGTGAAGATGATTTTGAGATGAGTGAAGCAACTCACATGGAGATTGCTGATATTCTCGCCCCTGAAGGGAATATGAGAATTTAAGTTTATGCTTTTACTTAAAGATATTGTTTGCTTTATTTATGTTTCTGGCTTTTGGTGTTTCTATCATTTGATTCTATGAGTTTATGAATTGATATTTTATTTCATTTATTTACATTACCAAGTTATTTATAAATTGTTTATATATTTGAAGGCTCCAGAAGAGCAATGAATGGTGGAGATTTATGTTTGGCAGACAGTGCCACTAGCCACACCATTTTGAAAACTAAGAAATATTTCTCTCATTTGGAAATGAAAGAAGCAAGTGTGAGCACAGTAATGGGTAGTGCAAATATATTGAAGGCTCCGGAAGAGCATGCATATTATTGCCTATGGGCACGCAATTTGAGATTGCTGATGCATATACTCACCTAAGTCGAACAGAAACTTATTGAGTTTCAAAGATATTCGCAGAAATGGATATCACATTGAGACTGTGAGTGAAGGAAAGGTTGAATACCTTCATATTACACGCATTACCCAAGGTTCTAAAGCCATTGTAGAAAGGCTACCTGCGTTCTCCACCGGATTGTACTTTACGAATATAAATACAATCGAGGCAAATATAGCCGTACACCAGAAGTTGTTGACCGGACACCAGAAGTTGTCGGTCGTACACCAGAAGTGTAATGAAAATTTCAATGTTTGGCATGACCGGTTAGGCCATCCCGGTACAGGAATGATGCGAAAGATAATCATTAATTCATGTGGACACTCATTACAGAACCAGAAGATTCTGCCTAATGATTTCACATGTGCTGCTTGTGCACAAGGCAAGCTGATCATAAGGCCTTCACCAGCCAAAGTAAATACAGAATCGATCAATTTTCTGGAAAGGATACAAGGAGATATTTGTGGGCCGATTCACCCACCATGTGGAACCTTTAGATACTTTATGGTTCTAGTTGACGCATCTACTAGATGGTCACATGTATCCTTGTTATCAACTCGCAACTTGGCGTTTGCGAGATTGCTTGCTCAGTTGATAAGATTACGAGCACATTTTCCAGATTTCCCTTAAAGGCAATTCGGCTTGATAATGCTGGTGAATTCACATCTCAGACTTTTAATGATTATTGCATGTCGATTGGGATAAGTGTTGAACATCCTGTAGCTCATGTTCATACACAAATGGTTTAGCTGAGTCGTTTATAAAACGTCTTCAGATGATTGCTAGACCACTACTTATGAGATCCCAACTTCCTGTGTCTGCTTGGGGACATGCTATTTTGCATGCAGCAACACTGATTCGCATCAGGCCAACAAGTAATCATAAGTTCTCCCCATTACAGTTGGTTCTTGGCAAAGAACCAAATATCTCCCACCTAAATTTTTGGGTGTACGGTGTACGTCCCGATTGCTCCACCACAGCGATCTAAGATGGGACCTCAGAGGAGGCTGGGAATATATGTTGGATATGATTCTCCATCAATCATTAAGTATCTAGAGCCATCCACTGGGGATTTATTTAAAGCTCGATTTTGCAGACTGTCATTTTAATGAATCAGTCTTTCCAACATTAGGGGAAGAAACTAAACAGCTGGGAAAAGAATTAGCTGGAATGAATTATCATTATCTTATCTTGATCCTCGGACTAAAGAGTGTGAATTAGAAGTCCAAAGATAATTCATTTGCAGGGTTTAGCAAATCAGTTGCCAGAGGCATTTGCTGACCCAAAAAGAGTGACAAGGTCACATATACCAGCTGAGAATGCTCCAATTAGATTGAATGTCCAGAAGGGCATAATCAGATTGCTACAGAGTCTAAGACACGCCAGAAGCGTGGTAGACCTATTGGTTCCAAAGATAAAACCTCGGAAAAGAAAAGGAGCAGAAATTGGCAATAGTGAAACCGAGGTAACCACGAATGAAAGATCTCCAGAAGAGACTTTACACATGACTGAAATTCAGGTACCTGAGAATGAAGAGATCTCAATAAATTATGTCATGTCTGGAATAAAGTGGAACCGAAAGCAAATCGACGTCGATGAAATTTTTGCATACAATGTAGCAATTGATATTATGGATGAGGATCATGAACCAACATCTATTGCAGAGTGTACACAAAGAAATGATTGGCCAAAATGGAATGAAGCAATAGATGCAGAAATTCAACATCTCTTGGTAAAAGAGAAGTATTGGACCAGTAGTCCGTACACCTGAAGGTGTCAAACCAGTAGGCACAAATGGATTTTTGTGCGAAAGAGAATGAGAATGGTGAAATTGTGAGATACAAGGCACGTTTAGTTGCACAAGGTTTCTCACAAATACCCTGGATTGATTATGAAGAGACATACTCTCCTGTGGTGGATGCAACTACTTTCAGGTTCCTCATTACTCTTGCTATAAGAGAAGGACTTGATTTTCGGCTGATGGATGTAGTCACAGCCTACTTATATGGTCCATTGGATAATGAGATCTATATGAAAGTTCCAGAAGGATTTGAACTGCCTGAAGCAGAGAAATCAAATTCTAGAGAAGATTTCTCCATAAAGTTAAAACGTTCTCTTTATGGATTGAAACAATCAGGACGTATGTGGTATAACCTTAGTGAGTACTTGCTGAAGGAAGGCTATAAGAATGACCCTTATCAGTCCATGCATATTCATAAGGAAATTCGGTAAAGGATTTGTCATCATTGCGGTGTACGTTGATGATTTGAATATTATTGGAACTCCTGAAGAGATTTCATATACAGTAGAATACTTGAAGAAAGAATTTGAGATGAAAGATCTCGGAAAGACGAAATTCTGCTTGGGTTTGCAGATTGAGCATCTTGTGGATGGAATTCTACTGCACCAGATGGCGTACACAGAGAAAATTCTCAAAAGGTTTTTCATGGATCAGTCTCATCCTTTGAGTAGTCCAATGATTGTGAGGTCACTTGATTTACAATCCATTCATTCAATATTTCCCTTTTTAGAAGACAAATTATCACATTTTAATTATGTGTTAGATGTACTAATACCTTACCCCATCCATCTAGAAATATTGGTTCAAACTCTACGTTACCGGGTAAAAGATGCCTCTTCTTTGCATTTTTTTCGGTTCTGTCTATACGAGTATTGCAATTGGAAGAAATTTAATATTCAAAAGAAATCAATTTTTAATCCGAGATTTTTCTTGTTCTTATATAATTCTCATGTATGTGAATACGAATCCATCTTTTTTTTTCTACGCGAGCAGTCTTCTCATTTACGATCATCTTATGAAGTCCTTTTTGAGCGAATTTTATTCTATGGAAAAATACAACATGTATTAAAGGACCCTTTTCGCCCTCGGGAAAACGATGAAGAAGTTATTGGTCCTGAAGTACCATACTTGAGTGCCATAGGAGCATTGATGTATCTTGCTAGTCATACACGACCTGATATATCATTTGCAGTGAACCTATTGGCAAGGTTTAGCTCATGTCCGACCAGAAGACATTGGAATGGGGTTAAACATATATTTCGTTATCTGCAAGACACGAAAGATATGAGTTTATTCTTTTCTAATACATGCAAGGAAGACTTGATTGGTTTTGCAGATGCAAGATACTTGTCTGATCCCATACTGCTCGTTCACAAACTGGATATGTGTTTACTTGTGGAGGTACTGCTATTTCTTGGTGTTCTATGAAGCAAACTCTTGCAGCTACTTCTTCTAACCATGCAGAGATATTAGCCATCCACGAAGCTAGTCGTGAGTGCGTTTGGTTGAGGTCTGTAGTCAACACATTCGAGAAGATTGTGGTGTACAGACAGGAAAAGGAGCTCCAACAGTTATGTATGAAGATAATGCTGCTTGCATCGCACAACTTAAGGATGGGTACATTAAAGGAGACAGAACGAAGCACATCCTACCGAAGTTTTTCTTCACCCATGAGTTACAGAAGAATGGCGATGTAAGTGTACACCAAATTCGTTCAAGCGAGAATTTGGCGGACTTGTTTACTAAGGCGCTTCCAACATCTACTTTCAAGAAGCTAACTCATATGATTGGACTGCGTCGTCTCAAGGATCTCAGCGGATGTCCACATGAGGGGAAGTAATTGTGCGCTACACTCTTTTTCCCTTAACTATGGTTTTTCCCATTGGGTTTTCCTAGTAAGGTTTTTAATGAGGTAGCATCATCCGCACATTACTTATAATGGACAACAAGGGGAAGTGTTATGAAAAGGCTTTATGTGGATGCCCATTATCAGGCCCATCTTCTAGAATATTCCTACTTGTCCACCAAGGGTACTTCCTATAAGGAAAACCCTAATGTTGTACACCTATATAAAGGTCCTTTTCTATTGGAATAAGATATCACGAATTCCTCTCTCTCTTTCTTAAACTCTCTTATTCCATAATAAGGGTTAGTTTTATGTTTCTGAAAGATTTTGGAGGTTTTGAGGATTTCATTTTTTTAACCGGAGTTGAATAAGCATATACAAGTATACAACATTATTAAAACATTAGTTTTTTCTTTTAAGTACAATTTAGATTTCCAAATCTGTGAACACTTCTTTCATTTCACAAATGAAATCTTTCAATTAATTTGGGTATTAAGTATTAACAATTTAAAAAATAAAAATTTATCGATAGTCTTTGTTTGAGAATTAAAGAAAGGATAATCCTAGTGTTATCCGGCCCTTGTGCGATGCATGACTCTTCGCCCATAAATCGCAATAGCACGTGTCAGCAGGCAATTGACTTTCACCTAAGCTATTATGACAGGTGAAAACGCTGTCACTTTAGAAAAGCCCTCTGAAAACACTCAGATCGTTCTTTTTTTTTGGTTCTCCTTTCTTTAAGAGAAACCTAAAAGGTTGAGTAGAGATTAGGCAAATTCTCGATCCCCAAATTTGAAAAAAGCAGAAAACTTGTTCTTAGGGTTTTGCTCCGCGGATTTCTTCTCAATTTCTCTTTCGATCATAGGCGATTGATTATCTGATCGATTACTCGGTGATCGGCTTTCTCCGTCTCGTCGTTGCCGGCGCCTGATCGGATCGCTTGTTTCAGGCGAAATATGGTGGTGATTTCCCTGAGGATTTTGAATTCGAATTTTCTCCGGTTGCTTCCGCTTGACTTTCTCAGGATTTCGATTTCGTGTAGACTATCTTCTTGGCTCTGTCTGCGAATCCTGTGATTACCATTAGGGTTTTCTGTTGCGTTTGATGCTCACTCTGTTCAGCAGATCGTAATTGTGAGTAATCAATCGTGTGATCTGTGTATATAAGGCTGGTGATTTAAGGCATCGAATTGGGAGAGACGTGATTGTTTTGTGTGGTTGATCGATCGCTAGATCTTTGACTGAGGATATGTATATCGAAGAACTGACGGAAAGTGAAGAGAAGGGGGAGAGATCGGTGGAGGATAGCTTTGCCGATGGAGAGAAGGCGATCTTGGTGAGCAGAGGAAACGTGATCGTGCTGACGACAAAGAAGGCACTTGTTGGTGTTGGTGCTCGTGCGTTGTTCTATCCAACTCTGATTTACAACGTCGTTAGGAATAAGTTCGAGGCTGAGTTCCGGTGGTGGGATCGGGTGGCGGAGGTAAATTCCTATCAGTCCTTTGAGCTGGTTCTGTGTCTATGTAGATTCTTTGTGGCTGTGGTTATGTGTCTTATGCTAATCATTCTCTATCTGTTTGTGTTGATTCTCCAGTTTATACTACTGGGAGCTGTTCCATTCCCATCTGATGTTCCACGGCTGAAGGAGCTGGGTGTTTGTGGGGTGATCACTCTGAATGAGCCGTATGAAACTTTGGTGCCATCAGCTCTCTACAAAGTCTGTTCTTTTCTCCATCTGGCCATTGTGTCAAAGTATATTATCTCCCTGTCTTTTGGTTTCCTCCTATTTACTAACCTTATTTTTGATTATCTTTTTGTGAATCAATGAAAGTCTTTCTGCATCGACCACCTGGTGATTGCCACGAGAGATTATTGCTTTGCTCCTTCCATGGAAGCAATATGCCAAGCTGTAGATTTTATTCATAGTAAGTGTACCTTCTCATTCCCTTGTTTTATTCTGTTTCGCAATTGGTAAGAATCTAGTTATTGGAAGCCGTGTTCATATGAATGATCTCAAATTCTGTTTCTTTTTTCTCCTTGGAAGGAAATGCTTCGCTTGGGAAGACGACTTATGTCCACTGCAAGGCGGGCCGAGGCCGCAGCACAACTATTGTCATATGCTACTTGGTTTGTATTTCAATTCTTTCCAAAACAAGTTGATAAAAGGCACCATCGTTTATCTCTCTCTCTGATTATATATTTGCAACACAGGTGCAACACAAGCATATGACACCGGAAGAAGCATATGCATACGTGAAGTCAATCAGGCCCAGAGTTCTTTTAGCAACGACCCAATGGAAGGTAATAATTGGCAGGAGCACATTCTTTGTTTTGTTCTTCTTCTTCTTCATTCTCTTGATTCCTTTTTGTGTCTGCAGGCCGTTCTTGAGTACTACCATACCATGGTGCTGAGTACTAAGAGTTCCTTAACTGACGCAACTTCAGCTCTGATCCCAAGAAAAGTGAAGCAGGTTTATTCTGGGAACGTGGTTGTGTTTGATGATGGGTCTATGGTGGTAGTGACCCGCTCGGATCTAGAGGGCTATGATGATGATGACGACTCACAGAGGTCAGTGAATGTTGCTGGGAGTGAATTATGGGCGGCAGCTGCAGATCTGAGCATGGTGTACCGGGTGAAAGTTGTGGGACAGGCTGCGTTGGCGAGGATCTCGTGCCTGTGGCTAGGCTTGCGTGAGGATCATCACAAGCTCTCTGGGAAAAATCTTTCCATGGGAGGCATAAGCGTCGACATTTCTGTCTACTGATGACGAGTGATGCAGGTGAGTCTGCTGGCGAGCGAGTGAAATCATGTCCTTTTTTTCACTGTTTCTCCGCAGTAAAGAAAGAAAACAAAGTCTATAAATAAAAAGAAGTTGGTCAAATTAGATTATAGAAGAAAGCAAGGGTTTGTAAAGACTTGGTTTTGTTGTCTGGGTATTGTAATTAAATACTACTTAGTGCCTCATTTGCCTTTGATGAGGATAAACATGAATTAATCAATCTCTTTTTCAAATATCAAAATCGAGTCTTTTTCTAGCTTGACAATATTAAAAGATCAAATCTAAAAAGTTAAGACAGTACAATGAAAGAGAGAGAAAGAGAGAGAAGAGATGAGAGAGAGCGGTCTCAGTCTTCACCGGGTACAGGAGAATCCATTAGCAGCAGAAGAGCTTGAGAGGCGGATGCTTCTTCTGCTTCTGCTTCTGCTGCTTTTTTATCAAGGAAGACGTTGCAGTGGTTGATGGTCTTGCCGCTGACAAGACCATACTTCCACAGTTTAATCATAAATAGCCTCCACTGCCACCTAACATCATTAACGAAAGTGAAACAAAAAATTTAGTGATGCTCCAACACATTTTAGTAAATCATATGAGGACACAAGATGTAAGATTATTACCTCATAGTAATAGAATAGATGAGCTCTTTCTGATGAAGTTTTGTGAACTCTTCACATGCCCAAGGAATATGTCCATCCGCAAGCACCCTGTCCAAAAGTAATCAACAACGTCAAGAGCAAACTCTTTTTTTAACATAGTGGTGGATCACTCTTATCTCAAATCTTTCTTGAAACTTTGTTCGAGTTCCACAAGACCAAAACAATATATCCTAAATTCATGCAGAGGAGCATGACCTAGAGATCTGGTCCAAGGCATGTTCGGGCCTCAAGACAAAAATTGTGATCGATGCAATTAGAATTGAAAATAAAGTAGCTACCTTTGCCTGCCAACAAATGAGTTCCAAAGGAACATGAAACGCTTATCCTCTGTGCTAACATCCTTCAACTGATCAAGCCTCTGTGAAATTGCGAACAAAGAAGAACAATGGCCTTGGTGTAAGTTATCATCTTCAATAACAATTCAATGAATATATATATATATATAAAAACAAAGAAAATACCATGCGTTCTTCAATTTCATCAGAATCACTATAAGCTTCATTTTCGCTATCCTCATCAGACATTACTTTATCCAAAGACATTGGCTTCACACATACACAGCTTTAATTGATTAGTATAAATAAAACAGAGACAACATTTGTTATATATACATGAAGGAAACTAAACCACCTGAGATGAGTTTGAGTGATTGAACTGACGTTCGTTAATGCCCTTCTTGATGACTCTGGAAACAATTAATAATCTTGGTTAGTAAAATCAGAATCACATATACATCTATAAAGTAAGAAAATTAAAGATTAGTAACACAAATATCAAAAAGAAGATAACCTTTTAGACATGGTCCGCTTTTGAGCTTTCTTTTCTCCCTTAGAGTCAAGAAGCGCCTTAGGTTCAGAAGACTCGCCTATTTCCGGTTGAGTAATTTGTAGAATGCTGCAGCTGGTCTTTCCGGAAGACTGAGCCATTGCTGGACTCTTGTTGACGCTGAAAACAATTAATAATCTTGGTTAGTAAAATCAGTATTACATATATACATATATAAAGTAAGAATATTAAAGATTAGGAACACAAATATCAAAAGAACATAACCTTTTCTCTGCAGATTTGCTTTTTCCCTTAGATTTAAGAGGCGCCTTAGGTTTAGAAGACTCGGCTATTGCTGGTTGAGTAATTTGTAGTATGTTGCAGCCGGTCTTTTCAAGAGATTGAGCCATTTCTGGACTCTTGTTGACGCTGAAAATAATTAATAATCTTGGTTAGTAAAATCAGTATTACATATACATCTATAAAATAAGAGTATCAAAGATTAGGAACACAAATTAAATATCAAAAGAACATAACCTTTTCTCAGCAGATTTCCCTTTTCCCTTGGAATCAAGAGGCGCCTTAGGTTTAGAAGACTCAGGTACTTCCGATTGAGTAACTTTTAGCATCTCACAGCTGGTCTTTTCAGAAGATTGAGCCATTTCTGGTTGAGTAACTTGTAGCATCTCGCAGCTGGTCTTTTCAGAAGACGACTGAGATATTTCTGATTGAGTAATCTTACTCTTAGAGGAAGATTTCACTTTTCTCTTATAAGTTTTTTTAACACCAGAACGAGGCTGTTCAGAAGACTTTGCTCTTTCTGGTTGAGTGATATCGCCACTGGTCTTTTCAGGAGACTTGACTCTTTCTGGTTGAGTAGTTTGTAGAATACCGCCGCTGGTCTTTTCAGGAGAGTGAGCTACTTCTGGTAGAGTAAGTTGTAGAATCTGGCTGGTGTTTTCAGGAGAGTGAGCGATTGTTGGGGTTGTCATGATGGCATCACCATCGTCCACATGAGTCAAACCATTTTCTGTGTCATCATCACGAGGCAACTCGTTTAAATCCAACTCCAAAAAGCGTACTTTAATACGCTTCATGGTTCTGCTGCTACCATCTCTTTGGCTTGGCTTACGACGATTTGAGCTGCATACAAAATATGGTTTGGCTCTAAGAAGATGATGATGCTGAATCATAGCTAAAACAGTAGAGTAAGAAAGGTGTTGGAAAATTTACCAGAAAGTAAATTGACGACACTCCGAATCATGCTTTAGTTCCTGAAACAAAAGTCATGGTGGAGTTCAAAGTTATGACACGCATGAAAGATATTCTGAACAACCTAAAAAATGTTGCGTACGTATCAAGTTTACTAACCCCATTTGTGAATGCATCATCTCTCACGGAGACAGCAATCTGCAGCTCATGTTCGTTCCACAACTAAAAATACGTAAGAATATTTATCTTGTTACTCATAGTTTAATCATGAAAAAACATTTAAAAGTGATGTGGATTCTTAATTAAAAATGACAAACATACCCAAAACCTATACTTATAGCGATCATGTGATGACTTCAAGTGACATTTCACTCCCTACAGAGACATAAACCCATTGTACTTTTGCAATTAAATATTTGAAAATTTATTGCTTAAAAATGGAAGATATCATTAGAAAATAATATTGATTTGAACAAGTGCCTACCTCGTGGCTTCCGCATCGCATGAAACAAAATGGGCAAGAAAAATCCTCCCTCTCTGGATTTGATACAGAAATGTATGTATATGATAAACTGTTAGAAGAAACATAGCGAGAGAACCGATTCTGAAAGGAAATAACTAATTAAAGACTAACCTTCAGATTCTAGACATTTGGTATCACCATCTATGTAGTTATAAATTAGTCTCCCATCTGATTTTTTCCTGTACAAAATATAAGCGTGTCATGAGAAATCAGACTGAAAATAAATAAAAACTGAAAAACCATAAAAGAAGATGTCGTTCCAAATAAATTTAAGTTTAGAAAGGGTTCTCAAAATTTTATGATTTAGTGGTAATTCTAGAAGACAAAGCAAAAATATCGTTTGAGTTTTTTTGTGAAAATGGTCCGAGATATAAGCACTGCTGGAAACATAAAAAATGATAGACTAATACTAAAGAAGAGAGTCATACATTTGATTTTCCTTTGCTTGAATTTTGTAACTCAAACACCTTTGAAGGAAAGGTGGCTGTATAAACAAAGAACAAATTAAACAAAAAAAAAATAGAAGATCTGAGGATACTCATACACCAAACACACTTCTTTAAGTAAACCATTTGCGAGTTATGGAAGGGAATTAAGTAAACTATACAGGAAAATGAAAAACAATTATTACCACAGTTCAGTAAAGTGGTTCTGAGTTAAAAATAATAATAAATTATTCTTTTTTTCTTATAAACAACGTTTTATAAACAGATTTGCTTGAGAAAGAAAAGATTAAAAAAAAAAAGAGAGAGAATGTGGATACGTTGGCTCGTGAGTAAACTTGAAGACCCCAGTACAGCGTAACAGGTTTGCAATTCAATTTTAGACTTTGCTGATCATTAGAATCCATTTCCACTTCTTTCTTCCGTAAGGACTTAACACCAATACTCTGCCACGACCACAAATATTGAATTAGGCTCTAAATGACGACCATAAACATTCAAATCCAGACAAGAATTTTTATAAAAAAAATTACACAATCAGAGATATTAATAATTGATTTTTGACCCATCCAAATCAGATATTACAAATTGATAAACAGGCAAAAAAATTACTAGAAAAAATTTCAATCAGCAAAAGATATTATAAACAAAATATATATAGATTTTTAGTCGGATAATGGAAACAATAAGCGGGATGCATATGATCGAAAATTCGTCATTCGCCGAATCTAACCATTATTTGAGAGGTTGAAATTGGGTTGTACATGTTGAAATACATAAACATATATGAACTTAAACCATTTGATTTTACAAGTTACCTTTGTAGGTTCGTATTCTTCTTTTCCAGGAGAAATTTGCACCATTTGGAGGATTAAAAGAACTATTAAGACGGAAATAATCTATAGAAATTATGTATATATCGAACACGAATCTATAGATTATAGATTTCAGATATACTTTCGCTCTTGTTGTGTTTTTCAGATCCAATACTAGAAATGTAGATTCTCTCACTTATTAGGTACAGACTTCGTTTCTGGTGTTGAACGGCGCGTCTCTACAAAATCTATCTAATGTATACATATATAGAATACCGAACATCCTTAAAACCCTAAGTATTTAAGTGATTGGACCTTAATTATCGTTAATTATGAAAACTTCATGATCTAAAACAAAAATTTGGCCCACTATAAGTCCAATAAAATCATATAAAATAGAGAGTCGGTCTTGAGCCCAAACATTAGTATTTGGAAAATTAAATGTTTGTATTAACTTATAAAAGTATTATATATTGTTTGAAACAACCAAACTTTTAGGGCTAATTTGTCAAAAATTAATGAAAGATTACAAATGTATTCAGTTATATCTGGTAATTCATGTGTTTTTTGTTTCTATTGTAGTGATCACTCGCCAAAAGTAAGTAAGTAATAGACAAACTTGTTGTAAAACATAACGGTCAATCTACCAAGTGCCCTCACAGCCTCACTTGTGAATGGAGAGCATGTTTTGCGCAGTGAGTGTTTTAAAATTTTGGTTTTCTAAGAAAACAAGATACGATTTCTCACTGCAAGTTATTTAACAATAAAAACTAAAAAATCTGCAAGGCCTTAATGCTAAAAGGATACGACTGGAACCCTTGTTTGCTTTGAAATTTGTACTCATCTAAATTATAGTTGGAGCCTACATTAAGTGAAGGCCACTAGCCACCTATACGGTTAACCACAACGAAATTACAATATGATTAGTAACACATTCACATTAATATTACTATAGCAGAAAAAAGATATTCTAAATCTTAACACATGCATAACAATTAGAGTAGTAATTAGATGTTGAAAAACCTTCATTTAATTACACTAGAACTACTAGGCTAAGCACGAGTATATAAAACCATGCACATATAACCGGAAACGAAAAAAACAGAGAGATGGCGAAGGAGAAGCACGTGACGCCAGGAGAGGAGCCGGTCAGCCCGTTTTCACGGCTGTTCAGTTTGCCCGGTCAGGACTGCTTCAACATCTTAACCATCGGATGTAAAACTAAGTGAAGGCAATCCACATTCCCTTTTGATTGACGTTCTGTTCTCCGATGCGAACCAACCCAAGCCACAACGTTTATCCATGTAAATCAACACAACAAACCCCCTTTTCTCTCTAGGTCATGACACATGAGCATTTTCAAACATTATGGAGTTGTCACCTCAGAAAAAACAGAGAACCAATCAGAACATTTTAAATAATACCAGTCATCACTTTACATGGTTTACTTGCCACGTTTTTAGTCCGGTTTGATTGATTTTTTAACCGGTTTGACTTTATTGATTTTCTTTTCCGAAAACGTAATCGAGATTTCAGCCTTTCTTCTGTTGATTTTTTTCTTCTATTGCGATTGAGAAAGATAATCGGAAACCTCACTTCTCCTCAATCATCTTTCTTAAATTGGATCGGTGTGGGAGATTTCGAGTTAGAGACATGTGTTTTTCGTGTTCTACAATTATATACAATTAAAGTTATTTTTAGAGATTTTTAAGATAGCCTCCATTCTCCAAATTAACCTTTTTATATATATAACAATGTAAAAAAAAAATCTCAACAAATTAATTAGTAGAATTACTCTACTCCTTGTGAAATTAATAGTAGTAGGAGAGTGTCCGCGCAATGCGCGGGTTTGCTATTTCCAAAAGTTCAATAACTATTGTTCGTAATGATTTGTTAACCCGTACGTGTATGAAAGTTAAAATAGATTGATTAGCATTTCATTACGGCCTAGATACAAACTTATTTAATATAATAACATTATAACATATCCTATGAGCTTTTCAGATTAGCACAGTATACAAAGAGGGAAACAACAGAGGTCCCCAATTGTACTACCTTTTTGTAATTTTAAAAATACGTTTTTAGATTGAAGTTGAGAAAAATGAAAAACTACTTCTGGACCTTTCCCGAACCTTGTTCGAACTTATATGTTGGACGAATTAAGATGTGGAAAATAGAGTTGAAAAAGAGCTTCGTTCTTGCTCTTTCATCCTTCATATGATAAACCATTATTCGAATGACCAAACGACATCCGCATCAGAGTGTACTGAGACCAAAAGCTCGATTGATCTTCAATCAAACTACTCCATTTCTTTCGGAACAAAATTGAAGAGCTCTAATTTGGAATTGAGGAAGATAAAAGAAAAACTTAATGAGTATGGAGATACTTATTCAACTCACGATTCTTGATCTATCCTTTTATGTAAATAGAACCTTAGTGGGAAGAGACGGCCTGGTTTTTCTCATCTAGCTTCTTGAGTATGTTTGACTTGTAAGTTGAAATCTCTGAATCTTCCAAAGAGTCTGGAGGCCATTTGACGATAGAGAGTGCTCCATTAGTTCGCAGCTTCATCTGCAACAAAAGGAGCAGCTTCATCTGAAATCAATGCATTTAGCTTTAAGCACACTCAAGAAGATTAAAACAGTCAACAACCTGAGAATGTTTCAACATAAGAGACGAAAGGCATATATAAATATCTTGCCTGATTTAGTGAGAGCAGAGAGAGCCTTTAGAGCTTCTTTCCTTGTCTTGTCATCTTTAGCATTCCCCAACATATGTAGAAGCTCTTGAGCACCACACAACTCTACAACCTTCATTCTCCTCTCATATTTTATACACAACAAACCAAATGATTACAACATATCAGCACTGGCGAGAGTAAATAAGTATTAATATCAACTTCTTTCTCTTATCAGCAATCCATCAGAGGGAGAAGTTTTTGAGTTATTCTGATGCTTTACCATCGATGGCGAAATAGGGAAAGCGTAGAAGCTCCTATTTTACAACGTTTAACAGTGTTTAAGCATCATCATTCATACCTTATGGGATCAATCTCTGTTGCAGTGTCATCAGTGATAAAGCCATTGATCTTAAAGCCACGCTCAACATTTTGTGCGCGTTGGAGTAGTATCTTCATGTGTTGAGAAAGAACAAGGAGAAAAGTCTTCTTTCTATAGAATAATATTTCTGTGAGAAAACAACCGATGCGAATCAAACCACCAAGGGAAAAAAAAACAATGGTCCAGATTGCAGCCAATTCAAAGATTATCTTACAATAAAGTTTGCAACAACAAGAAAGAGACTCACCAGTGAAACTCAGAACAGAGGAACAAAGTGTTGTGTTGAATATTTGGTTATGTATCTCCATATTATATATCCTTTTAAAGAGTTTGTCTTGGAATGTGCTTGTAAAGCCATCGAACCTGTTAGATAGGCAATTACGAAACACACAATAATGATGCATGACTCGTGAGTAGTAACAACGAAGTACCGAGATTCCTATTTTAAAACCAGACAACAAAATCTCAGAATAATCATATACACATACCCAAGATAACCAACCGTAAGGGAAACACACCAAACAGTAGTTTCTCTTCCCTTATTGTACGGACTAATATCATCTCCTGCCTACAAGCTCTGAAATTTGAGACAAATTATCAAATTTTCAACCAAGTGAAAGCATCTAGGCTAACCTCATTGTGATGTGTGGAGTAATTGTTGAAGATAGTAATGGCGATGGAAGCCATAACAGCGTCGATGAGCCCATCAGCGCAATTAGAGAGCGAATTGTGATGGATCCAGATATGACTCGACCCGAAAATCGAGATCCCGTCTCCGTCGGCCATAGTCCTCCACCCGTAATGCGACATAGAGCTTCTAAGTTCTAACCATGGCGTTACCGGTCGGTCTACAGTCATGAACATGGATCCGATGGATGATGATGTTCGTCACGAAAGCTAACTCTGAATCTACAAAACACAAGTTCACAAAACAGATATTTCCACCGATAAGCACAACTATTAACAATATGTTAACCAAAAATATACATTGCTATTGGAGTATAAATACTGGAAGGTGGTGGAGCGAGAACGTCACTGGAAACCATGACCACTGCCGCTCAGGATCGCCGGATGTGTTTAAGAGGGAAGAGGGTGACGATGAGATGCTTTGAAGTGGGAAAATTGTTCTCAGCTAAAGAGTGAGAGGAGATTGGCCAACGTTTTTATAGTGGAAGTCGGAACGGAAAGAAGAGGAGGCGTAACCGGTGGATTTAATGGCCGACATTGAAAGCCATAACGTTGGAGGAAGGGAGGCAGACAGTTTCGCCGGAGGCGAGTTAATTTTTGATGTGTGGATCCAATTTGGGCGGAGAAGACGGGCCGGAAATATTGTGCCGGGATTTTTTTTTCTAAGTGACGAAACGACGTCGTTTTGCTGGGAGCAATTATAGTTTTGGAATTTTTTTTTCTAAGTGAACAAAACGACGTTTTGGAGCCAGCGAAAAAAAATAAATGTTTTCTGAAAAAGCTGATATGGCACTCTCTCTCGGGATGGTGATGTGTCATCAGCTGGAGAGTGTCACAAACCCAGATTAAATATATATAAAAACGTGAATTTTGTGATGTTTCTCGAAATTCGAAATAAAGAACACTTTACAGTTTTACACTCAACAGTAACGTTTGCCGGGAAGAGCGCGTGAGCTCATAACTTTGAAAGGGTAAAACGGTCAATTCCGATATCATATTCCAATGATATATATATAGAAGTTTCTCCTTTGGTGTGAAAACGAGAGAAGCGCGTAAAACCAACAAGAGAGATGCGTCGATCCGCGAGCGCCTCCATAGTTTCCGACCAACTATCAGCGAATTCTCCTTCCCCATCACCGTCTCCGCCGCGAATTCAGAGCGCCGCAGATTCGGAGGATCTCAATCTTCTTCTGCCTCGGTACGACCCCAACTCTCACCCCGGGAAGAAGGCCAAATCGCGTCTCAGATCCGCCGAGAACGCTATCCATTTCATCCCTCTCCTCCTCATTCTCTGCGCCGTCATTCTCTGGCTCTTCTCAAATCCAGGTAGCCACCATTCGATCCATTCCTCCAACAAATTCCTCTGTTTTCTTCGAGAAAATTGCGTTGACTCGTAAATCGCTGAATGCGTTTCTACGATTTCGATTCGTTTTTTGTGATTCTGAGTTTTGGATTTATCTTCTCTATTGTTTTGATTTGTTCACAGTAATAATGAAGTGAGTGACGATTGGCTTATGGAAAACAGAGTTTGATGATGACTTTAGCTGTAGCAATCTCATAGCATTGTATTATTCTTTTACAGAGACTCTGTTCATAAGATTGTTAATAAAAAAGGATCCATTTTTTCAACATCAATCCCAAAAGAAACTCAAGTTTTTGAAACAGAGAGAGGCTCACACTCGAAGTTCGTGTGCTCCAGCATTGGACCGAGCCTCAATAACTTCGGTATGACCACATTGTCCCTCACCGAACACACAAGAGGATTGTCCCATTGCAGAAGCGCTCCAACTAGATTCGCACGAACCGTCAACGGGAACGCCCGAGACCATCTCTCGCTCCCATACGACTCCATCGCCTCTTCAACCGACTCACTCCCTTTACTGATCGCGCCGGCGAGTTTGTTCGCAAGAACAACGGAATCTTCCAAGGCACAACAAGCGCCTTGACCAAGATTCGGCGTCATCGGATGCCACGCGTCACCTACAAGAACCACTCTGCCTTTCGACGCTGGAGGAGCGATGCCAGGCCATAGCCACCGGTCTACAAGTGGAGTTTTACTGATTGTTTCGTCTGGTGTTAGGTCGATGAGGTTTTGGAGATCTTGAGGCCATGTACTAACCATTTCTTTGGCTTGTCCTTTAAGTATAGCTGGATCCGTGATTTTCGGTCCTGCATAGATATATCTCAAGATGTGTAAATACAGGAAATGAAAGAAGAAATCATCTTGAGGAGAGTGTTTGGAATATTGTACCTAGAGAGGGGCTGTTGAAACAGATGAACCAGTAGACTTTTGTGGTAGAGACAGGTACATAACCAGCTCGAATCCCTTTTCCGTATATGTAGTTCACTTTTCTCTGAAATGGCTGTCCGTTTGGATAGAAGCCAAGTCCACGGAATGCGCAATGGCCAACGTATCTCGGCTCACTGAAACCCATCCAAGTCGCTACTTTAGACCGTATTCCGTCACAACCAATAACAATCTGTCGTAGACAAAGACATACATCACCAAAACCAGCCAAGGAACAAATCAGATTACCATAGGCTTTGGGACCACAACTACATACATTTGCTAGCAATTGGGTTCCATCTTCAAGTTGGAGTTGAGTGTCACCATTGGGATTGGTTTGTATTGTTTTGAGTTTTGAGGAAAACCGAATGGTTTGTGGAGGTAGTTGGCTTGCAAGTGTTTCCAAGAGAACTCGCCTCTCCACCGCTCGAACTTCTTGGCTAATATATATAAGAAATGGTTTGGTTATACACACGAGAATCAAACCCAAATGCTCTTGACCATCTTCTTTAGCAAGTTATGAAAATGAAAAAAAAAAAAGTAGACTACCTTTGATCTTCGTCTTTGAATTTGAAAGAACGAAGCTCTCTTCCATCTTCTTTCTTCACTACCATCCTGCTCAGCTGATCATACCAACACACTCAGCTAAAACCAAGCAAAAGATCTCAATTTTTTAATCATTTTTAATCTTCACAGAAAGAAACTGTACCCTTCGATTTCGAGGAACTGCGTTCGGAGTTGAGGTCCCACGGAGATGGCGTCCAGAACGCGCCAACCATTCTTGAATAGCGTCAGCGATGTTCCTCCGGTCCGAAGCGACTCTGCTTGCTCCAGCACCACCGACCGGATTCCTAGCCTAAACCGTCAACCAAAATCTCCGGTTTAGTGGCTCTTTGAGTTCCAAGTAAATTCAAAGAACCGGTTTTTTTGTATTTTCTTACTTACCGGTGAAGAGAAACAGCGGTGGCGAGTCCGCCAATCCCGGCGCCAACAATCACTACCTTCTCCTCCCCTTGGTCACCACCACTTACTGTTTGGGCTCTAATCGATGCTAAACAACCCGGTTTTGATCCAGTTCGAACCGGAAACCATCTGTAGCTTCTGTCCAAGGCTTGGAAATGTGACGGTAACAGAGACGGAGGATTGATCGGAAGCAGAAGAGACATGGCCATGGCCTCGCGTCTACAAACAAGTGGATAATGCCTAATGCTATTCAGTTACTTTTCAGCCATAAATTAAAGTGAAGATTTTTAAAACTATTTTCGTTAGGTAACTGTGAAGCCACGAGGTCAAGTGAAGGGACATGAGTCATGTCCAAACCACACAAACAACAACCTTCAACATCTCTTCACTCTAAGCAAGACCATGGTGCTTACGTCACTTTGGCTAAGGGTTTTTTTTTATTGGTCACAATTTGAGCTTTCATTGTGTTACAAACACATACACACTCGAGTGTTAATACAAAGTCGAGAGTATATATATAGTCTATAGTATTGTTCTCAGACCTCTCAAATATGATATCAACTAAAAACATTTCGAAAACATATTTGAGAGAATCTTTTGATCTATTATCTAATGTTAAGAGGAAGATTTGCCCACAAATCCAAAACCAACAATGAAGAAGGCCAGTGACTGAAACAGAAGGTACAAATACAGACTGCTCTTCCCGCAGATGATGTCGTAGCAACCGCAGAACAACAGGTACGCTCCGACCAATAGCTCCATCACATGCACCCTGCAACAAGATTTGCAACATTAGCAATATCGGTTTAAAAGCTCAAAACCAAATCCAATATGAATGAAGCGTGTACTTTTACCTATCTCTGAACCTGACATGATGTTCTTCAGGTACTTGAGCAATCAGCTTCGTCTTGAGAGTATCACCTAACTTCTCAGTCACAACCCATTCTTGTACTCTTCCTGAATCTAACAAGCCCATCACCAGAGCCTTTGCTCGTACCAGCGACATTGCATTCTCGAACAGAACCCAGAACGCCAAAAGGTGGATTGATCTGTTCACAACAACAACAAATGATTAAACTAAAAGAATACAGAGAAAGCAATAACTTTGTTTTGAATCTGAGTCAGAGAAGAGGACCTTAATCTACCGATGGCGATGAAGAGAGTGATCAAAGAAGGGAGATAAAACGCAGCCCATTTCGGAACTGTGACTTCTGGGAACATAACAGTTGCTGGCAAGATAACACAGTAGAAGCAGAAAGTAAGGATGTGAGCTACGATCTTGCGGATGAAGAAGAAGCTGTAGATCATATACAACTTCTTCCCGACAGAAACATTCTCGCTTCTTATTATCTGTCCAGCCATTTTCCTGAATAGATTCGCAGGGCCACAAGTCCACCGATGCTGCTGGCTACGGAGGGCGTTGAAGGAACAAGGCAACTCACTTTTCACCTACAGATTAACAGACTCAATAATGCTTCTAGCAAGCACATAACCAAAGATGCCAAGGAAAGAGAGTAATCTTCTATATACCGTGACATCATCGATATACAGAAACTTCCAGCCTCTGAGTGTAGCTCGAACAGCTAAGTCCATGTCCTCTACTGTTGTCTGGTCATTCCATCCCCCAGACTCATTCAGCGCTGAGATTCTCCAGACACCAGCCGTTCCTGCAAAATAGTTTCAGACTGTAAGAAAAGGTTTACTGAGTAAAGAAAAGGATAGGCAATGAGAATGCTATATACCGTTGAACCCAAAGAAGGCAAATGTTGAAGATCCAACTTGCTGTTCTACTGCGAAGTGGTAACTTAGAGACATCTCCTGCAACCTCGTCATCATGCATTGATTCGCGTTCACTGTTGATACCATGAGATTGTTAGCAAAAGCAAAAGAATGTTAAGAAGGAGAAAGGTGTCTTTAAGGAATGTTACCAAACTCCCAGCGGGCTTGGACAAGTGCTAACTTGGGATTGTGAGCTAAGAAAGGGACAGTGCGGAGGAGGAAGTCAGGATCAGGCTGGAAATCAGCATCAAAGATAGCAACATAGTCACACTGCTTCACGTAGCTATGCTTCATCCCTTCTCTAAGAGCACCAGCTTTGTACCCGTTCCTATTATCCCTAATCTCAAAGGTTATGTTAACGCCTTCTTTGGACCATCTCTCACACTCCCTTTTCACCAATTCCTGTTTCCTTCCATTATTGCCACATAACCAAAAATGTTAAGGAACTCACTTTAAACACAATGCTTGAGATGAGAGAGAAGAGAAGTGGTGTGTAGAGGTTTACAAGGACCTTACTGGCTGGATCTGTGGAATCATCAAGCACTTGAATGATTATACGTTTCGATGGCCATGAGATTTTGCAAGCTGCTGCAATTGACTGCTCACAAACCTATAAAATACAAAACCAAAAACAAAAAGTTCAACTAAATGCCAAATCACTGTGATGAAACAGAGAAGGTGTTACCTTTTTTTCATTGTACATTGGTATTTGCACAAGAACCATAGGGAAGTTTGCACTGCCACTCTCAACATCATCCTCCTCCATAGCTTCCCATTTGTAAATTTTCTCTGGTGTTCTCTTGAACAGCTTGACATACACTACGACTAGTCCCATGTACATTACCTCCACGAAGAGCATTACAGACATGATCAAGCATAGAGCCACCAAGAACTTGAAGATAGGTAAAACTACTACAGCCCTTGCTTGCTCCCACCAGAGTCTGATTCTGGCAAATACTTCTTCCGATGTTGGAATCGATTTGAAGGCATTGAGGATTATTGTCGATTCTTTAGAACTTCGAACCTGAGACTTCAGTGAGAAGTAAAATAGAGAAAAGAAACATGAAATTGACCCTCTTGAGTTTAATACATTAAAAAGCATCTGCAATTATTCTTGAATCCAAAAACCAAAAATCAATTCTTGACTGATAACATGTAGATGACAAAGAAAGGCAGATTTTTTTATACACTAGAGGACAAAATGATTTGGTATTATAATCAGATCTTAGTATAGCGGATCTATAGCGAATGTAGCACGCAAGAACAAGAGAGAAACGACCAATGAGAAATGGGGTTTTACGATTTAGTGAAATCCAAGTCAAATCTATAGTAATCCAACAGAATAATGCTGACGATAAGTCCAAATTGAAGCATTCTTAACTCGTCGGAAGAAACCCAGATTATAAATAAAAAAAAAGGAAAAGAAATCAAAAGCAGTCGTAGGTAACAAGCAAAATGCAACATTCGACGACAATGGCGTAGTGAGAGAGAAAGAGGAAAAGAGCGAACCAGTGAGAGGGAGAAGGAGGAGAAGGTGTCGTGAGCAAGAAGGTGGAAGCTTGCGAGAGGAGACATTGAAATTCTCAAGTCTCTTCTTCCACAAATCGCCGTCTGCTCCGTGGCCGATAATATCTCGCCTCTGTTTTATCTCTCTCTCTCTTTCTCTAGTCTTTGGAGTCAACTTGGGATTTCCATCGGCCAAGTGGGCCAATTCATTTCTGTCATTTAAATTATTTTGTTTTTCTTTTTGTTCTCTATATCGTTTCTTAACGTGATTTGGTGATCTCTTAATTGTGGTGACAAACTGATAACTACTTAACATGGACCACGTTGGAAACTGTAGAATGTCGATAACGACTTTTACTTATATGAATAATGTCAAAAACAAACTTACACATCTACTATATAATCTGTGGAGATATTTTTCTTTAACTTGAAAAATAAACTCTTTCTCAAAACTATCATATAATACAAAATATGCACTTGGAAAATAGTCAAATAGCAAAATCCTCATTTTTTAAAAAAAAAGAACAAAAACAAATTATATCCCTCGCATTTTATGTAATCATCACATTTTATTAAATCTCGCGTTATCAATATTTATCAAGCATGTAGCATGATCACCTTACATTTTATTTTTTTTCGAACATGTACCCAAAAAAATGTCATATAGCAATTGGACCAACTGATTTATCTGCTAGGTGTTTTAATTTTTATTTTTCATCTTATCTACAAGATTTTTTTTTGCTACGAATCTTATATATGTTCGTGCAAGATTTTTGGTATTTACATCCATGCATCTGCTGCTTTATGAGAAAGTTAAAGGGAAATTTGCAGTTTGAAAAAGCGGGCTATAGGTTGCTTGGAAACATTGGCCTGGTGACTTCTGAAGATTCTTTGACGAAATTCAGAATCAGTCATAAGCTTATTACAAAAGGAGATTATTGAATGATTAATCTTTTAGAATGTTTTATACATCATCAATGTCACATGATATATATATATCTCTCTCCTTTTGAATTCCTTTTACTAATATGTTGAAACAAAAAAAATATATGCCTAGAGCTTACGTACGTCCCCCTCTTTGGATTCAAATACTGAACCACATAGCTCGTAGATTTGGTGTATGGTTATAGCGAACGTAGAGCATGTTACCGACACAAAATGTGCCTAACGAGTCAGAGTAATGATGGCATCATGGCACCGATACATCCTCTTTGAAGTGCGCATGTCTCGTCCCATCGTACACTTTTTTCTATTCGATAGTACGAAACTTTATCTGCTTTCACATTCGTCGGATGGAGGATCTCTCGAATGAGGCTGAGCCGGAAGCTCAGTCATCAAAAGGTTCCTCATGGCCTCATGGGTTCGATATCAAAATTTCGTATTCATTTACCTAATCAAGTGAACTGTATGCCTATATGGTCACATACTTTGAATTCACTATATAGTTCGACAAACTTAGGTCAATGACTATTTAACTTAATATAATAACATTTTGGTTTGAAGTGATCTTCGGTTTTCTGGTTATGGAGACGAGGTGGAGCTACCTTTCTACTCATTGTAATTAGTTACCACACGTTTGATTCTAGAGAAGCCTACCCTACCCATAAGGGAGTGTCCTTGTCACAAAGACTTTTTGTATTGATGCAGTAAAAGGTGAGAATAGAGAAGGAAAACACATAACCCACCAATAATACTCTTCCCTTCTCTCTCTTTGACCAATCTCTCCCTCTCTCTCCTCTTTTGACCTCTCTTTCTCTCTCTCCCCCCTATTATGTGTCTCTCTCACTCGCGCGTGCTCTTCCAAGCTCCAACATCCAACTTTTTAAGTGCATGGTTAGTGCGTGATTCGCTAATTACCTCGATGACACTAGTAACTTAGTTAGTAACACCTTGCATGCATGGTTGATAGGTCTACATATATTTTGAATGTTAACATCAAACCTTACAAATCAAGAAATCATATATCTACATCCTAAGTAAGCCAAAATATATCGTCAACTTAACTATAATATTGAAATATTCTAGTCAAGACTAAAGTGATAATAGTAAAAAAAAAAAAATCTTTTTTTCTCTCTTAAAAGAGCGAAAAAGTGTCCGCCTTCACTTTCATTCGCCGGCGTCTCTCACGGCGTCGGAATTCAGTCCACCCTCCTCTTCAAGGCCCTCCTCTCCTCATGAGGAAGAAAAAACACAAAAAGAACTCGGGATCTCCCTCCCAAAAGTCGAGTTCCCCATCCCAAAGCTCGGGTTCGTCTGAACCCACGTCGTCTTCGGAGCCTCCGGTCGTCGATTCCCCCAAATCGGACATGGAAGCCGCCTCAGCAGCCTCGCCTGAACCTGTCTCTCCGCCCGCTACTATCGCTGCTCAAGACCCGACTCCTTTGGCCAAAGACAAAATCTCAGATCTGGTTGAGACTTCTGTTTCCCAGATCCAGTTTGGTACCAACACTTCTAGGTTAGTAGAGGAATCTACGGACCCGGGACTGTCAGAAAATTCTACAAGCAAGGTTGCCTCCCCTCAGGTGCAGGCCAATGCTCAAGTTTCTGCGAAATCCACCTCAGTGGCCGACCCAGATCCAAAACCCCAACCCTCCTCAGCCAATTCTTGGTCAGACCTCTTCAAAGGTCCCGGGAAAAAGCTCAGTAAGAAAGGAAAACCTTTCAATCTTTCTTCAGGAGAGGCTTGCGTCAAAATTTCAGACACGCTTATTGAGAAAAACAAGAAGTCGTGGGATCTTTTTATCCTTGGTCAATTCTACTCTGATCCTCCCTCACAAGGAACTATCCACAACATAGTAAATGGCATTTGGAGCAAGTATTACAGGGACATCACGGTCTCCAAGATGGAGGGCTTCGCTTTCCTCTTCAGGATACCGAGCGCTGCAACTCAGAGCAGAGTCTTAGAACAGAGGCTTTGGCAAATAGAGGGGCAGACCATGTTCGTTGGTAAATGGGAACCGGGAATTGTTCCAGTTAAACCAGAATTAACGTCCGCTCCTATTTGGCTTGAGCTAAGGAACGTGCCGTACCGCTGCTTCAACAACGAGGCTTTGGAGAGGATCGCTACTGCTGTAGGTGAGCCAAAATGTCTACATCCCTCCACTGCAAACAAGACAAATCTGGAAGTTGCCAAGGTGTTCACACTGATTGATCCGAGGAAACCGCTGCCTGAGGCCGTAAATGTTAAGTTCGACTCAGGAGAAATCTGCAGGGTTCTAGTTTCTAGTCCTTGGATGCCTCCGATCTGTGGCCACTGCAAAGGAATTGGACACACTATCAAACGTTGCAAGTCGGCTCCCATCACCTGTCAGGAATGTAAATCTTCAGCGCATAGCTCTGAAAATTGCCCTAGAGCTCAAGCAAAAGAGCCCAAAAAGAAAAAGCGTGGACGTAGCAGATCGAAATCCAAAGGAGCTTCAACGGCAAAGGATATAGATCAGCTAAAGAGAACTCCGGCGACGGGACTTTCAGGGATAATCTCTAAAGGTGAAAGCAGCAATACTTTCAAATGGATCCCAAAGGAGAAAAATAAGGTTCCGTCAGTTAAATCCTCCGAGACGGAAGCGGAAGCAGACTCCTCGGATGTTCTATCATCCGATTCTGAAGGTTATGTGAGCCCTGAGGAGGAGTATGACAACTTGGAGGATCAGTATGAGGGTTTCACAGAGGTTCTGTCTTCAAGGCAGAAGAAGGCGTCGAGGGGCAAGGGCCCCAAACCCACATAATTTTATGTGTAGTATATTTTTTTGGAATGTCCGCGGCTTTAATATATGCAGCCATCGTAGCGGATTAAAAAAGTGGATAAAGGCGAATAAGCCTATTTTTGGGGGAATTCTAGAGACGCATGTTAAGGTGCCTAAACACCAGAAGTTTGTAGATAAGTTGCTTCCTGGTTGGTCTCTAGAGGATAATTACGCTTTCTCTACGCTTGGAAAGATTTGGATTGTGTGGCATCCTAGCGTGAGAGTGGTGACAATCGCAAAGTCGCTTCAGATGATTACAAGTGAGGTTTTGCTTCCGGATTCTTCAGCTTGGATAGTCATCTCGGTGGTCTATGCTTCAAATGACGAAACAGAGAGAAAGGCTTTGTGGGCGGAATTAAAGGATCTAGCTCTGGACAGAAGAGTTGCTTCAAGGGCTTGGTTAGTGCTAGGAGATTTCAATCAGACTCTGAACCCTCACGAGCACTCAATCCCTGCAGCACAAAATATCAATAGAAGAATGGTGGAATTCAGAAACACGCTTCAAGATGCAGAGTTATCTGACCTAACCTTCAAAGGCGAAACGTTCACATGGTGGAACAAATCCGTTTCTCGACCTGTCGCGAAAAAGCTTGATAGGGCACTGATAAATGAGCACTGGATGAATCAGTTCCCGGCCTCTTATGCAAAGTTTGGAGAACCTGACTTCTCAGATCACACCTCTTATGGTGTAATCCTTGACCATGGTTCACTATCTAAAAAAAGGCCTTTCAGATTCTTCAATTATCTTCTGCAGAATGAGGAACTCCTGCCTCTAATAGCGGATCACTGGTTTTCTTGCTCAGTCTTTGGATCGGCTATGTTCAGGGTTTCGAGGAAACTAAAGCTGCTGAAGAACATCTTAAGGAAGTTCAGTAAACAGAATTACTCAGGAATTGAAAAAAGAACTGCAGAAGCACATGCGATTATGCTTGGCAGCCAGCAACAGGTGTTAGCAGACCCTTCCCCGAGTAATGCGGTGTTGGAGTTGGAGGCTCAAAAACGGTGGAGGATTCTAGCAACAGCAGAGGAAGCTTTTCACCGCCAAAAATCAAGGGTGACTTGGTTAAAATAAGGAGATTCTAACTCGGCGTATTTCCATCGAATCGCCGCAGGTAGAAAGGTTTTAAACCATATTCACTACCTCCTGGATGACAGTGGAGATCGCATTGAGTCGGACCAAGGGATAAGAAGCCATTGCGCCAACCACTTTCAAAATTTCTTGGGAGGCGATATTGGAGAAAAAATGTTTATTCAGGAGGATATCGACTTACTACTTCCCTATAGATTCACTCCCGATCAGAAGTCTTTCCTGCAGAGTGATTTCTCTTCGGAGGAAATCAAAGCAGCTTTCTTTGCTCTTCCTAGAAATAAAACCTCAGGGCCGGATGGTTACTCTGCCGAATTCTTCACGGGAACTTGGGCTATTGTGGGACCGGAGGTAGTAGACGCGGTGAAAGAGTTCTTCACATCTGGTAGACTGTTGAAGCAATGGAACTCGACCACTCTTGTGCTGATCCCAAAGATTCCAAACGCCTCCTCAACAGCAGATTTTAGGCCGATATCCTGCCTTAATACTCTGTATAAGGTAATTTCAAAGCTCCTAGCTTCTAGACTGCAGCAAATCCTCCTACAGGTCATCTCTCCTTCCCAATCAGCGTTCATGCCAGGGAGGCTTCTGTCAGAAAATGTGCTTTTGGCGACTGAGATAGTTCATGGATACAATTGGAGGAACATTGAACCGAGAGGAATGTTGAAAGTTGATCTCAGGAAAGCTTTCGACTCAGTTAGATGGGACTTTGTTCTTGCCACTCTGAAGGCAATTGGAATTCCGAACAGTTTCGTGAATTGGATAAATCAGTGCCTCTCGTCAGCAACGTTCATTGTATCTGTAAATGGTAATTCCGGAGGGTTTTTCGAGAGCAAAAAAGGTTTGAGACAAGGTGACCCTTTATCACCTTACCTCTTCGTGCTAGCGATGGAAGTCTTCTCGAAGCTCCTACAATCAAGGTTTGACGCTGGATATATCCATTATCATCCAAAAACAGAGGAGCTTAACATTTCCCATCTTATGTTTGCGGATGACGTAATGGTTTTCTTTGACAGAGGCACTTCTTCTCTGCATGGTATCTCGGAAGCCTTAGATGATTTCGCGAGTTGGTCGGGGCTACAGATGAATAAAGACAAGACTCAGCTCTTTCATGCTGGCGTGACCCACAGTGAATCCATAGCCTTCGCAGACTTCGGTTTCACGGTTGGTTCACTCCCAATTCGTTATCTTGGTTTGCCACTGATGCATAGGAAGCTGAGAATAGTGGAGTATGAGCCCTTGATGGATAAGCTGAGGAAAAGATTCAACTCTTGGGCTGCAAAAACGCTTTCCTTCGCAGGTCGAACCCAGTAAATAGCCTCAGTCATCTTGGGGACAGTAAACTTTTGGATTTCAACGTTTATTCTGCCCCAAGGCTGTATAAAGAAGATTGAGTCTATGTGTGCAAGATTTCTTTGGACCGGAGCGATCGAGTCTTCACGAGGCGCCAAAGTGGCTTGGTCAACGGTCTGTCTACCTAAATCAGAAGGTGGTCTGGGTCTGAGGAGTTTCTCGAAGTGGAACAAAACACTTTGTATGAGGTTCATTTGGCTGTTATTTTCTGATAATGTCACTCTGTGGAGTCTATGGCATAAACACCATTACATCAGAGGAGCTTCCTTTTGGAATCTAAAGGAAAATGCAACTTCATCAGCTTCTTGGAACTCGATTCTCAGGCTGAGACCGGAAGCAAAGCACTTCATCAACGTGGTACTGGGAAATGGGTTAAAAGCAAGCTTCTGGTTTGACGCTTGGACACCAATGGGTCCACTTATTGATGCGATAGGGGAACAAGGGCCGAGGAATCTAAGGATTGAGAGAAATGCAACCGTAGCTTCCGCCTGTCCCTCGGGAACATGGAATATCCCTCAGCCGCGATCTGAGGCGGTGGTAAAACTCCACAGTTACCTGACTACAATCCCGGTACCTTCAATTTCTATGCAGGATGATTACTATACATGGACGGTGGACTCAAATGTGTACACTGGTTTCAACGCTTCGAAAACGTGGGAGGCGTTAAGACCACGTGCACCACCGAAGAATTGGGCTCCATCTGTTTGGTTCAAGGGCTCTATTCCTAGACATGCCTTCAATATGTGGGTCACGCATCTTGACAGGCTGCCAACTAGGTCACGCCTTGCATCTTGGGGAATCATCACCTCTACGGACTGCTGCTTATGTGGAAGGGAACCGGAAACCAGGGACCACCTCTTCCTCAAGTGCTGCTATAGTGTTCAATTATGGATTTCCGCTCTGCAGAAGATAGACCCTAGACCACATCACTTTCAATCTTGGTCTGAGGTTCTCTCTTGGACAAGAAACGATTCCAACCGAGCCCCAGCTCTTTTAAGGAAGATAGTAGCTCATTCGACTATCTATCATATTTGGAGGGAGCGAAACAGTGTTCTTCACAATGGAACCCACATTCCACATCAAGTCACCTCTAAAGCGATTTACCGAGAAGTCATCAACACTATCACGGCTAGAAAGCAAAGGAAGCACTTTCAGTCCTTTATGTCTCTCTGGTTGCGATGAAAGAAACTTTATGTTTCTATTAAATTATGTAATCTTGTTTTTTACTCATTTTTTTTTGCCAAGATTACTTATGCTCTAGGTGTTTATTGTTGTAACCCCTAAACTTTCATTCTAAATGAATATTAACATTCCTAGCAAAAAAAAAATATTCTAGTCAATGTAATTGTCATGGTGCACCTTCTTGATGATTCTGATTGTTATGACAAGAAGATGAAGAAGAAACCAAAGCAAGGATGGAGGTTGCGAGTTTATTAATGGCATCCACCAAACCACTCATCCCTTGTCTGTTTATCTCTGCTTTTGTTTCCTCAATCTCAAGTCTCCTCTCTTTCAGCCTCACCACTTCCTTATGTCTTCTCTCTTGTCTCTCCTCACTCTCTCTCATCACTTGTGCGATCAAAGACGCGCTTCTTGATAACGCCGCTCCAACCGCAACCTCCTCTGCCTCCTTCCCTCCTCCACCGTTTGTTTCTCCCGGCTTTGTTCTCCTTCGCTTCGCCCGCGACGATGTGTCTGAATACTCACTCGTGTCAGAATATATCGGAGCTACTAATATTAAATTGAACAATATACGAATATATATCATCCAAGATTTGTCATTAAAAAAAAGTGTATATGTAATTTTGTATTAGCCTTCCATCGACTTTAATAATAGTTACATAGTATACATAAGAACTTTATAATCATAGTAAACCAATGTACACACAAGCAAATTTAGGGTTTTGTTTTATGCATCATGGCAGTTGTAAAGTTTAGATTTTTAATGTATAATTGGACTGACTGAGACAACTTGAGACGTGGGTATTTGTTAGAAGTTAAGGAAGAGAGATAAAATGGAAGGTACCTACTGTGGGCTGTATAGGCTCAGCATGGAATGTGGACGGTAGAGGTGGAGGCGGCGGAGGATGTGATAAGACTAGAGGTTGTGGCGGTGGCGGTTGTGGTTGCGGAAGAGTTAATACAATAGTAGCCGGGAGTTGATGCATCGGCTGAGCCGTTACCGGAGCTACAAATCCTAAATTTTGTTGGCACACTCTAACGATCTGAACGCCGGAAGAGCCACCGTGACCATTTCCGGCGGCGGCGGCGGGGGAGGAGGAGGAAGGTAGGCTCTTCTTGTCGACAAGCTCAGCCAACGCCTCGTATATCTGAGGCAACATATTGCTCGGCAAGTTCTTCTCTTTCCTCTCACTCTTCTCCATCTGCCAGTACGACGGTGACGAAGCCGCCGCCGAGGAGGAAGAGCCGGTGGTAAAAGACGGTTCTACCCTCCATCTCTCGTATTCTCTGATCTTCTTGTAGTCTCTCATGAGATTGTCCCACTTGTCGTTGCACTGATTCTGGTTCCTCAGGCATCCTTTCCTCCAACAATACTCCTCTATCCACTTCCACCGGAGCTCCGACGCCGGCCTGTTCCGGATTTCCGGTCGCTTTTCCGGCGTAAGGCCGGTAGTAGACCGACGCACACGCCTCTCTTCGTCCATCTTCTTGGCTTCTATGAGCACCAAAGTCTCACTCACCGTCCAGTTTCCTTTACTATACTCTCTCACAACCATATCTCCGCCACGTGATGGATCAGCCATATGTGCCTTTGAATCTTGATTTCAAGAAGTAGAGAGAGGAAGGGAGAGAGAGAGAGAGAGAGAAAGAGAACAATAAGTGTTGGAGAAAGGGATGAGCGAAGACCGGTCAAAATGTTTTGTTTGTAGTACGAAGATTGTCACCAAGTGTGAAAAAGACAGTGCTCTGCTTCCAATAATGAGCAAAGAAACACAAAGTAGATTATTATTTTTCTTTGATTATCTACGTTTTCATGTTTCTACCTTTAGTTAATATGGGGCATCCTTAAGGATGTAATTTAAGTTATGTAACTGAGCAACTGGCTATAACTAAACGTACATTATTAAGCTTAGACAACTTTTTAATATCAAACATTTATAGCTGAATCCACTCAAGTAAGAAAGTGATGTGTTAAAAGAGAAAGAGTGGGGGCGTTGTGTGGGATTGAAGTTCATGTTACATGTTCAGACGAATTGCTCTCCGAAAACTTTGAAGTCGATTGATTTGTTCTCCAAAAGTCGAATCGCTTATGTGCCTGTTTCTAAAATAAATCAGCAAATTCGAAGTCCTCCACATTAGAAACAGCTTTGGTATTTGCGAAAAAACTCTACCAAATTTTTTATTTTTATTCTCAAAACCAACCCCAATTTTGTTCTCTAACATAGTTATGTCAGCAAATTCCAATCAGAAATTCACCACTCATTAATCATTATTTTTAAGTTTCAGCTTGAGGATGATATATATACTACCATTTTCAAGTAGTTGATCATGTTAACTGTTAAGTCTCTTTTCTTGCAAATAATTGAAACAAATTAATAGTACTTATAGCTACTGCCTGATTCCTTTAAAAGAAGCTAGAATCGGTATGATCTCTCTCCTTCAGTTTGGAGATTCAGTGAACCAATATTTAAAAGCTGAAAAAAAGTTTAGTGGATGGTGTTGGTGGGGAATTCGTTTTGGGAATAATGTATCAGTGGATTGGTCAAATATCTGACAACTAGTTCTTGTATTCCTTTATGAGAGCGTTTATGAACAAGTTGTTAAATGGGTTATTAATGGATTGGTGCGTTGTATACGAAAACATACCAACATGTCTAGTGACCCAAGTTCACTAAAGATTGGGTTAATGAGTTTCATGCTTGACAACCAATTCTCAAAATATCATATTGAGAGAGTTAAAAGTAGAATATGATCCAAACACAAACAGAGAAAACACCATAATATTCCAATTTCCCATATCCATTTTCTTTTTGTCTCATGACTTCCACCACCATAGGTCCATAGAAAGAACATAGAGAAGAAGATGTTATGTTAAATTATTAAAATCAGAGAAGACCACCCCTGAGAGCAAGAACCAAATGAAGAACAGAGCCACCCTCTATGTTGTAATCTTTGGCCGTCTTGTCATCAGCTAGCTGTTTTCCGGCGTAGATGAGCCTGAATATATACAACAATGAGACATAAACCAACAAATAGTCAATATATGAGAACCATACGCAAACATACGGAATACAGAGATGCAACAAACACTAACTTGTAAAGTCATTAAGAGAGAAAAAGGTGTTACTGGTTTATTACCTTTGTTGAACAGGAGGGATGCCTTCTTTCTCTTCAACACGTTCCTTGATCCGGTCAATAGTGTCGGTTGGTTCGATATCAATCTCGATCTCTTTGCCAGTGAGAGTCTTGACCTTAATCATGGTTCCACCTCTGAGCCTCAAGACCAGATGGAGAGTAGACTCTTTCTGGATGTTGTAATCCGCCAAGGTTCTTCCATCTTCCAGCTGCTTCCCGGCAAATATCAGCCTCTGCTGATCAGGTGGAATTCCTTCTTTGTCCTGTTTTCAACAATTCACAAGTTTCAGAACTCAATCAACTACATAACCCTAATCAGTAATCAGAGGTCAGCTTCTAGGTTTAACTATTCTCAATTCTCAATTCTCAATCAATTCAAACCGAATACAGAAGATTAAACAACAGATTTTCTACTCGAAACAACTAACACTTCATCTTACAATTTCAATCCGAAGATTTTACTTTAAATATATCAGATCGCTGCTCAGACTAACACATAATCCGAGTAAGAACAAGTAGAGATTAAGGCAATTCAAAAATTGGATTCATCTGTGTATTCAGAGAGATAAATTCAGACAAATTGAAGAATTTCACATGCAAAGGATGGATTTAAAGGAGAAGAAGCCCTAATTAAAGAGAAAGCAAACCTGGATTTTGGCTTTGACATTGTCGATGGTGTCGCTGCTCTCAACCTCTAGGGTTATGGTTTTTCCGGTGAGGGTTTTGACGAAGATCTGCATCTCTTTTATCGGATTAATTGAATTTTCTCTACTTCTCCTTTAGCTCTCTCTCGGAATCTTAGGCGGGCCTCTGTATGATCGTATGCACATATGTATATATATATCCAGTTCCACTGGTTAAGACGGTCGGTCTTTCGGGTATGCGTTAAGACTACGCCAACTTTTATCAATTTCTCATTTGACTTTGTAGGCCCATTATGTTTTTTATTCTTTCTTTATATTTTGAAAGATTCCATATCAACTCAAACTAATCTCTTGATGTAAAATATGAGATGATAGGTGACAAAATCTGAAACACTTGTGAATTGCTTGTCCAATCAAAATGTTTGGGAAGCTTTCATGTGCAAGTTTATCGACCCCTTTCTTAATTTTGTTAGCTGTGTTTGCAGACATCAAAAACAGTCAATGCACACTCCAAATGAAAACAAACTGCAAACATAGAACGAATCATATTTGGTCTCATCTTAAATGAATCTCCCCACACACGCATCATCTTCCACTACTATATTCACACTAACTCTCATGGAAATTTAGACGAAATACCATCTCCGCCATATATATATATATATGTATCCTTAAAGAAAAAAGGACTTTACTACTACCACTACATAAATGTAACAAAAATGGCGAAAAGGTTTTTTCAGATTTCTTTAGACTCCATTCTTCTACATATGTTCGAGTGATCCACCTTTGAGCCTCTCCATTCTTGCCTGCAGACCCGACAATGCTTTCTCGTCCATTGGGAGAACCGCTGGGTGTGGGTGTTGATGAGTCTCTGCTCCCATTTGGCTCGGTGGAATGCTCTGTTGCTGTTGTTGGTTCATTGACATGCTATCGATCGATATGTTCTCGTTTGTTGGCATCAGCGGTCTGCTTACTGACTCGAGTGTCCCCGATGAAGCCAGTTGCATGGTCCTCATCCTTTCTCTGATTGCATCTAGCGTCCCGGGGTTGATGTTACTGGCTCGGAGATCGTCCGTGTATGAATCAGACTTAGTGTGCATCAGAGGCTTCGCGTCTAAGGAAGGAATTTCAGGAGATGGAAGAGCTAAGGAAGAAGGCGGAGGAGTTGACAACGGTAGGCTTGAAGGCGTTCTTCCCGCAGCTGCATTCTTCTCCACCTAAAAGAAAACGAATGCAAATCTTATTAGACACAAAACATTCATGAGCTTTCTAAAGAAGCTAGGAGATTTGTTACAACAAACCTGGGCCAAACCGTCTCTGATGTAAGTACGAAACGCTTCGCTAGCATTTTGGAGTTGGGAAAAGATATCAACCTACAAGCATTCAAATGAGATTTTTGCATTTACATACAACGTGGCTCGAACAAGAGATACAGAGACTTGAAATCCAAAGCCAGATCTGTTACCTTTGGATATGACTTAGTGATGTGGTAGAGGTCGTAAAGACCGATTGTGGAAGTTTGCTTATCACCGATTTTCTTAAAAATCGCCCCAAGCTCTTGCTTCAGCTGAACATCAGCAGAATTAGCGGGAGGTGAGGGATTGTTGGCTGTTGAATCTGTCCAATGGGCTTGGCCCACAGGTCCTGTTGAAGTTAACATTCTTGCTGCAGCTAAAGTCTGTAAGATAAAAGAAAGCATTTAATTAGTTAGTTACTATCGATGACATCTAAATTTCTTGAAACCCAGCAAAATCCACTTATCTGACATTTGCCAAGAATCAAGTATCGAAAAATTCGAAGCTGTCTTTCTTATCTGACATTTGCCAAGAATTCTGGACAGGAAGCTAAAACACCGAGAATTTACCTCAAGGTTCAGATCGATGTAAGCAAGAATGATGGGTTGAGGCCTCATGTCAATAGGGACAAGAGACAAGTGTCCCTTTATTGCAGCTCCCCGGAGCTTAACAAGTTCATGTAGCACAGTTTTCACCATCCTCAGAGGTTTATCATCTGCTCCAGCTCTTCTCATTGGAGAAAATTTATACAAAAAACGAATTAGATAACGTTGAGTACGAAAACCTCCACATAATAAACAGGCTAAGATTTATTATTTTTCTAAGAGTGGCATTTAAGGAGGTATACCTCCTACGTATCTCTTCCATTCCTAGCTCTTGCAGATATACATGGATGCTCTGAAGAAGTCGATCAAGATCCACTTCATATATGGTGCTTTGGAGAAGCTGAACATGGACAAGCAGTTATCAGATATACAGTACCAAACTATACGACGCATATCTCTTGATCAGGAACCGGCTAATTTCGCTTCATCCTAAGGATTTGCATTCAAGCCCTTCTCTCTTTTAATTTAACTATAGTTGCACTTTGCAAAAAGTGTAACACTGTCTCACAAAAGTTCCTCTTTTGAATTCGCTCTTACTAGAGCTAGAACGAGTGGTTTAGATTGTAACCAATTTTTGCTGATATAAGTTTAAAATTAAAACCCGAAAAGAAACTATATGACAATATGATCGTAGCAACTAGCAAGTAGGAAAGGCAATAGAATTTCATAGAAATAATACCTTTGTAAGTTTAATTAGGCATTTAACTACCAAATCAGAGAATTTCTGATTCCGGACAGCATAAACTTCAGCCGTAGCGGGTGAAGGCCATCTAGATGGATCTAGAGGACGTAGCAAGCTAATAAGGACCACAAACGATGACGTCCGATCAGCATTATCCTGAAATTAATAACAAATAATTAGAACTTCATAGTCACATAGGAAGATATCCATGCTTTCAGAAGTTGGCATAACTAACCAAGATCTTGAGCATCAAAACATTTAGAGCTTTCAGAAGTTGGCTGCCATCTTCCATGCGTGGAACTCTTTCATCCAGAAGCCAAAGCAAGAGCTCTGTTATAAGGCTTTCTAGAGTCCCTTCTTTGACTGCATGCGCTAGCTTTTTGTTTTGGAACGTCTGCAACCATACACACTTGTTTGTAGTGAGCTTCACAAACAAACCTCAGTGGCTAATCAGGAATAAAGAAGAGCAACATCACTAAAAAAATCAATTCTCTGGTGTTACCTGCATAAGTGTGTTCAACACATATTTACAAGACCTTGATGAGGCTCCCATTAAGCTGACATCAAATGTCTTGGCGACCTACAGAAAATATATATTTATGGTGGTCAACAAAAAACTATTATTGCAATTAGTTCTTCATGACAAAAGCAAGTGTAAAGAAAGCTTATCAGGCAAACCTTATTTGCTAAGCATGAAACAAGCCCATCTGCATCCTTCACAAGTTCATCAATTGCACTCTCTTCCGGATCATTAGAAGCCTGTGCCAACTCATGACACACAACTTTCATCCCTTCAACCGACTGCCACACAAACAAAAAAAAAAAAGAGAATGAAAACCAAATCAACGCTTGCAGAATCACTTCAAATATGCATGAAACAAGGTTTCCAAATGACAAAAGTGTAGGTGGTAAGTATTGGTGAACCTCCCATCACAAACATATCACGTCTACTTACTACTAAGAAACTCAAATAAGTCTCTGGTACTGACTAGATACTTGAGTTACTATAGTGGTATAAAGCAATACCTTTTGCAATTCCCTAAAACTGGAAAAAAAAAAATCCCATAACTAACCAAACAATTGTACTAAGATCGGGCCAGACCAGTCAGATACCTGCTCTGGAGAACCAAACATAATGATGTCCAGAGCCTCATTCCAGTCTGTTGGGCCATTAAGTCCAGCGATTGTCCGAGGTACTGGGTTCCTCTCTAGAACTTGTTCAGAAATACCATAGCTTTGCCTGGGCGGTCAAAAAGATTCAGTTGTATATAGAAGCCGCATGACCACCAGAAACTTATATATGTTGAAAGGAACTTTCAGGTACCAATTGAAAAAATTACCTTGGAAATAAAGAGGCGGGGGCTATTTGAGATAGGTCACCACTTTGCTCTGCCACTTCAGGTCTGGAAACAAACAGAAAGTGATTAGAGATACTAAACACTTGGTGGAATCCTTTATGTTCCTAATTGCTAAAACAGCCAACACTGGAATATTTTGTGACATTATAATGCATCATTAGGCTTTGGATTTATGCGACTGTGTTTACGGCCTCCACTTTCAGCCTATCGCTACTGATGAACACAAATACGTCACTAATTGAACCTCTTAATGGTGGAAAGGCAATGCAATGCAATGCAAGGTGCCAAGGTTATATCAACGTTTTCAACAAAATTACGTACCCGTTTTCTCTAACTGAACGTCTTAATGCTGCTCGTGCCTCCCCAGGTCTCCCTTCTCTTCTTTTCTCCATTTCTTTGATCTGATGCAGGCAAAACGATGAAAACAAAACTCACAAATACAAGACTGAAGCAGAAAAGAGAGTTCATATTTGGGCTTACTTTCCACTTAAATCTATCAACAAGCATACTCTTTTGAGCATCTGTAAGCTTCCCAACATATCGCCAGATATCATCACCTGCAATAACAGGCTAAACAATGAGAAAAGAGTGCAAAAATTTCTCTCAAGGGCAACAATAACCAAGAGCGAAATTCATTTCGGAATCACCATTTTTGTTCCAAGTTTTTATATAGAAATAACTCGAGCAAAAAGACTGAAGTATGAGAACATGTGAGACATGGCATATCTTGAAAAGAATTCACTATAACTTCACGAAAGCTCATAATTTTGATGCCTACCAAGAATCTTATAACCCGTAGCCATGGTGTTCAGAGCAGCTTTTCTGAGTTCGCCATCTCTTTCTGCCGTCAAGCTTGCAACCATATTCAAGTATTTCAGTAGTCCACTTATCTGCTTACACAGACATATTAGAATTCAAACAAAACAGAAATGTCGAATAATATGTCAAGTCTCGCTACTACCTCAGTTCCACAAGTCTCTAGTAGATATCCGATGAGATCAGTACACTCTATCCTTGTACGGTTGTTTTTGGAACGTAAACCTTCCAAAATATAGGGGTATGTCTTTGCTACAGAATATGCATGGATAATTTGCTTCATCAGCTCACGCATTTTTTCTCTTACTTTTTCAATGTTATGCCCCAACTGCACCAAGGACAGGGAGTAAAATATCAAGACACCGAAGCACCGATGTTTTTTTTAAAGACAAGATAAAAGGAAATGGATAATAATAGACAGGCCAACACCATAAAAAACTGGATGATATCAGATGCCTAACCTTCTCCGCCAAACAAGGCAGAAATATCGCAGCTTCTGCTTCTGTCAAGCAGTACTCCTCATCCTTCAATGTGTTGAAAAGTTCTGGAAGAAACTCAAGCACCTACTCTTACACAAAGCAAATGAAATTTCATAAATATTGGATAAACACAGTGTCAAACGTGAACAGCAATAGCAGAACAAACAATTACAGATTACCTTTAGCAGACAAGTTGTGTTGGATTTACAGAATTGCAACACAAACCACCTGAGAAGTATATCTAATACTTCTATAATTTCCTTCGAAAGAGATGGAAGTGCCTGCAGTAAGGAGGAAATATTATTTTATTTTTTGGTCAGGTAAATATGAAGATCGGGAACAACTACGATTCCAACACAAACTACCTTCTGTAGGATTTCCAGCCCATCTACTTGTTTCTTGAAGTCTGGACTCAGCAACCGTTTTTGCAAGTCTTCCCTAAAAAATTTCATCATATCATTCTGCACCAACCACCCAACATTAGTTATAACATGGCCGTAAGGCAGAAGTCATTTCTATTCTCTAGAAAGCAAACCTCAAGATCCTGAATCTGTTCTGGTCGCAGCTCCTCAAATTTAATTCTACGAACCACCACCCTCTCCCTGTCCTCCTGTAGATTAACAAAAATCAATCTTTTATCACCCTGCAGAATATCAGTGAAAATGTTTTAAACCAGTGGAAAACTCGTCCCACCTTATTGGAGTCCTTAGTATTTAGCAAAGACTGTGACTGGATAGTTATATCATGGACAGATGTAATTTGATCTGGCCTTGAGCCCTTTGTCGGTAATGCTCTCTTCAGAAACACAAAACCTAGTCAGTCATTACGAATTGTATATAGAAAAGTAAAAGTTAAGAGACGGAAACTTACTGATCTGTTTCCTTGCTTCAAGGTACCATTAGAAACCGATTTTGAAACCTTTGAAACACCTTTGGACGCTGGGCCCGCCATAGCTTTTGATGATTCAAACGGTTCTGAAGACAACATCGTTAGTATGAACAGAAAAGGGCACGGAGAGGAGAAAACATGTTAATCAGACAACCCGGTCATGGAGAGGTACCTTGAACAAATCCTGGTCTTACTTTTTCAAGCACAATAGCTAAGGCTGGGCCTTGGATATCTTTGAGATTCTTTTCAATCTGAGAAAAATGCACACAACTAATCAGATTTCGGTTTCTAGTCATGAATAGAACTAACCCAAGGATACCAACCGTTTCTTGTCCACTGACTCTCAAGATCTCAGAAATGCATCCTTCAGCTGCTTTTCGAACATCTGCTGATTTGTCCTGGAATGATTCACAAAATTATAACAGATTCAAATCGTAAAAAACAGACGTAACCACTGAGTAAAGCTGATTAGGCGGTATAACAATTTTAGATGTGTCACCATCATAGCGGTGCTTGCAGGTTTCAGTAAATGTATAGCATCAGTAAAGTCACTTAATCCAGCAAGTTGTTTTGTCAACCAATCAAAAAGATCTTTACGTCCTTCTGCTCCCATTTTCCCATCTGTTAGCGCTAATATAATGTAAGGAATCTGAATCAACAGAATAAGAAAAAAACACATCGTTATAACATTAGTTGACGATATTTTATTAATAAGAAGACAAGGCATGTCTAAAAACACTATAACCAACCATTTTGTCAAGATGCACAGCACCAAGCCACAAATCAAGAGCAGCTAAGGTGCATTCTCTCATGTGCTTCTTGTTGTCACCAAGACATTTCAGAACATCAGATAGAATTCCCTGAAGCAGATCACTCAAGTATTTGGTAAAACTGGCAGGCAGTGATTTATTACAGTGTAAAATTGTTTTAAATGCTTGACATGTTCACCAACCTTGCTCGCCTTCTCGACAGCTGGTCCCATAGCTGATGCAACACCTCCAATGGTAGTCAATGTTTGCATAACAAGATTTTTGTTACTATCTAACAGTCGTCCTCGTAGAGCACCAAATAATTCTCCTATGGGACGTGACATAAATGGTATAAACAACAGTAGAGATTCATGACTATTTTGGGAATTACAAATAACAAATAACGGACAACATGGAAAGAATCCTGACTTCATACCAGTCCCAGTTGGTTGGATACGTTTGTTAGACTCTTCCAGAATTCTATTGACAGCTTCAATTGACTCCAAACGCATCTACAAATGTTTGAAACACTTAACATTCAGCTTTAAAGCGAAAAATAGAGTTCCACTAAAGAATTATAGACCACCTTCCAATCAGGACTCTCGAAGCCCTTAAGAATATTAGGGGAAATCTTGCTACTGATATCTTCTCTAGGTAAGCTATCCAGCCCTCCAGCAGAGGTTGATGTGGAAACTGACGTCTTGACAGCTCTCTTTGGAGCCGCGGTCCCCTGATGAACAGAATATAAGTACAACAAGAAAAACAAGAGTTCCAACAATCAAGGCAATCCACACAAATGTACCTCAAAGGGGTTTTTCTCATACTCGGTGTCAAGTGCACTTAATAGTGCAGGTTTAACATCATTAAGAAACCCTTTGATGTCTGCAAACAGAAATAACAGTGTTTAATTCAGTTATTAAGAGTATTCTTCTAGCAAATACAAGTTACACCAAACAGAAGCAGCGTAAAGAATTTGTAGCTACCTGGACCAACAAACTTGTGTAAAGTACCCAAAAGTTTGATTGTAGCATTTCTGGTGGCAGCTGCACTAGATTGCAGCCCAACATCCTTACAAAAATCTATCAAATCCTATCAAATGGACAGAAAAAAATCTCCTTTGTCATGAATTTGATAGACACCAATTAGATTTCGGAGTCTATCTGTATCCAAATAACCTAGATACTGCAGTTTAATTAACAGGGAAATTGAAAGCTAGAAACATGCAATAGAGAAAACTGCAAAACCTTTAGTTTCAAAAGGGAGACACCAAAGTCATCGACTGCCGAAACCATCCATAACAAGCCTTCACTGAGAACCTTGGGGTTCTTGTGATCTTTCATGATTTTGTAAAGCTACAAACAAAAGCCCTGAATCATCATTCTGATCTAAAATAAAATGAAATTCAAAGAAAATTGACCAAAGAGCACTTACTCTATCGAAAACAAATCCAGGACCAACTGCTTCGCAGAAAGCAGTAAGACACTTCATAGCAGAGGCTCGTGTCTTTATATCTGCAACTCGTTCACTAGTGCCTGAAAATTAATAGAGAAAAACTTGGGAAAATGAGTTCGGAACTAATCAGAGTACCACATTCATAAATCACTTTCTTCATAAAATACTAACCCGTAATGCAAAGTACGACACATTTCTTAGGAAACTTTGCCGCAGTCGAAGATATGTAAGTGATGATTTCAATGACCTGTTGCTGAACCTGCAATTCCAAGTAATATGCTTATGTACTTTTGTAGGGATTATTCTAAAAGCTATAAATAAGAAGAATTTAGATCGGAAAACAAGCATACCTGCACATTTTTATCATTCCAACCAGGAACTGCACACAACAACCGGACCAAGATTTCCACCGACTTGTCTAGCTCTTGTACACCTTCTATCTCTTCTTTCAAAGACAAAGTTGCTGCACGCCAGTATCATGAGAAAAAAAAATCACCAATCACTTAATACTTGAAAAGCAAATAAACGATTTGCTAGAACAGAGCTTCGATATCAAAATCAGCAACCTTACAAAACAGACTGATCCTATGCTTTGCGAAAATTAATTAAGAGCCATTTAAAAATGAGATCAACCACTAAAGCAAATCGCATGAATAAACATAGAATGAGGTAACCGCTAATAATGAAGAAAACATAATTTGAGAAGAAGAGAGTCCTCTAGGCCTTCAACAAACCTTCAAGTCTTTCTTTCCATACAGAGCTCTTTAGCTGAGAAATAGTTTCTGGTTTCACAAGAGATCCTAATCTGTTTTCAATCTCTTCAAGACCCATCTCACCAGGCTAAAAAATGAAAAGAAGAATAAGATGTTAACACCACAAAGTCTGACAAAAGGACAGTCAATCACATAACCGTTTATTAGTATATTCATATGTAATGTACCTCGACATCTTCAGGAGGTTCAACAGATTTTGAACTTTCATTCCGTACAGCACCATCTTTTTTGCTTCCACCTGTTTTGGCAGTCCCAGTCTTCTTGCCCGCAGGCTATATAAAAGTCAGCATTTAATTAGACCACATGTATTTAGAAAACTTAAGAACTAGAATCTTTCATTATATGGTAAATGTTCAAGTGATGGTGGAATTAAGAACAAAAAAAAGGCCTGCAAGTAACTGAAAACCCCAAATAATTGCAAGACTCACAGCAGCAACAGCAGGTCTTCTTCCGCTCAACATGCTTGCTGCTGATTTCCTTACAAAGGAAGCTTCTGGGTTCTACATAAATGTTTAAAATGGTATAATTATTATGTCGACAGTCAATATAATCATGTAAGACAAAGAAAGAACTACTACATGAACATACAAAACAGAAAACCTATTTTAACTTCTTAGACAATAAGATGAGAAAAGACGAGGCATCTAATACCAACTATGTCACACATCCGAGATGGCCTACCCTTCTCCCATCAGAAGGAAAAAATAGAAAAAAATTTGCACACGAAATCTTAAGAGAAACAGGAGATCTGAATAGGAGCGTACCCCTGTGGCCGTGCTACCAACTGAAGACTGAACTGTCACTTTTATATGAAAACAGGATCCAATTAGAATAGGGAAAACCCCGCAAACAAAATTTGATGTTCAGCATCACGGCTGTGAAGAATAGAAGTCCGCAAACCTGAGCCTGTGCCAGCTGGTTCACCACCACCAGAGCTTGCAATCATTTCTGAAAGTTTCTTTCTTCTAACATCATCAAGTTTTTCCAACGACCTTTCCAAAGGTCTCATACCTACAGACTGACATAACCAAAAGATAATAAACATAAGAGGAGCGGGAACAGGAAAAGGTGAAGTAGAAGAGTATTCTATCCACATATTTTCATACGTGAGAAGCATCAACGTACAACAGACGAGAATGCGAACAGGTTGCATTAACTTACAACAGACGAGAATGGGAATAGGTTGCTATATTGCTATTATATTCCGACTAACAAAAAATAATACCTTTGCTATTGCAGCCAAAGCCGAAAATGCTGCATCCCTCACATCAGGAGTTCCATCATTGAGACACTACATCAATACAAATTCCAGGCATAAGTTCACAAATTACTGTTTACAAACGTTGAAATGGTACCCGCAATCAATATTCAGCTTATCTACCACCAACTAATCATAGTACTACAACCTTGCATTCGTTATTTGTCCTTTTAGCACTAAGAGGTTGCATATAGCTATACTTGAATGATTGAGCATCTACTTGCTACCCTCTAAAAGTATCATGTTTTGTTGTTCAGTCAAAATAAATTAAGGAGCAATTAGTCACGTAAATACTAACCTCCATACATAAAGGGACATATTCTTTGTGCGCCTTTAGAATAAGAGCCTTGTTACTTGTTTCAAGGCAGAATGTCAACCAGTTCAAAGTTAAAGAACGCACAAGTGGAACTTTGTTTTTCACCGCCACCTTCACATCTGCAAAAGACAGCAACATTAATTGGAAAACAGATGAAAGATAGATATGTTTAATAAAAGTCGGTCACCAAACATCTGAAAAATGATGAAAACATCCAAACAAGATACTCAAAAGCAATCTATAGAGCTGGGTAAAACAATCTAAGATAAAACTGACTCTTGCCTTCTATAATGTCAACAAGATTCAAACACCCAGCTTTGTACATTGCTTGTAGCGTTTGTGAAAGTGCCTCTGCGACTGTTGGCTTTTTCTCTTTCATTTTTTCCTGTTCAAGGAACAAACAGCCACCACGTTTTATATAAACCCAATCAGCTACCTAAGCCCGTTATTATTATTATCTGAGAAAAGAATATTTATACTCCAAAGACTGAATGTATCTTCCTTTCATAGAAACTTTGGATAAACGATTCTACAAGACTCACAAGTAAAACAGGTAGCATAAACCGTGAACTAGCTGAGAAATGTGTTCTTAAACCACGTGCAAGATTTCCAATGGCTTGAATGGCTTCCACTGCAACGGCTAAGTTAACATCCGTGATAAGCTGCAATTGGAATGATTTACATGTACTATCAGATACTAAGTATAAACAGTTAAGCAGTATTACATCTTGAACGGCAACAGCTATACACACAAAAACTGCAATTATTAAACATTTTGCCGATTTTGAAATAAAACGCAGATTAATCAATAAACACAGGTGTTTGCAGGCTGCATCAGCAGCAATTAAATAATAGCACAAGGGAGCTAAAACATACAAAAGATTATATAAATAATAAACAATGCTGCCTAAACTTCTTATTGTGGAAAGATAATTACCTTCTTTAAGATCCGACAAATTTCAGAAAAATCACCAGCAGCTATCTTTTTAGTTGAAGCAAGCTTGGTTAGCTCTGCAACGGCCTCCTTACGTTCTGACCACTTTGTAGCTTTCTAAAAGTTACAAAGTTAGTTCTTGTAACAGGTCACATGCAACTAAATTGGGAGTACGTAGTATCTTATAACAAGGTCTTTCAGTAAAGAAAGACCGCAAGAAATAAAGCACAAAATATGACAATGTGGCAATAAGAATCGACAACTCACCACTCCGTCCCAGAACCCAGACTTTTCTAGAGGAGTCAAAATGTCTACAGGGTCCATAAGATCGTACTCATCTATTTCCTGAGGCGCTGATAGTAATGGGAAGATAAGGAAGCATCAAAGTAAGCAGCTTTCTCAAAATTACTTGATGAAGAAAAAATTCACTGAAGTACAAGGTAATTACCATCAGCAACAGGTTCTTCACTGGGCCCATCACCCACAACATCAGCGCTAACTTCTGCCTCTGGCTCTTTGTCTTGCTCAGACCTTGAAAGGAGAATACAGATATAATCTAGTTGCAGCTTTTCAAGATCATGCTAGCAGTTTTTTAAACTTAAAAATTCACGCAGGCGAACAAAAAGATCATGAAACGAAAAAGAGTCCTCATGCATATATATTTTAGTTATACAAAAACTTAACAAAAGCAAATTGAATATTCACAAATGATAAGCTGCATAATGGTGAAACACGACGTGGTCCTTCAAAAGTCCTGAGAGGCAAAAATGTATAAAAAAAAAAATTGTTATAGTGGGTGATAGTTACCTTATCTTTCGCCTAGGCTTGGCACCCCCTGAAACATTGGCAAGCTCAGCCTCCATATCTTTTTTCTAACATGATAACAATAAAATCGAATATTAGCGTTTGCTAAAGAGCACAAGAGATTGTAGAACATAAGAAGACAACATCACATCTTGGCAAAATTTAAAGCCAAGGTTGCGGTACTGATTTGCAAACGGGGTATATCTTCTACTGATATGACTAGAGTCCCATATTTCGGTTTCTAACTCCAAACAAAAGCAATTTCAGTGCAGTTTGTATCTTGGCAGCTTAGCTAAACTGCAAATGTACGGATCAACAGAAATCTTACCATGGTATCCCTCATCTTTTCAAACAATATAGACTTTATAGGGTCTTTTCCAATCCAACGGCATAGCTCAAGAGTCACCCCTTTGGCAGATGCACGGACATTCTGGTCTTGGTGGTCAAATAGTTCAGGAAGCATCTTTAAAATCCTTTTGGGTGGTATAACTTTTGATCCAAAATCACTAAGATAGAAAACAAACTAGCGCCGTTATTTCAGAAGAAAGATTTCACGAACCAATGGAGAAAACTAACTAGGACTTCAAGACTAACCGGAGAGCATTAAACAAAACGTCTACTGCAGGTACCACAGCCTTTGCAACTTTATTCTTTATAGCTTTCTCCATTGTATCCTACAATCATGCCAAATCTGTTAACCTGTATGAGGATGATGTTCTCCTATAGACTACACAACTGCCAATAAATATCTGCTTGACCGTTAAAACTCGAAATCACTGAAGCGATGCATATCATGTGGAGTTATCGCCATAAACCCATAGTCATTATACTTGAGCAGAGAACTTAATTTCTGAGGGAAGTAGACCAATACACTATAGTAGACATTTTCAAAACAACAATGAATAAGGTATCCACATTCCTTTCTCATTCAGAAAAAAAAAAGTATGATTTGTGGCAGAAATGACCCAACAGATCGAGACACACTAACAACGACTCAGAACTGGAAAGGTTGATTACTGGAACAGACAACAGAAGATGCCGTTTCTTGACCTTAAATACACAATGCTCAAGAGAATTCTCTTTTCTTATTCTGTCACACTAGACACCTAGCATAACATAGAACTGGGCAACAGAGTCACATGCTATATTCTACATCACTAGTATATTGTTGCATTCTGGGTTATAAAGCACTCCCATTTCTATGTCAGCTCACCTATATATATTTTTTTGATACACACAGCATCAGCAATCGATGACTAAATGGTGGGCCTATGCATGAGAGTGCAGAGTTTAAGCGTATGAATCTAGATAGCCCTAGCAGGGTTTGCAAGAACGTAGAAATGACATACCAGAACAACATCAACCGCCTCTAGTTCTACCCAATGCAAGAAGGCATCCTGCGCCTTTTGCACAGTCTTCGTCCGACCCGTGAGGCATTTAGCCGCAATTGCATCGCAGACTTCCTTTCCGTACCTTCAAACGCAGAAACAAGCTAACTATTTCACATGCAAACAACCACTTGCTCTGCTATTCTAGAGCATGAGAAGTAACAAGCACCATACCTTCCAGCATCTGAGTCGGCTGCCTTCAAAAACGCAATCAATGCATCGAGGGCCTTCTCTTGTACCGCCGCATTGGAATCCGCCACCGTCTTCCTAAACAAGTGACCTACGAGTAAAAAAAAAAATACAAAAAAAAATTAAAAAATCCAACCAAAACAAAAGCAAGATAGAACCCTAGAAACATCACATTCCCGCTCCGGATTCCGAATTCAAAGCAGATCCGCACCGAGATACACCGCCCCAATCAGATCTGAGCCTCAGATATTAAAACCCTAACAACCAAAACACGAGGTGAGAAAAAAACTTACCAAAATCGCGGAGGCGGGGGTCCTTAGGATCCGTAATAGAATCACAGACGGAAGCTAGGTCGACATTGGCCTCATTCCTAACCTTCCAATTCTTGTGCGCCAGCCGATCCTCCCATGGAAGTTTCCTCGCCTCCTTCAATAAATTCTCTTCCTCGGACATTTTCAAAATTCAATTTTATCCGGTACTATCGATCGTATCGATCTAATACCAGCCTTGTTCGAATGGTCTTCCTCCGAAAAGCTTTCTCTCTCTTTTCAAAAATATTTCTTCGGTGGTGTTTAGTGCCGGCAAGAGAGAGAGAGAGAACGACAAAAGGCGAAGAGTAGGGTGGAGCGTAATCAGAGAGAGAGAGAGAGTGGAGGAATTTTGGTTTCTACGTTTAAATCGGTGGTGTAATTTTCTTTGTTAAAACCCTTGACGCGCGTTGTTATTGGAAGTGAACGCACGCGCGATTATTTCAAATCTTTTAACGAGCGTTTTCTTTCTCTTTTTTCACGTGGAAAGATCGCCATTTTCAAACTATTTTAGGAAACAAAAACCATTTTCTCCTAAATATAATACAAAAAAAAAACATTTTCTACTTAACAATAATTCTAGAAGATTTATTAGTTTAAATTTTTTTCATTAGTGTAGAAATTTAAACAAATCTATATGTTAATAATTTATACTGTATCAAAATTCAAAATCATTTGTAATTTATTAGTACTAGTTATAGTCAAATTATTCAAGTATTAAGGATTTAGACGCAAAATTAGTTTTCACATTGGATTTTAGTAGATTTCGAAAGATTTTTAAAATTTTAAAATACAGATATTTAAATTTTAAACTTTGTTATTTACTTAATTTGCCAAATTTTCTTACAAGAACAAACTAAATTCTATTTATTCTACAGGCTTTCGCAGGCCCATCAAGTTTATGCTTATTAACGGATCCAAGAAGCTCTCACCAGTACTTCTGGAATAATATTCGGTTTCCTTGTTTTGAAAAATGACTGTGGTATCAAAGAGGAAGTATAGAAAAAGGTGTCGCCATTTATTTATACGAGCAAGGATAATCTTAAACTTTCATTACTGGTTTTATATCTCCATAATGAACATAGAGTAATTATGGAAATTTGGATGATTTAAAATCAGAAATTCGCAGAGCAATCCATGGGCTGAAACGACACCGTTCTTGCCTCCAAGTCATACCCAACGAGAAAATCCATCTGAGCAAAGTTCCCGTAGATGGCGACCTCGGTGGTCGGAATCATGCTCATGCAAACCATATCTTCACTCACTTTCACGAACGCGTTTATTGGACTCAGCCTCACGTCGGCGCCGGCGAAATGAACCGTAATCTCCGGCAAACCGATCTCCGCGTTTCCGGATCTGAAACAGTGTGACAAAAGCCCCTGTGGATCACTCACGCGCTTGGCTCCGGTCACCGATTCCTCAACCGCCGCGCCAAACCTGTCGAAGAAACCTGAGTCGAGGAGCGTCAGCGTCGTTCCCGAGTCGATTATGATGTTTCCCTTCCTCTCCGAGAACATCTCGTCGTCGTCGTTAGGGCTATACGACTTTCCGGTGTACGGGATCTTTGTTTTGCCGACGGAGATGGCTTTGAGCGTCAAGTGATAGTAAGTCCGAGGCTCCTTATCGACCAACGGAGTGGAAACCACGCCGGAGTCTCGACTGAGACCGGAAGGAATCGAGTTGGTTCCTAGGTTTATGACGCTTGTGCCATTTGTGGTAGATGACTTGTGCGACAAGCAATAAGAGAATTTATTCGAAATCGACGAACCGAGCTGGGAGATTAAAGATAACTGACCGCCACCGAGTCCGATGATGCCGGAACCAGTCTCGTCGAACGTGCCGCCGTTGTTGTAGCCGCAGCCGAAAACAGTATCGGGGAAAGAAACAGAGGACCCTGAAGCAGCGCCAATGGAGATAGTTTCTGTGGCAACGTCTCCTTTTGTGAACGATTGGTCTCCGTACGAGTAACGATACTTGCATACGTTTTTGGACTCGTCGCATCCACGTTCGTGTGTGGATAAAGCTTGGCAGTTACGTGAGTCGCAAGGCTCGTTCTTGTAAGAAGAGGATTTCTTCTTGTCGAAGATTGGACCGTTCTCTTTATAACACTGTTCGCAGGGTTTGCATTGGACCCAAGTTAGGTCACTCCCTGTGTCGGCTATCGCGAGGACCTTCATCGGTGGTGTACCGATGGTGATACTCATGAAGAACTCGCCGCCTGCTCCGATTAAACCGGACTGGAGATCGGTTTGGGATTTGATGTTGAAGCGTTTGGAACGAGAGATGGAGCGGAGGAAAGCGGCGTTGAGGCGGTCGGTGACGGAGGTTAGAGGGTTGTAGAGTGGGGAATGAGGAGAGTCACGGTGGATGAGCTGAACGGTGATGTTTTTAGGGTGAGTCGATGAAGAGAGAGTCACTGAGAAGAAGAGGAAGATGGAAAAGAGGAGGATTGAGTGAGAGTTTGCCATTGTTTGGTTTCAGGAAAGTTTTGTGATGGTGAAAGAGTGAAGCTGCGAAGAGTTTATATACACAAGAAAATCGAGGAAGCGAAGAGACTGAAACGGTAAGGAGTTAATAGCTACGAGAGAGTGGGAGGTGAAAGTCTGCAAATGCAATAATTGATTAGCTTTTAATTTTTCTCATCAATGTTGCTAATTTAACGTAAGCTTAGTGGGGGTGTGGGGGAATTAATCTTTTCATTTTATCAACACTTTGAAATTAATACATGTTGTGCCATACACTATGGTATAAGATCTAGTCATGTTTCTCGTATAGTTTTAGCGAGTCTAACTTTGTTTTGTCACCGTTTTCAGTTTTTTTTGTTAATTTGGTTTTTTTAGCTCGGAGTATGAGTACTACAAAGAGAAGATGGTGTCGAGAGGAAAGAAAAAAAGTTAAGGTCTTGTTACAATTAGATACACCAAAAGGGATACAAGAAGATGTTTAAATCCATTGGAAGTTAAAGAAAGACACATTTTAGACAGACACAAGATAAGCATCGGAAAATGTATGTTTTATGGTCCAAAAGAAATAACCGCTTGATGGATCCAAGGCTGTAATACAGACACGCTCGCCTTCATAAGTAGTTGACAATTTCATTCTTAGCAAGTGGTCGCCAAGAGCTTGAAATACACGGCCAGCAGAAGTACTTGATCCATCGTCCGTCGCTTTGCAGCATTGTGGATGAGAAACCAAGAGACTTTCCTTCAAACAAAAGCAAGAGAAAAAAGTAATGGTTACATCCCCAATATCATCCACTAACATCTGAGAAAACAAGCCAACAACACAACACAGCAGATATAACACTGTAAATAAGTAAATAACACACAAAAATAGTTTATTTTCACATTTGAACCTAAAAGAAGAATAAAAACAGAGTCTAGCAGAATATATCTAAGTCCGAAGCGAATCAAAAACCATTGAGAGCAGTTGAATCAGAGTGATATACCTTGTCGAGTCCGACGGGACAAAGTGATGTCTTAACGATATTCGCAACAGCCATCACTGCAAATAGATTCATCAAATACGAGTTACATAATAAAAATAATAAATAAGAAGAGCAAAAACCCTAGAGAACGAAACACACAAAAATCTCGGATGCGAACAAAGAGAAGAAGATTAGTATTAGCAGAAACGGGTAAATGCAATAGACGAATAAAACGAAGCGAAGTGAGTACGAACATCTTGGCCGGATTGCCTCTCGCCGGAAGTTTCCGGATTTTGAGCGGAGATTGACATATCTGGTCTGACGAAGGAGACTCCGACCCGTTTCGTATTTATTTTTGGGCCCGTTGGTGTAACTCGTATATTCTTAGGCCCATTTTGTGATAATTGGGCGATAGTTTTTTAATAGCACTTTTCTAAAGTAAACTATTTTCTTTTGTATAAAAAAGATAGACTCAATAGTAAAAACTAAAATTCAACTTGTTCTTAGACCCAAAAGTATAAACCCTATCATTTTGAGATAAAAGAAAAAACATATAATGTTCTCATGTAATATTTTTTAGAGTATTTTTTCTTATTTAATAATTAAATTGGATTAAACTATATTTTTCTGTTGCATAAACAAAACTGGAAACAGAATTGTTGGAATTCAAACTTGGTTCTTAAATTAACAATCGGAACTTGTTAAGCAATATGCTACTTGATTTTTAACGGTAGTAGTATGAATAATGCACATTAAACATGAACATTTAATTGAGAAAGATTCACCGTTCTAAGGCGAAGGTATCTTTCCGGCGACTTTACGCCGCCGATTTCGATCATGAGGATGACCGCCTTTCCTCCATGGAGAGAAGAACCTTTACTCAATTTATTACTCAACTCAATTTTTTGGTGAGAACAATTAAAGTTTTTTTACGCAATTTCTGTTTTCTCTCTAATTTTTATATCGAATAATCAACTAAAGCATTAGGAATAAAAACTGACATTTTGTTATGATTTGCATTAGAAAGTGTACGGTTTAAGAAGTCAATTGCTTGAAAGTCTAAATCTGTTAAATGAGTTTTTTTTTTTCAATATTCTTTGAGAGGATTTGGGTTTTAATGTGTTTTATTAGAGTAATATTTTTATTATTATTAAAAAGTCTCTAGAATCCATTAAAAACTATGAACATTTATTTTTATATTTTAGCTAAAAAACTTCACCAAAACACGGTAACATCGTAAAAAAATCATATCACATATATTACTAAAAATATATAAACAATGATCACTAGTTTAATAATAATTAACTATGAATTTTTAAAATTCATGTTTGAATAACATAAATAACTGGCATATTCCCTTAAAGAATTCCGAGTAGCTTTGTTACATGTGGAAAATCAGTACATCCAAACTTCATTACTTCTAGAAAACCAGTGAACTCAAAGCTACAACCTGAGAAGATAGTTGGTAATATGGGGTCATAGTGACAATGCCTGAAGAATCCGACAATCATTGGTCCCAAGTATTCATCACTCAATAGCTAACACATGCTGATAGTTATGTGTTACTCTAATCGACAATATTATCGAATCGACAATATTACTCTAATTTCGTCTATAAACATCTAAAACTCATTGAAACCCAAATCATACCAAATCTTCTCAAACAATATAAACAAATGGGCTTCGATAATGAAAAGAGGGAAACTGAAATTCACCCTTTTCTGAGAAATACAACAGAGAGAAGAGAGAGAGAGAGAGCTTTTCTAGAGTGATTTTTCAGAGAATAGGAAATCTACATCTCCAAAACTGACTAGTATTTTAATTAATGTATCACCTACGAGGACCCATGCATTCAGGCTGTGACCATGAGAAACTGTACCTCGCACAATCCAGTTCTTGTCTCCTTTACCAAGTGGGATGAATGATACTAACTTAAGCATATTCTAAATTGGGTTTGAGCTAAAGAATTATCTTAAATATTTGGTCAAATTATATAACATTACGTGTAATTTACCTTAAGTGTATCTAATACCGCTTTATGTAATTTCACGAAGACAAATCATATAACTGTCAATTTACTATGATGTTTAACTAACCTGTTTTTACAAAGGCCGAGTGCAAAGAATTACGTGCTGGGGTGGAGAAAATGTTGAACAGGCCGCTATACAATCCCAAGCTTTCCAAAACAAAGGGTACAAATATGAAGTTTGTCATCCTTATTTCCCATATGTGTGAAATAAAGTTACGGTTTGATAAAAGTTTCAGAAGGGGAAAATAATTATAGTTACGGTCTGATTTTGTAAGATTCGAAATAAATACAAGTAATCTTTTCATGAATAAAAAACGTACATGAAATCGAATAAATGGTAGATATGTATGTTTTTGATAAAGATTTTTAATAACTGGTATATATGTATTGCGACTTTAGTTCTCAGCTTTTATGTGAGGGTTCCTCGAATAGACCATATGAGGTAATGGTTTCCTTAACCGAAAAAGGAATTACGCTGAGTGATGGTGACTGGTTTGTATTCCTTTTCATTCTGACTGGTTGGAATTCAAAGTTCGCATGATCTTGTCTTTTTTCCTTCCTTTTGTTTATTTATTATTATATAGGGCCCTATTATCTACTAGTACTAGAGATTAGAGAATAAAATAAAACCACTTTCAAATCTCGAAGTGAAGTCTAGCCTATGTACAACTCAAATGCATCTTTGACAAGAAAATTACTTACGTTCGAATATCTGTGGTGAAAGTAATATTCTATAGCATGCAATGCAATGGTTTCTTATTTAATATCCAACGTTGTATTCAGTGAGGACTACAAGACTACTACTAATGAATTTATTTAGTAAATAGGCTTCCACGCCGAATTCAGAAATATCTGCATGCATACATGTTGATTTTCTTTTTTTGGCAATATAGTGACATGTTGATTTTCATGCATCATGCACGCAAGATTACCAGCAAATATATTCATGACGCGCTCGCAATTAGTTTTTGGTGTTTGACAAGTTTATTTAGACTCAGTCTAACTAATAAAGTCTAAAGTTCACCTCGATAATTATTGGATCAATGGCAATTTACATGTTTTGTAATCTTAAATATTTCATTTTTGAAATCGGCTATAAAAAATCATCTTCGTGCATAAATTATGGAGTATACTATCTTGATTTCTGTAACATACACGTGAAAATCTATTGAAAACTCATTTCAAACCTTTCAATATATTAGAACTATTCTTTATTTTGTCTAACACCTACTTTTTTGAAAAATAAATAAATATTAATTAAACAAACAAAACTTTTTTAAAAAGAACTTTTAAATCTCATTTGACCTGTTTTACAAATCTTCATTCAATTAATTGATATGAAGAACGCCAGATTTATAACAAAAACGATTTAATCAGTAGGCTGACCGGAAAATAAAATCATTTAATCGATATATAAACAAATATAGATAAGGCAGGAACCTAATTACTATTAGAAAATACATATTAGAGGGTTGTCATATCAAGAACAGTGCCTGCTGAAACCCAAGAACAAAAAAGAGAACAATGCCTGCTTTTCTTTTTGATGAATGGCTAAGAAAAGATGCGATCAAGGAGCATAGAAATTTCCATTTTTGGTTAATATTCGAGGGCTTTCTTTTTAGAGTCATATTCAAGTTTAACTCTTCTCTTTCTTTCTTTTTTTTCTTTAATCAAACTAACTCTTCTCTTTCTAACAAAAGATACGTGTCGCCTTTTTTCTTTTGTGGTTGTCCTAGTTTATGTATAACAGTATAAGCTATGTAATTTCAGAAGGAGTGAAGAAATAATAGAAATCTGCATGTGGTGGCAGAGTGGTATTAGGTCTGAGGGTAGAGCTTTAAAGCCATAAACTCGTTGCAACCAGATGTTCGATTTCATTGTATGCAAACTCTACACGAGCGTGAACCATTTGGTAACTTAGATTTAGGGTTTGGTGTTTCATATGTGGTGGGTTTGCCAGAATTCTTTACCTCCGAATTTAGTTGGGTGCTTCTTCAGAGAAACAGGATATTCGGTGTTAAATAAAAATAATAATATCAATTGTTTAGAGATCCTATGTGGCTATGTAGATATTAATATAAGCCTCAAGTTTTCAGTGCATGTACACCTCTTGCGCACCTTCAAAAGAGGCCCTTAGCTATAGAAACACTCTTACTTTATGAACTTGATATATATAAGTGTCCATGTTCTAACATCAAGTCATACGGTTTTGTGGGGTCCTTTACCATTCGATCCTTCTTAAATTGCGACACTTCTTAAATTGCGACACTTCTCTCTTGTTTATGTGAGAAGAAAGCTACCACTGAAGCAAAAGTTTTCAAGGGTTTTAAGGTTTACGATCCTAGCCAACAAACAAAGTTCTCGGTGATGGTGAATCGTGGTTGTTCAATCACGGCTTTCTCTGGTTTTATGATAATCCTTCTGGTGGTACAACTACACTTTGAGACTACAACGGCAGCTCGACATGCGCCGGTTCTTTCCTGGTCACCACCTGAGCCACCTAAGGATGATTTCGTGTGGTACCATAAGATCAACCGCTTCAAGAACATAGAACAAGATGCGTTCCGACCAACTCACCAAGGTCCTAGTCAAGGTATCGGGCACAAGAACCCTCCAGGTTCTCGTTAAAATACCATTTGGTTTTGGAGAAATTTACCACTTTGTAGCGTAGAGTTCCTCTATCTATTGTGTGCCTTCTTTACGTTGGTTAACAAAGAAAAGAAGAAGAAGAAGAAGAAGTTGCATCGCAGCTTCTTGTGGAGAGGACATGAACGTGAATCGATAAAAAAAAAAAAATGATTTCAGATTTTTTTTCCAAAGTGATACTTCGTCCTTTACAAAAGGCCATGAAGACATCTCTCGGGTTGCTTATAGGTTTTATTTGTTCTTGTGTTTTGTATTTTTTTTTTGTTCTACGTTGAGACTTGAGATATGTCGATTCTTTTTTATTGGATGTGGTTTTTTTTCTCGGTTTAAAATAAAATTTATGATTGACTATATTATAGCTAGAAAATAAAATAACGAACATGAAAAAAATTGAATATTT